GACTTTCCCTATAGGCGAATCCTTGTGGTTCTGTATTAAACCACAAGTTTTGGTCGTATCCGCTCGTGCATGGCAAAAAAGTGCCTGAGATCTTTGCTCTGACGGAGGATGAAGCACGAAGATCAGCAGGCGGTCCGAAACCACACCAGTCGGTTGTGCTCCCAAGTTCTTTCGTCGAATTTGTCTTGCAGGAGATCAAGTCGTGAGTGTTGCGATCCGCGGAGGAGTAGCAGTCGGTCGTTCCGGATGTTGTTTGTAAACACACTAAATGATACAAATCACGATTTTTCTTGGTTTTTTTACTGTCCCGTTTTGCATTTTGTCCGTTCATATCAATGCAAGGATTAGATATTAGAATAAGAATGCTGATACTCGAAATAATTTCATGGACGATGCGAGCAATATTTTTGTTCGTGTGGCGATCGTTCTTGGCTATGTTTCTATCGCCGTTCTGATTCTGGTCAACTGCAATCGTAAGAAATTATGTTTGTAGAAACAATCGAGGAGCTGCTGTGCAATAGTTACCATGAATCAATAGAAGTACTACAGCAGTCGTTAAGAAATACTAGTCGCTGTCGTTATCGTTAAAAGCTAGCGAGAAAGATTAGAGAAACAATAGATGACTCAAAAATACCCAACAAGGATCGGCAAGAAACGGGCAATGTTGAATTATATCGCTCTGTTTTTATGTTTATCATATGCGTGACATTAAGATAGCTCAATATTGGACCGCGATTATGCAAGCAAATAAATTAGTATACATTTAAAAAAAGATCAAGACAAGGATATGGAAAACGAAAAGGAAAACGACAATAATTGAAATAGAAAGACAAGTTGATGTGAGTATCCATTGTTTTCGTAATTTGCGCATGTGCAGCTTCATCTCTTACTACCAAATTTTTTTGCCGAATACTACTTACAACTGGCTGGATTCAGTCGACATTCAATACCAGTGGTAGTGCCGAGGACCGTTTTCGTGATGCGCCGGATCACGATCAGCAGAATCTTCAGCTGTACTTACTTAATAATGCAAGCAATTGACAAACCACAGAAAAGAAAAACCTTGCAGCCAGAGTCGCTTGTTCATGACGACTCTTTGTTCGTTGGCGACGCTTTGACTTCTTTGTTCGACAAGCAATCTTTTACTTTTTCATACTTTCAAATTCAATTTCGATTTCCTTTAGGACAGAGGTAATTGGACAGAAGAGAAAGAGTGCAGCTACTTCTTCCATGTCCTTTCGCTAGTACAGAGGGTTCTTTATTTTTGAGTAGTTTGAATATATAAGTAAGTATCACTCATCAGACAATAGCAGAGGCAGCATGAGATAAACAGAAAAAGAATCCGAATCACACACGAAAAGCAAAAAAGATCAAAAGGAAATTGAAAAAATAAGGATGCTTTTACTCTCATTCGCCTTTTTTTTTTCTGGTTCAGCGGCCGTCTCGGAAATTGGCAAGGATTTGGAAACTGCAAGGAATTCTTGGGTCCGGAGATGGGCAAGGAAGCCCGCATTCAGCGGCTTGCAAAGACCCACCATCTAGCGACACTCCATCAGCCGTCTTTTTGAACAATTGTCGGAGGCACTTGTCGTTCAGACCCGGATTGTGGTGGTTTCCTTGAGTGGACTGCACTAGTGCGATGTTGTGAGTCGATGCCTTCTGCAATAAAGCGGGTGGTGGGTTCACGGAGACCGGTTGGAAAGCTTGATAGTCTTCCTTCGCACCGACAAGAACCAAAACTGGTGGCGCAGTCTTTGCCGGAACCGCGTCGTCGAACTTCGGGACAAACTGTCCGTGTTGGTGTTCGAGCAGCATACCACCGTTGAAGTTTACCATCGGCACACGGAGGTAGTGTTTGCGCATTTCCTTGGCAAAATCTCCCCCCCGAGATCCGCTCATGATCGCGCGAATGTTGTGGTCCGTCACGAGTTTGTGCAAAACTGGTGGAAATCCGTAGCAATGTGCGATGAACTCGTAGAAGGTACCCCCGCTGTTTCCCGGTCCTTCCGCCCCTGCCCACTGCGAGGGCGCAATCAGGCCCAACCGTGTATCCGGAATATCGTCGTATCCGGTGTTATGCCCAGGGCCCGCGATCATTCCGCGCGTGTCGTGCAAGACCTGATAGTCTTGGTGCCCCACCCCGTATATATCAACTTGCCAGGCCGTCTTCAGAAATCCAGACCCCGGTCCGAAAAAATACGCCTTCTTGCGGCCATTCACAGCAGGACAAGGCTGCCACGAGCATTGGTATTTATTTTCAGAATTCGGGTTATCGCAGCGGCAATAGCAACACTCAGTCTTGGCGCTGCAGCCTGCTCCTTCCTGGCACTGCCATTTTCCTGCAGGAGAGAAGGCGTTGAAGTTCGCGCCAAATGCTTGTACAACGTCAGGCAAAATGTGTGTCTGCATACTCAATGGTCCATTTGGCGCGCTCCGTTTTAGACCCACACCCATGCCTCCCGGCTTCGACGGATCAGGATACTGAGTAAATCGGTAACGCAAGTACATTTGGCAGTAGTGAATTTGTTCGGGCGATTGATGCACGCCCCCAATAGTTTTTTTGCAATAATCATGAGTGTCCGCAGGAGCACGCGGCGGGGGATTAGGGTCAGCCATTTTGCTGAACCTCTTCGTTCCGAATCCGATTGCTGAAGAAATCTGGGATGATGTTGAAGAAATCCTGGATGAAATAGCCTGAGCAGCGGTGGTAAATGCCTGCTGACCACGACCAGGTGCAGGTGGTGGTGATGCTGTTGGCTCCCCAATGTCACGCTCAAGTTCACGTTCTTGTGCAGCAGCATGATTAGCAGCTAATGCTTGAGAACTTCGACTTCGCGGAAATTGAGCTGGTCCTGCAGGTTGAGGTGGAGCCGAGAATTGTGCGGACGTCGAGCTCGAGCTCGAGGAAGATCGTTGCATCACCTGAGGACCTCCAGGTTGTTGTCGTAAAGCTCCTGGTGCAGTAGCAGCATGCTGCGTAGAGGTAGCTCGTCCCCGTGCTGGAAGCATGCTATCGTCCACAGAAAAAGATCTGCTCGGGGCAAGTCCATGAACTTGATCCGGCCTCCTGCCGAAATCGAAGTCCTCAGCTCTCCAAGCGAAACGGCGTGGCGGGGACGTCCTAGCAGTGTCGACGCTACTATCCGCGTTGATCTTCTTGATCTCTTCCTCGGCTCGAAGCATTTGCTGTGCGTTCTTAGCAACTGCGGCTGTGTGCGTCTCCCACTTTTGCGTCTTCCCGTTCCAAGTGTTGTACGTGTACTGTCCCCCGTTTGTAGCTGCATTTTGCCGAGCGATCCGAGCATATTCCTCCGGACTGATGTCCTGCACCTGTCCCCCACTCGGACCGAGCCGAGGAGGACTCGTACCAGCCGCATGCATCGGGCGCGGGGTCTGCAACGTCATCGAGGTTGTCGGTGCGCCTCCACCAGGAAAAGGGCCAGGCGCGGAATAAGACCGAACAACTCCTTGAGGATTATGACGAGGAGAGAGCAACGCATTAAGGCTCTCCTCTTGCAGAAACGCCCCCGCGGAGGAGGACTCCTGCTTGTCCCCGACGCTGTCGGCAAGTTCAGAAGTAGAACGTCCCTCTCCAGTTCGTGACAGTGAAGAATAATAATCCTTCGTCTGGGTTTCGCCCGCGGCCGAAGCGTGACCTTGTCCAGATTCCAAAAAGGCTTCGACGTTCCCAGAATGAGCATCCTCGTCGGCGTCGCCAGCTTCTTTCGGCGCGCCACCGTTCTCGTTGCCGTCGGCAGGACGAAGAGCGTCAACGTGATCACCCAACCCGTGTTCGGAAAACGAAGCAGCTGCAGCGGTCGCACCTTCGCCCGCCTCTGCCCACGGAGTCGACGAGGTGGAGGATGACAGCATTGAAGACGCAGCAGACGACGCGTCCCGCAGAGGCAAATCTGGCCCAGAACCACTTCCACGAAGGTTTCCGCGTTTCGGTTGCGGTCGTTCTTCTGTTTGTACGATGTGTTCTTGTTCCAGTGCAGCTACTGCAAGCAGTCATACCAAATAAACCAAGAACAGAAGACCAACAGCTGCTAAATTTTAAGAAGGGTCCTCAGCTGCATCATTAACACCAACAATGTCGTCCTTTTTTTGCGGTTTCTCTAAGCCTGCAACTACTCAATCGATATCGAAAAAAACGGAGGACAATAGGATTGTGATGAATTTATGAATATGAATGCGAAAGTTGAACTGCTAAAAAATAAAAAGTGATTGCACGAAGGAAGGTTGCCGACAACACTCCACAAAACAGTGATCAAATCTTCAATAAACGAGATCAAGAAAGTCAAAACAATTTCATACCAGCAGCCGCATCTTCACCGGCAGTGTTTCCTTCGTCTTCATGCTTCAGCGGTTCGGTGCGTTCAGCGTCAACCTCATTCTTCATCGCAGATTTTTTGTCACCGGAGGCCACCTCCTCGGCATCACCAGCCGACGGCGTGAAGGACGTCGAAGGCTTCGCCGTCCCGGTTGCTTCGCGTTCCAGAAAGGTCGGGTTCATGTCATTGCTCGTCATTGCCGCAGCGAAAGTGTCATCATGGTGCTGCCCCGTGGTCATCTTCTTGATTTCGGCACGGGCAGCGGCAGCCGGAGCAGGGGCATTTTTGTCATGGTCTGCTTGTTCCTTCTTCCCGCCAACAGCATCATCTTCACGCTGAAATCGAAACACGGAGTTGAAGCGGCTCGCGAAGGACCCGAGAAAACTGCTAGGAGAACCCGCACCGTCCGCGGTCGCGATGTCCGAGGGCTGTTCGGAATTTTGCAGGTCTTCGAGAAACTGAAACGGAGAGGAGGATTCGTGTTCTCGTTCACGGTCACCGTAAATGTCGTTCGTCCCATCATGGACAAGATTGGGCTCGTCGTGCGCGTGAAGATGATCACCTCCAGCATCTTCCTTGACAGCAGTTGCGTCCCCAGGAACAGGATCATTAGTTCCGTCGTTGCCATTGGCTCGCCGAGCCAAGAAGTCTTTCGTGTTCGCGCGCGCGAGAGAGTGCCAGCAGGTCACTGACAAGAAAAGCAGCAGAGGCAGCAGCATCTTCTGCTTCGTCATCTGCGCTGGGTGATAGAAGTCAGTGAGCGTAGTAAAGGTGAAATTTCAAAGCGAACAGCTGCACAAAAGGATACTTACACAGGCTGCATGGATTCGACTAGTACTTAACTAGATCTAGGGCACGGCAGCCAATGAAAAAAAAAAATCGCAGCAGAGACTTACGGTCGATTTGCGCACTAGCCGGTCTGGGTCAATGCTGGAGAGACGCGCGCGGTTCCTTGTTTTCTTCAAAACGGGGCTTTCGAAAGAATTCCGGAGAGTCGTGACGACCACAGAACGTACTGGTCGCCGCGCGTGCGCTTGGTTTTTTCGTGACTGCGAGTAGAAAACTCCGTCAACTCCTTGTTGAGATCGTCGAAATTCAAGTTAGTCTGCAGTAAACCTGTTAGCAGCTGCTGCACCTAGCTACGTTGAAACTGAAGCACAAGAAAGCTCTTTGATGTAAACAAAATTTCCGGTGTTGTTGTAGTTGAATATGAATGCGTCCTTATTGTAGTGGATGTGGTTTTGATTTTGAATTAGTGAAAAAGTTGAGAAGAGAAAGGTAATTGGGGGCAAAAACCTTCTTGACAAGTCACACTCAGAGAACGAGATTAACTCGCCTGGGAAAAATGCGGGCAAGTGTATTTCAATTTCTATGTTTCGTGCAAGCACCGTTTTCAGCTGCAACACGACCGAATGAGCTTCGACTTTTCTCTTCAAAAGACAACCTGCGGCGACCTACAACTACGCGGCCCATCTTTGCATTTTCAAGCACGAAGAACCGATATACAAGACTTCTTTCACTGCTCACACAACCGAAGACATTTTTCACGATGAGGCAGCAACGTCGACGTGGATACCGAAAAGGAAGAGAAGGCTTGCACCTTCATCGGACGTGACCGATCTAGCCATCAAGGTCCTATATTCGTGCAGTCTTGGCGTGATGATCGAAAGATACGAATGTAAGCAAACTTCGTCGCAATACAAAGTGCAGCGAGCAACAGAAACACGAAATCCATTTCCATAAAACCGATGAAAACACTAGCGCGCGCTGCGCTACAAACAGGAGCAACACCGATGGGGGTTTCTCAGGATACCGATACCGGTAGCAAAGCTGCATGACTTTGAGAAGATTTCTTACGGCGTTGTATAAAATGTGACGAATCATATAGGAAACCAGGAACCGCTCAAGGCAATGGCTTGCTGGTGCCCAACCGTGCTGTATCTCGTCTCGTCATTCAACGCATTTCATTCGTCATGGCGGGTAGTTCTAATGTACACGTGGATTCTTTGCAGCTGTCGCTGTGAGCTTGTTGTTCTACGTACCAAGTATTCCCTCCTGTGCGAAAGGCGGGAAAACGTACGTAGTACAGCTGTCGCGGAGCTGCACCGCGCCCTGCCCCTGGGGCCGTGTAATGCTAGTATTCAAAAGGAAGAGGAACATAGAAACAGTTCCTGTGTAGCTGTACCGTTAAGCATAGTACACAGGAGCGGGGTAACAATTGACTCAACTAAGTCGCCGTTTGCGGCGGGAAGCTTTTCCCTTCAGGCTAGCTGCCCCCCCAGAACCAAAATCGATATCGCGAAGCGAGCACCGTCCAGAAACCGTATGCAAAGTCGCACTTTTTCAAATGGATTTTCATGGTTTTGGCATGTTTCTTTTTTTTTGGATTTCCGAAAAAAAAACGCAAACTCAGCTCGTCGCGTCATACATATTCATATCATCGTCGCTGTTTGCAAAAAATATTTTTTTTACAGTTTTTCATTTGAAAAAGTGCGCTTTTTCAAAGGCGCTTTTCGCATTTGAAAAAGTGCGCTTCCCGCTCCAGCAGCGTCCCGTCCCAGCAGCGCCGTGTTCCCGGGTGGGGGGGGGTTGCGCGTTCGCCAGACGCGCAACCCGCCAGACGCGCAACCCGCCACGTGGTTACTGCCGCTGCGCTTGGAAAAGAACATTCTTTTCCAAGCGCAGCGGCAGTAACCACAGCGGCACAGTGGGGGTATGCGGGATCGCAGGCAGCGTATCAGTTTTTTCAAAACCCCGCACGGCCAGAAGATCATGGTCGCGCGTACGTTATTAATTTACTACGATACTAATCGCCGACTGCCTAACCGTTCGTCGTCCTCGTTGCTAGCGTCACCCGCGGGAGCGCTGAATTTTCCCAGCTTTCGCCACGCTTGCGGCCACTCAAGCAGGGTGGCACAGTAGATGAGTGCGCTTTGCTCGTGGAGGAAGCGTTTTCTTCCCGGAGTTGCAATCGCGGTGGCATGGCGTTGTCGTGGCGGGTTGCGCGTCTGGCGAACGCGCAACCCCCCCCCACCCGGGAACACGGCGCTGCTGGGACGGGACGCTGCTGGAGCGGGAAGCGCACTTTTTCAAATGCGAAAAGCGCCTTTGAAAAAGCGCACTTTTTCAAATGAAAAACTGTAAAAAAAATATTTTTTGCAAACAGCGACGATGATATGAATATGTATGACGCGACGAGCTGAGTTTGCGTTTTTTTTTCGGAAATCCAAAAAAAAAGAAACATGCCAAAACCATGAAAATCCATTTGAAAAAGTGCGACTTTGCATACGGTTTCTGGACGGTGCTCGCTTCGCGATATCGATTTTGGTTCTGGGGGGGCAGCTAGCCTGAAGGGAAAAGCTTCCCGCCGCAAACGGCGACTTAGTCGTCCGTCCGGCCGGACGGACGACTAAGGCGCCGGGGCGACTTAGTTGAATCAATTGTTACCCCGCTCCAGTTCATGTTTTTCCTCTTCGTCCAACCGCCACAGACGCCCATTAATCAGCAGAAGTAGATCTTCGCAGATGTGGGCAACTTTCGCCATGGAGGTCGCAGGTGGCATCAACTCCGCCGTTTGCGTTTGCCTCGATGGAAATGCCTCGCCGCGTAACTGACGTCATTCCTTTGGCCAGCGGCAAGGAAGAAACGTGACCAAGCTATTGAAGCCAACCAAAACCGAAAAATCAACAACATCTGTGCAGCGCTTCCGCTTCCTTGGAACTGTAGCGGACCTTCTGTTCTTGTTGGCGCGGCGCTTTTTTGGGACCTGGACCCGGACCGAAGCAGGTTCGCATGAAGCAGCAGTAGACCTCGGACACGAGCCACGAACTGCGAAGATTTCCCCATCCGGCGAGCGAAACCAAAATGAAACACAGGAAGTTCTCGCACCTACTATGTATCGTCATATCGCTGTGGTCGTGCTAGAACCACACCAACATCCAGCACATCATTGTGAAGTGCTACTGCGGCAGCAACACGGCAAATTCCGGCGGCGCTTCTGCGCGAAAACTAATTCTTGGAAGCTCCGGCTTGTTGTTGTTCTTTGATCTAACCACGTTTTTGTTCCTTAGTACGGCGAAATTCCGTCCCAGCCTTAAGATACTCGCACGGACCGTCTACTTACTGTTGCAGTGATGCTCCTCCGCTGCAAAATGTAGTTCAGCGCACGCACGACTGATCCTCCAGCACCGTGTTCTTTGTTTTATCGGTAGCGCTGATTCGCAGCAAGTACGATCGCAGCGGAACGGTTTTTCGTTGTGGATTTCCACCGAGTGCGTGCGATATGGAACAGAAACACCAGAAAGCCCCAATGATCCCGAGACTGAAAAACTGCGAAAAAAGCGGAATCTACAAAAAAATGCATTTACATTATGCATGATGTGGTAGGGCAGAATGAAAGTCGAGGTCAGCAATAGATCATACCAGATCATTCGAGTCATCTTCTACATCATGGTGAAGCAGTGTTCTTGTGTGTCGTAGCTGGAGCGCGCGCGATGATGTGCCCGCGAATACCTAGTAATACCTGGGATCAGCATTGCAGATAAACATCAAAAGCACGAGTCTATTAGAGTTTACTGAGTCACTGCAAGTGAACATGCAGCAACTGCGAGGAAATGGAAAAAGATCAAGATGCTCTACTTACTGGCATTGACATTAGCATGATCATGAAACAGATACAACGCCCCACGTCGGTCACGCACTACCTACTTAAGTAAAGTAAGAGCGAGTACCTGTCGTCCTCCATCATGCACAGGAATGGGTAGCAAATCCTTATACCAGCAAAAACTTGAATCTTCAAGCCAAACTTCTCTTCCCTACGTATACGATATTGCACACAAGAGAACGGCGCTTGCCCTTGCTCTTTTGAAATCAAATTTCATACAAAGCGCGCGCGCGCGGTTCATCTTTGCAACATCACCGATAATGTCATTTTTGTGTTCGACGACTTCTGCTCAAAAATGCGGAAGTGCTTTGGAAGAGAAATATTACGTCCCGAATCTTCTCTGACCGCGGGCTCGTTTCTCTTTCATACCAAGAAAAGCCACGCAGACCCAGCCAATGACGCAGGGTACTCCCACAATTGCGTACCACAGCATGGGGAAGAGGAGTTGGTCGCGACTCACCATGAGAAATCCGGTGGTGAAGGGCAGTATGGCAACGCAGATCGCTCCGAGCTGCAGGCTTTTTATCATGCAAATCTCGTCGTCGGTGTACACTTTCTCGGCGTCTCGGTGGTACTTGACCAGCAGCAGGCTGGTGAGCGCCGCGGAGGCGAGAATGAACAGAACCACGAAGATGTTGACACCGTGAAAAAGGTAGTCGGCCTGGTGATGTGTGAAATGGGGAAGATGCAGCCATCAAGTTCAAATTGTACTAGCTTAAATTCGTCAGGAGTTGCTTTTTTCTTGAAGAAAAACTAGAATCAATCATAGTCATGTCTTTGGCTCGTCTAGAAAAATATCGCAAATCAAATCAGGCACATGCCATGCAGCACGAACCTGACAGTGGTCGACGTCGAAGAGGCACATTTGGCAGCGCATGCCGCTGCGGTCGTACCAGTTGAGGAAGTAGCCGACGAGCGAGATTTGCACCGGGAAGTCGCAGATCGCGAACTTTGCCAGCTGCACGTACGCCAAGTGTTTTGTATTTGGGTCCTGTTTCTCGAACATACGGTAAACGACCGCGAGGAAGAGTAAACTGGTTAAAATCCCCAAATTCATGACCCATTCGGACCGCAACACGCTGACGTCCTCGTCCTTGCCCTGGTGCTTTTCGTTGAACTTTTTCCACGCGCCCTCAAACGCGCACTGCGCCTCGGTGGTCATGCGGCGGATGTGCTCGGGGTCCATGATGACGTCCTGCACGTAGATCCGGTACCGGCTGGACTTGCGCGCAGGTAACCGGTGGGAGACCGTGACCCGCCAGGACACGGTGCCCGCCTGCTTTGCCTCGTCCGAGAAGTCCTCGACGCTGAAGGCGTGCGCGCCGCGCTGCATCACCGTCATGAAGCCGTTGGACGCGGCCACGGACGTGGCGCCGCCGAACACGTTTCCGTTGCACAGCAGCGGGCTGGGGTTGGGTCCGGTGCAATCTGGGTTGCTGGTGAAGCCCCCGCGGTTGGGCAGCACGCGGTCGATGCGCACCCGGTAGTGCGTGTTGGTGGAGGTTTCCGCGTCCGGCCGGGCTTTCGAAGTCGGCGGAAAGAACACGTCCGGCCCGTCCGCGCCGCGCCCTGGGCCAGGCCCGCTGCTGCTGCTGCTCCCAGAGGACCCGGAGAAAAATCCCCCGGGACCACCACTGGAGGTACTAGAACTTGCTGCGCCGGGCGTGTCGAGGTAGGGGTCTACAACCACCAGTGCCGTTGCCGGCTGACTCGTGGTCTGGAAGTCGAAAGACTGTTCGCCCAAGTCGCCCGTGCCGCCACCCAGCTGCACATCGCGATACAGCACCTGCTTCCACTCCGGGCCGAGGCAAATACCACTGTCCGGGTCGCGGTGGCAGTGGTTTGCGAGCTCCGAGTCGAACCGCTGCTGGTTGCTGGACTCGTTGAAATAGAGCAAAACCAGGCACACCCAGCCGCACAGTTGGAACACTAGCCAGTGCTTCACGAGCTTCCTCTGTTGCGCCTTGGACTGCCCGCCGAGGTCGCGGAGACCGAATCCCATCACGATCTCCTCCAGGCCGAGTTCCGGCGTGTGCAGCTTGTTGTGACCACTGGAAGAACCACCACCCGTGGTTGTCGCGGAAGGTTTCTTCTTGTAGGGGTGTTCGTAGGGCGAGGAGTGTAGAGTGTTCTTCGACGTCGAGCCTGTGGTCGTGCCGCCGGACCCATACATGCCGTCCTGCCAGGAAAACAGATCCAGGCTGTGGTCGCCGTCGCTAGTGTAGTTTGATGTCGCGCCATGATTTGATGTTGTTCGTGCTCCACCTCCGCCTCCTGATACTAGCGTCTGTTTGCTACCGGGGTTCGAAGTGCTGCTGCTCGATCCACCGCCGCTTCCGCCCAGTGGTGGCGTAGTCAACTTCGAATTATCTCCCGGAAACCGACTCTGGTGGTGGTGGACGAGAGGTGGGGAAGAAAGCGGGTCTATCAATTGAATGTCCTCCCCGTTGTCGCGACGGGTTTTTTGCTCCAACGTTGCTGACGAAACGAAGTCCATCGTGATCGTGATTGATGTAAAAGTAAATAGCACCAGAACTTTAAAATAACGTGAGTAGATCTGAGTTCTTGTGCAATAATTGCAAGTGAAGCTGGTGCTGAGAAAACTACAAGCAGATACTTTTGCTGATACAGACGTGTCGAGACCCGACAGTGACAACCGATGACGTCGTGCATGTGCTTTTTCAACCTTAATATGAAGAGCGTGTCTATGCACTGTCGTGCTTTTCAAGCCCAACTTGCGGCAGTCTGGAGATGATTTTGCTTTGTTATCTTCACCTTCACAAAGCTTGTCGCTTTTTTGCAAGCTTGTAACGAATTTTTTGCGGAGCGTTCTTGTGCAAGTTGCACATTTTTTTGTGGTAGAAACAGGATTCTTCGAATTTGGATTTCTTTGCCTGTTGGAACTGCAGCGAACACAAGCTCCTTTAATGTTGGAGTTGGGATCAAGAGGAAGATAAAGCTCCACTCTGCCAATCCAACGACAGGCATGCGCACGTGCGTGTGCGATAGATGTTGTCGCCTTTTTTCGTATAAAAAATGCTAAGGACGATAAACGATCGCCCTGACACTTCTTGTCTGGTCGCTTCAGAAAATTCAAGTATCCCGCTTAAAGCAGTAGACATAGCCGTACTCAAACGGCGTTTGGGCGCTCTTGGCGACTTTTTCGTCGTCAAACAAGCACCATTGCCCGTCCTTCTTTATGTGTGCCACGTAGTGCCCACTGCTTGTCGCTTTGCCCACGTGACTAATGAAGCCGACGAGAGAATACTTTCCGACCCCGTCGGTAAAAGAGCTTGTGGCCCCTGCCGTGCCACCTCCCGCATTCGCGCTTTGCTCCTCTGCATCCAAATCGGCGGCGCTGCGCTCCATCAACCACGCGGCGGCAACGTCTGGATTGTTGCCGTTTTGCTTCAGCGCGCGCTTGCAGTGCTTCTCGGCGAACCCGGTGATGGCTTGGAGGAGCTGGACCTGCTCCATATCCACGCTATCCGCTGCGGGAGCGGGGGCCGACGCGCCTGTGGAAAACGAAGATGAAACAAATAATTTCGTCGATTTGTAAAACCTGCATCAGACCATCCAGATTGATTTTTCGCACATCACTCCTGGTCATGTCGATACACACAAGTTCTAACTCGCTCTTTCTAAGCCAAAACTACCTGCTGCAGGAAGCGGGTCGTTGAAGTCCGGGTCTTCCATGTGGGCAAAAATCCACTCTGAAGCTTCCTCGACACCCCGGTTGCTTACCGCAAGACAGGCCCGCTTGCATCCGTTTTCTGAGAATCCCATGACGGATAACTGTTCCACGAGCGCCATGTCGGGCTCCGGCCCGGCGGCGGCTGTTTTTTTTCAATTATATCAAGTGGAAATGGACAGCAGGGCATCTCAAGTGGGCCAGGGCCAGCTACGTGCAAGATGAACATATACATCATAGAATAGGCCCGACATACTGAGAAACTTCATGTTTGAGTATTCTTATAAGTACCTGGCTCATCTGGCATCAGTTTTTCCCCGGGCCTGCATTTTCCATCCTCGCCCTTGGCCGGCGCGCGGTATTTCTCGAGGTCTAGTGTCTCCGGTACGGGACAGGTGCACTCACGCTTCTTGTGTGTCCAGGTGGCGGAGTCCACGTAATACCTTTGGACCTGCACAAAGAGGTACTTGGGCATGGTCTTCATGTGCAGTGAGCGGGCGACCCGACGCCCCCGAAACAGCTGGTCGGGCCCCATGTCCTCGGATTCAAATATCCTGGACAATGCGCGCTCAAAAGGGATTTCTGGTACCTGTGAGAAAAAAATGCAGGTGGAAATGCAATTGATATTGAATATCTTCAGGGAAAAAAATCAGATTCACTGACTTGCTACTTTCCGCTACACCCACACACGGTGACGGTAAAAGAAAGAATTAGAATCTACTGAAACTGAATGCTGCTCATCAACACGCGAAACTTGAAAGTAGATCATGATCATGACGTTCGTTGGTAGAAAAGAATTCCGTGCACGACACATCAACTTGAACTTTATCAAAATGTACACTAAATACCGACGTTACCCCTTCCTCGCCGGACTCTAGTTTTTGCTTCTTCGCCGCGGGCTCGGCCACCGCGTCTTCCATGTTGATCATGAGCTGTAAAAAGCAGTCCACCGCTGGCAGGTAGGCCACTTCCCCGTTCCCCTCGTACCGTTCCTCTTTCTCGAACATAAACAGGTCCTCGGTGGGCGTTGGGCGCTCGTTTCGGGGCCCCACCATCGCTAGTCGGTCCGCGCCCTGCTTCTCCGCAGTGGCGAGGCGGGTGAAAAAATACCGGATGAACTCCTCTGCGTCCTGCTGGCGGTTCGTAGAAAAGTCCGAGGTGTTTTCTATCGCGGCGGCCCGGAACATGCGCATCGCAATCGTGTTGGATTCGTCGTTCGGGTCGTCTTCCTTCCTGGGGTAGCGGGACTCTTCCAAATCCTTCTCCGCGTTGGTGGCCGTCGCGACTTTTGCAAACTGCGCGAGGACGTCGCTGGGCAGTTGGTGCGGGGTGGCGGTCAACAAGAGTTGCCGCGCGCTGTCGCAGTACCGGTCCTTCACCTCTGGTAGGGATAGGAGCAACTGGAGCGAACTGTTCATGTAGCAAGTGTTCCCGAGATTCTGGAACCCGACGTACCCGGGGCCGTACAACCGTTCCAAACTCGCCCCGCTCTCGCACACCTTCCCCCAGTCGTAATTCGCGTTCAGCTCGACCGTCAGCTCCGCCATCGTTTTTGCGGTTTTTTCCTGCTTCATAATGTCGATTCCCCAGTGGGCCAGGTGGTCCCCGAGTTTGGGATCTATGACCAGGTCGTTTTCGTCCGGCGCATAGGAAAAAACGTCGGCGCCCTGTGGCGTTATCGTACCTAGCTTTACGACAAGCGGAAAGTTGTTCCCCTTTGCCTTTTCCGCCTCGTAGTGCTCCAACGCGCCGCCCGATCCGCCGGACCCGTCCCAATTTTTTCGGCCGCCGCCGATGAAGCCGTCGGAAAGGTTGAGCCACAGATTGTCCGTTGCGCCGTGGATCTCGCACTTCCACGTGGACGGGTCACTGTAGTTTTGGATTTCATCTACTTCGTATCGCGAGGAGCGACGATGCAACGTCGCACCAACGCGATTCATTGCGTCGATAAGCATCAGGAGGAATAAACCGAAAACAAATTCACAAAGAAAACACACAAAATCAACATGGACATAGAAGTATTATACGGTGACAATTTTTTGTCGCCCACGGGCAGTTGGACGAGGCCTTCCGAGTATTTCGAAGGTTTCAGCTCGTCCTTGTCCTCCCACACGGTGCTCGCGGCCATGGCGGCGGCACCCGCGTGCTTTTCCACGGCCTCGCAGCACGTGTTCACCAACATGGGTATGTCGGCGTCCGGGCCGAAGGGGTAGGGAAGCTCGGCCACGACGTGGTCCTTCTCGAATACGGTGAGGAAATACTCCTTCTTCAGATCAAATTCTTGTGCGGCGAAGCCGCCCTGAACGCCGATACCCAGCGTCGTCACCGGCTGGTCCTGTGGAGATGGGTGGTGAAGATAGTGCATGGAAATTGATTTTTCTTCTATCTTCCAGCCATGGCGGAAGATATCAAAGTAGTATCACATACCAAAAGCAAAAGCGGAGTCACTGTCACAGAAAGTCGACCTCCTCAATCATTCAAAGACGAAAAAAGTACTTTTTTCTCCTCACTCTCCTTGTGGTAAATTTTGGTGTACTTCAACTTCAGGTATAGCGTGTTGTTGTCCGAGCGCGCTGCGTCTGTTTCCAGGAACCGCTTGCCGCACCCGAACCACGTGGACAGGTTGACGTAAAGTCCGGTTGGTGAGTAGGGGTTGTCGAAGGAGTAACAGCACTCGTCCTTGTAAACCTTGTTCCCCGCGGTCGGGACTTTGATCTGCTTCATCCCGTGCCTCACTTTACCCATAATGTCGTCCGGCTTCGCGCCCGTTTTTACCACCATCCAGGCAGTACTGCCCTGCTCCGGGGCGGGCGCGGGCGAGGTCGTCATTTTTTCGGTTCGACGCGATATGATTCTTTAAAAGGCAAGATTAGTTTTCGTAGTATCGCAAGTAACGGTGTCTCGCAGAGCGCGAGCACCGAGCTTTGCATCAAATGAGCAGAAACGCAAGGGGACAAGAAATGTGGGCTCGGCTTCGATCTCGGTCACGTTAAGATTAACTACAACAAAATATCACCAGTGTTCGGCGGAGTACTGTTTTGCTTTGTCTGTCCTGTCTTTGTTTACAAATGCGTATTTCCACTTTGAAGAACATGAGAAAACGTTGGAACTTCTTCTAGGCGAGATCGGTGAAAAACGAATTAAAGCACGAAGATCGATTTGAGCGGAGCCGTTGTTGTGTATATAAGCAGCCACGCTTCAGCGTTGTTCGTGTTTCTTCTTTCTTGGCACATTTCTGAAATGAAGCGATGACGTGAACACGACAAGCCTCTTGAGCCATACAAGAGGCGTTCTTTCGAGCACATCGATCTGTGTCTTCTCGTAGTTTTTGAAATGGTTCAAGCCGTGCGCGCTTGCGTCGACGTAAAAAGGAGCCAACAGGCGAAGAACTCACCATCCAAATCTAAAACGGCCGGTAGCTACAACATTTCAAGTGATACAACACAACCTGCTGTCACACGTCATCTCCTACTGAGAAGCAAGTAGTAAAACTGTCGCTGTAGTTGTACTAGCCTAATCTTCAGTCTCCAAGGAATCACTCCTGGTCCCGCCAGGTGGACAGCAGCAGCTCTCATTGCTTTCACTTCTCACAGTCCAGCAAGTAGTCCGTGATGCCTAGCGTCAGCTGTTCCAATGCATGCGCGTTTGCCTTTGTGCCGTGTGCCAGAAGTAGGTGGTCAGCTGTTGAATCGAGCATCAAGATCCGAGTTCTTGTGCTTGTCATGTCTGATGTTGTATTCGTGGCAGCTCCTATTTCCTCCAGTGTAACCAGCACTCGGTCGTAGATCTCCTCACGAGAAACCACTTCGAAAGTTGCTTCGATGTTTCCATTCTCACTATCGCCTATAATTCGCACGGAACTGACGCCGCTTCCGCGGTAGAAAAGATCGTTCCAGGCGAAGTAGCATCCGCGTTGTAATTCTAGCGCCGCTGTGCTGCTTTCGTCCATGTTGCTTTCTTTCTCTGGTGGAAAAAAGTCGCTCATCGAAACTTGGTGCGTGTCGTCTTGTTGCTGTGTTTTTATGGCCAAGCCTGTCGGCGATGCCGAGCCAGTGCCCGTTCCAATACCCGCCATGAACATACTGGCATCCATGGCATACGGGTCTTCGTTTGCAGAAACTAACTGCTGCATCCTTTGCCCGAAAGGGACGTCGTCCGCGGCGAACGTTGGGTTCTTCCTGATTGCGAGAAAATCTTGCGCAGGCCAGTCAAATGAAGCAGAGAAGCTACAACTTTTATCCCACGTGGTCACTCCCCCTACCCCGGTTTTTCATCGTTTTTCAAACTATTGAGCAGGTCTGAAAAATAAAAAAATGCGACCCGGTCACATGATCCGAGCGTGTGGACCTGAGCGACAGACTCTGTGCACTAGCTAGGGAAAAAGCGGACGATGAGAAGTGACCTTGTGCACACTAGCCATTTTATCCGAACCGTGTGAGATAGCTAGCAACTTTTACTTTATCATACATGAGCCATCCGAAATTTGCTTCCACCAAAATGCTCATGTCCGAAATCCGTGGATCTCGGATCTCGAGTTCAAGTCGAGATCCGAGATCTGCGGATTCTGCGGATCCGAAAACTATTGAGCAGGTCAAAAAAAATAAAAACTTGAACTGCTTAATAGTTTTACTTACAATTGCAAAAACATGCACGCCCTAAACGTGGAGCATACCGGGCAAGTTCATACTGCGCCCCCGAACAAACTTGGGAACTCTGCTGCCATCATGCAGCAGATAGTTTGGTCGAGCCGGTTTCTGAGCATACCATGCATGTTCGTATTGAACCCCCGACGGAGAACCCGAATCGACCCAAACCAAAAACCATAACGATCATTCGCTTTATTTTTTTGTCGTTTTTGTGCAGCGAAAAATCCAGGAAAATCCTCGGGGTAGTGGTCCGAACATGCAGCGGACTGCGATTTTTTTCAAATCAGGTCCATTGCGCCAAAGTGCGCAGCTTTTGTTGATTTTTGCAAATTGTGGGCCGGCTCATGATTTTTCACTCCACTAGAGCCGGCCCACCAGAATACTCGGAGCCGGGGCTTCAGAAGTTTGCTGAGCCTTTGGACCCAGATAGTGCAATGTCATGAATGGCAATATTTATATATATATGCCCGCTGCGCGAAATTCGGATGGCTCATGCTTGATAGTTTGCAACTTTCCAGCTATCTCACATGGTTCGAATAAATTAGCTAGTGTGCGCAGGGTACTACTTCATGGCCCACTTTTTCCGCAGCTAGTGTACAGAATCTGATGCTCGGGAACCGACGTCGGCATGTGTGAGCAGGTGCCGAAAAACAAAAAATCAAACCTGCTCAATAGTTTAAAAAACGATGAAATTCCGGGGTAGGGGGAGAGAAGTCGCTCCATAACTTTCTTGTTCTGATATCGTGCTTCCTTTATTGGCTGTAGCAGGGGTGCTCTGACTCGCACAGGTCGCAGGCGTTTTAGTTGGCGTAGAAAGAAGATTTTGAAGATCCGACGGCGTTTCATCAGTTTCTCCCGCGTTCTTAATCAGTACCCTCACCACAGCATCCGATGAGTAAAATTCGCTATTTTTTGCTCCGATCAGGTCGAACCGGCTGACGTATTTACTGTTTTTCGTGACCATGCTTTCCAAGAAAACATTCAGGTCACTTGTATCGTCCTCCGCCCCATCGTGCATCTGCTCCATCTCCGCGGTAGGTTGGTCCATCTTCGAGCTTGTTTCAAGCTGACTGCTTGTAGTCGACATGAATTTCTGATTTCAGCGACTTTTTTCTGCACGAACAAATTAATAGCGTGTCTGTCACCAAAGCATTGCCATTGTCCTCGAGATGAAAAGAGTCGACAAATAAAAAGTTGCCAAAAACAAACACATTCACATCTGTCTCTGTAATACAAAACAACATTCGATGCACCAAAAATGACAATTGCGTGAAAAAATTACGAAGCCGAAGAAACCATTTTTTTTGATCGGTGCAAATAAGAGATTCGGATCATACTGCAACCAACCCTCCAAGGATCTATCTAGAAGAAGATGATCTTCTTTTTTTCAACATCACCAAGACCAAACTCACACATTTTCAAGGAAGTCAAGAACATTTTTCTAGTTTTCCAATTTCCGTTCGGATGATCTTTAACAAACCAACACCACTGCAGATCGAAGCATCAAAATATCTAAACGTGATCTTTTTCATCTGAGGCATCGATTTAGATTTCAATCGGCTTGAAGAGGACGGAGTTGCAGCTACACGGTCGCTGACACCGATCGCGACAAGGATGAAGTTGGACTGATTCTCACCTCAGAGCGGTTTTTTGTTTTTTTCTTCGTTTCTTACTTTTCTTTTCTTGTGAAATCAATGTCGGGTCTTTGAGCAAGCGAATCCGGAGTTTTTTTTTGACATTACATCCTCGATTGCGGCCTGGTCAGGAGAAGTGAACTGCTGTGCATCAATACTCCATCATAGGCCGCAAATATATCCCAGACTCGCTGCTTTGAAAACTCAAACAATGCCCAGATCTAGACACTGCAAGTTTTTATACACAAAAATTAGGTCTCCAAACAGGCAAAAACTGTTGTACAACTTTTCGATTTTTTCACGGTACAGCATGATGAAAATCCCTAAATTTTATCTTTTTACGTAAGTACTCTTAAGTGCGTGAAGTAAGACCCTGTATGTTCTGTAGCAGTCACAGTGGTCTCTAATCTACATACAATGTAAATGCAAGTGTAAAAAATAAGTGAATATGTAAGTAAGTATAATGTTCCCTATCCATTTTTTGTTGCGACCCCGTTTGAAAGAAGATGCCGCTGTTCTACTTTTATGTCTTTTTCCCGTGCTGGGACCTTGTAATCTATCAGAATCATAAAATCGCGATTTCGGTCGCTTTCGCAGCAGCGTCACTTAGTGTGCTGAGTGTTACATGTTTACAACAACGAACTAACAACGTCGAGATGCTTTTGATTGCTTCATAACTTCGCATTTTCTTTTCAATAAACACTATAGCTATACACTTCTTGTGTAGCAGTAGCTCGAAACTTCGAAGCAATGGTGATGTGTGCAATACTACTCGGTCAATAAAGATTTTTGTTTATACTTCATTCTGAATGCAGGATGCGGCGGTCAACAACGTACGATCGCCAACCTTTTACTCGTCGTCGTCAGCCAAGAATTGGTTTGCGAACTTGTCGTGAATGTCGCGGAACAATTTTCTGGTCTTGGTGATCTCGCCCAGGATCTTCGGGTCCGTGGACTCCTGGTTGTTCAGGAAATCGTCCAGCAGAATCGGCAAGTGGTAATTCGCCTCAATCGCGCCCTCCATCATATGGATTGTAAAAGTGTCTGGGTCTGGAAGAGTCATGCTGTTTTTGCATGACGCAGAAGGTCTGGCATGGAAGCTCTAGCATCACAGGTTTCGAGAACCTTCCGCAATGCCGAATCCGCAATACAAGTCCCCTATTTCGCTGACAAAAAGTGGGAGCTTTTGCTACGTATGCATGAGAGACTTTTCTGTGTTCTGAAATACGCATTACAAGTTGCATTCTTCCAGACCCAGACATTTTTACATTTGATACATCAAGATCTGGAGCAACACGTAGCCGAACAGGGTGGACTTGTATCCTGTGTAAAAACGTCCCCAAACCATAGCTGTCATGCAAATCTGCATGCTTAGAATGTTTCTCATGCGGAGCCCCATGAGAAGCGTTTTCTAATGCTGTTTTGAAATTTGTCATGCTCCAATCAGCATGAGAGACTAGATCTGTAATGCTGCTGAACTAGCTCAAATAGCACTACAACACTACGCGTCCAAATTTGTCATGCGAAACAGCCAAAGATTGTCGATTTGTCTAGCCGATTCCCCATCTTGACTATGGGGTGGGTACGTTTTTACATAGGATAACTTGCGCTCCGGGTTCTGCGTGAGCTGCTTGATCACGAACAGCAGGATTTCGTCGCGGAGGCACTGGCGGTGCTTGAAGTACCAGAACAGGGTGTAGGCGATCTTCGCGCGCTCGTCGGAGGTCGGTTCCTTCCCCTGCTCCAGCACTCGGTTAGCCATCAGCACCAAAATCATCTTGCTGCACTTCAGCGCGAGGCTCTTGTCCAGGTCCGGAAGGCGGGTAAGCGGCGTGGCCAGTGTCTGGTTGGACCAGGTCAGAATTTTGCACTTTTTGGTCTCGGTGTGGCTGATGTTGCAGGGACTCATGCTCATGGTCCAGTCGACCTTCAGCGGGTGCTTCTTGGCGCAGGACTCGTCGACAAACAGGATGTTCTCGATGATCCGCTGCGCGCCCTTCTTCAGCGGGTTGTACCAGTAGTTCAAGGCCAGACGCGCCGGCGGGTGCGCGTCGGTCAGGAGCTTGATCCCCTTCACGCGGCCACCGCACTCGCAGACGATGCGGAAGTGGTCGATCCCGTCCGGGATGTTGCAGTTGCAAGTGTAGATTCGGTTCTTGTTGATGAACACCGACAAGAGCCACTCCTTCGCCTTTCCGTCGCGCCTGCGCACCCACACGCCCAACGTGTCACCGACCTGCCAGTTCATGGTTTGCTGTTCCTTCTTCTGCGCGTGCGCGTAGACGAACCGCAAGTTCAGCTTGCCGTTGCACAAGAGCGTGTGCGTCTCCTCTCCGGGGTAGGGACCGGTGCACACCCAGTTCTGCCCCAAGTCCGCCAACCGCGCGCCCAGCTTCTCACCGTATTTCTCAAGCGGGACCGTAGAGAAACCCAGGCCGATGAACCCGGTCGGGTCCGTCCCAGCCGTCTTGATGACTTTGGCCTCCGCATAGTAACCGCCGTTGTCGAACGCGTACTGGGATCCAACCGCCACGCAGCCGTCCTTCACGGTCTCGTCCTTCGCGAACAAATTCGCGCCGTCGATCATGGCGTTCGGCCCGAGCACGTTCTGCTCAAACCCGTACACCGGCAGCGCGATGGAGATGCGACCCTGCAGGTTGTGCTCGTCCGCGATCAGCTTGTCAAAGTTCTGCGGCCCGTCCCCGCGGGTCTCGCGCGGCATCTCCACGCCGTGCGCGTTTCTCGCCGCACCGTCGGTGCGCCGCGAGTCCGGGGCGAAGTTGAAGTTGGTGGCGCGGGACTTGCGCGTCGGCTTGTCCTCCGGCGTGGAGAAGGTGGAGTAGGCGTCGCCGCCCTTCTTGCCGATCTTCTCCATGCCCGCGTCGATCAAATCCAGAATGCCCTCCCGATCCGCGTCCTTCGCGCCCGACCCATACGTCACGTCCGCCACCTGCCACCCGTCCGCCTGGCTCAGCTTCAGCGTGCGGTTGGGGCCCTGGAGCGCGGTGATCGCCTTCTGCAAAGCGTCCACTTCGCCCTGGGCCAGCGGCTGAGCAACCGCGTCGCCGGCGGCCTGCTGCGCAAACACGACGGCTGTATTAAGAGGATATTCGGGGGCAGATAAATCGGATGTAAAGAACCTTTCTAAAGTACTTCGTTCCACTGCCGTTGTGGAAGGGTCTTCACATCATCAAGTTCAAGATCAACATGCAAAGTAGGTAAAGCTATGTGAGCGATGGTGCAAAATGAAAACAGGCGTTTATACCTTCCCCGTACTTGACGCCCTGCACTGGCGTGACCTCCTCGAGAATCGCCTTCACCTGTTCTGTATCAAATGCAAATATGTCTGGGTCTGGAAGATTCTGAGACTTGTCATGCATGTTTTGCATGAGCCATGAGGTCTGGAATGCGAGGCCTAGCATGACAGATTCTGTGAGATCCATATCATGCCTATCCTGCGTGAGAAACTTCCTCTCAACTTGGTCAAAAGTGGACAGCTTTTGGCATTCATGCAACACAGATTTTTGCACGATCCAGAATTAGCATTACAAGTTGCAACCTTCCAGACCCAGACATTTTTACAATGCATAGTCTGCCGTGGGAGAGCCCCGGTGCGGCTGGATCACCTCGACGTTCAGTCTGCCGGACCGCGGCACCACGCGCGCCTCCTTGCAGCCCAGGTTCTGCTTCAGCTTGTTCCGCATCAGCATCAGCTCCTGGGAGTGGCGCGCCGGGCACTCCGCGAGGGTGGCCAAGTACCGCTCCACCGACTGTCCGCGAGTGATGTCCTTCGGCTCGCAATCCTTCGGAAGGGCGCTCTTCAGCGCGGCCTCGATCTTCGCCATATCCAGTTTCCCGACGGGCTCGATAGCCTGAGTGGAGTTAGGTTGGTGAGTAAGAACGCGTTTTGGCCTGTTCGCGAATGCGAAGTAGATTCATTGCCTTCGTTTTGTACGGAAATTGCGAAAGTAAGAAGATGCAAGGGTGGGAGGGGGATCGATAACCTTAAGCTGCCCGTGTCTACTAGAACTACACGAAAAAGAATCAGAAACCAACTAAATCATATAAATATATACCGTGACCGCCAGCGTGTTTTTCTTCGCCGGATCCTCGGGGGCCATGTCGGCGCGGATGTCGAGGCAGTCAAAACTCGCCTGCAGTTTGTCCTTCAATGCCTGAACCTCCTTGTTGTCCAGGTTCCGGGGAAGGTTGCAGTAGAAGCGCGGGCAGTTCGCGTCCCGGACCCGCGTGACCGGGACCGTGTCGTAGGGCCAGGACGCCGTCAGCATCGCGTCCCGCATCTGTAAGGGCGTGACACGCTCAATGCTGTCCGCGACCTCGATGACGGTGCAGCCGCCGCGGGTGAGCAACCGCGTCTGCTTCGCGCAGAGCGCTTCCTGCATGTTCAGGCGGATCAGCTCCGTCTCGGACGCCGACAACTTCTTGTTGTCCGGCGACACGATCGCGAGCATGTCCTGGAACACGACCCGCTCGGTGGCCTTGTCCTCGTGGTCGGTCAGGGGTTTGACATTTTCGTCCCAGGCCGCCCCGAGCCCGTCGTGGGTGGGCATGGTGGCGGACAGACGCTGCGTGCCGACCGCGTTCGCGTCCCCGATGGCAACGGTTTTTCGCACGTTGCCCGCCTCGGTGTTCACCACCGTGGTGTCCTGCGGGACCGCGATGGCCGCGTCCTTTTCCGCGTTCAGATCGAACTTCTCCACGATCATCTCGGCCGGTTTCGTTTTTTCCGTGCCGTCGTCCGCCACCTTCGCAATCGCGTCCAGCGCGGCCATCTGCTTCGCGACCACCTTGGTCTGCCGGTTCAAATCCAGGTACTTCAGCAGGTTGTACACAATCTGCTCCTTGTTCAAGTTCGCTTCCGCCTCCAGCAGGCTGCCCTGGGTCACCACGTCGTCCATCTCCTGCTGCACCCACGTGACCATCTCCGTGTACTTGTCCGCGTTCTGGCCCACGTGCTATCAAATGCAAATGTGTCTGGGTGTGGAAGATTTTCATGTAATTTGTACATGGCTTTCGATGCGTGTGATGCATTCTCTAGCATCACAGCTTTCGCAAAGGTTTTATTCATGCCTATTCTGCATGAGAAATGCCGTCTTTGAGTGCCAACAATCTGACCGCCTTTTGACTCTACTCATGCAATACAGATTTTTGTGTGATCGACAGCTAGCATCACAAATCCCATTCTTTCCAGACCTCGACATATTTGCAATGCATACGTGCTCATCCAGACGCATGTTGTAGTTGACGACTAACGAGGAGAGGGAATCCAGCAGCGCGAACAAAGCCATGTGCTCGTTGGCGTACAGGTTTTTCACCATCTGCGACTCCGGGTTCTTCTCCAGCTTGCCGCGCTGCTTCCGCGTCTTCACCCAGATGGAGTACGCCTTCTTGAACTCCTCCGCGATCGCCTCGAACGGCTTCAGCTCATCCCCCTTCACCGTGCGACGAACGTTGGTGCGCACCATTTTTGCGTGGTACTTGCGGCGGGTAGAAACGAACTAGTGTTTTGCTATTCTTGTCCTCGAAGATGGAGGTCGTTGAGGTTGTAGGTTTGTTGTAGTTGCTTTTGATGCGACGTCGAAGTTTTATGCTGTATCAGAAGTTGTATCAACCGAGTTGATCGATGTGTAGGTGTTGGTGAAGAAAATGTAGAACAAAAGAAAGTTTAGATGAAGTCTACGCTTAGATGTGTTCGACGTTTGATTATTAGTTCGTTGTTGAAGACAAAAAAGTTTTGTAGAAGGTGTGAAAAGAAGTTTTTAAAGAAGTCCAGGTTGGAAAAGGGAATATTAAACAAGTCGAATTCACTGTGGAGGACGGATTATTTTGACATCATTGCCATTGATCAACACCGCATGTGGGTTCTTGTAACAAGTGAACCCACGTTGGTACCAGGCATGTACGAGTTGTATCTGTACGAAAACGAAATACTGTTCAAGAGGACGAGGAGGCAACCGAATGTTTGTGAGCCATGCTCCTGCACACGTCGCACACTGACGCTTCATTGTCTTCGCACGAAAACCGAATTTAAAGCACAGTTATTTCTGCCTAATTTAGCAGACCAAACCGAAGCTCCTGTGGTGCGAAACGAGAGTCCGCAGGAACCGATGAAATGTCATAGTTATCTTCTGTGTATACTGTTTAGAAATACCGAAAGATTATATTGCAAAAGCACGACCGAGATTTAGATTCCGCCTTCACACTCATCATGACCGATCACCAACACCGGTGCATTTGGCTTACTTAAATTTCAAATGATTGAAATAGATTTGGCATCGATCTGGTCGACACTTCAATGCAATCAAGCAGGTGACTTCTCCCGACAATTGATTCATTCGCTGTCGGCTGATTGCACATAAAACGTTGCACAACTGCTACTGCAAAATTGCAAATCGAATCTGCACGAAATTGATTCAAATCCTAGTGCTTCTTGTGGATGAAAGCCTGTCTTTGCAGCTCATCGTTGTTGCTGTTGCACTAAGGATACAGCACCTGGCATTTATTTCTGCTCGGCAAGATGTTGTATGTGTATCCATGTTTTCCTTTTCTTCGTCTTGTTGCTACCTCTCCTGTCGCAACTACATGTCTATGCGACCACAAGCCACAAGTGGAATTCCAGCAGGTGCGCCTGCGTCCTCACGGTTTTCTTGTTCAAACAGCTGCAAGATAAAGTCCTGACAGCACCAGGAGTAAAAGCGACGAAGCTGCACCCACCACCCTGCTTGACACAGTGTTGCCAGTGCAGCTCGTCGAACATCCTAACTGCGTCACCTGTGGTACACAACGAAAATCATGTCAATGTTTGTGGAAGTTTTCCAGCGGTTCCCAAGAAGACGAATAGTAATGTTTGCTTTAGCTTTTGCGATGCAGTGGAGGTCCACATAAAACTACTTAACCGATTCATCAGAACTTCAACTTGTTAAGCTCCTCATCTAAAGACGAAGATTAAAGTAGGATACTCATGATCGGAAATACTGCGTACAAATCGTACCTGTGGCCACCGGAGTCTCCTTGCGCAATCTCCCGACACCCGCACCTTTCCCTCGATGCAGGCTAAAACGACAGGCGTGCCGTCCGGGGAAGCGACTTTTCCGGCTTCTAACGTGAGCTGCACGTACTGGATGAGAAACACGATTGCCAAGAAGGCAATGGGCGTCGCGATGATCTTCACAATGCGTTTGTTCGCGTCGAAGCTGGGTTCCACGAAGCTCATCACGTACGAGAAGATGACCAGGAGAAACAGTCCCAGCACGCAGAGCACCGCGGGTAGCAGGTCCGGGTCCTCGGGCTTTTCCACCGCGGACACTTGAAGATTATCCGGGTTGGTGCCACCGCCAACGGCCGATGTATCGTTCATGCTTGCGTCCTGTTTTTATTTTTATTTTCACACGTTTTCATTGCCGCTGCGTCTACTACCGTGTGACGCCCACACTATCACTAGTGATGACTTTGCATGTGGTCCTACTACTAGTCTCTCTCTTTTGCTTTTCAACGTTCTTGCGCGGCCTCCTTGTTGATCTACATCCACATCGTACACGACATAGATTCACGCACAGAGTCAAAAATTTTTTCTCGTTGTACCCGACAAGCCTGTGTCGTTTGTTGGAGCATCCGATGGTTGCGATCCATCACAGCCTCCTGTCGCGATAATCTTCTCCCACCGCCTGAGAATGGTGGTGCATCCGTCATGTTATTGTAAAGAGTTGGACCACTTGCAGAAGCAGCGAGGTTCCTCCCGCCAGCACTGCCAGCAGACGGATGTGATGTCATCCAATGCTGTCGAGTGGACGAAACCGAGCGTAGCTGTCGCATGTCACTGGAGATGGCTGGGCACTGCTCCGTGTAGCCTCCCAGTGCGTGCGCCGCAAATCCCGGCCCGTCCCAGTTGTTGCGCATCAGGCCGTCCCGACTCACGGTGCTGGTAGCGTTCGGCCGCCGTTTGTTGGTGTAACTCGCGAACTATGCATTGCAAAAGTATCGCACTAGTATAAATAGCATTACAAATTCCCTCAGCATTAGAAATGGAATTTGTAATGCGGATTCCCCCAAAGAAAGGGATTTGTAATGCATGACAGCGATTTGTACGAGTACGATACTTTTGCACTTGATACGAACAGACCCGCATCCAGGATGAAGCCCTCGGTGCACTCAATGAACGTCCCATCCTCGTTGGGGATCGCACCGCCGCAGGCTGGGAGAGTGAGTTGTATGTCAATTAGTACAAGAGCAGGCGACTTTCAGCAAACAGTCATTCCGTTAAAATGCTCATCAAGAAGTTGAACTTGAAGATGTCGAACCAACGCCACTTAAAAAGTACTCCATCACGGCAGAAGAACAAGTTCTTGTGCATTTACAACATTGTAGTTTAATGGTCAAATCCATGCGCAAAGAGAAAGAAGTAGAAGCTGTTGCAGTGAGGGCATGACTACCACTAAACTGGCGCATTATCTCTTCACCTCGTCCTCCTTTTTGTCAATCTATACCTGTGTAGTAATTGTTGCAAACGGACGTGCACATTGGCAAGCTTTCCTGGGCGCAGCCGCATTTGGGAAAATTCAGGTAGCAGAGCGCGTCTTTGAAAGCCTCGATGCAGTCCGCATTGTAGGTAAACAGCATGGGCACCTCCGGGTCCACACTTGCGTTCACTTCGCGCCGGATCCGCTCTTCTATCAAAGCCTTGAACCGCTTTTCGACCAAGCGGTCCTTTTCTCGTAAAGTCCATTCCGGGTGAATGTACTGGATCGGAGGGACGCACTGTTGATTTTTTCATCATCATCATCATCTTCAGATCCAGATGCTGCAAGAATGTTGTCAATGCGAATGTCAATGTTTCTGTTTGCTGAGCAGCAATGGCTGGTGCATTGTCATCCATCATAAATTCAATTTGAATCCTACTGCAAAGTCCCCTGACGAGCACCTACCGCGTCGTAGCACACCCGGGACCTGCAGAAGGATATTTGGGACTGGATGTATTCGGAATTCTGGCAGGCACCGATGAATTCGCCGCTTTGCGCCGGAATCTCGCAGGCGGACTGCAGGCAGTGCGGGCTTACCTGGGGCGGGTAGAAGGACTCCAGGGACTCGTACACATCGCAAAAGCCCCCGAGCGGATCGCAACTCGTCGTGGTCGCCGTCGCGGTGCTCGTGTGGGCCGCGGCCTGCCGCAGCGGGACGGACGGCGGAGCAGGGGGCGCAGCAGCTCCAGCTGCTGCGACCACTACATCATCTACCGGCGTGGCTGTGACTGAGAGTAGGATACCGCCACCGCGGGAATTTTTGCGAGGCCGTCGGGAGAAAATGCTCTGGCTGTTTCTGTTTTGCTCGGCAGGCGGTGATGTAGTCGATTTAACACTGGAGTGTGAAGATGATGTTCCTCCTAAATTATCGTCTTCAGTGCTCGTCGTTATTTCTGATTGTGACGTCGGTGATGTACTAGAAGTGGGGGCTGGGCCGCTTGGAACATCATCTACATCCTGGTCTCGAGCCGCGCCCGCGTCATCATGCTGTTCATCTCTACCATGATGATGATTCATCATTGCAGGCTGTTGCTTGTGGTCGTACGAATTGTCTACTGCGTCAGTTCTTGTGCAGCCTAGGTCGTCGTGTTCCGCGGTTTTTCCAGGCCAACTGTTGTAGTGTACATCGGCCGCGGATTCTTCTGTTTTAGATGAACGTGATGACAGTTTGTTTTGTTCATCCTCGACGACGTGGGCCGCAAATGACAAACCATGCGTGGACGAGTGTCGTCTGTGGCGCTCCTTCGTACTACCCGCATCTCCTTCATCCGCTTGGTGATGATGCACTGAAACTGCCTGCTCTGCACGGTGGTCCCGCAGTTGCTGACGCCGGGAGGCCGAGATTGCTCCTATCAAAGAAAGCGGCCCGAGAAGAGATGGCGGTATTCTCAAAAAGGGCGCTACACTTGCGAGTGTGTTGAAGTGCGGCGGCCCACCTTCAATCGTAAGCATCCCGTGAAAGTCCGTCTTGAGGTACAAGAAGCTTACACGATGCTCCCGGGGCACTTCTATCTGCAGCTCGGTACTCTGCAGCGTGATTAAGTGGTTGCTCAACAGGCCGGCTAAAAGTGCCGAAGCGCCCTTCATGAGCGTGAGAAGTGCCGAGATGCGCGCACTCTTCGCCAGGGCCGACTTTAGGATCACTTTCGTCGCGTCATGCACATCCTGCCGTAGCTCCTGCACGAACCCATCCAAGACCTGCAGGGCCTTCCGTTGCTCGCGCCACCGCACGGCCCCGAAGCGCGCGTGGTGCTGCACCTGCTATCCTGTGCAGAAGTATCGCGCTCGCACTAATCGGAATCGCACTCGTGCACTTTTCCAAATCGAGGTAAATCCGCACTTTTACATTAATTGAAATTTTAATTATTTATTTCTCATGCTCTCACACGATTTCTTGTACTAGTACGATACTTGTGCACCAATGCATACGTCCCTCTCGAGCGCAACTGGGTCGATGTCGCTGCGGTCCACACCTCGAGCCTCGTCGCTGCGCGCCTTGTAGGTCCGCTGCATCAACATCATTTCCTTTACCTCCTCGAAGGTTTGTTCAATGTGCTCCCTATCGTTTTCACTCAGCTTCGCTACCGTGGCCGCTTCCCTATCGGTGTAGTACTGCAACTGCTCGTCCTGGCTCGTCCCTACTTCATCTCCGTGGAGGTCTACTCCTTGTAGTTGCTTATCTGCAGCCCCCGTTGTTGAGGCGGCGCAACGGCATCCTCGTCGTCCGTCAGAAAATGATGTTTTTGGAGTTTGAGTTTCTATTTCCACAACTTCTTTCACTTGCACGCTCCTGCTGGTCGACACCACAGAAGCTGTCTGCTGTGAATGATGCCTACTTCCGGTACTGCTACTGCACTTCCCCTGGTCGTCAAAGAAAAAATTATGGCTCGGGCGGCCACTAAACGGATCCTGCTTCATCTCGGACGACGACGGGCAAGTAGAACTACAAGTAGAGCCGTTGCCAGTACTATCAGCTCGACGACCAGGACCACCAACGTGCTCCTGGTCGTCTCGTTTCTCCATGTTATTAACCTCATCCACGTCCACTTGGTCGAGTTTTTGCAGCCAATACAGCCAGTCATACACCTTTCGCTGGATAATGTCCAGGCTGACCGCCACGCTCTCCAAGTTCGGGAGCATGATCGCGAGAAGAAAGTCCGTGTGTTGCTCCGGGCCACGGTCGATCAGGTAAATGCACTTGTACCTGTTCGAATAGCACCAGGACTGCCGTGCGGCGGCACTGGCAATGTTGTAGCTCAGACCACTACTTCGGTATCCGTAGCGGTCGTTGGAAAGAAGGCTTTTCATATCACTCAGGCTCAACACATCCACATCCGCCGCATGGTTTTCGTTGTTGTACCGGATACTATCATGGGCCTTACTCCTTGACGCATGATGATGTTGATGGTCGTCGTGTTCAACAGTACTAGACGAGGATGAAGTCTCGGCCGTGTTTATGTCTTCGATTTCTATCTCCAGCAAACTGGCCTCGCTCGCGTACTCTAGGTATGTCATGTCGGGTGCCATTTCCAACAGCACCTTTGGCATCTTGAGGTAGCCGTACCAGTCTGCCCCCATTATCTTCTCAAGCACTTTCGCTTTCCCCGCCTTGTTCGTGAAACTATCGAGCGGAAAAAGTGTTTCACTGTATTGCAATTTTGCAATTTTTTTCTTCGCGGATGACAGGTGCTCGTTTGTACATTTTTATTTGCCCTGCGAGCTTCCTCAGGGATAGAGTAAAGCACGCCTAAAAATCCATGCATGAGCATGCGTAGAAACACAAAGTAAAACTTATGCTACCTATGCGAACGGAATAGGAATACATTTACATTACATGATTTAGATGTTCTGCATCACAAATTTTCCGGTAAAACTACAGTTTTCTCCTGCGATAGACTCCGACCTGGATGTATTCCTCTGTCAGCGAAGGCGGCGCATCGAAGATGGCCACGTAAGTCCGTACCATTTCGATCTCGAGCAGTCTGGCCGAACGCCTGCGGTCGGCCCGCGCCATCGGTCTCGGTATGGGGCTCTCAAACGTTACATTCTCATTTGTTGTCATGCAAAAACGCTATCACTTTTCACAATTTCAAACCTTCTCCGCATGACAAGTTCTCGACACGCTAGATAGCATTGTAATCTGCTCCAAACCTGTAATGCAAAAGGAGCAAGCTTTTCCCTTTCACTTCTCCCATTCTTGCATGACATTGACAAATCCATGTAACACTTGAGAATGTAACAGTTGAGAACGCCATACTCGGGAGCGGAAGGGTGGAGACAGTGTCCGTAGTGGGTTCGATTTTTTGACCTTCCTGCTCCGCGGAAGTAGTTATTTCCTCCTGTTGTGTGACCGTTGAGACATCCTCCTCGACAACGACCCTTGTCTCGTCGTAGGGGTGTTGAAGTTGATCAAAGACAAACAGCTCCTGCTCCTGCTGCTCCCTTTCTTCTTGTTTCGATGAAGGGATAAGAGGTGTGGCCACCTTTGAGCTGGTTTGATCAAGCTCTAGTTGTACCTGCTGGTGGTGCTCGTACTTTTCATCTCTCACCGTCGGAGCGCTGATGCTACTAGCGGTACCATTGTTGCACTGAGCCCGGTCCTTCCGTGTATCCGCCAGAGAGAGGATTTTTTTCAGCAGTTCCTCCACATAGTAGTCTCCGTCCGTTGCACTCGACCTCTCCGGCGCCAGTGGCTTCTTCGTCAATGAATAGGAGTGCTGCATTGGGCGCACGGCCTCAGAAATGCAGAAAAGCCAGTCGCAGTTCGTTTCATCTTCCGGGACCTTGATACCATCCGGAAAGCGCTGCCCATTTTTGTTTAAGAACAAAAAGCCTCTGTCGAGACCTCGCAGGATGTCGTCTACGTAGTCGTAGTTGTCCTCGCCGCCTGTATCGAGTACTTGTTGTTCCTGGTCTGCTTTCTTGTCCTCCTCGTGGAGTTTTGATGTCTCAGCAATTCCATTTACATTTTGGCGTCCTTCTCCTTGACCGTTTTTCTTTTTCTTGGACTCGACGCCCATGGTGAACAAATCCTGTTCATCTGAAGGGAGAAGAAAGCTTTTCTCGCATCGCCGGATTGTGCCGTACAGGTTCCGCAGTACTTTTCTATCAGCCGTGTTTTGTTTCGAAGTTTTGTCGAGAGCTGGAGGACGAACACAAGTTGCTCCGGTTGCTGGCGCACGACCAGGAGTAGATGAAGAAGTTGTTTGGACGTCCGTGAAACCCATGGTCGTGCCCCCAGATGGACAAGACTGCTTCGTGGTCTCTGCAGCCCTTGAAGATGATGATGTCGCGCACTTTTCGATATCGCCTCCTGTGCTCCTCGAGCTCGACGTCTTTGGCGATGCCATACCATTAGCAGGAGTTTCATCTTCCTGCTGCTTCAGTTGTAAATAGCTCTGCTTTGAGTTTGATGTTCTTTTGGTCCTCAGTGTGTTTGTTCCACGCATGTCAACATCTTCGCGAGGATTCACCGCAGCTCCTTTTTCATGATCTAAACCCCGCGCCGGCTGCCCTGCGTTAATACGCTGAAGATCGAGCTTTTCATCTATTACGAAATCCGGCTTTCTAATGTTCGTGATGTCGGAGAAAGTGTGCTGTTGAGCCTGCTGATCTTGCACCATGTGTTCGAAATTCAAAGTCTCTTTATTCCAACCATTTTTCGTCGTCGTCCCGGAGGACGCGGGATGAACGCTTTCAGATGATTTTCTGGTGGAAGACCACCTTGTTGAAGCTGGTCGTGCACATGTCTTGCCCCCGTGCAGCTGGTGACTTTGACTAATGTTGTCACTAGTATTTTCATCTTGTTGTCGAGGACCACCACGCTTGGAAGAAGATGCAGTAGTAGATCTTCCAGATAAAAATTCTGATTCTGTCTGCGCCGTGCATGTGGTTGTGCCTTTTCTACTTGTTTCGCAAATCAGAGCCCCCGCTGGTCGTGGCTGTCTCGACGGAGTAGGTGCGGGCGCTGGCTGGTGCGAGGAGCACTCCTCGGCTTTTTCCACCGTCGTCGAGTAAAAATCTTTCGTAGTTCTTGTACCGCCATCGTAGCTCTCATCGTGGTACAACTCCGATTCCTGTTGATGTTGTAAAAGGCTTTTACTTTTAGTTTTTTCTCCACTTCTGCTGGTCGTCGGGTCTTTGTCTGCTTCCACATCCAAGTCGAACAAGTCCTCCATAACGTTATCCAGTACCATCAGCGGCCACGGCAGGGGCTGGTTTAGTATTGCGCAGCTGAGGAAGAAAAACTTCCACATCATCATGCCGCAACTTGGCTGCTGCCAAAACCAGGTGAACCCACCGTTCGCATCGGATCCTTTCCGCGCCGCAATCTTTTCCAACGCTGCCTGGTACTGCGGATGGTCATACTTGTAAGTCCTCTTCCTCTTACGACTTGTCGAGTTGTGCAGCTGCTGCTGCTGCCTCAGGTGCTGGGCGGGGCGGTCGTGCTTCGGCGTCGATGTCGTCCCGTGGTTGGCATAACATCGGTTATGGAGTGCTCCTGCTGCGTCATCATGATGTTGATCATCATCTTCTGCGGGATGAAAGCACGAGACGGCGCCCACAGGTGTCCGCCTTGCAGCTTCGACTGTGTGCTTGTTCTTAGACGCCCCCATGATGATGATGTGCAGCTACCACGGATTATCTTACGGCAGAATCCCGGAGAATGATGCACATGCAGGGGAAAAAGAAAACAGCGGTCCTCGTCGGTGGGTTAACAACAGGAGCGGAACGAACTTGGACTCGCATAGCAATGTCTACTGTGCTAGTACAAAGATCAAGCAAAGTCTAGTTGGATCTTGATCTTCACAATCGTTACAGTTACACACAAAACGAAACGAAGACGCAAAGTCAGGAGAACCAGCACGAACCAACTGCCGCACGCTGCGCAATGAAGCACGAAAGAGGAGCTGTGCAGGAGCAGCTTTTTGTTCCCTAATGCTAGTAATGAGCCACTTGTTGCAACCCTCTTGCTATGGCACCAATACTTACTACGAGCGAATGTTGACAACAAGAGCAAGACAATCATGAACAAAAACGTGTTCGGTTCCAGAGAGAAGAAGGTCAAGGAAGAACAAGAAAAATGTGAATATGATTTTATCCACAATCAATGGCCATCGATCATTGGTCAAATACGCCGCCTCCATGGATGTTCTTTTTTAATTTGGCGTGTTCAACTACTTACATCATCCAATGGTGCGGTTGTCTATGTTTGGGTCTATCAAGAATGCCGCATCAGCGCCTCGTTGTGCTTTTGCTACTTCTCTGAGTCTGACAACTACCGAATACTATGTGGTCCTCGCCGCTCACGCTTCACAGTCCATCAGTACAGAGTCTCTGTCGTTTTCGGAGTCGACGTCGTTGTCCAAATTCTGGACAACTTCTAGGACCTTTTTAGATGCTGGCACAACTACGCCAGAAGCAACCGCATCTTGATCTTGGTGCAACGAGCTCGTGCTCGTCGACATCGTCGTCCCCCTCGTGGTATTATTTGCCGAAGTCGTTGCTCGCGAAGCTGAAAGCAGTCTATCCCCTGAAAATTAACCATCCCCATCCAGTTTGTCATGCAAAACATGTAGCAAATTCTGTGTTTGTCATGCAAAAAGTGGATGGGGATGGTTAATTTTCAGGGAATACAGTCCGCCTTTTTCAAACGATAGCGATGTAGTGAGCAGTTTCGCTGTCGGAACAGATCGAACTACCACTAAGGGCTGCGGCTGCTGAAAGGAAGTCGAACAACTGTCTTCGATAGTACCATTAGCGGCGACCACGGTTCTACTTGTCGTGGGAGGTGGTGCGCTCGTGGTTTTCGGTAGGAGGTCCTTGTTCTCGGCAGAACTGGACATCAGGCCCAGGTACGATTTCTTCCGTTCCGCCTCCAGAACGCAGCGCAGCGAATCACGACTGGTTGACTCACTGTGTTGCACGTGTTTGTTTTTGCCTCCGGACAAAGTAGATGATGTGCTATGATCTAGTACCTGAGGACGGGGGGTTTCCTGCCGCGGCTGATTGAAGCTGCCGCGGCTCTTCCGCAGGAGATGTTGACCTCCACCTCCCGGATGAGGGGGAGGCTTCCGAGCGGCGGCGAAATGGTCGCGGTCGGTCGAAAGGGGGCTGGGACTCTCGTACTCCATCGGAGACCCGCGACTGCTCGCCGGCGAGGCACTGTGGTGATGTTGTTTATCTTTCGACGATTCGTGAGTTCAGTACCCAGCTGTAGAAAAATCTTCAAAAAAGAAAAACTACCTACTTGCATATTCAAAACAATATCTCGTTCTCGATCTGGTTAAGCTTATGCTTCATCACGAGTAAAACATTGTACCGGCGACTCGTAGTCGCAGCTTCCGAACCCTGTTCGTCCTCGTCCTCCTGGTCCTCATCGCTGGCCTCACGGATGGAATCGCACGAGCTGGTATGGTAGTACTTCCGTTTTCTCGCAAAGTCGTAGTACTTGTTGCGCTTTCGCCGCGTGCTTTGCGCCATGCGAGGGGAGAGCGAACAGGTGGCTGAGGAGGTCGTCGTCGTGCTGGAGGCCGTGTCTGAGTGTATTGAATTGGTAGTTGTAGTCGTAGTCGTACTCCTCGCCGCGGCCGCCGTAAGTTTAGTAACACTAGCAGGAGGAGCATCTGCTGTGTCAGAAGCAGGAGGAGCAGAAGCGGACCCAGCAGCCAGTTCATCAGGTGAGGACGACGATGGCAGGTTTTCGATGAGCGAAGTAGAAGTGCAAATGCTACTTCGCAGACAATCTGCATCGCCCACTGGCTCCAATTCCATCTCGAGATCGTTGCAACCGTCTTCAAGACTCACGTAAACGCCGCTCCGGCTAAGCCGCATGTTCAGAGCTTCTTCATCTTCCGGTTGTTGATTGGTGGCGAGGGAGACTTCTCGTTCCGGAGGACCTTCCACTGGCGCCGCGTTCTGCTGCTTCAAGAACTGGCCACTTTGCATACTGGTTCGCAGGATTTGCATCTGGTCGGGCGCAGCTGCAGCTCTGCCTCTGGAAGATGAGGTGGGAGGTGCCACCAAAGAGAGAGAAGAAGAAGGAGGTGAAGCCGACACTAGTGCTTGTGGCGGTGGGTGCGGCACCGGTTGTGAAGCAGAAACAGCAATATGTTGAACCGGAGTCGTGGAGCTTCTACACGAGTGGTCGTCCGGCAGCTGAGTCTGAATGAGTGTCGCGGTGGAAGTGGTCCTCGTGCAGCTAGTACTCTCGTGCTCCTGGTGCACTGTCGCGGTGGAAGTGGTCCTCGTGCAGCTAGCACTCTCGTGCTCCTGCTCATCAACACCATCCTGTGCCCCCGCCTGCTCGCTCTGCTCGAGAAAAGACTGCCGCTCCTTAGAGTCACAGAAAGAAGTTAGCGAGAGTTCAAGCGAATCAGAGGAAAGTCGGATCAAATCCTGAACCTCGACCTGATCATTCTCAATGCCCGACATCTTCTTGCTGTCCTCGTCTAGCACGGGAATCGTGGTCACAACTTTTGGGTCTGCAGCTTCCGCTTCGTGGAGTTCTTCATCCGCTTGATCGTTTTGCATGTTCTTTTCGTCCACGGGTTCAGCTGCCGTGTTTGAAGTGGAACTCGAGCTGCTCCGCAGAGATGTGCGACTGGCCCTGTTTCTACTGTAGCGGTCGAGTTGCGGATAATTCTCCTCCTCGCCCATGTCCTTTGCACCTCCTACTACGTTCTGGTAGCTGTACTGCCAGTCGTTCATCGAAGACAAAAACGAATCATGTTCATCATGAGCGTCTAGGTCTACTTCTGCCTCGTCGAGCGTCGACATGCACGCCGGCGTGAAGTCTTGCTCTCGGATATGGTCGGCGCCATCAACATTTTCAACATCTTCCTCTTCGTTGTTCTCCTCGTTGTATATCGTGCAATTGTCCTGCCCGTCCTCCGGGTCGTCGCTCAGGGACACCATCTCCTCTTGTTCCTTCATTCTCTCTACTCCTTCTCCAGTATTCAGCCCAATGGCCTCGTCCCGCGAGATCGGACCTCCAGAGGATCTGCTCGTCGAGTACACCAAGTCGGTGCTCGCTCTGTTCCTTGAAGATGTTGACTTCTGCTGACCAAAGTCCAGGCTCCGCTCGAGTAACAAGTGGAAATAGGAGCTCCGAAGTGCGCCATCAAGGTCGGTATTGCTTTTCCTGTTTGTGTTGGAGTTGGCATCATGAGCTGCATATACATTTTTGCCGTCCTTCTTGCGTCGCGACTTCATTGCAACCGGCGAAGTACTAGTACTCGACTGAGAATTTGTAGAGTCATTCTTGTCCTCGTTGTTGCGAGGAGCTCCTGCACGTACTTCCGTCTCATCAGGGTGTGATGCTGATGGAGTAGGTGGCGCGCCGCTGGCTCTAGACACGACCACACGAGCATTGCAATCGTTCCGCTTTGCTGCATTTCCATTTGCTTGACGACGAAACGCAGATGAAGCGTCGCTCGACGCAGTACTGGTAGACCTGTTTCTCCGCCTCCCGAAAGTGTTGTTCCAGCGACTCGCGTATCAAATGCAAAAATGTCTGGGTCTGGAAGAATGCAAGTCTGTCATGCTTGTCTGGTATGACACCAGAATCTGTGTTGCATAGCCACGAAAAGGGCCTCTTCTTGGCTGTCATGCAGAAACGCAGTTTGCCATGCGGAAAACCTAACGCAAGAGCAGCTCAAAAATTTGTCATGCTTGGCTGCGTATTGCAGTGCGCCCACCAGTCACATTTTAGCATCACAAGTTTCCAGACCCAGACATTTTTGCATTTGATATCGCGCCCTGCATGTCCCAGACGTCCGAAGATTGCCTCACGTCCAGCACCCGCTGCCGACAGGCGCCCCAGACCAGCAAGCACTTTCGGGCGCACCGCCGCTGGTACAAAACGTACGCCATGTCGGACCGCAACCGCGCCGTCTGCCGCTCCCGGGCGCGGCGGAAAAAGAGCAGGAGGGACACCTGGCGTTTTCTCAATCTGTAGTTTTGGAATCGCTTCCAGTGCTGAAAAAGCGGCTTTGCTACTGTAGCGAGTTTCGTCTCGTAGACCCAGCGGGCAAAAGCCGGATGCGCCAGCCGAACTTGGTTTGCAGTTGCTGCACACAGTTCGGCGTCCTGCAGGAACTTCGAGAAACTACGAATGCGCCGCAGCGCCACCGCGGGAACGGCCCGCTCGAGTGTGCGGAGGAATTTCGTCGCGCCAGTCCTTTGGTTTTGAACGCATTCACGCCAAGATCCCAACACAGATCGCAAGGACTGCTCGAGATGTTTCCCTCGGATCAAGTTTACCCTTCCGGAATCCCGGAACAAATCGAAGGAGGCCTTCTTGTAGTTTTTCTCGTAAACCAATAACATCCTCCCCGCTGCCACGTCGATTGGACGCGTGTAAATCGATTGGAAGCCCTGTCGAAACGCGAACCGGCTCGCCACCTTCACCAGTCTGCGCGCGGCCCAGAGTTGGAAGGAATCCTGACTCCAGGCTTGGACACACGTGCGGAGCCACCGCTTTTGCGTGCGCCGTCGCAGGTTTTCCGCGTGCGCGACGGCGCGCGCGAACTCCAGGGCAATTCGGGCCCGGTGTCGTTGCAACTCAACCACACACCGCCACTCGCGGAGGAAATAACGCTTCGTGGACCGGCTCTGCAGGCGGAACAGGGCGAAACCGAGGAAGGATTTTTGCAGAGTCAAATGGTTCTTGCGGTTTCGGAAGCGCTGTGCGGAAAGGGAATACAGGACTTGGGCGTGGAACTTCGAGAACCAGTAGCCAAGTCGCCGGAGCGTGGCAGAGCGGACCTTTCGGCGAAACCGGTAGTGGACCAGCCAGTGGCATTGGATGACTTCCTGTAGGACTGCAATTCGGCGCTTTTCGCGGATCAGCTCCGCTGTGACAACGCATTTCCGCTTGCTTTGTAACCGCTGTACGAATCCGTGCGAAAACGCGCGCTTCATCAAGGTCTGCTCGTAAACCAGAAATTTCTCGTCCGCCTGGCCTTTTCTCCTTGCAAGTTCCACCGTGCGTCGAAAGCTCAGCATTGCTTCTCGGATCAAAGTTGCATGTCTGTGCCGATGCGCTTTGTGTGTTTTATCGACGCACGACTTTTGCTCTTCCACACCGCTTTTGAAGGAAACGAAGAAGCGCTTTTTCCGCCAAGAAGTCAGATTTCCTACCGCCTTCTCTGTCCGTTCGCGAAACGAAGTCTTGTCTTCGCGATACAGCTTCAGACCTTCAAACGCGGCTCTGCCAAGCTTCTGCTCTCGACTTTCCTGAAGTTTTTCCGCGCGGTCTTGCAGCGCCCGCCAATGATCGATGAAGAGTTGTTTCCAGATGCTCACCAGGTACTGCTTCAGAATTCGTTTTTCCAGAACCGTCTGGCGGAAAGTTGCGGCTTTCTGCAGCTTTAGCTTGTATTGCATTACGAACTCCATCCACCAGATCTCTTTGAACAGGAACTGTTTTATTTTTCTTCTCCGCGCCTTGAAAAACGTATCACACAGAAAAAAGCTGGCAGGGCATATTGATTATTTGTAATGCAAAAATAAATACACAGAAAAACAAAACTTGCAGTACTTGTTACCCCAAACAGCATGCTATGGGGCCGCCCATGACAAATTTTTCTGCGTATTTGTTTTTGCATTACAAATATGCCCTGCCAGCTTTTTTCTCTGGGATAAAACGCAACAACCCGGCTTTTTTGCTCCAGCTTGTCCCTTCTTTCCTGCCGCTTTGCCTGCTGGCGCTTTTGCAGAAAATTCGCTAGATTTTCCTTACGCGTGCAGACGAAGGTTGACCAGGCACTGAAGAAGACACGACGGCAGGTGTTCCGTTTATCTTTATTTCGGAGATGAGCCTCAGCCTGAGAAGTGTGCTGGTCTCTGTCGTTCTCTTCAACATCAGTTTGCTGGCGCTTGTCCATCTCCGACATCGGCCCAGGTTTTTTTGCGGCCGTTCTCTGTGACTGTGTGGTTGTAGACATTGCGGCGTCGATGACGTTGGTGTTGCACGTCTCTTCTGCTGCTTCATTGACGCAGCTCGAACCAGTCTGCCCGGTCCCATACCGATTATTTGTTGTCCGCAAAGGTCCTGCCCGAGAACGCGCTCCAGCCCGTCTCGGAGAGATGAACATGGATTGGGATCCGAGAAAATTTCGGCTCTGGTAGGGCTCGAACAAAACCTGCGAGGCCAAAGACGCCCCGGCAAGGTAGGCTGACTCCGCAAGAACATCTTCATCACAGTCTGCTGCAAGGAAATGATCAGCAGTTGCGAGACTGAAACTAACTCCGTGCTCCTCGCGCGGCAAGGCCGTGGCGCCGTTGGCCGCAGTGGTGGTCTTATTTTCCCGGCTGGAGGCCGCCGCTGAAACTTTTCGCCAGTGCAGCAAGGCGCATGCGGTCAACCACTTTGCGTGTTTCGCGTCGCGGAGACAAATGCGAAAAGCGAGCAGACATCGAAAGCGCACGGAGTCGCGGTTTTTCCACCTCGCAAAATGTTTTGCCAAGAGCAAACGTGCCCCTGCTTGACGCTTTTGAAGGAGCGGCGAAGCCCATTCGGAAAAGGTGCGCGTTAGGACAGTGGCTCTGTAGGACGCAGCAGGGCCGCGACGAGAACTTGAATGTGGTAATCCTGCTGCACCACTGCCGATGCGCGATGAAGAAGATGACGAAGAAACACCCCTGCTTCTATTCGCGCCGGAGGAAGGCGCCTTGTTGTACTCAATCTGTTCCTCTGCGTCATTGCTCACTGCAACACCATGCTGTCTGCGAAACCAGAAGATCTTCCACGTTCGGAAGAATACAGCCTGTTCTGCTCGTCGTTTCGTGCTCAGCGTCTTCTCAAGCCGCCAGCCCAAATTTTGCGTACGACTCGACTCTGCAGCGGCGTCCAGACACAGGATTTCAAAGGCTTTTCTCTTCCTGCGCCACGAGGCTGCGACGTAATGACGCCAGCCGCGAAAGACACGCACGTAAAACGCCCGCTGAGACGCCTCGAAGCCCGTGTCGATGCTGCGCCACACCCGGACCTTTTGCCGCCACAGCCACAACGCGCAACGAAGAAGTTTGCTTTCCTGCCTTCTCACCGAAACGGAAACACTGATACTGACTCTCGTGCCGCGCGCCCACACGTTGAAGGAGCGGGTAAGCAGCTTCGCTCCAAGCTTCTCCCGCCGGTTTTGAATCAAATGCCGCACGTCGACCCGTCGGATCCAGGAGGAGAAAATTCTCTGTAGCGATTTTTGTCTCCTTTTCTGTATCTGAATTTCCAGACTTCGGCGAACGAAACAATCCCGCTTCGTCCGCAGTGCCCAGCCTTGGAAAACTCTCTCTGTTCGTGCCAAAGCTGTGCTCCGCAAAACTTCTCTACACCACTCCCGATGCTGCAAGTGCTCGTGCCAAAGCCCAATTAACGCCCGCTGCAGCCCACGCGTTCTGCGTCGCTGCCACCAATCACCACGCTCGCGATTTCTTCTTCTCTTACTCGCGACTTCCTCCCACGCGAACAGTGCAGCGTGTCTTAGCCTTGCGTCGATCTGTGACCGGAATGCAGAGACGATCTCCCTGGTTTCTATCTCCTCGTTGGTGTTGTCCCGCCACGCCTCGAACACGCGCCTGACTTTCGGCAACACGATTGCGCGCCAAACCTGCGTCCAGCGGTCCGTGCGCTTTCTGTGCGTGTGTCGCGTCCATCGTTGGAAAACACTTTTGAGAACGCGACCTTCGGCCTTTTTCATAAGATTTTTCCCTGCAGCAGCCCTGCTTGTGTTCTCCATCTGCGCGCTTTTGTTCTGCAGCAGACTTTCCAGCTTTTGCAGCGCCCGCTCTTCCCGAGCACTCGTCCTTACACCGGGAAAATTACGATGGGTCGTCGCTTCTACACGCAACTCTGCTTTCGCGCGTTTACCATGCCACGTGCGCAGAACTTTGCGAACAAAGTTTTCGCGTTTTTGTGCTATTTGGCGGTGAAGCACGTTCTCTTGATCTTGATGTTGAGTCGACACGGGTGATTCTTCGTCTACTTCCCAGATTGCGGCAGGAGGTGAATGATCGGCAATTACTGCACGGACAGGTTGTTCTCCTCTTCCCTGCTCTTCACTTTGACTCGCTCGTGCTCGTGATATTGAGTGAGCAGGACCGCTATTGCTCGAACTCGCTTGTTGCACCACCTCCACTGGTCCTGGACCGCAAGCAACTAGCGGAGGAACTGACCAGCGATTAGATAACTCCAATGGATTTTTCATCTCCGAAGCGAGTTGTGACACGTTCTGAAAGCCGCTTGAAGCAGCTGCTGCTGCAAACGCGCTATTGTTCTGCTCCGAACCGAGCTCGCAGATGTCGTACGACACGTCGTCCGGTGTGCTGCGGTCCACGAGAGTTTGCCGCAGCGTCTTGATACTCCGTCGCGTGTCATTCAGCACACTCTGGATTTTGTTTCCAAACAGCGTTGATGAATTCTCGTTTTTCACAGAGGAGCTAGACGTCGATGCACGCACTGTAGTGCACGAAGACGCAGACAGTTGACCTCCAGGGCTCTGTCTCACCGGGACATCAACAGCACGGCGAAGAATAGAACTTGAACTTGTGCTAGAGGATGGAGCAGAGGAACGATTGAGTTGCGCTGGCGCTGGCAAGCCTGTCATCTGACTTCGTTCATCGCTAACATGCATCTCGACATCGCCGCCCTCTAGTGGACCCTCTTCAAGTATGCGCTCGGCCTGAAAATTTTTCAGTTGCCCGTTGTTCTCCTGCAAGATCATGTCATCCGGCTGCGCATACAACTGCCCGCGCCATTTGTGGATTTCCGAGGCGAGATTGCCAGCATTGGTAAGGCTGAAAGTCATTGACTCAGCGTGATGATGCTGATGCCCGTTCGTCCTTGCACTTTCCGTCCCAGCAGCCTTGGCATTGGATGACGAGTTCCTACAGCGGTCCTCCTTTGACGATCCTCTGCTGCTCCGTGTCTCTACTTCTGCAACGTCACCCTGTTCTTCCCTGCTTTTCTGCACCAATTTTTGCAGCGCAGCGAGATTCAGCATCGGGCGTCCGTCGCTGCTCGCGGTGATGCAGGAGTCGCGCACGTGAAACATGGACTCCGCAGACGCGATGAGCGAAAGCAGCTTCGTGGTGGACCTGGATGTTGAACAGTTGTCCGTGTCCGTCTTCATTTGACTATGCGGGAACGACGGAGATGTTAGGTCTATTTTTCCACTCGCCGGATTATGATTCTCCTGGCGAACACGCTGCAAACTGGCTTGAAAAGTACTTTCCAGAAACGTCCGCAGCTCTGTTTTGCTGTCTTGTTTTGCAGATCGTGGTCCACCTTCTGTGGCTTTTCTAGAACTCCCTGATGTGAATGCGAATGGCGTTTTACCCGATTTGGAAATAAATCCTGGCATCATCTGCGTGTCCACGTCGTGCTGCTCCTCGTGTTGATCATGCTGTGCGGCCTCTGATTGAGTTGCTAACAAGGACTTTTGCTGGCTTGTTCCAGAGGAGGACAGGTCAAAGAGCGAAATGGAGCGCAAAAAAGGACTGATCTCCGACAGTGGGATCGAGGTATGTAGTGGCAGGCTGTGGTCAACAACATCACCAGTATGTTGATCAGCTCCGCCTGGTCCTCGGAGCGGTTGATTCCTTATTTTCGGAGCCACCCGTGTTGGAGTGACCACTGCTTTTTTATCGGTTTCATTATTTGCAGAAGCGCTCTCGTCGACGTCGTCCAGCCTTTCCTCGTGTTGATCACCTCTACAACTACCAGAATTCTTTTCTTTCCAAATTCCGAACACTTCCCCAAGCAAGCGGCTATGCCCCGTGTAGCGCAGACTTAAAACCTTGATTCGCTGATCTCGCACGAAAACCAGGGCCGCGGACCACGCGCGGACCGCTCTCGCTTGTAAAGTCAAGCAGAACTGAGCCTCCGCGAGAATCTCCGCCGTCCGCGACGCATACGCGGCCTTCCACGTACCTAACGCCTTCCGAAGGCCGTTCTGTCGGTGGGAAGCCGCTAGGTGACACATTTGCTCGTAGGTACCGACGACGGAGAGCAGCCAGGTGTGAAACACGGTTTCCTGTACTCGGCGGCTGCGCCATTTTCTGGCGAGGAGCCAATCCACCGATTCTCGGCCTTGGCGGCCATCGGCTCCGGTACAGGCACTATCTTGCTCGACGGTGTACGACGCTGATGCTGAAGATCCAGACGATCCTGCACTACTTCCGCTTGTGCAGTTCAACATCGCCACTGGTCTACTTCTGGTGCTCCGATCATTCTGATTAGAACCCGATGACCGAAGCGATGAGTCGTGGCTGCAGTTGTATTCAGCAGCAGCAAGAACTTCGCGGCCTTCATTAAACGCGAACGGCGCATTAATCTCGACTTCCTGTTGCACGTCAGTATCGTATTGGTAGTCGTAATCGTGCTCGACGCTTGCGCGTTGTTGATACATCCATGGCCTCGATCTTGAACTCGATGACGAGGACGGATGGATGGAAGGGGGTAGTCGTCCCCCCGACGCGGTCATGATTGTTGATTGTGATTTGGAATGAAGTGAATATTTTTCATTCACATTGCGCGCAAAACAAGAACTTGAACTTCAACGATCATGGGGGGAGCGGGACAAGTACACCTACAAGAACTTTCCATTCACAAAGAAACGACACGCTCATCCATGTGGTTTCCATGCAAGACAATCTCCAAAAAGGTACACGTCCACCTACGTACAACCTCCATGACCATCTTCTGCTAGTTTTTGACTTTGCCTTGTTTGCTCTCCCCTAGACCGGCGATTTGTTCTTCTCCTCAGCAGCTAGTATTTGCAGCACTTGTACATACTTTAACTTTCTCGGAGGTGAAGCGCAAGCGACTAAGAAAAAACCATAAACCGAACAACAGCGCTGTGGTATTTCCTGCGCGGACGGTCTCCCTGCTCAGACTCAGACACAAAAAACAGAAAGGGGACATCTCCACGTCCACGTAATACGTTCACAGCATTTAGATTTACATACTATAGCACGGGATTATACTGATGATGAAAAGCTATGCAATTAGAGATGCGCGTTGGTAGTTTGAAGAACTTTTGAAAAATTTCTCGATGTAGCTGCCACGGCTCCGCATTTGATTTCACGTTGTCGTTGTGGCAGTGTCACAATTATGTCTACATCACTTTCCTTTTTTCTCCTTGTCCCTCCTCGCTTCATTGTCTTTTCGCCATTCCTTGAGACTTTGCACCATGAAGTCCTGCCTTCCGTGTGCGAGCGCTATGACCGCAATCGTGAAAAAAGTCACGTTGAAGACCGGTGGATGTGGTCCGTTGCAGTACGCGAACCAGAACCAGGAGAGGAGCATGAAAATATTTGACAAAGTCATCAAGTACTTGTAGGCCGCAACTAGGCGTTTGTTTTCCGTGAACATCCCCGCCCAGGAGTAGATGCAGGTGCCCACTTCCGCGGTTACCAGTAGGAAAACCAGAGGTATCTGCCCCCGCGCGTTGCACCAGACGGCCACGAGCAGGGAGAGAAAGCAGACGAGATGGTGAGCGAGAAGCGTGACGTTCGTGTTCAAGGAGGGCACTTTGTAGTATGTCCAGATATCGGAGAGCATCATGCCCATGAAGGAGGTCAGCCCCATCAAGCACCACTTTCCCGTCAGGAGCGAGAGGTGCGGCTCCGAAGCGGAAGCTGCTCCACCGGTGAAAAAAAAGTTCGCACCAGATGTTGAACTCCTTGCAGGTGGATAATGGGACGAAAATTTCCGCTGCAGTAGATCCGTAACGGAGAACGCTTCGCTCGCACTGCTCCGCGGCTCGTCTCCGCTGTCGCAAACCTGCTCAAACCACGTCCAACTGCTCACTGTGTCTGTGCCCCCACTGCCCGCGTTGCCGCAGACGCTACTGTAGTTCGCTAACGTATCCCGCTTCACCCGTGGCCAGACCGTGTTGACGTCATTCAGGATGAGTTTTGCTGCGTTGAGATTTGCCGTCAAGCCGTCTGCTCTGCGAGTTGTACTAGCCTGTTTTGCTGCGGTTTCCGCAATCTCGATTGCAAGAACGATTAAGAATGCAAGCGTCAACGCAACACAGAAGATCAGGGACCGGACTGCGCACACCCAGAAGCTCCACCTGGGGGTATTGCCTGGCTTTCTGAACATGGGCTCATTGTAGTCGCTGCCGTCGGGAAGAACGAGGATTAAAATACTCTTCTGCACAGTCACATACACGAATGCCCAGCAACTTGCGTGGAGCAGCAACACGTCCACGGTGAACAATGTGGGAAGAACTTGTGTCGAAATAGCCGTAAAAAGCGCGGCAAAGGCACCGCAGATGGAAATTGTCACGAGCGGGTATTTCGGCTTGTGGTGGCAGTAGTACGCACTACCTTTGAAGGAACCTGCTGGAGATTTCGCATTCGCTCCTGTAATTTCCGGAAGTGATGCTTCGGAGGCAGTCTTGACCGGGCGCCTGTTGCTTCCGGTCGGAGTAGTGCCCCGTTTCCCGCCGTCGCGCGCCATCGTGTATCGAATAACAAGCGTCACAAGAAAAACGACTTACTCAAGGTCCAGAACTGCGAAGCAATACCGGCGACATATACTAACTTGTGTTTAACTTTATTACTTGTCCAGTATGCATGCGAGTCAGTGAAGATTATAACCGTACGTGTATTAGTATCACCGCTCAAAGGCAGTATTGCAGTGCAGCTATGAAACCCGCACGGGGGGCGGGGACCTGAAGGAGGTGAAGGCAACAGAAGTTCCGAATCTCTTGCAGATCCACATCGAAAGCAACATGCTGCGCCAGGCAGGGCAAGTACAAGAGCCAATCTTTACTTGTCTCCCGAGTAGGCCGCACAGCGAGGTTTTGTTTTGTATTTTTTTTCGGTTTCCTTTTCAGCTACATGGCATTTTTCTTCGATTTTCTTGTTCGCCGAAATTGTTCCATCTACTGCCCTTTCTCGGAGTCACGACACGCTCCAACTGCTATTGATACTGTAAAAGTTGATTGTAGGATTGTACTTGTAAGCAAAAGGTATTGTTTTCAGATGAATCAGACTGCTAGGTTCTTACAAAAATTCGGTTCGTCGCGTATTAAACTTAAATCGCAAGTTGAAGTTCTTAATTCCGGACGTTCTTCATCGCGGTTGCGACCAGGCGGTCGGTAAAATGGTGGTAGCCCGTTCGTTGTGTACATTTGTGGGATCTACTCTTCGCGGACGAGGGGTGTGTAGTACTTTTGTCAAAGCTCTGCCTCTGCTCCTTCTTGTCCCTAACCGCATTTCCACACAAGAAAGCTCATGTGAGCAATGTTGAACTGGACGTACCTAATTTTTTTGTTGCAGAAGGGTAGAGTAGTACGTAGACAAAACCAACTACCAATAATAGCCGCGTCCGCGGAGGTAGTGAGGTCACGGCGGTCTTTTTGTCTTCACACCAAAAAAGACGCAGCTTCTCTGCCCGCCATGCCATCGTGAGCAATGTTATGCACGACGGCACGGCGGTGGCGGTCGCTAAGAATCTCACTCCAGAGCTGGCCTCCATTTGGTTTCAATCGAAAAACCTTCCCCGCATGCTATGGCCCCGCCAGGGCCCGCGCCAGGGACGGACCCTTGGGAGCCCCAAATCGGGCCCATAGCATGCGGATTGGCTTTTTGCTTTTGGCGGACTTTGTTTTTTTGTTTTTTTTTTGGCAAAATGCCGCATCTTCTGGCCTTCAGTCCGCCTCTGAAATGGCGGATTTTGGTGGCGTCTTTTGCGAGGCCCGAATGTGGGCCAAAATGAGGCCCATACTATGCGGATCCGCTGTTTTTTTCGGAGTGCTGCTTTTTGGGCGCCCCTTTTTGGGCGCCCCAAATCGCCAGAAACCAAGGCGGCGGGCGCCTCAGAAGGGCGCCCCTTTTGCCGGCTCCCCTGCGTCGTTTTATCAAGTGCGAATCGATAGTTTTCGACCGGGCTTGTTTGCTATCAAAGCCCCGGCCGCTTGATAATTGAAAATCTTTTTTGTCAAAAAACACTTCCGGCCGTTTGAAAACTGCCGGTCGTTTTGCATAAGAGCTGTCAAAAAGATCGCTAGATTAGAACGTTCGTGACCTCACTACATATAACCAATTTTGTGCTTCCGGGCAGGGATTTGGAAATGTTCCTCGTCGTCAAGCGATGATAGTTCGCTAGTGCAAGATGATGAACTAACTACACATCTTCACAATGACAATCTTCACGACGTATATAAAAATCCCCATACCTTTTTGTCTCGTGCGTAATGTAGGACCCGAACGTTTTTCCTACGATTACGTTCCAAGATGGTGTGTACGCTGCGTCCACATGCTTCTTCAGTCTGTCAGCGATGTCTCGCTCTGTTCGGCACCTGAAGATCAAGAAGTTTGGTGTGCTTTTCTCGTGGTGGAGGAATCAAAACCTGCACCAGCAAACTTAAAATTTTAATTGCGGTGTAAGTTAAAGAAGCCATAGGTGACAAAGAAAGTGGAAGCATGAGAAAAAGCTGTACTCCTGCATGATCTTGACTGATGTGTCAAGAATGTCCTCGATCATGTTGACAGGCATTTCCTGGTTTTTGATTACCGCCTTCAGGTACTTCTTCTCTGGGTCCGTCATCTTTGCAACGACCCCGTGAGAAGATTTTTACAACTTGGTCTCTACCTTTTTGCTTTCCGTTTCCCTATCATGGACGAGCACGAGATTCAGTTTCCTTTATTCGAGTGGTAGAACAGAACAATTTAAACTTTTGCTAAGAAGTGCTTCGTCAAAAAATGCAACGTAGTTACGTGCGGACGTCAACGAAATGAGAACCCTCTCGCTCGACAAACTGCTCTCGTGATCCATTCAAATCTTTCTCTCAGAAAAGCAATACAACAAACGAGAAAGTCGACTCAATTTCAAGAAAACGAAAGTGAACAGAGTTCGACGACGAGCGAAACAATTCCTCGGTCTCATCGTTCCTCCACACGCTATCTGATCTTCGCTTTGCTTTTCTTTTTTCTGTGAGTGTGATGTTCAAATTATACAGTGTTGGTATTCGTATTCCCAGGCATGCGCGCGTGATGCCAAACTTGTTTCTCTAGATTTCAGGGTTTTTGTTTTTTCATCATGAGTATATTCTTTTATCAAATCTTCCTTGCAACATCCATCGCTTTGCGGATGTTAACGAGGGATAGGGATTGTATCCTTTGCTTAAATTTCTCTTTCTGAATCTGATAGCTTTACTGATGCAAATATTACTGCGTTGTGTGATTTTGTTTTTCAAGGATAATCAAGCGGGTCTGCGTCCGACTTATTGTCATTAATTCGAAGTGGAAGGAATAGTAAATAGAAGTCCCGTTGTTCTTCCACGAGACTACACATGAAGAAGTGAAAAGTGTAAACCTCCAGCGCTACTAGATTACAGAAGAAGTAGCAACAAGTGCGAGGAACGGAAGATTAGTGTGCATTTTTGTTCGAAGGAAGTAGTCATATGCAGAATCTGTCGCCTTTTTAGGGCTGAAAAAAAATTGCGCATATGAAAAAGGCAAACGGAATAAATGCCGACTTTCGCTTCATAGTGCTTGCGTCATCAGTTATACCGACGAAGCTCCGACCGTAAGTCGTTCGCGCGAGACTGCATTCGGTTGAGGTGCGCGGCCATGTCGCTATCGGCGACGATGGGGTACCGCTGTTCACCCACGACGTGCCGGAGATGCTCGTTTTCACGCACCATGGAATCCAGCCTGGAGAGGAGTGTTTTATCTTTATCACTTTGATTTCATCAATGATGTCTCGGATATCTTACATCACGTGAAGCTGCTAAGTGAAAAATTCATGGCAATTGTAAACACGAGGGGACATCATCTTCAATCACGCAGTGCACTTCTACTTCTCAAATTCGTCCTTGAATTATACCTTTGTTTGCTCCTCTCAGCTTCGCATTTGAACTTGACATCCAGCGCACTGAGGTGCGATTCATACTCTGTCATCAGCCTGTTGGTGACGCGCTCGGTTTCACCCAAGCGCCGAGCCAATCCGGTTCGCGCATCTTCCATCTCCATCTGAAGCTTTTTCTTCTCGGAGTCGGACCTGATAAGTTCGGCGTGTTGCATACGCTCAACACACTAAGATTTTGAAAACGAAAACCGGGCAAAAACAAAGAGGAAAAATAAACTCCAGCTCCTAGAAAAAAAGCAATGAGCTGTTGATTCTGCAGGTGTCAAGATATCGCAGGTGCATAGTGTTGATCAAGTAGGTGTAGAGTGCAAAAAAAAACACTTGTGCTACCACATATTCATATTGATATTTTGTACTTTCGGTTGTTGTCCTGCAATTGTTTCATTGCATGTTGGTATTGCGATTCCGCTTCGGTAATCACCGCTTTCGCCGCTTTCCTGTCGTCCTCGAAGCGTTGCCTAGCATCCAGATGTGCCTCTTTTCTGTCCTTCAGCATCCCGCGCTCCTTCTCGCAAGCCGCGCCGGACTCGTCTTGCAGTTCGTGCAACCGGGCGACTTCCGTTTCCATTGATTCCAGCTGCTTGGCGGAGCTCTTCACGCTGGCTTGCAAAGTGCTGATCTCCATTTTGGCGCGGTCCTGGAGCTCCAAAAGCTCGCGCTCGAGGCTCGAAATCTTCTGGTTCGGCGCCTCGGCCCATTTCTGTTAATTTGATACGAAAGCTGGTGCACATGCTCCTTTCTATTCTGCTGCTGGTAGCTCCTAATTACAACGGATGCAGTTCTTGGGAACCAACAGCTCCTGGTAGCCCCAGAAACCGTCAAACAAATTCAAAAATATAATTCGTGCGAAGTCAACATTCGTTGTTCTCCTTCTCAAACAACGACCAACAAACTGCCAACCCGTATTATACTTGGAACGTAAGTGCCTGTTCCTCCCGCACTCTCTGAAAGTTCTCGTAGAGTTGCTGGGCGTCACGGCGCTCTTGCAGCAGTGTGTTTTCGTAGCTGGCTCGCTCGTCCTCGGCTAGCCTTACCGTGTTCTGGTACGCCTTCTCGAGCTCGTGCTGCGCTTCCAGCTGCCGCGCGATCAGGTTCGCTTCCTCGCGCTTGATCCGTGCAAGATCGTTGGTGCCGGTCCTAATGATATTTTATTGGGAGAATAACATCGCGAGGACCACGGTAAGGAATATTTAATCGTGATGGTCATATTGCAGTGAAGCAGCTAAACAAAAGCCGAGAGTGACAACATAATACATAGGATACAGAACACATTCGACGAACAGTTTCGCAAACGGTTGTAACGGAGGTTCTTCTATAAACACAAATACTTCAGATCTTCCTTCGTCTTCAGCAGATCTGTCTCCGCGTCCCGCGTCTTTGAGCCGAGCTGGTCCATGTAAAATTTTTTTTCCCGTAGGTTTTCCTTGCTCACCGTCAGGAACTCGTCGTAGGCCTCTTGCTGGTGCTTCATGCTCTGCTCTATGCAATACAAATTTCCTGCATATGTACAAGACGCATCAGAAATCTCAGCAATTTCGAGTGTCAAACTTGTCATGCTAAACTACGATCGGAGCCAAGTTTTGTCATGCACAGACCGCATTTGTACGTGTACGGCAAATTTGCTGTGGATATGTTCCAGGGACTGCCGCTTCTGGATCAAATCGTTCATGTGCTCCTCTGCGGCAAGTTTCTCCTTCTCCCAGGTGCTCTTGGCCTCCTTGCACTCATCTGTCATAAATGTGTTTAAGTCAATAGTAGACCCTCGCCTCAAGAAAGATGTAGAATGAGGGTATCTCGGTGCAATTCGTGACTTTGATACTTAACTTATGAGTTTCAGCAGTGGTCTTTCTCAAAAATAAAACGTGAAGTAGAAACAAACAGAACGTAAATACTTTCCAGTGCCTTCAGGTCTGTGCTGGCCAGTTCGTGCTGACTCTGCCAATACGCGACGTCTCTCTGCATGTTTGTGGACTCCACCTGCAACTTGTCACAGGCATGCCTCGCCTCGTCCACGTCCCCGTACCTGGTTGCCACAGAACTTTCGAGATTCCGCACCTGTTGCTCCATGTATGCCACATTTTGCTCGTGGGACTGCTTCAGATCGCGGATTTTCGTTTCAAAAGTGTCTTTTAAAACTTGCTGGTCCCGTTCGTTTTGCTGTTGCGCACTCACTGTGCATTGCAAAAGTATCGCACTCGACTCGTACTAATTGCATTTATGCATGACAAATCTTAAGGCAAATCCGCATTACAAGTTCAATTTGTAATGCTGAGCCAATTTGTATTGCAATTACTACTACTAGTAGGATGCTTTTGCATTGCATACTCACCCGCGCTTCCTCCATCTGCTCGCGAAGTCGCTCATTCCCCGCGACGGCGTCAGACAGCGCCTGGTCGGACTCCCGGATGTCGTTGCGGTGCTGTTTCTCCGATTCAAAGAGCGTTTGCCTGTCTTCCTCCAATCGGGCGTTGGCCGCGTCGAGCTGGACACAATGCCTGCGCGCGGTCTCTATCATACCGGTGAGAGAAGCCTGATGTAGTTTCAATTTGAATTTGCATAGTTCATCCACCCGAGCAGCTTGAATTTTTATGGTCTTGGTCGTCACGGAACAAAATTATTTGGCATTGCAAAGCCCCTCGACGAGCATCAGCTGAAACAAAGCAAAAGTCAATACTTTTTTTCTCTCCAGTTCCTCGCACTCCCCATGGAGTATCCGCCTCTGCTCCTCGAAGTCTTCTCTGTTCACTGCTCTTTGCTTATCCAGTTCTTGGATTTCGTACTGCACCCGGAGCTATGAATTGCAAATATGTCTGGGTCTGGAAGGTGGTAACTTGTCATGGTAAATCTGAACCTGAAGCATACAAAAATCTGTGTTGCATGAGTGCCAAAAGCTGTCCACCTTCGACCAAGTTGGAAGGGAGTTTCTCATGCAGGATAGACATGGCGGAGACCTCGCAGAGTCTGTCATGCTAAGTGCCGCATTCCAAACCTCATGGGTCATGGAAAATCTGCATGACAAGTGTACACTCTTCCAGACCCAGACATTTTTGCACTTGATAGGAGCATGTCCTCGTCCATTTTCTTGACCAAGTCGTCCTTTTCCTTCACCAGGCTGTTGTACTTCGCGGACCAGTGCTCGCCGTCCTTCTCTCGGAGTTCCTTTTTCGCCTGCAACTCGATCCCGACCTTGTGCACCATGTCATTCAGGCGGGTTACCTCTTCCGTCCTTTTTGTTGCGAGGTTGTGCAGCTGGTCGGAGAAGACGCGCATGGCCTTCCGCAAATCCTGACCCACGTGGTCCGCCATATTGCGCATGTCCTCCTTAATCTCCCCCTGGACCGTGCGCAGCGTGCCAGCGTCGGCCGCGTGCTGCTTTAACCTGACAGATCGATGAATAGCGATGCCCTGGGGCTCACACCTAGTGCAGCTGGTTCGCTGCTGTTCACTAGTCGAATACGAATGCACAGAAAAGAAATTATACGGTCTACCTCACAGTACCTGTTCACGCAGTAGCTGAGTTGGTCGGTCAGCTGCGTTTTCATGTGGTCGAACTTCTCTTCCTGGAGCTTCGACAAGTCGTCTAACTTCGTGCCTATTTCTTGTCTCCAGCCCTCTTGTTCCTTATCGAACTGGTTCTTCATGTACTCCAGCTTTTCCTCGTCCAGGATGCGCTGACTGACGAGTTGCGACACTTCTTCCTGCTGATACTGCAACTGGTCGACGAGTCTCTTGTTCGTGTTCTTCACGGTATTCAGCGTCTGCGCCAGCTCATCGTTGGCGTGGGCGACGCGCAACATGTTTTCGTTGTAGGACTGACACCTTTTCTGCGTTTCAACTAAAGAGGTCCGGAGCACCTCGTAGCTTCGCTGTTGCGCATCCCGGTGCGGGTCGCCCGAACTGCTGGACGCCGATTTGATCTGCCGCAGCTCGGCCTCGGAGAGCGCGCACCGGCCCTTTATCTCCTGGTCAAAGGTCTTCACGCTGTTCTTCAAGCGGTCAAATGTGTCCGAGGACCAGTTCCCGTGCATCAGCGAACCTGATTTTTTTCGTTTTTATCCTAATCCTGCGTCTAGTTGCGAACTCGTAGCAGAAAACATGGCCTATGCCCAGAAAAAGAATACTTGTTTAGTGAGCGGATAAACAAGATGTCTATGTGCGCTTGCATCAAACCACAAGAAGTACTTAGTTGCCGCATGTGCAGTTCGACTATTCTTCGCAGCTGCGCGGCATCCATTTTGTAGCTCTCCTTTTCACTGCTCTCCTGCGATATCCGCTGGTGCATCCTTTGGAGGCCCTCCTCCAGGCTGCCAGCGTCTACTGCCATCATCTTGACTACAGCCAAAGTGGTGCAAGCTGAGCGGTGTGATGAATGTGTTGGCTCCTACCACGCCCGAAAGATGCGTCGGCCCACCGGGCTCGTGGTGCCGTCGAGGACAACGCAGTGACGACTGGCTGGACAAGAAGATGTCGTCGTTTCGTTCCTCAAATTCAACAAAAAGCAAATAAACTAGCGTGCTCTTTTTTGTATCTTCTATGTGCTCATCTTTCCCGTAGCTACGCAGTTTAAGTAGACTTCAACATTCAGCTGAAAGAGGCAGCTGGAGGAAAGCGCGCCAGTTTGCACGACGGACCAGCAATCAGCGTTGGGAGATGTTGGAATGCTAACCCAAGGTGAATTTATTTTCCAAGAATATTACACCAGGTGGGAGTTGAAAAATTTTCTTTTTTCGAATCAATTGGATTCAACCCAGCCCCTGTGATGTGCATTGAACATAGCGTGTCAAATTTCCTAAAAGCAAGCACTGCTCCTGCCGTGCGAACGAGCCGAGAACTACATTATAGTGGATGCTGCTACACTACACGGATCTTGCAAACAACTAGCTCCGGCTCTCAGCAAAAAACTAGAAGTCATCGAAAGAAAGAACCGAAGGCTATGATTTCAGGGGCAGCCTAAGGCCACTCGGCCAAAAAAAACGACCGATATTACGAAACACAAGCACTACACTCCAGAAGCAATTTTTCCTTCCCCTCACATTGAAGTTCTCAAGTACGCGCTCCATTTGTCTTCTGGCTCTACATTCCATTGCACATGCGCATTTGACTGCGCATTTTACAACCGGGAAATGAAAGGATCGCTGTACTCCGCTGGAGGTCTATCGCCGAACACAGGAAGAAAATAGAGCACCACGACATTCAGGTGGTACTATCGGCAGCCCGCCGTCGGGTGTAGCACTTTTGTATACAACCGTCTCTCACCTCCAAGAACCAGGAAAAAAGGTCTACGAAAGTTCTACTCGACGTGTCTGGGTCGGTCCCCAAATGGTAGAAGGGGAAAGCAGCCAGGCCCAGGACCTCCCCCCTGGCTTTCCCCTTGAATACCAGCCCCTTGGAGTTTGTGTGAGAAAGTAGAGCAGCTCAACCAGGACGTGCCCAACGAGGACCCAACCTTGTCGGTATAAAAGCACACTGGTGCGGATCCGGGTGAAACCAAAAATTTTCCCCATTCAAGTGGATGTCGTTAATTGTCGTGGAGTTAACTTTGATGAATGTATGTTGTATGTGTATCTTTTATGATGGTGCTGGCTACCAGCGCAGTGCTGAGCGACTCGCAACCACGAGTGGCCGGTGAATACCATTGGCAAAAACAAACAAGATGTCAAAGATGAAAATAAATAACGAATAAGGAAAACGTAGAGCTCAGCCTCTTTGTCGCGTAGAAGCAAAAGCAATAGCATGCGGCGCATTCTGTGCACTATGTCTTCTTCAGGGTCTACTTTTGCATATCCAAATCGGCGTAGGAAAATATCCAAGGAAGTCTAGACTCCCTAAAAAGTAGTGAGGCTTTAGTAAGTTTATCACTCAAAGACAAAGATTTTCATCACCATTCTCATTGTACAATAGTCAAATTCCGCAAACCTATACTCGTCAGATACAACTCGTAGATGTTGAACTCGTACTCGTAGATGTTGAACATTTTTATTTTTTGCTTTTGGCCAAAACAAGAAGAATAAGTTTATTCGCAGCTGCCTCCGCCGCAGTTCGGCTCCGGATTCTTGAACATTTGTTCTACCTGGATCGCCAAGTCCTTCCGGGCCTGCATCGCGTCGATCTCCGCTTGGCTCGTGACGTACTTGTGCCCTCTTTTCAGCGGCCGGATCAGTTGCCGGTAGAGCAACCCGTTGAAGTTTCCGTCCGCCAGCCGCTCGTTGATGCAGCCGGAAAAGCTCTGGCCGGTCTTCGGGTATGAACTGCAAAAGTATCGCACTCGTAGTAAATTGCATTTATGCATTACAAATCTCTTTCTCAAGCCAAATCAGCATTACAAATTCAATTTGTAATGCTGGGCTAATTTGCAATGCTGGGCTAATTTGTAATGCATACGAGTACGATACTTTTGCAATTCATATCGGGTGCTTGCCGGTGATTTTCACCAGGTCGAAGGTGCGGGGCTGCTCGTACTGCGTGTTCAAATAGAACCAGGCCCAGGGGTTCGGGTACTCGAAAAAACCGCCCAGTGCCGGCATGATGTAGTTCACCAGGGCGGACAACCAGTAGAAGGACTGGTCGTCGTACAAAACCCACCCAGTCGTCACCCCGACGAACCAGTAGATCATCATATTTGCCCGGTGCAGCGTGTACTGGAAGTTCAATTGTCGTTTGTTGTTTTCCGGCCCGTTCACGCAGAACAGCAGGTAGCTGGCGTAGTACGCCTTCAGGTACTCCTCCGGATGGACGGCGTTCAGCGCCGTGTTCTCGCAGTGCCGCTCCCGCACCCGGTTCATGTACCGCGCGTGCATCAGGTCCAAGTCCTTCGTACCATCCGGCAGCGGCTTCCAGAACGCGTAGTACAACTCGCTGTGCCAGAGGGTCAAGTAGTAGCTCTGCGGCGGCGCCGCGATGAACCAGTTCTCCGGCTGCGAAACGAACGGACGGAGCCCGCGATCGGCATTCTCAATGATGTGGTGCATGGTGATGTGCGTCTGACCGGACCCTTGGTAATCCAACTTGCCCCCGTCGTGAATGGAAAGCGGCAACCGGGACGGGGCAAGATTCTCCACCTGAATAATGGTTGTGTGTTTCATTTTTATTTTTTGTGAAGAGCTGTATCGATTCGGTTCAAAAATATTTCAACTCAATGCGATATTACACGGCCTACATAGAAAGAGCCCGGAAAGCACTTCTCAAACTACTTCACGGCTTATCGATTCACATTGCGAGGTGAATGAGTTAAGCGAGCAAACTGATGCTTGTCCAACAAGACCCTCACGTTGTACCAGTACCTCATATTCCTTCAGATCGTTGTTGAGAATGGTGGTGACATCGAGGTAGACGCCACCGTAGCGCTGCAACACAGCGACCCGCGCCCGGTCCCCTTTGTGCTGATTCGAATAGTTCGGTTTCCCCGGGGCGTCCACGTCGGTCTCCTCGCAGGGCGGCGTGGGCGGCAGCTGCTGGTACTCGGTCGCGGGCCGCATCGCCACGCCGTACTCGTCCGGGGAAAAGTTCGCGGCCATCCAGGCGGCGTCGATTTTGTTGACTTTCCACCCCTTCTATCAAAAGTAAAAGTGTCTGGGTCTGGAAACTTGTGATGCTGGGTGGCGTCTCATGATGACGCTACAAATGCTGGCTCAGCATGACAAGTTTCTGAGCTCCTAGGTGTTGCCTATTCTGCATGACAAGCTGCGCTTCTGCATCACAGAAAAACGGAGCTCTTGGGTAACGTGCATGACAGATCTAAGAGTCATGCCAGACAAGCATGACAAACATGAATTCTTCCAGACCCAGACATTTTTACAGTTGATACCTTCACTTCCGGGTGCAGATGCTCCAACTTCGCGACACACAGCCGGATGAAGTACTGCGTCTCGTTCAGCTTGTCCCAGCCCTGGTTCCAGTACAGCCAGATTTTCCGCGGCACCCAGTTGTTCCTTCGGTGAATCTCGATCAACTCCCCCGCAGTGTAGTTGGCGTAGTTGTAGCTCGCTGTCGGATCCGCCTGCGACAGCCAGGCGGGTTTAGACGGGTCCTGCTGGACCGCCGCCGGGTCGTAGGGTTTGCCCGCGACTTCGTCGTTGCTGTACCACCGGCCCTCCGCCGAGCCGTCCATCTGCATGTTCGCAAACCACGTCACCGCCATGGGACTCGCGGTGGAGTTCAAAAGATCCTTCAGTCCCCCCTGCGCCCCGTCCGCGCGGTGGCCGCCGGAGGCCCAGGCAATGTTGGCGGACAAGGACCAAATCATGAAAAAAACGGTGAGAGCTGTGTAGACAAACACCGTAAATTTCGGGCAGGAGACGCAGCAATCCAAGAAGCTGCACACCGGGCAGCACAAACGGCAACAGCAGCTGCGGTCCCGGGCGAGGAGGTCTTTCTTGTACAACTTCTCTTTTCTCAGCAAATCCTCATCTTCGTCGAGTCGCGGTACGGTGGCACGCGATTGGTAGTAGAAGGCTTGCTGCTGCTCCGCCGCGGAGGTGCGAATCGGGGTTTGTACCAGGTCGACCTTCCGGTACTTTGCCAAATCCCGTTTCCCTTCCGCAGACGTGATGTCGTAGCCGCGCATGATCAACTCCCGGTCCGTATACCCCGCGAAGGGCCGGATGAAGCCGAGAATGAGGAACCAACAGAGCGGCAGAACGATCAGCATCGCCCCGCGGCTCGCGTCCGCCCAGAAGTACACATTGTAGCCGGAGAGGAAAAACGGGTAGCTTTGCGTGACCACGCCCAGAATGAAAACAACGGCCGCGAGGACGAACCATACCCACCGGGTTTTGAAATTGTACTTGAATCGGTCGCTCATAGTCGTCAGCATTTGGTAGTCGCGCTCGGGCACCGGTGGCACGTAGAGACTCTCGGGAGGGATAGCAGGGTCGTTGGACTGCAATTGCGTGCCGCCGTAGGTCGGGGAATTTGGAGGCAGGCTGACGGACAAGTATTGGGACTCCAGCATTCCCTCGGAAGCTAGCTTGCTGTACTCCTCGAACTCGCGGTCGTCTAACGCGGGCTCGCCCGCGGCGTTTAACATCTGCTGTCGCGAATTCCGCCGTCGAGAGGAGCCCGGTTGCCCGCCACTCTTGCCGCTACCCTTCGAGGAGGGTTGTGGGGCCATCTGAGGACTGTTGTTCCCCCGCATAGAATACGAAGCGTGATCCACCATGGTGGACGATGCAGGAGTGGGAGACTGGTGATCCTGAAGATGCTGATGCTACTAATATGTGGTAAAAAGCACGACAAGCATCGTCTACTTCAATTCATTCTCTCAAAGTCAAAACACTTACACTTCCGTACAATGAAATGAATTACAATTATGGATCGGTGGTATGGATGAAAAAAATAACTTCGTGAACGGTCATAATAAACATCGAGGAAGAGCAAAGCCGTCCTGATTTTTTTCACGGAGACAGTGAGAATAGGCATAGCAACATCCATTCTGAGTTCTTAGGGAAAATACTTTCCGCTTTCGTTGTGTACTTGATGAACTAGTACAGGCGGTGCTGTTGGTCCTAGCTTTATTTACAACTAGGTCCGCCGTTGCCCTTTTTCTTTTCATCGTTCACGACCGAAAGGTACTTCAACAGCGACAGCCGAGCCGACAAATATTCCTGTGAATATCCACAACATTTTCTTGCGCACTACAGATCGCTTGATGAGGAAACAACCGAAGTGGAACTGTCAAGTACATTCAGCTAGGCTTCCGAGGATGCGGTATTGTTTTGGCAACATAAAGCAAACCGACATTGACACTTTTCGTCAATAGAAGAACGACCGATTATATCACACAGGCTGGCCAGGTATTGCTACAGGAATTGAAATACTCTTTGCAGTAGTAAACAGGTATAGTGCCAGCAGTACCTGCAAGCAACTGAAAAGAATTGATTTCAGCAGCGCCAGCGGTGTCCCCGTGGAGGACACACGCACACACCAGCAGCCGTGAAGAATATAAATTTATTGATTTCGTGTACTTCTGAAGCGAAAGCCCCGCAGAAGCAGATGAATGCAGAGGCAATGACTCATCGAAGATGAAGTTGCTCGAGCGACATCCGCATCCTCACAAGGACAACACAACCACAAGAGAAAATGAAAACTAGATCAAAATGAAGTGATTCCTTTTGCAGCCAGTCATTGTTGTTCTCGTTCACAGCAGCTACCAGAGCTATCTTTTGCAAAACAGCAGCGGTTGCATCATTTTTTTTTACAGTTCTTAATCCTAATTCGACTAATCTTGCAATTACATGGCTTTATTCCCAAATTCAAAACCGTTTGTGAAATAATACGACGAACTTGCTACAGAAGGAGCAGCAAATGGAAAATTATGAGAGTAAAATATCGTCTCCCTGCTCAGTCGAGCAGTGCTTCGGGCTCGAGCTCATCCCGCCGCGACGCCTGCCCAGGAGATGAAGTAGCACTCTTAGTAGAAATGACTTTCCCGCCTGCTCCATCTAGAGCATCTTCTTGCGGAGAGGTCGCACGGCTGCTCTTGATGACGTTCCGTGCGCTTCTGGTGTCGGCGTCGTCCTTGTTCCTACTGTTACAATTCATGTACGAGCTGCAGAACTGCTTCGAAGGCCAAGGATGGGAAGACGGTAAAACAACCGACGGCGTGCTGGTCCCTGAAAGAGCTGTAGAAGAAGGGGTGTCAGTTCTTGTAGCAGTTGCTCGTGCAGCCTCAAAAGCGTAATACGAGCTGGCGGCGGGTTCAGTTGTTTTATTTATTTCCTGACTCTCCTCCGTGAATGTGATCTCGCCATTACGATGTGGGCCGGCCGACTCGGACCCACGCCCGGACAGAAGAGTTGCGGGAGTTGGTACAGCGACAGCACTGGGGCCCGTCACTTCCCCTTGATTTTCTTTCGTCTCTTTCTTCTCCGCTGTTGGTGCATGCGCAAGGGCTGCTTCGCGCACAGCGAAAAAGACCGCGCCTGATGCAGCTAAATGTTCGGGTCCGGGAGGTTCTTGCCTACCTGTACTTAGCGCGACGTCTACTCCAGCTTCTTGTTGTTTTTGCCTTTTTTCCTGTTCTTCGAGCTCCTGTTTTTGTGCTTTTCTGAGCTTCATTCTCTGGTTCTTTGACATAGTGACACCTTCTTGGGAGGATGTTGCAGCGCGCGCAGCAGCAGCTTGGCGACAGTCCGTTTTTCCGCACTTGTCACACGCGCCCGTCGCCGCTGCGCAGTCCTTCTTTGCTACTTCCAACGCTTTGGTCACGTCAACCCCGCCCAAGATTTGTGGCCACGACATCTTGCACAAATGCTCCCGCACGCCACCAGGTGGGCGTATCACCGTGCACCACAAGGCCATAATCAGGTGCGCGCCCAGCGCCAAGCTGGCCTCAATGGGCACCAGCGCGGTCGGGTGGAGATAGTACCTTTCATTCTCGATCATGAATTTGTGCACTTCCTCCTGCGTCTTGATCCGGTCCACAAACACGAACGCAATCGCCGCACTGCACAGCACCCAGGCCGCGGCGGACCGGTAGCACAGCTGGTTGGAATCCCGGGCCGGGATGAAAATCTCGTGCATCGCGGTCTGCTGCAGATAGGTGAATGTCCCCACGCAGCAGAGTTTGGGGACCGGCGTGCTTTCCAGGAAAAAGTTTCCCATTTTGTAGCCGCACCCGTGCGTGCAGGCGGCAAACACCGCGCAGGTAAAGGCCACGGCGTTGAACTTTCGGAAACTGTCGTACGCAAGCGCGTCCCACTTCTTGGCCGGCGGCCACTGCCAAAACACGTCGTCCTGCCAAAGTTCTTTAACGGACGCTGCGACGAGTTGGGCGAGATTTTTTGTCGACTGGCAGACTTCCTGTGTGCGTTTTCCAAGGTAGGGGACGAATTCCTGGCAGATTTCATTCCGAATGAAATCGTAAAACTCATCCTGCATCGTAGCTGCGTGTTGGTACAGGTCCCGCCACTCTTCTCGGCTCGCTTCTAGATACTTTCGCGAACCAATCGCCATCTTTTTGAATCCGGCACAAAGATCGTTCAAGGTCGTCGAGTTTTGCGGTGTTGGCTGCTCCGCTGCTTTCCTGCAACTCTTGTTCTCCCGCATCGCCGCTGCCAGTAGTTCGTCATCGTCAGCATGATCATGCAAACTTCCTTCATCTGTGGGCGTTTTTTGCCGCACAAACCTGTTCTTGGCAGTCGTGTTGGAAGATGACTTCTGGTCTCCTTTTCTAGTGCCAGCCATTGCATTCGGCGAGGAGCGACCCGGCGTCTTGGTCTTACAGCTGCCACTCGCTGGGGACGGAGTTGTACATTCACTTTTGTTATCCCTGGGACCGCCCCCACCTCCAGGACTTGAAAGACCGACAGAACAGGAACTCAGAGGCGTGCAGCTGCCTGGCCGTGTGCTTCGGCTACTTCCGCCAGAGATTGTGGAGTCCCTGTCCCTTTCGTGGTCCACATCGCAGGAGGCTGAAGCAGCTTTCGAACGAAGAATCTTTCCTGCTATTGCGCTTGGAGGAAGAATATCATCTTTTGGCGAAATGGAATCTACGGGCGACGCGCACAGAGATGGTGGATCCTCGCCATCTTCGGCGGTTTCAGCAGCAGTGGCAAGCATGGCACTTGCTAACCCTTCTACCAGACTGAGATCCACCTGCTCAAATTTTCGCATTGCTTGGTCCGCGAGGTCCTGCAAATCCAGGTTCTGCAGATCTTCGCAAAGTTGCAGCTCGGCCTCCACCGCGGTCGTGTCGGAGAGCGGTCGCTGCTCGCTGCTGGCAGACGATCCTCCATAGGACACTGTGCGCTTCAGGCCGGACTTCAACAGTAGACTCGGAGGACTGCTGGTGTTCCTGCAGGGCGTTTCGTTTGCAGCGTGGTCAGCTTCTGGAACCGCTTCAAAGGATGAAGCAGAGGATGCAGGAACTCGCTGTCTTTTGGCCAGAGCTCCCTCCACTTGCGATAATACGCCGGTGATCAGTGCCTGCGAACAATCGATTTCCGTTGTATTCGAACCAAAACGCCTACGCCTGCGGTATAACAGAATCCAAGCAGAAGTACTCAACATGATCATATTGATTCACATTTTCAGGTCTCCCGGTCGCTACCAAGAAGAAGCGAAGCACAGGTCGAGTATAAAAGATTGACTGAGGTTTTAATATTACCTCGAGTTCTTCTTGACAAGGGCCTGCAAACGATCCCGCCCCACGCTGCTTCTTTTTTCCTGCTCCAGTCGGACTTCCTTGCTGTTGTTTTGCATTTCCAACCATCTGGGCTCTTGCTCGCGTCACGATGTCCTTTAGTTCTTCGCATAGCTTCTCTGTGTTTTTCGTTTGCAATTTGCAGCTCTGCTGTGCCTCCTTCCGCTGTTTCTCCGCCTCCTTGGTGCGGTTCTCAAGCAATGCGATCTTTTTCGCCTGCGAGCCCACCTGCCCCTGCAACCCCTTCAACAAGTCCTTGCCCTCCTTCAGAGTCGCCCGCTGCTGCTCTTGCATTTGCTTCTGCAGTTCTGCCGTTTTCGTCCGGTATTGGCGCTCCAAATTGAGTTTCTCCTCGAAAAGTCTCTTCTTCTCCAGTTCCGCCTGCGACAGCTTCTCCGACGCCTCCCGCTCCTGGTTATCCAGCGCAATTTTAAACGTCCGCTCCCGCTCCGCGTGTCGCAGCTTCGAGTGCTCCTTCGCCTGGCTCTTGGCGTTCTTCATCTCTTCTATTTCCGTTTCGAGCGACGCCATACGCCGCTCGCACTCTCTTTTACTGATGGTGTGGTGATCCAACTGTGCGCGGAGAGCCTTGGCCTCTTCCTGTTTTTGGTGGAGCTGGGCAGAGGTGGAGGCCAGCTGCATGACTACCTGTATCGGCTGGATCACGTGGCCTCGTTCTTCGTTCCACCGATCCAGTTCCGCGTCGTCATCGACGGGAGCGTTTAATACCACTCCACCGCCGGGTTGCGCGTGAGTAGCGCCCAGGCGCGGCGGTGCTTCGGGTGCGTGCCACATGCGCACGCCAGTGGTTGTAGTGGAGAAACATAGAACAAACCACAGAGGGCATATTACTGACAAGCCGACAAGCTTGTTCATTGCGCCGGTGGAAGTAACCACTTTTGATGTAGTTACTCTTGGGACCATGGGCATGGAGATGCTCTGCATCTGCATTACGGCGTCGGCGCGCCAGTGTATGTTTCGTCCTGCTGCCTCGCTCAAACACATGCACAGCAGGCGGAGGCCGAGGCGTGGCACGCCCACGCGCTTAGCATTAAACCATGATAGGTAAAAGCGGCGATGATGTTCATGTTGTAGTTGTACCGTCTACGTGAAACAGAAACAATAAACAGAAACAAAATAGGTTTGCGCAGTTCTTGTCTGCCAGAAGTGCGCCGGTGCTTTGGTGATCCTTCGACGACCTAACAAAACTACATTCATGATCTGCAAATCATAATCATCTTTTTACTTAGTACCTTCAGCTTATGCACGGCCACGGCCTATCCTTAATTGCTATCTTGAGCTGTTTCGACTGCAATTCAAAAAGAAACGATGACCTGGCACACACAAGACAAAACAGACTTTTCATCGGACAGAATCAGTGGGCAGATCAAAGCACGACCGCGAATTACAAAATACCACATTAATAGCGATAGCGATTTTTTGCGATAAGCGCCTCTAGATACATAGCAAAAAAAAAAACAAAATCGCAGCACTACACAGAAATGCATCAGCCATGATTGACACACGGGATCTTGTGAACTACACTAACAGTGAAAACGTGCTAATGTAAAAAATTTGCACATACAGATCGATGCGACTGCGAACAAGCCATGTACTACGCTGCATCAGTCCGCTGGCGCTGCCGCTTCTCTTTTGTGAGGTAGAAGTTGAAGATGATATTCAAACTCATCATCAGTCGACATAGAAAATGCCGCATAGGGAACAAATGCTGGAATAGTGCGGACCAAGTGCGCGTTTCCTACTTGCATGCGTCTGTTCTTGTCTGCACTCAGAGCCATGTTGAGACCAAAAGTTCTGCTCTGAGAGTAACAAGCAAGAACTCGTGTTGCAGCTGCTAGTGACCGTGATAATCCTACATTTTCTTCTTCATTTTAGCAGATTATTCGTGCTGTCCCGGCCAAGGGCGCGGGAAATCCGATTTTCGTACTGCAACTGGTAGTCCTCGTAGGAGTGGGAGGGTGGGCGCTCTACAAGCACGTTTCGCTGACTCGCGGATGGGGAGTCGGTTCCTGACTTGCGTATTTGCATGTACTCGCGCGCCTGGCTGGTATCGGACAGCCGGGGCTCCGACAGCCGTCTTGGCACTGCGTCGGTCGCCTCAGGACTTCTACTGCCGGGACTGCGGGCGCCTCCGCGGCGGCTCGACCGCGGACGCGGCGACGCGTCCTGCTTCGCGGCGTTTTCCTCCCGCGCCGCCCGTTTTTCTAATGATCCCACCGTCCGGCGCATGCTCTTGTCCATCAAATTCCCACCCGGACCCGTGGTGTCGTCCAGCGCTGTGCTGGATTGCGGACTGCCGGCGCCAGACCTTTTCGTGGACGAAAAGCCATGCTGCGTGGAAGTCGCCGCACCGCCACGCGGGCGCGGGGAGCTGGCGGTGGCGACCTCGGACCGGGCTTGGGACAAAGCGAGCGCGAAATCTTCTTCGTCCTCGTACTCTCCCGCGTCGACTTCGGAGAATCGGACATTCAGCGACTCGATCAAGTTTGGCGGCACTTCCTGGAGGTAGGGAAGCAATTTCAACCCGACGTTTTGGAACAGTAACGTGCAGACCTCGATCGCCAAGTGCCGCACGTCCCACATTTGGTGGTTCAGACCCGTGATCACCAACGGCATCAAATTGGGCACGCTGTAGTTTTTCGACGGGATCAGACTGGGCGGGCCGCATATGCTGACGAGGGAGTGGAGCAGCTCCAGGCGCGCTTCCAACGCGCGCCACGGGAGGTGAACCAGCCTCGGCGTCATTTTCGGGTTGGTCTTGCTTTTGTTCGGGGACCGCGCAGTCGACCGGGACAGAGAGCTGTCCCTCCCCCCCGCCGGCGGCGCGTCTGGATGCGAGACGAGTGCGGAAACCACCGGGGTCGGACCCAGTTGCGTGATGATCGCAGCTAGACAGCTCTCGGTGACGTGGTGCAGCCGGTTGTTGGCATCGCCGAGCAAGTTGGCGATCAAACTTGAACAAGGTTTCTTCAGACAGGCAAGCGCGACCCGCACGGGGATGTCGTCGACAAAGCGGGCGGTGGTCAGCTTTTCCAGAAATTGCACCGCCGCGATTTGGAGTGGGACCTGAGGATAATGACAAGCTCAAGCAGTTGTTGGTAGAGGGGCTCCTATTGATATTTAGGGAGGAGAAGTAGAACAAGAAAACCGAGATTATAACCCGCACGATTATCCCTGGTCACTTCATCACGAAAAGAGTAGTTCAGATTTTCTATACTGGACCTCCGGGAGGGTAACAGTGACACCACCAGGGAAGCCGAAGTACAACGACGAGAAGCGGTGGAGTCAGAATTCAGTAAAGATAGAAGTACCTTCTTCCGCTTGGTGTTTTCCGTGTCCACGGCTGCGAGCACTAGGTCGCAGAGAACGCGAAAAATTCTGGACATGGTGATTGGCCTCTGTTCCCAGTTGCGCGGACTCCCCGACTCGCGGAGCCACGAGGAGGAGAGATTCCGTGGCGCCGGTGGGTATTGATCGGAATTATTTGGGCTCCAACTGAAGGAGTCGCGCCTGGTTTGCGGCGACGACGGTGCAACCAGGTGTCTCTTCGACCGCGCGCTGTTCAAATCACGCACGTACCGCGTGTCCTGTTTCACTTCGAGATCTACCTGCGGATTGTTGTTCTCATTCTCTTCGCCGGGTTTATTGTTCACACTCCTACTGAGCGTAGAAGTGTAACCGGTTCGATTTTTCCTGCTTCCGTCCAGACCGCCGTGCTGTTGTGCATAATAATAATTATCGTCCACCGCTGGGCCGCACTTGTGCGACCCCTCGTCGAGCATGCGCTGCACCAAGGGGTCGAGGTGCGCTGCGAGCGTGGTCAACGCGAACTCCTGCAGACGCCAGTCCTGGGCGAGGAAGGCCGAGCAGAACACGTCGCCAAACACCGGCTGCGCGTCCAACACGGCGCGGCTCGCGCGGGGCGTCACACAGTCCACCACATCCCACTTGATTGGGAAATCTTTGCCCGGGGTCAGCACCAGGTCCTTTATGAAAGCCTCAGAAGGGAAATCCTCAAAGTGGAATAAATAATTTGTGATGCATGAAATGCGACGCAAAAAAGACTGTATTGCAGAGGACGCAACGGAGGCCGACTATTGTCGTCCTCCGGATGAAGAATTGGAGTGCTGCTTAGCACGAGAGAAGGGCACCCCTTTGCCTCAACCTGCATGACAGACATGCTTTAAGTGCCCCGGAAATTTGTCATGCGCCGACTACAAATGGCGCTTCAACTGGAGTCGTTTTTTTGCATTACAAATTATTTCCACTTTGAGGATTTTGAACCTGAGGCTTTCATATCCTTGTACTTCTCGCTCTGGGCCTTCTCTTCCCAGAAAAACTCGTCGACCCAAGAGGCCAGGAAATCCTCATCGGGGGCTTCCTCTCCGACGTCCTCCTCCTCCTTGCGCTGGTCTTGGTTTTGCATCACCTTCGCAACCTCGGCGTCGGCAGCAGCTGTGAAATAATTTGAAATTGCAATGTACTTTTCGAAAGCTTAACCTTTCCATTGGTTCTTTTATCCTTGCTGAACTTCGGCCCCCTCTACGAAGCAAATGCAAAAGCAAAGCCAAAAGTAGAAAAAACTGTCTCGTCCTCATGTCGGGCTATCGAAGCGCTGCACATGAAAGTTCACCAAAAATAAAAGAGCAGAAGGAACCTTCGTTGTCCCCAGTAGCACTACTAGTTTGTGCCACGGCCGCCGCCATTTGCGCGGTCGCTTTCACCGCCTGCTCCGCGGAAACGCGCTCGATGACGCTGCCCTTCCGGATAACATTCTTGCTCTTCACCACACTGCCGTCGGCCAATTGGATGGTGGGCTCGCCGTCGGCACCTACGGCCAGGACCGGCTTTCCCTCTTCGTCGACCTCGACGGCAATCGGTTTTCCGTCCTGCAAAACGACGTCCCCGGTCTTCGGATCGGTTAGGACGGAGATTTGTTTCCCCGTCACCGGATCGGTGATCGTTGTCACCGTTGGAGGGTTTGCCGCCGAGATGTTAAACTGCTCTTCAAACTCCTTCCTTGCGGAATCGGTGAGAGCCTCGCCACGAATCGGAATCTGTTGTTCTGTCCCGGATCCGGACCCGCCCGCGTGCTCGACATCAGATTTAATATTCGTGCCCTTGTTCGGGAAGTTTTTGAGCTCGGGAACCACCGGCGTACTAGGCTTGAGTTCGCTTGCGCGTTTTTTCCGCGCTTGTAAGAGCTGCAGCAGTGTCAAGTCCCGGTCGCCCTCGCGGTACAGCGGATCTGCCGGGTCGAGCATCTGCGAAATCGCACTAATCCTTCGTCGTCCCAGTTCCTCGGCGGAAAGATTCGCTTCCTCGTCAACTACTTTTCCCTCAGCGTTTGTGCCATCCTTTCCGCGTGGCCTTCGCAGCAAGTCCTCGTCCTCCCCGAGAAAGGCCTTCCTGAGCAAAGCCCACGACCGCTCTTTTTTTCCTCCTTTCTGTAGTCCTGCTGCGCCAACATCTTCACCTTGAGTTGTTGTATCTGTCGCCGAGGCGCCTTCCGCTCGGCTTTTCTTTTTTTCTTTTTTCTCTTTCTTTTTCTTCTTCTCTTTCTTTTCTTTCTTCGACGCACTGTGTGACGTCGTCGCATCTTGTACATCCTGTTCCCCCTCATGGTCTTCTCTCGGTGTCGCCTCGTCGCCGGCTACAACTCGGGGCGTGGTGCGGTCGGTCGATAAGCCGGAGCTGCTGCTCGAGGTTGTCGTCATTCCTGTCGGCGGGAGGAGATCCTCGGCGACCCGCAGATCCACGTCATACACGCCGGCTTCCAAGATCTGCCCGACCGTGAGGTTCTCCAAGACCTCGCGGTGCGTGAATTTGCGCAGGACGTCCGAAAGCTTCTTGGCTTTCCGGACCGCGCGCTGGAACTGCGCGACTCGCTCCAGCCGCCTCGCGTTCGCCACTTTCTTCCGCGCCCCCGCCAACTCGCGGAGCGTGAGGCCCGGGTAATCCGCACGGAAGAGCTTGTCTTCCGGGTTCAACCAGTCACGGAGCCGCTCGGTCCGAAGCTTGGCAAGCGAAAGAAGCGTAGTTGCTATACCTGCTGGCATGTTCTCGTCTCCTGTAAGAACCGTTTCGTCGCCATCTTCTCGGAGGGGATCGCTTCCCGCCAGCCAGGACGCACGGAGCTTTTGCGCCGCTTCTCCATCGGACCCCGACTTCACTTTGTCCGCCGAGGCCTGCGCCGCGCGCTCCATCACATTGTGCTCCAGAATTTCGCCGGCCGTCAGAACCTCCAACAAATCTTCGACTTGGGAAGTAGAATCATCAGCGTTATTCTCGCCGCCCAGAAGGGAGTCAATAGCCTCTTCGACCGTCGAGTGCTTTTTGAACAACTCGCGCCGCTTTTCCGCAGTAGATGGCCCCTTCGAAGTACTAGCGTCCGCATCCTCCTCACGACCTTGTAGTAGTTCCACCGCTGCGCTTCTCTCGCGAGTTAGAAGGGGGTCACAAAATGTCCGCTTAGGTCCTCAGGGGACCTTCGACCCACCCAGCTGGGTGGGCCTTAGGTCCCCTGCCAGAAAAATTGAGTTATGAATTCGCCGCAGCTCGCGTTCGCCCGTTTCAGTTTTTTTTTTGGCTTCCGCCGGGGAAGTCACGTCGGTCCGTCCGGCCGGACGGCGCGGGACCGGGGGCATTCCTGCCTCGGGGCGATTTCGGCGCTGAATGCAGCAGCAGCAGCGCCCGTCGGTTAAGCAGCGCTGGCCTTCCCTTGCGCCGCTGCAGTAGCAGCTAATATGTACAGAGATGGGCTACTTTCTTAAGAACCAAAACCCTCCCCACACTAGATCAATGCGCAGAGCCGCCGGAGCAAGACAGTCGGCGGCCCCGCGACCGGGGACGGAGCACGGGGAGGATTCGTGCCTTTTTTTCGTGAAAGGCGGAGCGCATGACTTTTTTCCTAGTTGTTGGGAGCTCGGGCTAAAAGCTCGCGTCACCGGGGGCAGACCAGGGGCAAGAGTCGTCCCTTTTTCCGTGAAGGGCCGAACTCGTGACCTGTCTTTTTTGGTTGGGCGCGGGCGCCCGCGGTAGCTGGTATCGGTACCGGTGCGCTTATTCCGGTCGTGATTCGCCGGGGGCTGCGCCGTGTGTTGTGACAGTAGGCCGACACCACCAGAGCATCGACGCGAGCCTGCGCCGTGTCGGCGAGAAAAAAAAAATCTTGAGCCCTAAATTGGAAACATCAATCCGCATGCCTATAGGGGTAAACCCTGTACACTTTGCGACCAGGCGCCCGCATGGAATACTCCCACAAGCTAGCTGACGGCCCCGGCTGCGTGACCGGGTCCGGAGCGTGGGCAAGAGAGGTGTTGCTCCAGTGACGTGCAGCGGCCATGACCTTGTTTTTCTTCGTTGCCCGGGTGCGCGCAGCGCGCTTCCCGGCGGCCACCACCTCCGACCGCCACGACCCACTGACCCCCGGTCACGTGCCGTCCGGCCGGCCGGACGAACGTGACCCGGACCCGCCCGGTTACGTCTAGGCTTCTTGTTACCTTGTAATAATTTTTAGGGCAGGGGACCTAAGGCCCACCCAGCTGGGTGGGTCGAAGGTCCCCTGAGGACCTAAGCGGGCATTTTGTGACCCTCTTCTTAGAAGTCCGTCGTCTTGCCCAAGCTCTTCTTGCCCACCCCCGTCGACCTTCGACGCGGTTCGCGAGGCCAAGTCGCCTTCCGAGGGACGCGGCGGTGTGCCGCTGCTGTGTTCAAAGTCGACTGCTTGCTTCGGATCGTGATGCAGGTCAAAGGAAAACGCATCCTCGTCCTTCTCGCCGTCACCTCCACGAGGAAATACCGATGCGGTTGCGGACGGAAACAACGCTGTGCCATCTTGGTCCTGCTGTTGCAAGTAACCGTCCTCCCCGCCAGACGACGACCCTGGCACGCCTTCTCCTACCTCCTCCGACATCCGGCGCCTCGCCGTGGACAACTGGTCTCCGGCGCGTCCGCCCAGTTCCGGACTTCGCAGCAGCATGTTGTCCCCCGCCACCTCCATCATCCCGTCCAGTCTCTCTCGGTCTTCCTGCAGCCGTTCGCTGAGCGTGATCACTTGCCGCTCCTCGCGCGCCAACAGGAGTGCTTCCTCGAGCCGCGAGATCTGCAGTTGTTTGGCGGTGTCCACGTCCTCTAATGCTTCGTACTCCTTCCGCAAGTGCGCCAGCTTCGCCTCCGCGTCGTCCAGCATGGTGTTGACGCGGGACCGGGAATTCCGCTCCTCCTCGAGCAGCGTCTGCAGCTGCCGGATCTTGGCCTCGAAGTCGACGCGGAAAAACTCATCCGCGGCGGGGCGCGGCAGCACCATATCAAATGTAAAAATGTCTGGGTCTGGAAGATTCTGAGACTTGTCATGCATGTTTTGCCTGGGCCATGATGTCTGTGATGCATGCCCTAGCATCACAGATTTTTTGAGACCCTCGCAATGCCTATTCCGCATGACAAATGCCCTCTCCGCGTAGCAAAAATTACAATCCCATTGCTGCTCATGCAATACAGATTTTTTTGGAATCCAAATTCAGCATCACAAGTTGCATTCTTCCAGACCCAGACATTTTTACATTTGATACACCATCTGCTGCTCCCACCAGGTCGTGTCCGTGGCGGCGCCGATCTCCAGGACCTCCCGCTTCAGCGCCCGCACCGCCTCCTCCTTCTTCTCGGCCCGGGGCAGGCAGTGGATGTCCACCAGCGCTTTCCGGTCTTCCTCCAACTGAAGGATCTTCTCCCCCAGCCGGATCACGTCGTCCAGGTGGTACTGCAGTTTCTGGGCAATCCCGGGCTGCTGGTTCCGGACCGCTTGCTGCTGTTTCTTCAGCAGTTCTTCCGCCAGCCCGTTGCTGTAGCTGTCCAGCTGGTTCCGCGTTCGTCTTCGCGCGGTCACCGGGATGGCCTCCAGCGGCAGCCCGAGCTCCATCCACGTGGCCTCCAGCACGGGCTGCTTCGGCTTGTAGTAGTTGTCTGCTGCGTGTCCTTATCAAATGTAAAAATGTCTGGGTCTGGAAAAATGCAGAGGTTTGTGATGCAGCCTTGGCATGACCCAGAAGGTCTTTCATGCACGCCCTAGCATGACAGGTTTTGAGAAGGTCTGGTCTCCTAATGCGTTATCCGCATGACAAAGCCCTTCTTTCGGTGGCCGGAAATGTGCACCTTTTGGCTTACATGCATGACAGATTTTTGTGTGATGTGAAATGCGCATCAGAAGTTGCATCCTTCCAGACCCAGCCATATTCGCACTTGATAGTCCTGCTTTGCGAAGGGGCGACAAAGATGAGGATGAGGCCGCAAGATGAACCAGGCCACGACCAGCGACTGGCTGCTCGACGATGTTCATCGAAGAAGCAGCCCCTGCTGCCCCTGGTGCAGCCGCGCCCAAGCCGCGCAACCGCTTCGCCGCGCGCTCTTTCGCGAGCAACTTTCGGGTGTCTTGGAAAACTTCGCCCCATATCTCCAGCGACTTGACCAAGACGCGGCTGTACGGATTTTGGTGGTCGCTGGAAACCGCCCCGACGGGCGGCCGAAACAACACCAATTTGAGCCAGCCGTTGTGCGGGACGCTGTACTGGCGGAGAACGAAGGACGCCGATGATTTCTTCGAAAACTCTCCGATCTTTTCCCAAGACACCGCGGACCGATCAAACGGGGACTTTGTTGAAGTTGATGTGGACGACATCGCGGTGGTGAAGAGCTGCTGCTGCTGGTTTTGCCCTCCGCCGCCGGGCCGTGTGCGAGAAGCGTTCGCGCGTCTGTAATTTTCTGCTCCCGAAGGAGCACCAGGCGCTGTTGTCCCTGCTGCTCTGCCTGTTGGATTGAGGTTGCTTCCGGACGAGGTTTTAAGTACTCCACGCTGATGGCGCGGGGAACCGGCAACACCGGCGTAAAGCTCGACCCTCGACGGGGCAAATGGGCCCACGCTTTCCAGTGAAACCTCCTTCACGCTCGCGTCGGCATCCAGCTCCAGAATCAGCTCTTGTGGATAGTTGCAACATTTGCCACTTTTCCACCCGCTCGCATGCGGGAGCAGGCAAAACGGATCGTGGCGGGCGTCGGTGTCGTCACTTCTGGTGTTTAAAACCGGGTGTGGGTTTGTCGTTGTTGTTTCCGATGCTGATTGCGATTTTTCTGCGAGGGTTTTTTGCTTGCTAGTAATACTTGAGGCCGTATGATCATCTGCGCCGCCCGAGCTCGCGCCAGACAAAGTGAAAAGCAACAAATCCATGGCGGTCGTGTTGTATATAGCACTGCTACTGCGCTCGAAGTCGTCCTGCCTTGCAGGTGTAGGCGTGGAGTGTCTATCTCATGATACCTCTACCACGTAAAAATAAGTCTGGTCTCTAGAATTAACGCGGCTGAGACTTACAAATATAATTTCGACTGATTCCACTTCCAGTCGGGTCTTGGTGTAGTGTCACTATCACGACACGAGGAAAAATGCATCACTCTCAAACTAGGTGTGAAGTACGATTCCGACAGAAAACAACTAGGAACTAGCTCGACAACCGAGGACTGCAACTCGACCTCGAAGAGACTTCTTGGTGAAGACGTGTTTTTCATTATGCCTCCATACTCAAAAAAGCGATCCCAGTTCGTTGTAGGCGACGACGGATCGATGTGAAACGACTTTAAAAGAAGATCTTCGCGACGAAAACTCACAGCGAAGACAGAATCACACTCATAGCGCTCTGCCGGGTTGCTCGCGCACCTTGCTCGTCGTGTCGGTAGCGGTAGAAAATGAATATTACACTACAGCAAGCATAATTCCACGCCACAAACCCTCCTGACGTTGCTTCCACTACCCACGAATAACGACAAGGGAAAACCCAACTCAAATCGAACACAGGAGAAAAATTAAAATATACGTTGGGCTTGCTCTCACACATAATTAATAATATCTTCACACCGCCAGCACATTTGAAGATATTATAAACGTGCCTGCCGTCTGTAGTCAATGTCACTCGGCGTGCGAACAACATGACTGGCCACAGGGTCCATGATTCATAATTTTTGATCGAAAAGATTTTCAGTATAAGTATTTCTGTTCTTCATCTGATAGATTGCTGTCGTGTCGTTCTCGTTCTCATGTGAGGAGCGATCACATGCATTCAGTGGAAGAAAAGAATTTTAAGTCCTTGAAGAAAGCGAAACTATAAAACAACGCTTGTTGTTGTTGGTGTCATAATCCCTTTTTCAACAAAAGAAAATGAATTCATCTTTTTTTCAGCAGGTCTTACACTCCAACACGAGTAGTAGCAGATTCGACGTGGTCCTTCACACGAGGATTTGTTACTGTTAGATTGATATAATGACGCTCGTTTTCGCTAATTCTGTTTTATTCTTTATCATAGTTTGCATCTTCTATGGGGAGTCTGAAATTCATACTTATCCAGTCTTCAAATTTTTATTCTACGATCGGCATACGAATTGCTGTCGCTGTATTTGTGATTTAGCTCCTCATCCCCCTGTTCTTGCTGCCAAAAACAACAAGGCTCTCCTCGCCGACTGCGAACTGTCGGTTCAGTCTGAGTTTCTTGGTGTTGCGGTAGATAAAAAGAACCTATGCGGCGCAAGTACGTCTGGGTCTGGAAAAGTGCGTCGAGGCATCATCCCATTTGCAGTGCGGATGAAGGAACAGGAAGTGGCTGCGTACGCAGCAGAATAAAGTCTCTCGAACAGCGCCAACCTCTGCACGTCAAATTCTCTGACGGTTACTCTTCAGTTGTGCCTAATAAATGGGCTTCCTGCATCGCCAACTGTATTGCGTTTACTCATGCAACTCATCCATGCATCTTCACAGATTGCGAAAATCTGATTTTCGCATCTTCCGATTAATAAAGCAATTGCACAAGTTGATGGCACTCTTCCAGGCTCAGAATACACATTTGCGATGCATAAAAACGCCTCCGAACAATCGAAGCCTTGACTATCGTGCCACGACAAGTATGGCAGAAGCAGTACATAGTATCCCAGAAGGAAAATCTAGCAGGCACATTGTGATGCAAAACAAACACATGCATCAACATTGTTTGTACTATCACAAAACCAAAGCGGCCACTAGAACCTCTAAAAATTTATACTTGTCTTCTTCATCTTGCATAGTATCCTAATCGATTTGCATGATGCCAAGATTGAATCGCTCACGACAGACTTCCGATTCGAATGTTCTTTTTGCATTTGATTTTCTGTTCGTTTTCCTTTTGGCCTTTTTTTTTGCATTACAAACATAACATGCGCGCTAGCTTTGCTTGCCGGGATAATAAGCAGACGATCAGGAAGAGTCGTGACTTTCTGTCTACTAGCATGAGCGGCGGCGGCGGGAAGATGCGGTACCGGAGTAGCAAGCTGTGGTGGCGGAGCAGCTGCATCAAGGTGTTGTATTTGTCTTCATTCCATGACTTGCAAAGGCCCCCCCTTTTGCGTCGGAAACTCCCCTCGTTGGGGAACGAGAGCCCAAGTGCTATAATTTCGAGCGTTTTGAACAAACATATTGAAGCCAAAGGCAAAGCATCGGGCGATGTTGCGAACCATCCACAAAAATCAGGCACGGCCTACGCACGACATTGCAAGCACCTTGCAGGCAGTGTGGCAGAGCGTTCCTCTCGACGGTGTGGCGCGGGCAGTAACGCGCTGCAATTAGAAGGCTCACAATCGCAAAAAAATTTCCGGAGTGAGATAGTTTTTATCCGGGTTTGTTGATAATTCAGCGAGGTCTCGCTCCGGAAGAACGAGAAGCCGAGTAATAAATTAGCTTTTTGAAATTCTGCAGTGAGATTTTTCGAGGAGTGAAAATTCACTGAATTTTCACTCGATTTCTAGTTCCGAACGAGAAATCGAGTGAAAACTCAGTGAGTTTTCACTTTTTGAAAGATTTCACTCCGGGTTTCACTCCGGGAGAGGGGTTTTCCCGGAGCTTAATTTTCACTCCCGGAGAATTCGTGATCCCAAAGTGAAAATTTTCAAAAAGTGAAAACTCACTGAATTTTCACTTTTTGAAAAAAATCACTTTTGGAGCATGCATGTTCCAGAGTGAAAATTTTCCGAAACTGAAAATTCAGTGAATTTTCACTTTTTCAAAAAAATCACTTTTGGAACATGCATGCTCCAAAAGTGATTTTTTTCAAAAAGTGAAAACTCACTGAATTTTCACTTTTTGAAAATTTTAACTTTGGGGCCACGAATTTTTCGGGAGTGAGAGTGCAACTCCGGAAAAACCTCGCTCCCGGAGTGAAATCTTTCAAAAAGTGAAAATTCACTGAATTTTCACTCGGCTTCTCGTTCCGGAACGAGAAATCGAGTGAAAATTCAGTGAATATTCATTTTTTGAAAAGTCCCACTTTGGGATCACGAATTTTCCGGGATTGAGAATTCAGTGAATTCTACTCACTACATTTCTCGTTCCGGAACGAAAACCAAGTGAGAACTCATTGAGTTCTCACTCCTTGAAAAGTCCTGGAGTGAGAATTTATTCAGTAAGTTCTCACTTCATTTCTCGTTCCGAAACGAGAAGCCGAGTGAGAACTCACTGCGTTCTCATTTTTTGAAAAGTCCTGGAGTGGAAATTCAGTGAGTTTTCACTGCGTTTCTCGGTCCAGAACGAGAGCTGCCCAGGCGAAAACTCATTGCGTTCTCACTTTTTGAAAAAATCCGGGGACTGCGCGCCTCGTTCCCGAACGAGGATAGTTTCCGATGTCGTTTCGTTTTAGAGGTTGCAAGTCATGCTTCATTCTATAATGTGATGAAGCCACACTCACCACCATCCAATTTCTCATCAGCGCCGTGTTGCAGCTGCTCCTTTAAGAGACTACGTGAACCCATCCGCGGAATGCAGCAAATCCGTCAAGATGCTGTTGTCTTCTTCTTGTGTAGTTCCGCTGTGAGCCAAAAAAAAGCGGACCTGAAGCCAAAAAAAAAAGCGGCCCCGGAGCCAAAAAAAAAAAAGATGGCCCCGTTGGAATACACATGAAGCTGCACCATAAAGTAGGGGCATACATTCATTCTACAAAAAGTAGACGCAGTGTCGGCTAATAAAACTCAAGGAGGCGACATAGAAGACATTGACGAAACCGCCTGACAATTGTCCCACGCACATCATCATGCCACAAGGATGGCAGAACCGGTGGCGCGAGCACACTGCAGGAAGTCCGTCGCTCCGTGGTCCTCTACTCGCGGGTTCAAGCTATAGCTACACAAAGTTAAAGTCATCATCTCCTAGTATCTATAATCCAAAGCGTGAGGTTTGTTAATTTTGCTAAAGGAACAATCACCATGAAAAATCTTGATTTGCCAGCTTCATCAAACCATACCGCTTTTTTGGTGCCTTTACTCTTTGTTTGAATTTAAAAAGGCTAGAGATCGAAGAACCATGGTGATCGCGTGATGGAATCAATAATGTTGACGTGGTTGCTATCGCCCCTAGAAGGCTATTGCTACCTGGGCAACACTGTTGTACTTCTCGACGCGCAGACGCAATGGCTTCCATGTAGCTGATCAGTAGAAAAAACTACGAATACTAGTCTCTTCATTGTGTCTCGAAAGAGTCACCGAGAGCAGCGGCTGTTACCACAAATCATGCAATCAGCAAAGCATATTACCCGATCAGGTAAAATTAATTTTATTGATAGCTATATTATACATTTGTTTTGCACAGAAACAACAAAAAGCATTCAAAATGCGGCCAGTCCGTGGAACAGAAGTGGAAAAGAAAGATATGGAAAACAAACAGCGACTGGATAAAAACGTATAAAAAAATAATGCGGGCACGGTAACTACAGTCAAACCCAAAGGATCGATACTGAGGAAGCAGGTGAGTCAGTGAGAGAATTCCAATTCTTTCAGTATCCGGCCTCGATTAATACTAGATATTAAAGTAGAAAGACTACGAGGAGTTACAATCCTAACGAGCTAATGCTCGGGAAATCGAAATTGTACAATGACTCCGAAGATAATCAACATGCCTGCATTTGCCCGCGACATGGCTGGAATTCTGCAGCCACTAAGCTTCCTCTATGGTATACTATGGTAGTAATTCTGATTCCTTTGGGAAACTGAGCTCGAGGACGAGCCAGTTCTTGACTGCGTTAATTGAAGCTGTTGATGCTGCATTTTTACAACTACGCAAAGGGAGTCCAGTGTTTCGTCCTCCTTTTCTTTCAATTGTAGTGAATATAACTTCAATCTTAACTGGTAGTACTACAGGGCGGGGTACATGGCACTTGAATGAAGATGATGCTATACTTTTCTGACCTTCTACAGGTTCCGCTGGCGTGGCTGAGATACGGATGTCGATGCGTATATTATCGTTTCGCATTTATTGGGCCGTTATGTAATGGCAACTGCGAAAGAAAACTTGGCATCAGTACGAGAATGGAGCCAGCTCCCTCGGAGGTTTCCGAAAATCAAATTATAGCGCAGGCAAATTTTGTAGTCTTAATTCTTTTTTTTTTATTTCTTAATTTCCTCTAAGCCTGATGGCAGGGAAGTGCGACTTGCGCAAAAAACATAAATATACAAAGAGAGATATCTTGTTCTTGAACAATTTTTGGTGCAAGAACGCATGCTCTACTTACGGGGACGTATTACTGTTTACGTTCTTGCATTGCTCTACCTAGTAAATCCACCACAAAAAGCGCTGCTGGTGCACTATTCCATCTCGGGACAGAGAAACGCGCCGCAGACTGCGAGCGCAAAAATTAATAGTAGATCTAGTTCCAGTGGTAGTATTTGTATTCGGAAAAAAATATAATAATAAGTACGTGCTGTTTTAAGTAAGCAAACGCGGAACAACCAGCAGCAATGGTTATGGTAGACCGAGCCTATTTAGTGGAGATGTATTAGCACAAGCACAACTTGTCCAGCATCGACTACGCCTTCAGTAAAATGAAAAAAGTAGCCATCGTCGTGTGGTGAAATCGAAACACCGAAAAACGCGTTTCAAAAATTATCCAGCTTCTATTAGCTGCGTTTCAAAATTTTGTAAGTATTTGGACAATCTGCCAAAGCAGCTCGACTTCTGTGGAGTTGTTCTTACGTTGCAGTAAAAGTTCATCATTAGATACAGCAGATAGACCCGAAAAAAAATTCTAGACTCGGCCATCGAGAAAAAACGACCACCTTCGGAAGATGACGGTGCAGTTGTCGGCACGTGCAGCAAGCGACAGAGCTGGCTCGTACTCTCCAATGCAAAAGAATCGTGTGTGCTGAGGTATGGAAAAGTTCCGAACAGCATCAACTGGTTTTCCCTATTGACGTCGTACTAACGCTGCAGAAGCAGCAAAACAGGGAGATGAGCTGCATATATTGCAATGCAAAATCTAGATCTACGACGAACTGTTTTTACAATGCAAAACCTACAACAGCTCGGGGTGTTCGGATGAAGACCCCGCTGCTAGAAGTTATTCCGTACCCGCACATACGCGATACATTGGCAATGCATAGCTGCCGCGTACTGAAATTTCCGAGACTCCCGAAGATCGGCACGAAATTGCACCCGGGTTGGAGGCCTGTCTTTTGATTATATCTGTTTCGTAAACTGAATAACGATCATTCTTGTTTCACATAAACCCGTAATTGCATCTACTTGTACATGTGGACGTTACAGAATCAGAACTAGGAGGACGAGCTGAGTAAAAAATATACATTTCCATCTTGTGTGACTACGGTGCTCACCCAGACAACGTGTCTAGACGCCCATAACTTGCGCAAAGGTTTACTTATAATTAGGGTGCCTTTATTACCTGGTACAACTAGAGCAAAGAAACTTCGACTATGGACAGTTATGCGAATTCATCCTGGTGGAATGCTTTCTGAGTAGAAGGGCGCTGGCTCTTGAATTCTGATGAAATGACACACGTTCATGATAATATTTTTCTTGATTCAATCGTCCATCGTTACTGGCTGAGCATAGGCGGGGGTGGTCGCACGTTGGCAGAGCCGGAAGATCCAGCAGTTGGTGCTGGCGCGGTGGTGCTACTCACGAAGTTGCCTGCTACCGCTTTATTCATCATTTGCTCCTGCTGGTCCGCGTGCAACAATTGCTGTGCGCCCAGAGCTATGCTGTGCAAATCTATCGTACTTCTTCTCGTGGTAAAAATCATAATTGCAATCATGCATGGAGTGTAGTTCTTCCTAAATTCAAATCATCATCATGTTGATTTAAATTTAGAAAAAACTACAAAACGGAATTTGTCATGTTGTCATGACAAAAAAATTCCGTTTGGAATCCAAAACGATCATGCAGCTGCTGGGCACGTTTATTGTATACTACGCATGCAATATCTACTGAGTGACCGAGGTACGTACGACTACGATTTAACGTTGCAATGCGTAAGAGCCTCGACCACGGCATCGATGACCTCCTTCACGCCGCCCGCGCCGCACATCTCCTTGTAACGACGGACGTCCTCGACGAGAATGCGACGCATTTGGGACCGACGGTCCGGGGTGGCGTTGGGGCCCGTGCTGTTCTTGTGGAGCTGCACCGCGTTCGGATATTGACCGCTGTTCATTCCACCTGCTCCCTTGATGTACGGCGAAGTTGTGCCCGTCTGCTGGTCCAGCGGTCCACCTCCTACACCGCTCGGTGCACCTCCAGCAGAGGTCGGGCCAACCTCCTTACTTTTCGTTTTCGTACTGAGAAACTGCAGCAGCTGCACACAGGCCTCGGTGATTATCCTGTGCAAAAGTATCGTACCCGTATTGCAATCATGCATTACAAATTTCCTGAAGGTAAATTTGCATTACAGCTTTTATTTCTCATGCTGAGGAAATAATTTGTATATGCATTATATACGAGTGCGATACTTTTGCAGTTCATAGTGAGCAGGGCGTCCCCATTCTGCTTGTTCGCGAGCCCGTCTACTCCATTGTTCAACATCGCCGCAGCTGTACCAGACGAGGATCCACCGCCTGTTGTACTCGTCCCGCCGTTGTGCATGCCATTGTGGACAAGTTGCTGCTCGCCGCCTCCACCTCCCTTGTTGAAGTCTGTGGAGCCCCCGTGGCTGGGCCGGTGCACGGAGTTGTTGTTTCCCGAAGCTGTGCTGTTCGTGGCGACGGGGGAGACGAACTGATCGTACATGCGGCTACGGCTCGTACTGGGCGGCCCCGGATGCTGGGAAGCAGGGGGAATAATATTACCAACAGAGTCGTTCTTGTTCATCCCCGGAAGGAGCTGCGGGCCGCGCGGGGGTGAATACGGATCCATGAACACAGGGTGCTGCGAGCGGGGTGCTTGACCTGCTCCTCGTCGGTGATTCATGTGGTGCTCCTGCTCCTCCTGACTGTAGGTTTTGTTCATCCGCTGCGAGGAGGGGGAGGGGCCGGGATAATTGTTGTAGGACCCCCCGCCGCCCAGGTCGCGATCGCGCTGGTTACTTCTATACGGGTAGTTATCGTTTCCAAACTCCCGGTCTTCGCTCCCGCGGTGGTCCCGGTTGTATCCGCCTGCTCCGTCACCACGACCACGTACGGCACCACGAGAGGACCCGTTGTTCAGGAAAACGCCCGGGGGCGGTCCGCTGTCCGCCAGATGTCGGTCCTCACGGGGATCGCCCAGGCCGCGGCGACTGGTGTTCATGTGTCCTCGCGGGTTGAAAAACTCATCGCGGTCGCGGTCGTCCAGTATGACACTGCACGACTCCCCCTCGTTCTCATTTCTCATGCAAAATCCACAATTCCAGTTACTCCCCTGCGTCACTATTATGCATGACAAATTCCGGAAGCCCAAACAGTACTACATCAGGCACATGTTGAATTTGTCATGCATAGGCTCCATGTGTGCTGGTGTTTGTCTTGCTGGTCATGCCATACAAATAATGAGGGTGAGGGGGAGTTGTGCACTCTCATATCCAGATACCGGTCATGATAACCTCCGCGGTGGTCCCGGCGGTCCAGAGGATGGTCCCGCTCGTCACCACGGCGGTCGTAGGAGTTGCTGTAGCGGTCGCAGTATCCAGTGCAAAAGTATCGTACTCGTACCAATTGGCAATTGCAGTTCTGCATTACTACAAATCTAGGCGCTAAGGGAAATCCGCAATACAAATTTTATTTCTCATGCTGAGAAACCTTGTAATGCATTTATACGAGTACGATAGTACTTTTGCAATGCATACGCGGCTGGGGAGGTCCAAGTCGTCGTAGTAGTACCCCCGGCCGCCGCCCTTGCTGCCACCTTTGCTAGAACCATCGTTGTTTCTACCCATCGGCGGGGGACCCGCTCCTCCCGGGCGACCAAACGAACCCCCGTTGTCGCGGTAGGCACGATTGTGGTCCAGGAAACCGCGGCGGCCGCCGACCGAGTTGCTGTAGGAAGGACCATGATCGCGACCATGATTGCCCCGGTTGTTGTGGTGTCCGTGTCCCCCGCGGTTGCCTCCGGACGACCCCTGCTTGTTGGGATTCCACATCTCCTTATTCGACTTGACAAACTCCGAAAGTCGCAGCGGCGCGGCGTCGAACCAAAAGGTGTTCACGTTGGACCAGGACCCGTTGGACCAAAAGTGCTCCTTGGTCACCTCGAAATTCCTGTATTTCGACAGGCCCACGATCAAGCGCTTGTCGCTATGGAAGTGTCAGAATCGAAATCAACAAAATCGAAATAATTTGTGATGCATAAAATCGATACCAGTTGGAGCCTCAGTTTCCAAGTGGCGCATGACAAGTTTCGGGAGCACCAAAATACACTGTGTCATGCTGTTTGGGAAAAGGAGACTGCTCCTGTCATGCTACCCGGGCAGCACATTGCCTTCCCCTAAACAGGCTTGCAAGCGGTCTCATTTGCCTGCTCCCCAACACAGGCCACACGTGCCCTACCCCTACATTTTATGCATTACAAATTATTTCGATTTTGTCCATTTCGATCCTGACGCTTCCCTAGTCGCTCCAGGGACCGTACCGCGCGTCCTTCATCAACTCGGCCCACCGGTCCAACACCTTCCGGCTGCGGACGCACGCGAAGGCGAACCCCACGTTGCGCAGAGCGGCGGAGCTGGAGATGCGGTTCAGCGTGAACAGGTGGAGGATGCGACGCACGATCGGGTGCAGGTCCACGCCCAGGCTCCGCAGCGGCACGGGGTTCAGCGGGACCAGCTGGGTCCAGGCACCCACGATCAGCTCCGGCACGTAGCAGGCACTGTTGGGATCCAACCACTCGCGGGTGTCGCGGACCTCCGGGGCCCAGGTGTTCTGCTGGTTGGGCGGGGGCTGGTAGCTCTCCGAGTAGGCGTCGGTGTACAGGGCCTGGCGCCACTTCGCGCAATCGGCGTTGTAGTCCTCCTCATTCATGGGCATGGCATCTTTCACCGCCTGCATGAACGCCGGATCCTGCAGCAAACGATCGTTGGCAAACAGAATGTTCATCGCGGCGATCGGCGAGTAGCGCGCCGGCAGGTGCTTGATGAAGATGCCCAGCGCCTCCGGATCGCTGTCCAAGGGAATCACGTTTATGGCGTTCTCAACTGTTTGTTACATTCTCAACTGTTACATAAATTTGTCATGCAAAAACAGCGATAGGGAAAGGGGAAAGCTTGTAAGTCTTGTATCACAAATTTGGCACGGATTTAGCTGCTGTTTAGCACTTCGATAATTTGTCATGCGAAGCAGCTTGATCGTCCTTGCGGCTCATGGTCATTTTGCATTACAAATCATGTAACAGTTGAGAATGTAACGCTTGAGAACGCCATAACGTTCGGCTTCGCAGTGGGGTTGTTCGGGTCGCTGCCCACCTCGGAGGCAGAATTGTTGCTGCCGCCCGGTTGATGGTGCCCCCCTTCCGAAAGCAGCAGGTGGTCGTCGGAAGGCCCGCTGTCCGGGTGCTGCGGCTCGAAATCGGCGGACCCCTCATTGATGTTCTCGCGCGGGCTCCCGCTGCTCACCTTTTTGCTGTCGCGGGGGTGCTATGCATTGCAAAAGCATCATGCTACGCATATCTATATGTATGAATTGCCTGATCACAACTTTTTCAAGAACAAAAAAGCAAATTGTTGTGCTAAGCAAGGTAGAAGCTCAACTTTGTTTGCCAACAACAATATGCACGCTTGCTGCAATAGAGTTTACGATTACGAAGATGCCTTTGCATTCCGTAGGTGCAACCGCGGGGGCGGCCGCGAGGGCGGACCACCCTCCCGTCCACCCGAGGGCGAGGTGCCTCCATTCCCGTTGCCAAAATGCGGCTGCATATGATCGACCGCGACTGGGTTGTCGCGCGCTTCCCACAAGCTCTCGAGAGCGGGCGGGGACAGATGATGCTCCGGATGCGGGGCCGAAGTCGGTGCGGATGTCTGTGACATGATCTAGTGTCGTGTAGCAGGTGATTTCGGAAGATGATTCGTTTGTTCTTTCTGGAAGGTTTACTTCCGTAGGATCTTCAGGAGAAGGTTTATTTACGTTCTTTATTACTTGCTTTATTTGAGGAAGAAAATCAAAATGTAGTCTGTTGGTGCGTTCTGGTTGTAGTCGGTTGTATGGTAGAGAATGATAATTGCAAACTGCACAGTCGTTCGAGTTCTTCTCCTTCTCCTTCTGGTCGAAGCCAAAACCGTTGTTTTACTTCTGGTTCGCGTAGAAGTGGTCCTGTGTAAAAATTTTTCGCCTGGTTTTTAGTCCTGCAGCTATCCAAGCCAATGAAAGCCTCTCCGCGATCGTAGTTGTTCAGCACACGACGACGACACAGCTCGAGCGAATGCGTGCTGTAAGTTGTCGTTGTGTATCTGTATACTACAACTGGTTGATGTTGTATTACGTAGTACTACTACTTTTGTGTGGCCTTCTCGTCAACGCGAACCTCCGGTCGTGAGTGGAGGCGGAAATGGTCTTGTTGCGTCCCCAGCAAAAAAGTTGATGGGTGGTGGCGTACCCACGCGATTATAGCAATTGCTGTAGCGCAGACTTTCGAAGGATGCTTGATGGATCCACCTCTTCCAGCAGGAAAAAATTCCAGAAACGTGATGTGCTGCGCTCAAAGCCCGCTTGTAGATGTTGAAGTCGAGTGAGAAAGCCTGACAACGGTCATCAAATTTTCTTACTCTTCCTTTTTTACGCCGCCTCGCGTTTTTGTCATATGTTCCGGAGAACCAAGATAGCAAAATCGGGAAAATTGGGAAAACGAAAAAAGAAATCACGCAAGCGTCCTGGTGTGGCTCTAGTCATTCTGGATCATCGGACCCCGTTGGGCATATGCTGCTCGTGCTCCACCCTGTGCAGCATCGTCTCGAACCGGACAGCCGCAACACTATCTCAATACTACTCCGGATTTTAGCTTAAAAAGGGCTTTGGAAACGCAGCCGCGCTGAAAGAAATTTGCCGCAAAAGACTCGCAGCAAAATTTTCATGAGAGTCCGGGACCAAATTTTGCGCATGGAAATCGGGACAAAAAAGTCCGCTTCAAAATTTCGAAACAAAATAGAAAACAAAATCCGAAAAATAATTTCGAAACGAAATTAGAAAACAAAATCGCGAAAAAAAAATCTACACTACTGCAACAAAATCGCGAAAACCCGAAAAATAGGTGGCGCGAGCGAAAACAAAATTGCTCCGCGCCGATTTTCATTGCGATTTCAATGGGTTTTCGTGGTTCCGGCGGTTTTCGCGATTTTGTTGACAAAACTGCATTTTGAATTTTCCGCAGCGGAACGGGGACCCGAGGCTTGCTGCGGAAAAATTGGCGGCGCCCGGCGTCAAATTTTGCCCGGGGGGCGGGCAGCGTCAATTTCAGGCGGGCGCCGGGCAACGGAATTTTGGCGGGCAGCGTGCAGGAATTTGAGCGGCGGCCTGCGGCGCCGAGTTTTGTTCGCGCGACTGCCTCTGCGGTTTTGCTCGCTCTCTCACATCGATGGGCGTGCGAGTTTTGTTTCCGAAAGGACGAGCGAAACACGAGCGCAACCCGGAGCCCCACAAGGACAAGGCTTCGCATGCTGTGGGCACTTACCGCGCTTCTTCCTGTTTTTCCTTCTCTCTTACAACCGTCAAAATTTACATACCACATAAATTTTTTTTCCAGATTTTGTAGATTTTGCTATCTTGGGTCTCGGAACATATGATTTTTGCATCTACGCTCAGAGCGACACACCTTCTCTACGTGGTTTTGGTTTTTCAATCGATTGGAGTAGTTGGGATGTTGCCACGATTCTGATGGTGGATTCAGGTACCAGATTGCTTCAAATACGCAACAGTAATGCGCAAGTACAACCAGGGCAAGGGTGAGAGTAGAATACTTTCAACGTCACAATATGAAAGAAAAGCTCGTCCAGTAGTGCTCGTCCTTCTTGTGCGTAAAGTGTAAATGGGAATTATTCCGATCTAAACCTATAAATATTCGTAGGAGCCGTGGACAGGAAAAGTCGTCCTAAACGCTCCACCTAAGGTAGCTGCTACCTTCGCCTTCAGTTGAAGGCGAGCCTGCGGTAAAAGAGTCTAGTGGCAAGGGCAAAAAAAAAACTAACACGGCACTATAATACTGCAAAAAAAACGCAGCACATGCTGAGCCTACTACTTACGTAGTAAGAAAGAAAAATAAATGACTTAAAGTAAGTACTTGCACATTTTGTATCTCTATGGCCGTGTCACGCAACAAGTGCTGCAGATACAGTGAATACCAATACACTACGAGACCAAGGTAAATCAATGGAAAACACGCACAAAAAAACTACTTGTTTTCCTATGGTTATGGGCTGTAACTACGTCTTCTACCGCGCTTATGCAGATAGAATCGGAAAGTAGATGAGGGAGCACGAGTCGGCGTATGCCACAACGGTCATTCGAGTCTTCTATGCTTCGAAGCCAGGTTTGGGTTTCTTTATCCAATTATTTATGCTCGGCTCAGATGAAACAGTGGCTGCAACTCTCGTGGCTGTTGTCGTCGTGATGCTACGATTTCTGGTATATCAATATCTGACAATATCTATACTTTTGACCTAAATCTTAGTTACAAGTTGAAGTTGACAAAAGAGAAACCGCATCGCTCTCCTCTCTACTCCTCGTAAAGAAGGATTCAGCTACGCCTCTAGTGATGTCCTGGGTGTTGTTGTTTTCGGTGACATTAAATTATCATGAATTTATTGGTTCTTTCAGTTTTCGTCTCTTCCTTTACGTTTCACCCCAAGAAACTTAGTCTTTCCCATTACTTGTCATCTACTCTGCTTAATAGTCGACGGGATCGATGATCGTGATCAGTTAGTACCCCAAGCTCAATCGTTGTATCATGATGTACAGTTCAGGAGTTTATTTACGAACATGCAGCCGAAACGAGGTTGCAAAAACTAAAGAAATAGATCTTCCCGGAGCTTCGCGGGCGCAACTTCTGCACCACGCTCGTGTTCACGCCCGATAACTATAAGGTGTTTTTACTCATATTCGATTTTGTAACAATCGCCATCGTCGTTGCTGCCGCAGCCGCAATACTTTTGCGTTAATGAGTGGTGTTCTGCTGCGTACCCTGACGAGACGTGCTGCGACAACTTTGACTTTCTATAAAGGATTAGATCGTCAGACTGCTGTGTCACTTCACACGGTACTACAGGAAACAAAGTTAGATCCACCTATGAAAGAACAACTATCGCACTTGCACACAGGCATGCGCCGCGTTCTTATGCTCCTTAAGTTAATTGTGGTCAGACTTATGACGCGGGTACGACGAATCTTGACGGCTTAGTGGTTTTGAATTCTTTTTGTTTTCTTTCTTTTTTGCAGATTCTGTGTACTTCTGCTTGAAGATCCGCAGTAAATGTCCTTCCTGTACGAAGTTCTTGCGTTTGCGACAGGGACAGTGTCACTTCTTAATCATGTGGGAAGGAGCAGTAGCAGAAATGCAAGCAAGCGACCGTCCTCTGGAGGAGGAGGTAATTTTATTTCATAAAAAGCCACGACCAGCATTTTTGGCACGACATTTTTCATCACGTGCAAGTGGAGCGGCCATTGACGCTTTCCGAAGCAGACGATGCGCATGTCACAGGATATGGATATCAAAGGTGTTCATCCGTTTTCGTCGCATGCCCGGCGGCAACACTCGCCCACTCGCGTGGTGCAGTTTTTTGCCGTGTCTTCTATGGAAGCGTCAGGATTGAAATCGTCAAAGTTGAAATAATTTGCAATGGCCTCACTTGCCTGCTCTGCAACGCACGCGCCTCGGGTCATACATTTTATGCATGACAAATCATTTCAACTTTGACGATTTCAATCCTGACGCTTCCATATCTTCACTGTCGAAAGTAACGGAGAAGCCCAGATAGGGCTTGCGACCCCCCGTGCTCTTCAAGTCGCCGTCCTTGAAGTAAAAACACCGGGTGGGCTCCTTCGCGGACTTTTTGCTGGTGATTATGGAAGCGTCAGGATTGAAATCGTCAAAGTTGAAATGATTTGTCATGCATAAAATCGATACCAGTTGGAAGCCCAATTTCCAAGCGGTGCAGGACAAATTTCGCAACCGTCTACATCCCGTTTGTCATGCTGTTTGGGCACAGAAGACCGCTTTTGTCATGCTCCTTTAGCAGCTCTATCGCAAACCCTAAATAGGCTCACAATCTGCCTCACTTGCCATCCCGGCAAGACAGGCACTCCATGCCTTGCATTTTATGCATCACAAGTTATTTCAACTCTGACGATTTCAATCCTGACACTCCCATAGTGATCTTGCTGATCATAAAAACCGGATACTTGCTGATCACGCGCACGTAGCCCCCGACACGCTGCCCCTCCGGATCAATCTCGACCTGACAGTGAAAGAGTAAGAGAATGGATGACATAACACTACGAAAAGCGGTGCAGTATGACGAGACGTGTCTAGAGAAAGTACGAAACGAAAATTTGGGTTTATGAATGACGAACGTAAATGAAACAAACAGGCATAGCACGTGGAAGTGCAACAAGAACCAAAAGTACAACCATGTGGTCACTGACATCATCTTCATCATCTTCCCACAACAATTTTGACAAACAGCATTAAAATACGAGATAGAGCAGGTTGTCGATGGTGGTAACGACCGCGGCGGAGCAGCCTCCGCTGCGGCATCGCCACTGCGCCTCGTGATTTTTCACCGGCCACTGCACCAAGTTCTCGTTGGCCGACGGGGAGAGGTGTCCCGCGGCAGCGTTGCAACCCGCCGCGCTGGACGAGACCGCCCCAAAAATCCAGTTCTTCCAGCTGTGCGCTTGCTGCCGCCACGTATGCAAAGGCAAAACTGTCCCGCGTTGGCGTCATCTCGGCTTCAATCTATATTGAGGAAGTCCCTTGATATTACAGTGTGTTGCCAGCATGATGATGCTCGACATGCAAAATTCCCCATTTCCTATGTGTTTTCTCTTGCAGCTGGTGACCATCACGCATCACAGGTTTATTGCTCATCAGGTCGATGCGACAGACTTGTCTTGCTGAATGTATGTTGGAGATTCGTCGAGACTGACACTCGCAGTTTTTTTCCCGGAAGATATCATGCCGGGGCGCACCAGTAACACTTGTCCCGGTCGTGGTTGATCATTTCCATTTTCTGCTCCAGCGCCGCGTCGTGTAACGCTGCGTAGCCGCCCTTGACGTAGGACACAAAGGGAATCTGGTAGCGGAAAGCGGCTTCGTACGCGAGGTTCTTGCTGATGACGCACAGGTGCACTTTCCGGTAGTGCCGGAAGCGGCTCAACAGCTGCGCGCCCGAGTGGTTCGGCGTAGACAAGGAACTACTCGTCGGCGAGTGGTTGTTATTTACTGGGGAACGCAGTGACGTTGAGCTAGAGGCACCTTCAAGTTGATGATGAACTGTGGCAGTTTTCAGATTTATTTTGTCAGACACGGCCGCGCTCGTCCCTTCATGATGATCTCCGTTGTTCCGCGGCTCGTCACTATTTCTTGAGGCGGTCCTGGACGACCCTACATTCAGCTGCTGGCTCACTCCACCATCTACACGATCAGTTCTACTCCCCTGGTCCACCAGCAAGTCACCGGTACTGCTTGGACCCGTTATTTCATGCTGTTCCGAGAACATTTTGTGCAGCGTGAGCGCGTCCTCGCAGTGCACGGCGCTCGGGAGCCGCCCGTTGTCCTCGAAATCCCGCAGCGGGCGGTTATCGATAAGCATCATCTGCAACTCGTGGATCCGCTTTTTCCCGCTCCCTGAATGCAGCATCTGCAGCGCTTCCGTGGCCGTGAGCCCGACGACCCTCGTGGATCCGGCCCCGACCGACGTTTGGAAGTTGTTGTTCTGGCGGTGGTAGAGCTCTGCTGCCGGGCTCCGGTTGCCCGAGTTGGAAGTCCCAGACGAAAAAAACGACCCGCCGCTGGCACTGTGGCCGAAGCCGGCCAGCGTCGTCAACGCCGTCGCGGCGACGTTTGCAGCCGAATTAACACCTCCGTCCTCGCCATTCCTCGGGGAAGATGGTGACTTAATTACTATTTCGCGACCGGTTTCGGAATGATCTTCCAGGTCCTGTTCCTGCTCCGGGTCGGAGTAGAACCCGCCACTGCTCGCTGCGGCGCGGAAGTCCCAGTCTTGCAGGTAGGTGGCCGCGTCGAGCGGGTCGCCGGTGGGCGGGAGGGGACTCTGCCAGGGCAACTGGTACCGGATGTGTGTGGCGAACACGGCCGGGGTCTGCTGGTACAGCTCGTCCGCGACGAGAAACACCTCGTCCACGGGAAGGGGCGCCAGCGATGCGAGCAGCCCGGGTAGCGCGGACACGTCGGTCCGCAAAATCTCTCCCTTGGCGCGCTTCAGCATGGCCAGACCGATGAAGGCCACGTACGCGGGGTCGTTGCGGATGCAGTAAAACTTCCACAGCCGCACCTGGTCGTGCAGGGGGAGAGAGTAAAGAAAATATGTCGACAAGCATCCATCATGGAGATGGACTGCACAAACTTAACTTCCTTCAAGGAAGTGGTCCCCTAAAGTTAAAGAGACAGATGAAAAACTGACAAAAAAAAATACAACTTCCCGCAAATCGTCCATTTTGGAGGCGAATATGGTAACGAACCAGGGCGTGGCGTACACGACTGGTTCCAGGTCGTTGATCGCCAGCTCCTGGTGCAGGTCGGGGAAGTGGTACAGCAGTAAAGCGTATGGATGGCAAATATGTCTGGGTCTGGAAACTTGTGATGCTGGGTGGCGTATCATGAGGAGGCCACAAGTGTTGACTCAGCATGGCAAGTTTCTGAGCTCCTAGGTGTTGCCTATTCTGCATGACAAACTGCGTCTCTGCATGACAGAAAAATGGGGCTCTTGGGAGGTAACGTGCATGACATTGGTGGTCTACGGGCAGGACGTCCCGGTGGCACGAAAGCCGATAGTACAAGTAGTCTTAATGTCTTAATGTCTCCCCTCGCGATTCAATGCACTTCTGATGGTGCATGCAGAAAAGCAGAGGCGTACCAACGCACTTCTGGTGGTGCGTGCAGGCACTGATTTAAGAGTCAAGCAAGGTAACGTGCATGACAGATTTAAGAAAGAGTCATGCCAGACAAGCATGACAAACATGCATTCTTCCAGACCCAGACATTTTTGCATTTGATAAAGCGTCGAAGGTGCGCAGGACCGCCTCCATCTGCTTAAACTGGTCCGCGAAGAAGGGAGCGCAGAACTTCGCGAAAAAGCCGTGAAACTTGATCAACGCTTTCAAGTCGTTGGCGGGCTCCAGCAACAGAAACGGCGCCAGGATCTCGTTCAGTCCCTGGCGGTAGAAGGTGTCGGTGGCCTGGCAATAGTTCGTGATCAGGGTTTCGAGCCGCCCGTGTTGCGCCACCACGGCGGGCACCGCGGCCCGGGTCCGCTTCACGTCAGCCTGCACGACGCGGTTGTTCCGCAACGGATGGCTGCTCGGACACGAAAAGACGAACTCCGGATCCATGTCCTTGATGCTGGGCGCGTCCGGGATCACGTAGCCCCAGTCGGTGGGGAAGGTCGCCGGGTCGATGTCGTGGGCCGGGGCGGGAGGGGTACCGGTGCCGGTCGTAGCGCTAGCGCCTCGGCCTCCCGCGGCGCCGACATGATCTCCTGCAAGAACGCCAGGCGGATGATGAGCTTGTTTTCTTCCATCTGCCTCTGCTCCTCGCCCGCCCCTTGATGTTGTGTCTCCCGTGGCGCTTTCGTCTCTTTCCCCCGCTGCTCCGCCTCGTGGCGGTCCCGGCTCAGCGGCCTCACCCTCGGCCTGGGCTTCGTGCAGATATTTGTTCTTTTCCTGCTCATAGTTCTCATCGGACGTGAGACCACCAGGTGCAGCATCTCTAGTACCGCCAGGGGAGGTACTAGCAGGAGCTTCACCTCCCGGTGGCCCCGCGTCACCTTCTGATGAAATAATCTCCGCGTCGTCCATCACGGTATGATTGTGAAAGGACCGTATTGGCTCCTTGCTGTTGCTGGCAGCGCCTCGTCAACATGGTAAGGAAACGCGGGGCCGGCTCTCCCCAGGACAACCAGCTCCTGTTGCTCTATCTATTTTTGCACGTCTGCCACACGAGAACTTCCATGAAGGAGCAACTTCACAACCCGAGCTGAAAACCCCGGGGACAGCTCGTACGGAGTCCACATCCTCACATTTTCATGTTCAAAAAAACCTTGAAGGATGAAATAGACAGAAGGAACTCGTCAGAGAGCAGATGTTCTGTATAAATGCAAATGATCATGATGATAGTGCATCCTACCAAAAATAATGCGACACGAGCGAGTGGCAAAAAAGTCGAACGACAGGATCTTCACCTGGTAGTACCCAGTCAGAAAGGAAGGAGGCGAGGGATGCGATCACACAGCTCGAGCTGCGAACAGTTATTAAGTACGATCGAGACAATTCAAAACGTACCAGCGACGATCAAAAGGATCGCCCGCCAAACTCGATCCATGCTGAAATCAGCTGTGGTGGATCACACGTCATCTCTCTTTCCAGCACAATGCGCGGTGTCGCCAAAATAATAATAAATGGTTTAGGCAAACTGAAGCGAAAGCGAATTGACCGAAAAAATGAAGTACACTTTCATAGCTGATCGCGGGCACTCATCAAACTTGAAACTAGGTCGAAAACTAACAACGAGCAACAAACAAGGGAACTGGATAACTCCCGGTGATGTTGAAACAGAAACGCTAATATGGGTATCGAATCGAAAAACACGACAGAAAAGGCAGGGGAAAAAATGCGGTGCATATCACTGCAGCATGTGCATGTCCAAGCCAATGTGGGCGGATAGATTTGAAAAAATTGTGCGGCTTCATGCCTCGTCGCTAGATTCTTTTGTCAGCTGCGGTCCTCAAGAGTCTAACTGTCAGCGTCTGCTCACGTCTAGTTGCTTTCACACAGAAGCATCACAGCACATATGATTTTCCGGCGTCACCTGCATCTTACAATTTATCTAGTCAATCTCATCGAAGAATTTGAGGCTTGCTGTCGTTTTTCGTTTTCCATATACGAGGTCTCGCATCCAACCAAGGTCGTCCCTTGTCCTGTCAAACATCAACATGTGTTTACGTCCATGAGAGTAAACGCATCGTCAACAAGCAACTACTCGTGGTGAAGCCATTGGCATTCGCATTGCCAAGAAGCTACCGTATGTGAATATGTTTTTCTTCTTTTTTATCCGCTAGAGCTATTGTTCAACCCGGGTAGACGAACATGTTGTTGAAGAGCGGGGAAGCTAGAATTATCTCCGGCAAAATATGTTGAAATCATTCAGGTACTACAAGAGTCTTCGCCATGGAAAAATGCTACATGCACACAAATGGATGCTGTTGCTCATGTGAAATAAACGAAGCGAGGAAAACTTCTGTGCAATCGTTCCGACTCCATCAGCCTGCCTCTCTGTGCAGCAGTGTTGTAACGAAGAGCAGGCTGCATGGGCATCACTTCTAAGTCTAATAGAGACCAAAGAAGTCTTGCATGAGACACGACTACTGTCGGGGTTCTTGATGAGGTTGTGCCGCCGGTCGCCGAGTCGCTGCTTGTTGTACAGTGGTGACGAGTAGGTGCGGCGTACAACCATTTGTTTCGCCGCTTTCTTCTACTCTCCGCTGGAGATCGATCCACATCTAGCAGAAGCTGAGGACCCTCCACAAGGCCTGGTGGCTGATTGTGGCTGGATGTCAGCTCGGCGCTTTACTGGGGCTGATTTTGCCTGAATTGAGCAATAACCCGATCAACTCGTCCTTGCCTAGGCTCCCGGAACTCGGAATGACCAAACCGAAAAGCTTGAACGTATTCCTGGTGTAGTTTGTGGAGTTCGTTGTGGGATTGGGATTGGGATTCGGATTTTTTATAGGAGATGAAATAAGTGTCTCAACCAAGAAGCTGCAACACCTCCGTTAGGAGCTGCTCAAATGCATCTCCTAGATCATATACTGCGTCATAAATATATTGTAAAAACGTATACAGAATTATGCTTCGTATAATTCCTACCTTAGCTGCGTCACATTCATGGTCTCGAGATCTTCCACGTAGTATCTGTCCAGTGCGTCCGCCTGCTCCGGATTCTGCCCGTTACTATTTCCATCGGCACCCGCCGATGCAGAAGTTGGCGTAGTCCCGCCACCCTCGACTTGCTCCCCGACCATTTCGACTTTGTCGGTGCACGCTATTATGGCGTCCACAAACTCTCGCTTTTCCATGAAGCCCCGCGCGTCTATCTGCAGCGTGCTCAGAATCTGCTTCAGCTCCTTGGCAGTCATGCGCCTGAGGTCGGATTCCTTGTATCGTGCTTTTCTCTGCGGCTGCTGCTTCTTGCGCTTCTCAAACTCGAGGTCGTTGGTCTCAAGCTCGTAGCGACAAACCGGACAGGTACACTGTTTGTTGGCAAGCCAGTCGCTTATACCTGAGATAAGTATGTTAATACGTGAAGATGAGATGGATGCGTAGCTAGTACAATTATGTCGATGATGTGTGGTGTCATGCGAAAAAAACCAACGTCGTCGCACCGCAACATTCCCAGACGCAATATCTAATGTTAACTAAGGAAAAAAAAAAACCAAAAATCAACTCAAGACTCAACAAACAAATCTTGCAACTCCGACAAACATTTTTCCAATTCCGACAAACATTTTTCCAACTCCGACAAACATTTTTGCAATTTTTGGCGAGCATCTGTTTGAGGGTTAGGGAGGCAAAAATGGTAAGGAAAAGCAATTTTTTTCGGAGGCCGTACCGTGGGGATTAGCGTTCCGAAGGGGCGCCCGAAACGAAAATTGCAAAATTGCAAAATTGCTCGAGATGCGCAAAATTGCAAAATTGCAAAATTGCTCCAGATGCGCAAAATTGCAAAATTGCAAAATTACAAAATTGCAAAATTGCTCCAGATGCGCAAAATTGCAAAATTGCAAAATTGCTCCAGATGCGCAAAATTGCAAAATTGCAACATTGCAAAATTAAAAAAATTGCCCTGCTGTTTACCGGCAGAACCGACGCGATGAGCTGAGTTTTGTGAACCTTTTGCAGCATTCACGCAAAGAAGCAGATTCTGCAGAAATCATCAGGGAAAAGCTTACGATACCATCGACGAAGCGATAATTTTCGGCGCCCTTTTCCAACAAAGGGCCCCGAAGTGGGTCGCTTCGTCGAAGGTATGGCGCAGCCTTCTCCGATGATATCTGCAAGCAAGTTGCCCCACAGCGCATGCTGCTCTAATTTCCCTGTAGTGTAAAACCCCATTGGATTTTACACTTTTGGACTTGGACAGCAGAATGAGAAGAAGAACAGAAGCCGGGACGGGAGCATCAAAATGCCGCTTTAGAAGACATTTTGATGTTCCCCTCCGGAGTTCGGACGCCGCGTCGTCCTCACTTCTTCCTGCCCGGTCCGAACATGATGGTTGACATTTTTCAACCATCATGTTCGTCAAACCGAGCCTCGGCATACACAAACATCTTTCGGGAACCACACGTGCGAAATACCCCGGGGACAGGACGCGCCCAACCCTAAAACACGACGCGAAGAGCACCCACATGACTGCGACCGGATTCGGGGAGCGCAGCCGCAACCTTTGGGCCCTCGAGATAAACCCAAAAACTGCCCGAATTTTTAAACTTTAATTTTGGCGGCCCATCAAGTAACGGGCGCGGCCAACCGAGAACACATTCGGCGCCCAGACGGAACCGAGCGAGGGAAACTGATGAAGGCCACAAAATAGCTGCCTTGCAGGCGCGAACCCCTGGCCTGAGAACGAGCTGGGCATGCGAATAGCAGTTCGAAGGCCAGCCACACACGACAAAAAAGCCGGCGGGAGTGGCTCCCATGCTTCTTTTTTCGCGTTTGTTCGATAGTAGTGCAATGAAGAAGCGCGGCGCTTGGTTTGTAACTGGGCGGAGTGGTAAGATGTATAGTAGAAGTCGTCGGCGTAGAGTGGAAACTACAGGAATATGGAGCGGCAAACGGCGTATGAATATGGAAGCGTCTTCCACGCGACGCAGCAAGTTGCTTCTGTTAACATGCAAGGCAGGGAAAGAAGAAAAAGAACCGCCACACCCGCGGAAAAAAAAGAACCGCCCACAAGTATTTCCAAAGCCCCGCCGTCCATTTTTAAAGCCCCCCGGGAATGGCTGGGGCCCGATCTGGATGGCGGACCTGCCATCGGATGGCGGGCCAGCAGCTGTGGCCGACTTGCCATTTATTTTGCGGCGCGGCAGCTCCTGCGGGCGGCAGACCTGCCATGGCGGAGCAGCTGTGGGGGGCAGACCAGGCACGGCGGATCAGCTGTGGGTGGGTGGGTGGCAGACCCGCCACGGCGGGCCAGCAGCTGTGGCCGACTTGCCATTTATTTTGCGGCGCGGCAGCTCCTGCGGGCGGCAGACCTGCCATGGCGGAGCAGCTGTGGGGGGCAGACCAGGCACGGCGGATCAGCTGTGGGTGGGTGGGTGGCAGACCCGCCACGGCGGGCCAGCAGCTGTGGCAGACCTACCATGGCAGACCAGCCTGCAACGCATGGCGGGCCAGCAACAAGTAGCAGACCTGCAACGGCAGGCCAGCCCTCGCAGACCCACCAACCAACCATGCATGGTAGCCCAGCCGTGGCGGCGCGGGCCAACAGCTGCGGCAGACCTGCCATGGCGGACCAGCTGTGGATGGCGGGCCAACGGTGCGTGGCAGACCTCACCTGCCATGGCAGACCAGCCTGCCACGCACGGCAGGCCAGCCAGGGCGGACCAGCTGGGAGTGCGTGGCACGCCTACCATGGCGGACCACCAGTGGCAGAACTGCCATGCATGGCGGGCCAACAGTGCGTGGCAAACCAGCCACGGCAGACAAGCCATGGCAGACCGGCCACGCATGGGGGGCCAGCCACGGCAGTCCAGCTGTCGCACAGCTACCATGGCGGACCACCAGTGGCAGCCCTGCCATGGCAGACCGGCCACGGCGGACCGGCATGGCAGACCTGCCATGCATGGCGGACCAGCAGCGCGCGGCAGACCAGCCACGGCAGGCAAGCCATAATAGACCAGCCGCGGCAAGCCAGCAGCTGTGGCAGAGAGTGAGACCTTCCATTTTGAGGCCCACCAACTCCTGTGGCTGACCTACCACGCATGGCGGAACAGCTGTGGCAGAGAGACCAGGCACGGCGGAGGGACCAACTGCGCGCGGCAGACCGGCCACAACGGACCAGCCACGGCGGACCAACCGCGGCGGACCAGCCACGCACGGCGGACCAACCACGGCGGACCAGCCACAACAGACCAGCTCGCTGGGGCAGGCACGCCATGGCGGACCACCAATGGCCGACCAGCCAGTGGCAGACCTGCCATGCATGGCGGACCAGCAGTACGTGCCCGACGAGCCACGGCAGACCAGCGGAGGTGGGTGGCAGACCTGGACCGGCAGACCCGCAGCCATAGCAGACCTTCCAGGGCGGACCAGCCATGGCGGATCTGCAGCTGCGGCAGAAGTGCCATGGCGGGCCAGCGGTGGCACCGACCAGACCTGCCAAGGGCACGGCGGGCCAGCAATGGCAGACCAGCCCCGGCGGATCAGCAGCTGTGGGCAACCTGCCACGCCCGGCGGACCAGCAGCGGCAGACCAGCAGATGTGGCAGGCTTGCCATGACAGTCCAGCAGCTGTGGCAGACCTCCCATGGCGGACCAGCGGAGGCAGATCAGCCACGCATGACAGACCAGCCACGGCGGAAAAGTAGCTGCTGCCGACCTTCCACGGCGGGCCAACTGTGGCAGACCGGGCACGGCGGGCCAGCAGCTGTGGCAGACCTACCATGGCGATGGCAGACAAGCCACGGCGGACCCACCACAGAGGGCCAGCTGCGGCAGACCTGCCATGGCGAACCGCCAGTCAGTGGCCGACCAACCAGTGGCAGACCTGCCATGCATGGCGGGCCAGCAGTAGCAGTGCGTGGCCGACCTGCCACGGCAGACCAGCACCTGTGGCAGACCTGCACCGGCAGACCTTCCAGGGCGGACCAGCTACGGCAGGGAGACCAGCCGCGGCGGACCAGCCATGGCAGAGAGACCAGCAACGGCGGGCCAGCTGCGGAGATGGAGAAAACAAAGCACCCGGAGCCATTCGGCCGCGAGGAGTAAGCCTAAGGCGCGCACGAATGCGCGGCGGGGCACCCGGCAGCGCCACGCCACGAGCTGGCTTGGGAGAAGGACCAAAGCAGCTGGGGCCATTCCACTGGGAAAATGCACCTGGGATGAGTGGGAAATGCGCTGCGCGGCCCCCTGCAACACCACACCACGAGCCTGCATCGGGGAGACGGGGAGAAAAACCCCGGCCCATGCGCTCGCCATTCTGCGGCGCGTTGGTTCCCAAGGAAAGAAACGAAGCCACAAACGAAAAAGCCCAACCCGGAAAACAGTCGGGGCCCCCTCCAAAAGGAAAGCGCGCAGGGCTTGCGCAGGAGTGGGGCGGCGTGCTTCGATCGCCAGAAGCGCAAAGGCACTGGCCCCAATCCCAATGCAAACCGAAGAGGACGCCGGGAAAGAAAAGAAACACAAAGGAAAAGGCCCAACCCAAGCAAGAAACAATCGGAAGCGATTATCGAAGGAAAGCAGGCAGCGGGACTTGCGCGGCCAAGGGGGTGGGGCGATGACAAGGGCCTCGCCAGAAGCGCACTCAAAAGCTGCCAACTCAGCGCACCCCTGCGGTAGGACGGGCTGGGGTCCGGCTGTGCCGGCGGGCTAGGCAGGCCGCTAGGGCTAGAGGCTAGGCAGGCCGCTAGGGCTAGAGGCTAGGCAGGCCGCTAGGGCTAGAGGCTAGGCAGGCCGCTAGGGCTAGAGGCTAGGCAGGCCGCTAGGGCTAGAGGCTAGGCAGGCCGCTAGGGCTAGAGGCTAGGCAGGCCGCTAGGGCTAGAGGCTAGGAGCGCGCCTAGCCTGCCACGCCCAGGGTGAGGGAAATAAGAACGCCGGAAGACAAAGGCGCCCGAGTGCCTGCTTGGGCTTGCGCGCCGGTTCGCGCCCTCAAGGGTCCCCCGGGGGTTTTGAATTTGTGTGATGTTTGTCGAGGTTGTGGAGCTTCTAGTGATTTTTTGGTTATCGGGAGGTGGTTGCTAGTATAGTACTTTAACATGTAAACAAATGCGAAAATTTCCTATACAGTCCCGGCAGAAGATGTGTCCGCAGGGCAACTTGGCCCCGGTGCCGGAGAGTTGCTGGTCCTCGAAGCAGATGATACAAGTCTTGTTTTCGTCGAGCGCCAAATCTCGTTTCGTAATCACCACGTCCGGTAAATTTGCGATGGCTCGTTTGCTCGCCGGGGGTACGTACCCGTCAGGCCGCGGGCGGCTGCTACTTGATGTGCTGGGGTTGTGAAATCGCGGACCTCCTTGTGGATGCCCGCCGGGCATGGGAAAGCCTTGTGGGGCCCCTCCACCGAAGAGGCTCCCGAAAAAGTGTTCGGGGGAGAACATTTCGCGAAATTTATTTTCAAGTTGATGTGCCACGAATTTTTTCTTTATGCGTTCTTGGTGGGGACAAATAAGGTTAGGTAGAAGTGACAAGCGAGTCGCAAGGGGGAGATGTCGTGTAAAAAAATCAGCAAAGCGCTAGTAATTTCACCATGTTCAACCAATACGGAAGAATTCTAAAAATTTATTCTTCAAACGGTCGTATTAAGGGGCAGTGCACATGCGTAGAGAAAATCCAAGGAATTACTGTTAGCTACATGCTGCGGAAGGTGTACAAATATCTAATACTACTTGTGGCCAAGAGGCAAAACCCAACTACTTTAGGCAAAAATCTAAAAACAAGTGTGCCCATCCTACACCGAAACTGCGCCCTCCATTATGGCAGCTGCAGCCTCAGGCCACTCCTGCTGCACTATGAACTGTGTAAAGTGGATTGATTTCTTTCGGAGATTCAACATGCGACGTTCTTGAATATCAGAGTTAGAATTTAGTGTCCCACCCCCGCATTGCGAATGTCGATGATTGTGTTTCTATTTGACTTGTGCATGAAGTCCTCGCAATAAAACTCGTCATTTCATCATCATAGTGTGCATGCTGCGAACAGCAAACAGGGCGGATCTTGTTGAAGGAAGCAATTTGCTTCTCGGCGCGAGAGGGAGTTGCGTAGGCTGATGCATGGCGCTTGCGGTCAAGATCGCGATCGGAAAATCTTGCAAGTGCAAGTGGATGGTGGAGGTGCCATATTAATCTTAATCTTATTGATTCTGACTGCGTATATATCACTAAAATTCAAGAAATTGTCTTTTGGTGGGGATATTCCATTTCATTGGGTAGGCGACATACAGAATGAACTAGTGGACCTGTTTTTAGTAGGAAACTCGATCGAGTCGCGTTTTTTAAAGCTAATATGCGGAAACTTTGCTTGGTTTCCCTATGTGCAACAACAGGGTAGCAGCTCCTGGTACTCGGAACAGAACGGCTTCTCTCTCGACGGGGCAAGATGTTGTGTGTCTTTCGCAAATACAACGGGTGCTCGTACTCGTTTTTAGGTGTTATAGTCGTATGCATCAAGGAGATTTTCGCTCGCATTGAGGGTAGTTGTGATTTTCATTTTCTTTTTGTTTTTATTGATGGCTGCTCTACGAAAATGTTTCGTCCAACGGCAAAAAAGTAAAAGACGGCGGATGGAAAGGAAATAGAGTCTTGATCTTCATCATCTGGTGCAAAAAGATCGTGACACACACAGACACAGACGTAGTTGCACCATGAGCATAGATGCTATCGTTAAAAGCGGCTGCTGGCACAGGAGCCGCCTTCTCTGCTTTTGCTACCTATCTGTGTCTTTTGCTTCCTGCATCATTTGCTTCGCCCGCTTTTCCGATACGCCCCCTCGAGTCCGTTCCTGCGTCGCCCTCGCTTCCGCAGCTGCCAGGCGCTGCTTCCGCTGAATTGCTTCCATGCTCGCCGCGGCTGCACCTTCGGGCGAGAGACCAGCCACGTCGGCGATCCGTTTTCGATTCTGCTCCCGACTTGTCCTCCTCTCGGAGGTCGTTCGCCGCTCCATCACCTGGAACTCTCGAGGCCCCAGCGACTCTAGCTCTGCGAAGTGTTGCCGCCTTACTGGAGAACCAGAACTACTTCTATCTAGAAGATTCGCATTTATCCTCACAGATGTAGAAGTTGCTGCACCCCCACCTCCCGGCGCCACCTTCCTGGCAACGTTTTGATGTAGTAATTGGCGGGGCTCCTGAACAAGAGCTGCAGCGCGGCCATCTCGAAGATCACCACTTCCTGATGTAGTTTTTTCCCCACCCAGATCTGAGAGCAGGCTGGGGATGCTGGCGTGATGTGAGGAGACGTGCAAGTGTTGCCGGGGTTGACCAGCACGGGGGGCGGCACCTCCTCCTGGCAGATGAAAAGGTCCTCCTCCAACACGCGAATGGTCTTCCTCTTGTCCTCGTGCTGTTTGCAGCCGCTGCTGACGTTGAACCATGGAAGGATCGTTATGGTAGGAGGAGCCCGCTCCCGGGTCGCGGCCTACTGGAGGCAACATCAGGGAAGCAGCAGGAGGAGAAGCTGCGACACTCTCGTCCTGCATGTTCTTGTTCTTCTCCTCAGTCGTACTCCTATCTGCTGTAACGCCAAAGTGGCACGTCTCCGACGAGCTCGCGTGGACTCTCCGATCGCGCGGCACGGCAGCAGAGTCGTCTGCGCTTGAGGCATTGGAGCGATAGCTTGCCCCTTGCTGTTCTTGCATCAACTGCTGATGTCGCTGTTCCTGTTCAACATGCGGTTGCTCGCGACTACTTCTAGCGCCGCTCGCTGTAGGATAATTTTGCTGCTGTTGTAGTTGTTGCGCCAACCGGATATCTTCGAGACGCGCCGCGAGCGCCGCGGCTTGCAGAACCTCCCCAAGTTTGTGAGCGTGGTGGTGGTCCTGTCTTTTCCGCAGCTCCTGCATGTCTTGCTCCTCTGCCGCAAAATGGTGCTCTCCATGTTTGTGACGTGACTGGGAGTTCGTTAGAAGATTTTTTCATTGCGGAAAAAATAAAGTAGAGTGCGTTTCTTTCTTGCGTCTTGAGAACCTGCGACACGACGTGCGATTGAAGCTAACGCCAACATCATATCAAAGTCGTGAAGTGCTTGTTCATCCATCGCGGCGCAAGAATGACTGTAGTAGTAGTACAGAAAATCATAAACAGCTGCTTTCATCCCACATTGATTTATTGTTTTGTGAAGTTTGTATCTGAATAGAATACCTGGTCCTTTGCCTGCGCATGAACCGGTCTGTTCGCGCGCGAGACGAGCATCTCGCGCTCTACACGGCCCTCCTGCGGACGCGATCTACTCCCCTCCCTGCTGCCGTCAGGAAGAGGAACGGCGGCTGCTTCAAAAGGGTTCGAATACTCGAAGGCGCCACCGGGATGTATGTCGTCCTCCTGGAAAAACATCTCCATCGCCGGCGGTCCGTAGGTTCGGCGGCTCGAAGACGTCACCCTGCTGGGGCTTTGTTCCCCAATCGACATGTTCATGTTTGCCAATTCAATCGCACGGGGCGGGCCACCTCCGTAAACGACCTGGTGGCGATCTTGTGTGGCGATTCTGCTGTTGGTGCCCCTGCTTCTCTCTTTCATGTTTTTGTCGGTCGATTTGTTCCTTTGCTCGGAGGTGAATGCGTCGTGATGAAGGTTTATTTCTTGTCCGATCTGTCGAAAGCCGGCGTCTCCAGCCGCCCCGCCGCCTGTGTGGTCGAGAAGTCGCGCTGCCTGCTGTTTCTCGTGACCGTGCCCGTGGTAATGATCTGGACCACCGTAATCGATCATGCCAGGACCTGTTCCACCCGGAGGAGGTCCCCCCGTGTGGCGTCGGTGAAAGGTTTGCATTTCTATGGCGCCCCCGCCCCCGTTGGAGGCGTAGTAATCCTGTTCCGTGGTTCTCTGTCTTTGTTCTAGTTCATCTCTGCCATTCACGCAACTGCTGCTCAAGCGTGGCAAGAAACCGTTACTTTGCGGAGCCTGCTCCACATGATGTTCGTTCAACAGCAGTTCGCGATAATTTGGATTTCCACCGCCCCTGCCTGTGGGATCATCGACATGATAAAAATCCGGCCCGCCCTGCACATTATTCTCTTTCCACATGCCCTCTCGTGATCCTCCGCGTCGTCCCTCCGGCGTTCGACTCCCCTGGTTGGTCCTCGCCGTGCTTCCTCCTCCCCCTCGTCTACCTCCCCGACCGGCCGCCCCATCGTCGTCAGGACCACCACCACCACCTGGAGGTCCACCTCCACCAGCACCGCTCGTATGATTTCGACGGTAGAAACTCGGTACGCCGCCCCACTTCCTCGTTCTCCGCATATGAAAGGCTTCGCGATTGAGGCCGAAGTGGCGCCCGGCGTCCGGCCCGTAGAGCTGCTCGGGGGTGGGCAGCGCGTTCATGTATTCCGTGACCACCAGGGCCTCCTGCTGTTCCCGGGTCAAGGAGTTGAACTCGTACAAGCTCTTGATCCGCGCGTCCTCGTTGTCGCCCGGGCCCCCGTGCCGCAGCATCTGGGCAAAGGTGGAGATCAGGTAGTTGATGCTCGCGGTCGGCAAGTGGTTCCGGGCCTGCTGTAGCGCGTCCGCCAGCCGGCTGGTGTGAAGCTCCTCCCACTTGGCCACTGTGTAGTGCTTGCGCGGGTTGTACTGCCGCAGCACGTAGTAGGTGTTCATCCACCCCTTGCCCTTCACCAGCTTCGCGCCGTCGGTGGCGCACTCGAAGTCCTCGCAAATCAAGGCGTGCGTCACGTCGCTGCACTGCACGTACCCCGCCTTGCCGCTGGACTCCATGCGACTGGCGGTGTTCACCGCGTCGCCCCAGATGTCGAAGGCGAATTTCCGCTGGCCAATCACGCCCGCGACGCAGGAGCCGGAGTGGATCCCGATCCGGATATCCAGCGTGTGGTCCGGGTTCTTCGGGTGCGGGAAGTAGCCCTGCCGCCCCAGCATGACCATGGACAAAGCGCAGCGCGCGATCGCGTGCGCGTGGACGGGGTTGTCTTCGGGCAGCCCGGCGCAGGCCATGTAGCCGTCGCCAATCGTATCCACAGAAAAAAAAAAACCATCGTCCCCATGATGTACTTTCTTTAATAGCATCATGACAAATGCAGGCGATGCTTCATGTTTTCCATGACAAATTGGAAGGGGAGAATTATGGATGTTTTTTGTAGATAAATGGTCTTGATCTTCTCCACCTGGTTGTCGTCGCAAATGCGGTCGAACTGCGAAAACATCTGGTTCAGGAAATTCACCAAGTCCTGGGGGTCCAGCTCCATGCTGAAGTCGTGGAACCCCTCGACGTGCGAGAAGAGAATGCTCACTTGGTCGTAGCTGGCCGAGGTCGCGGCGTGGGACTCCTATGCAATGCAAAAGTATCGTACTCGTAGTAATTGCATTTATGCATTAGCATTACAAATCTCGTTCTCAAGATAAATCAGCATTACAACTTAAATTTGTAATGCTGGGCTAATTTGTAATGCAATTTATACTAGTACGGTACTTTTGCAGTGCATAACTCCTTCAGCCGGTCGATGATCCGGGGGGGCAGGATGTTCTGTGCAAAAGTATCGCATTCGTAGTAATTATCGCAGTCATGCATTACAAATCTCCATCCCAAGGCAAATCAGCATGGCAAATTCCGTTTCTCATGCTCAGCTAATTTGTCATGCGATTTATACTAGTACGATACTTTTGCAATGCATACAGGATGTTCTGCAGCAGCTGCCCCGACCGCATGCTTTCCCGGTACACCATGGTGGCCTGGATGTAGTCCTTCCTTTGTAGTACTTCCATGGTATAGGATAAAGCGAGCAGCAATCCGGCGACGAACAAAAAGCTCTGGCCCTGCGGGTGCGACACCATGCCCCACAAAATGTTCAGGAAGTCCCGCGGGTCGCTGTAGTAGTTGTTCGCGACGTATCCGCAGAAAAAAACCCATCCACATCCATTTTTTGCATGACAAACACATGATTTGATATACGTGTTTTGCATGAAAAATTGGATGTGGATGGGTTTTTTTCTGTGCATACGACGTCGATCCGGCTGTTCGACGTCAGGACAAACGGCGTGATGGTGTTTCCCCTTTCGTCCCGGACCGGATATTCTTCCAGCAAAGCCCCCGTCCCGTCGCCGTAGTACCGTCTCTTCTCGCCCCGCGCGTAGTTGTCGATGTCGAAGCTGGACCGGCTCACCCGCTCCGGTTCCTCGGGCGCGTAGATGTAGAAGTCGATCACGAAGCACCACAACACCGCCCCCAGCAGGTAGATGAAGCGGAGCCGGTAGACGGACACCTGGATGATCAGAAAGATCAGCGTCGAGGCCTCCGCGTCCATGGAACTGGTCGCGGGCTCGTCGCACCCCTGCATCAGGTTCGCGAGTTGCTCCGTGTAGCGGACCCAGTTCGCCGCGGCCGCGGCGGCCATCGCGTGCTGATTGCCGTTTCGCCCGCCGTGCTGGTGACGCTGCAGTGCTAACCGCTGGTTGATGGCGGCCTGCTGCCGCTTCAACCGGCCCTCGTCGTCGCCCACCGCGCCGAAGGCGGACACGAACGAGAGGCCGAGGCTGGAGAGGAAATCCAGGGAGAAGTAGCTCAAAAAACTGTGCACGCGGCTCCAAAAACTCGACTGGTGCCGCTCGTACAGAGAGCGGAGTTCCTGGTGCAAGTCGTAGTGCGCGGAACACCCGTAATTGACCGCGAGCCACTTGATGAGCCAAAACCCGATGATCGCGAAGAAGAACAGGAAGAGTTGGAAGTGGCGGAGAACCGCCTCGCGGAAGAAGCACTGGCAGGACCACATCACGAAGAACATCGGCCAGACGGCCAGGAGCGGCTCCCGTCCGAGCGGCTGCGTCGTGTCCGTGAAGAAAAACGTGTTCAGCAGGTGCCAGACCGCGAAGAACAGCGTCAGCTATGCATTGCAAAAGTATCGCACTAGCTCTAGTAGCAGGAATAGCATTACAAATTTTTCCAGAAGGAAAAACTGAATTTGTAATGCTGATTCACCTAAGAGTCCCGATTTGTCATGCATAGCTGCAATTACGTACTTACAAGTACGAATACTTTTGCAATCCATATGAGCAGCAAACTGCCGATCTCCACCGCGTGTTTGTTTCGGCGCACGTAGTCCTCGGAAAAATCTTCCTCGGTGACTTCCTTATGTTCCACGTCACTCGGGTTCAACCGTTTCGCCCGCTCCCGGTCCTCGGGGGTCTGGTCGAATTCCAGCGTCAGAAAATGCATGCTCTTCCCGTACCGCTTCCAGCACTCTTTGCGCTGCAACCGCGTGGACACGTCCCGGCCCGCCATGTCCTTCTGCCACAGTTTGTGCCGCATCTTGTGGAAGGTGCCGGACCTGGGCAGAAAGCTGCGCCAGTTCCAGTCGAAGTAGAGCACCGGCTTCTCCGCCTCGCCATCCTTCTGCCCCCCGCCGAGCAAGTGGTGGAAATCCAGCGGCTCGTGGGCAAACGCCTCGGCGTATCACACAGAAAAAAACTGGCAGGTCATATTTGTAATGCAAAAATAAATAGACAAAAAAATTTGTATTGCATATCCTAAATAGCATGCTATGAGCCCGCCCATGGCAGGTTTTTCTGTGTATTTATTTTTGCATTACAAATATGCCCTGCCAGCTTTTTTCTGTGTGATACGGCGCCGAGCGCGGCACCCGCGGGGTCCAGGTTCGGGTTGCCCACCGAGGTTCGAGCTGCCATTTCGAATTCGACTTCGCACTAAGTAAAATGTAATTGGCGGCCGACTAGCCCCTTCCTCTTCGTCAAATCAAAATCATGATAACATGTTTTTACGAGTAAGAATAACTACATCTTCATAACGTAACCAGATCAAAATACAGGCGGTGATGCACGAGCTGCAAGTGCAACGCAAAAATGTAAATGCAGACGACGCCAAATTACGAGACGAGGAGATTGATGTCAACCGATGCAAAATATATGTCAACATTTTGGAAAACCGCCAGAGGTCTTGTGTGGCTGCTACTTTAGTACCAACGACCACACACACAGCTTCACTACATGTCTGGAACTTCATCACAAACACAAACACAACCGAAAGAATCAAAAAAAAACAGGAGACAGACTTGAGTCTGACGACTACGTGTCATGACAAACCTACGTGAAGATCTGTCTGTCCTGGACCTGCATCGCTGCGCGCTGGCTCTTTTGATCGCAGTCGTTCCACTCCCACTGCCAGATCATGATAGTCGATCTTGCTTGCCGAGTCTCAGACGCAGCGCACTTCCATCACGAATGAGTGTGATCTATCAACGCACCCATCTTCATGTAGTTAACCTAAAGCAAAACCTTCACAGGAGTGATTTATAGTGTGTCCTGTAGTTGCGTATCATCGTGGCAAACATGGAGAGGACAACTACTTGCTACCTTCGCAACATCATGAAGTCAGCTGCTAAGTAGACGGACGATGAATCGAACAACATTATCACCGCGGGATCAGTGCTGCTATTTCGTGAAGATATTCACAAACTCCAAGCAGAATCCATCGGAATCAATGCATTTTGTTCCTCGCAATTTCTTAAAATGAATTGCAAATTCTTTCAGTATTCTCGTTGACGGAATCCGTGTCTGCAAAAAAGTTCGCAACGCTTCCTCCCATGCGGCGCGCGTCTTTCATCTTGCTCGAGAGGCAGCAATATGATCAGTCCTTGTTGAGCGGAAAATTGCACATGATAATAAGCTACAACTGATTCGTGTTGCAAAACAAGCAAAAGATAAAGCAAAAACATCAATATCGTATGTGGAGAGCAGGACATGGGTCATTCCAATTCCAGTCGCCTTCTGGTACAGGAAGATTTTTCCATACGCCATGTTCCTTACTCATGAGCCATTGTTAATTTTGTGTCGTTTACTAGATAGAACCACTGAGCTGCGACGTCAAAGTTTGTTTCTCTCGGAAATTCATTTTGAGTTTAGTTTTTCTCCTTTCTTCTCGTTTTATCCACCTCGCCATGGTATTACTAGCCGCTGTTCTACCTGCGTTGGCGGCTGTCGCGGTCTCGGCGACCACCTCTTCCACCACGGCTATCGCGCCGCGAGCGGTAACCACCACCACCGCCGCGACCCCTGCTTCGGCTGTCGCGTCGGCGACCACGGGACCTGTCGATGAAAACGATTCGAGATTTCAGTTGGATTTCGTCTTTTTCACATGCACAGAAAGACGGTGGAGCAGACAAGTTCATATATCTATGTAGGTACCTTGTCGCATCATGTGTATGACGAGTAACGCCGGTGTTCTTGACATTGCTCTATCATGTTGAAAAAAAAACGCGAACTCCTAAGCGAGGGCCGAGGAAAGACAAAGACTTTTTATTTTTTTCATGCACTGGTTTTACCGGTCCCGGTAGCTGTCGCGTCCTCTCGAGCTCGCCCCACGTCCACCGCCGCCACGGTGACGCTTCTGTGCGTTATGGCGTTCTCAAGCGTTACATTCTCAACTGTTAGTGTTGCATGGATTTGTGATGCAAAAACAGCAATAGGGAAAGGGGCGAGCTTGCAAGTCTCGCATCATAAATTTGGCACAGATTTAGACGCTGTCTAGCCCTTCGAGACTTTGTCATGCGAAACAGCTTGATAGTCTGGCGGGTCATGATCAATTTGCATGGCAAATTATGTGCTAACAGTTAAGAATGTAACAGTTGAGAACGCCATATGCGTACGTGGATCCTTCGACACGCAAACCCCGGCCGTTGTCTTCCGCAAAGTCTGTTTTTTCATTTTCACACACGAATGGAATGTAGCTCATAAAGATGAACAAGCAAGCTCTCGAGCAAAGGAAGCAAATCCAAATCTTTTTTAATACCAACTTCCAACCCGTGGGCCTCTTTGATCGCGGTCTGTGCCTCATCCGCGCTTTTGAAAGTGACGAAGGCGAAACCCGGCGGGTTCTTTGCAATCCAAACGGACAGCACCTGCATTTCCATTTTTTGCATTTGATGAGTTTGCACAAAGAAGACAGGATAACAATTATAAGCATCAAAACAGACGCCAGTTTCTCTATCATATTTCTCTTTGTTCGTCGTCATCTGACTCTGATCTAGTTGCTGCATGCCTTGTACTATACCTCTCCGTATTTACTGAACGTGTCTTCGATCTCGTCTTTCTCTACGTCCTTTCGCACATTCCCGATGAAGACCTTTCCACCGTTCCTTTCGCTCTCCAGAGCTTGTTGCTGCTTGTCGCGGGGGAGAAATTCTGCCATCTTGTCGAAAAAATCTTCTTTACGCGCAGGTTTTTGCAGAAGTAGCAGTACCGCTATAGCAGGGAGCTGCAGTGCTTGTTTCGCAACAAGGTCAAGTAGAGAGTAGGACTCTGATCAATTTTTTACGAAGACTGCTCGGACTGCGAGATTCGGTTTCTTGTGCCGTTGGATTCGGCTGCAGCAAGCGAAACTTGTTATAGAGTCGTGGTATGGGGCTCGTCTTGTCTCGTCCTGTGCGGATGAGCAGGTCGTGACAGCGCTTTCTAATGCGGAACGCGATATTATGCGGAATACGAGTAGTGCGCTTCTAGGCGGTGGAAGAACAAGCGATGCTCTTACTGTGGCGCGCGCGCGATGCCGATTTGCTGTAGTACTCGGTTTGCAGAAGAAAGCGGCGTGGTGCTGATGAGGTGCCCTGTGATAAGAGGTCGAGAAAAATGGCTATGGTAATGAATGATACCAGAAAAAAAGAACCCGGCGGGAAGATAAAGCAACTACCAAATTCTGGATGATACAATTCGTCAGAAGAATCTTGTATTAATGGGTAAACAACATTGCGCACACTTTTGGTTTTGGATAGCACTAACGATATTGACATCATCAGAAGATGACTCGTGTTAAACGCAGGATCTCGATCTTTTACGCTCGTTACTGCCTACACCATTCGCAGGTTGAATTCGCCAAATAAAAATCCTAGAAGTGCTTTTAGATACACGGAACGAAAGGATCGGTTTGCTGTTTTTTGCACTACAACTCGCCGCTTGTTTAGTCGGTTGCTGAGACAGAGTGGTCTGCAGCTGAAGATAAGGATCGAACTCGCAACAAATTATGCTGACACGTTTGTTTTTGTTCTGCCATATCAACATCATGGACATGGATTCGCACCTTGCAGAATTGATGGACAACCGGTGACTACTAGCTACCACGTAAACAACAACGTCGCCATTCTAAAAATTTTGATCTTTTCATGCAGCCACTTACCGTGACCTCTCAACATCGTCAGATCAAACACACAGCAAACTGCTGGCGCCTAGAAGAAGAACACGACTCGCCGGCGTTGGCGTTGCAGGCTTGTGCACACAAACAGCAGCGGAGTCCATGCGCGCGCCGCGTTTTCGGTTGCATTGCAACACACTTTGGCGCGAGCTACACCGAAGGTTTCCCGGGAAACCTTAAACGACCCTGCCCGAGCGGAGTCCATTGATTTCTAGGTCTCACAGCGTCACTTTCTCGATAGAAAAACGCTTATCGTCTAAACTACATCTTCCGAGCAGAAATAGTCAAAGGTAAACTTTAATAGACAATCGCGGCGGGCACAAGGCGCGCCAAAAAATAAAAGTAGATAGTTGTTTTGAAAGTGTGTCGCCCCTCCCTAATACCGCCTAAAGCATATGCAACCTTAACAACCATGGCGAAAACGGTTATGCCCATACAGTCTTGGTTCTGTGCACATGTTCCAAGTATAAGCTAACTCCTACTTGTAAATTTTTGTGGCAATATATAAAGGCAGAGCCTAGCTGCTTCCAATCTGAAAACTTTTATAAATTTACTTTCAATGGTAGACACTAGGTTCGTCATTTTTCAACTCCAATCCTTTGCGTCCGGGCCAATTCACAGCGCTGCTATGGGTCCTTCGCGGGATTCTCCCAGCCTCAGCACCGTTGGTAGAACTCTTTTCACGAGTCGCATTACACATTATCCTTTCATCACACTTTCCTTCTCATTTCCGGGCCATGATCATTCTTGGGCGAACACTCTTCGTGTCTGCTGCGCCCTGCTTTCGTTTCGCTGGCTGGCTGTGTTCCTACTTTTTTGTTTTTTGCTTCACTCGTAAAACCTCGCCGAGAGCTGCCTACTACCGCATCGGCTTTCACGTTCAGTCATCATGTTTTTTCACGCATCCTTAACAACCATTCCAAACACGATTATGCCCTTACGGTCTTGGTTCTGTGCGTGCTGTGTGATGGACTAAAAGCGAAATTGACATAGCGGGAATTCATTTAATCGTCATAAGATATTTATAGAGAAAGCACCTAGCTCAACGATCGATCCCGTAGCCTGTAAAAAATCGAAAAAGGTTGCCACTACATTCATCACGCCCGCCCTCATTCAGGTGTAGAGAGTGTTTTCAGCGTGGTAGATCTTCAGCGCGTGTGTTGTGGTTGGGTGTGCAATTTGTTTGGGTATTCGCTCTAGATCTTGCGCTTAATCCTTATTCTCGTGCTTGTTTGTGCTGGGTTCGGGATCAAACAGTCTAAAGATTTGCGGGAAGGAAGTCACTCAGAGGATCGGCCCAGGGTTTGAACTTTTGGAAGAAGAACACGACTCGCCGGCGTTGGCGTTGCAGGCGACCGGAATATGAAATTCTCGCATTGTAGAAGCTGCTCGTGTGGTACATTGATTCTGTATTTGTCGCGAAATTCTTATGCGTTCAACTTCAAGCCGAAGAAGGAAAAAGATAGACAATCTGTCGCGTCGCTGGGAGGTAGCTCTACTTCTAACTGTATAGGAAAATTTGGTGTGTTTGCCACCGCCGGTCTCTGTATTACCAAAACGAAAGAACTCGAGAGCCCCCGCCCTTGAAATTGCAGAGAGGAGCTACATCTTCAAGGAAGCTGCATCAATCGCTATGCAAGTCACAACTTACTCGCGGGAGGTGTTGGCTCCACTGTGACCGCCGTTGGGTCGTCTTCCACAGTCATTCCGAAAGAGACCGCCATCTGCAGGTCCGGGTTGAAGGTTTCCAGCCGAATCCGTCCGTTGATCCCGTTTTTTTCCAAGTACTTCCCCGTGTCCGCTAACACCTGCTTCAGCTTTTCCGGCGTGCGCTCCTTGGTTCCCTTGCACCGCATGCTGATGAAGGTGCGCGGCTCGGGGTACATCTCCTGGCAATTGAAAACGTTCACTTGCAGAATGCCAAAGGGCACGGCAAACATCTCCTTCGACGCCAGAAAATCGTGGAACTTGGCCACTTGGAGCTTCCCACGCACGTGCTGGGCGCCCGCGCCCAGAAACACGTTCACCAGCGGCATAGTTTGTTGTTTTTCGCGACGCGCTGCTGTGCGCAGTTCTTCTAGTGGGGGGTTGAGGTTCTCGTCTGTTCTTGTTGTTCCGAAACTGAGAAACAAAAGATTATGGCTGCAGTATCAAGCGCAGCGACTCAGAATGACTTATTTTGTCGCCGTGGTGCACTCCTCCTGCAGCTCAGTTCTCGTGTACTGTGCCACCTCCTCACCGAGGGAGTCACGGTCAACACCGGGATCAACTCTCGTAAGTACTTGTGCCAGTCTACTAAGACTCGTCGTGCTGATGTCCCGCCAAAACTACAACTCTTCCTCTTCGTCTCCTAGTCGAGTAGACTGACTGAAAAAACACGTCAATTTGAAATCTCGAAGATGAGTTGATGGTGGTCTTTTCTTCAGTACCAGCACATTTACGGTCTTCTTCAGACGGGCAGCTTAATACTCGTCCCGGTCGCCAGCTCTCCGTTCGTCTGCGTTTCGTCGCAGCCGAGGGAAAATGAAAAGGGTCGTTAAGTCATTTCATCAGTCTCCGCGTAGCTAGTTCCCCATCATCATCCCGCCCATCGCGCCGTTCGGCGACGGCCCGGGGGCCTTGCCGAAAATCGAAGGCTTTTTGTGCAACACGACGGGGCTGGGAGCGGACGACCGACTTGGCGATTGGCTGCTACTGGAGGAGTCGCTGTTGGACCGGGACCGTTTTTTCCGAAAATGCAGACTGGTCGTCACCGGGCCGCCGAGACTCTTACTCGGCGAATCGTCGTCGTCGTCTTCGTCGCTGTCTTGCTCGCTACTGCGCGAATCCGGGCGCTTCAGCTGCGCCTTCAGGTTCTCGCGCGCCTCGTGGCGCTCCTCGTCGGCAAAGAAGGTTGCCAACTTGTCCTTGATCCGGTCCGTTAACGGCTGCAGTCCCGGCATGGTCTGCGGCGTCATGTTGGGGTCGAGCGGTTTGTAGGGGTAGAACGCGGTTTGGTAATTCCGATTGCGCTGCGACACGTTCTTCAGCATCGAGGCCATCAAGCCGACGGGTATCGACTCCGGGGTGGCGCGGGAGGGTTTATTATTTGCATTGGTAGAAGTGTTGCTGGGGACTTGCGTGGAAGGTGTAGTGCCGGCGTTGGGACCTGCTGGTGTCGTGAGGGAGGCTCCACTTCCTGGGACTTGGTTCATCATGATATTGTTCGCAGGAGGTGCACCCGCGCTGGGTGTAGCGGTGGAAACGGTCCCTGGTGCAGCTCCCATATTGCCCATCAAGCCAGCCATCATATTCATCCCTAGCATGTTGAACGGCTGCTGCTGCTGACCGGCAGCCGCACCACCGGCCGCACCCCATGCGTTCCAGCTGTTCCACCAAGCGTTGGTTTGCTGCTGGTTCCAGCCGCCTGGGTAAGAAATGCGAAAAATCAAAGATGTTTGGATATAAGTAATTCACAAGTTAGTCATACATCAATCCGCTGCCTGCATAATAATTCTGCTGGATCGTGTTCAAAGAACCATGAAAACAGGTACTAGTAGCCTGTACTAGCATAAACTTCGTCCCTTCGACCATAGGTATTTTTGACTGCCGTCCTCTATACAACGAACTACAACAAATGTACCTGCAGCATTTGGCTGGACTTGCTGCTGCACTACAGGCACTGGCTGTATCCTATGTAAAAACGCCCCCACACCAGAGTCAAGATGGGGATCTCGCAACACAAATCGAGAAGTATTGGGGGTCAAGCATGACAAGTTCGTCTCTGTATTGTAGTGCAGTTTAGCAAGTACAGCCGCAACACAAACCCATCTACTCATCCTGTCGACAGCATTACAAATTGCAAAACGCGCTTGGAAATGCCTCTCATGGGGATGCGCATTACAAATCTTCCATTCCTGTAGCTGCAAATCTGCATGACATCTCTGGGGTGGGGACGTTTTTACTCAGAATAGGCTGCGGTAGTTCCTCAGTGGTTTCCATCAACATGCGAATTTCGTGCATTTCCGTCTCGTATTGTGAGGAAAAATACCCCCTCCCCATATCGAAAAGGCACACCTCAGAAAATTTGCCATGCTGATTTGTGACCACAAATCGTCTCTGTCTTGCAAGAAGGCAACCGCACAGGCCTCGCGGCATTATGCAGGCGGTTTGTGATGCTATTGGGCCTACAGCATAGCCGTTTTTCATGCTAAACACCTAGGCCAGCACGTCTCTACTCGGGCTTGGTATGGGCCTGCAGTCCCCTACTGCAAGAGAGATCCGATTTGTGTAAGCAAATCCAGCATCAGAAACTTCGTTTCGATATGGGGAGGGGGGATTTTTCCTTTTGATATCTCGGACAAGCACTTGCGGTCCACCCACAGCTTCAGCAAATTGCCGACCCGCGTCCGCTCGGTGTCGCTCGTCGCTAGCTTGTAGCTGGTGCGTAGCAACCAGGGCAGATAGGGCTTTATCAGGGGAATGTTGCGCCACTTGTCGGGGGTGGCCGAGTTCGAAAAAGCCTCGCACTGGAGCACGTCGTGGATCACGTACAAAATGTGCAAAACGTGAGAGAACGTCCGCTCCGTCTGCTTCATGAACGAGTGGATAAACCCAATTACCTGAAATTTTGTGTAAAGGTTGGAAAAACAGGGTGCTTTTGGTTTTGCCCCCTTCTAAGTGTACTGTAGATCTAGATACGAATGACATAGACATTCAGAAAAAAACACTCCATAGCTGCCACTTAAAACTACGCAGTTCTTGCATCATTTTCATTATACACACGCTGCATCTGATTAATAAACTAAAGTCGAAAAGCAGCCATCAATAACAATCATCATCGTCATGCAGGAGCCAACAATGCAATCACAAAGAAGCTTTTACCCCCGTAACTCCGAGCTTGATGGCCTTCTCCACCCAGGTTCTGCCTTGTTTGATGTGTTCGGCCGAGGCGGTTTGCTCCAGATTTTTGAAAATTTGCGTCCACTGCTGCCGCATGGCCGGTGGGATTTCGGAAAGCCCGGGGTCCGCGTATTTCAGTGCCAGTCTCTGCACGGGCGTGTAGTTTGATGTTGTTGTCCCCGTATTTCCAGTTGTAGTAGTCCCCGCAGCAGCGGCGTTGGCTGCGGCCCCGGTCGTGGTCCCCGCCGCGGTATTTGAAAATAGTTGTGAAGCAGGTGCTGCGGTCGCGGCTCCTTGGTGCGGCATGCGCTTCGAGATCGGCTGCGCTGCGGCTTGTTGCTGCGTGTTGTTTCCCAGGGTACTTCCGGCCGCGCCAGCGGCACTGACCGACGACGCTTTGGAGGTCGAAAAAAGACCAGCGGCGGCGCCGCCCGGTCGTATCACCTGCTGCGTTTTCGGCTGCTGCGGTTGTTGGGCTTTCATGTTGTTGAGAGTTGCAGCTCCTGCACCACTTGCCCCTCCAGTCGCTCCTCCAGTTGCTGTACCACTAGTACTACCTCCAAGCAGCAAGTTTGTTGCCGCGGCTGCGCGGGTCTCCTGCAGTTTTGCGCGGTAGTAGTCGGAGCCCGGCCCGTGGAAGAGAAATTTGTACGCCGGATTTATCGTGTGTTTCCCGGCAAATTCCACCTCGGAGTTGGGGGACGGGTTGGCACAAATCGCCTGCACTGCGCGGTCAATCCGGTTCCGCATATCCGTGGGAAGTGTGGCCGCTAACATCGAGGACATCAAACTCTGCTGCTGCTGCTGTTGCCCGCCCATCATGCTGGAAGTTGTAGAAGTTGTACCCAAGGGGTCCAGTTGGTTCGTCGTCGTTGACAGAAAACTTGTTGCGCTTTGGAGATCAGCACCAGCTCCTGATTGATGCGCAGTCGCGCCGCCCGACCAGTCGCCCAGCGCCTGGGCCATAATGTCGTCCAAGCTCAAGTTCCCCGCCATCGTCGCTTTATTGTGCAAATAAAGCGAGGTTTTTTGAATCGGTGTTCAAAATGTGAAGAAAACTCAAAAATCGCTTTTATTTGCTTCTTCGATTTGATCATGTGTCTCTAGACTTCTTCCTGCCGATTTCTCGTCTTCTTCGTTTTTGTAGTGCGGTTTAATACGTGCTACTTGTGGTATACGAGACAATGCTTGCGATTTCCTAAAAGGTTTATTCATTTTTGCGTTCTTGCCCAATGAATACTATGAAGATGACTTATGGGTTCTCCTTGATACAAATTCCACTGTTTCCTGCGCAAGTTTCCTGTAAGAATCGAATGAAAGAGAAAGACCGTGACCGGTTACAGTTTAATATACAATCGAACGACTTGATTCGAAGCGGTTTTTTCAAACTAAAAATACTTCTTCCCATCTGAATAGTCCAACAGAGAAGCACGTGTGTAGTTGAATGCGATTTTGCTATTAAAATAGCAAGCCTCGCTAATCCGATTGGGCTCATCTGGCTGTGGAGCTACGTATTTGCGCCAGCGCCACTTTTTGCGGTCACGAATGTTCTGGCAGCGGTTTTACTGCTGATGCAGCTTGTTGTACGTGAGAGTGAGGCAAGCAGCAGGTTCTTTTGCTGTGTCGTGATTTCAAGCAGTAAAAAAAAATGATCTGTAAAATAAACGTGGACTTCTGCGACGATGAAACGAAAATGCAGCAGCAACAAGAATAAAATACGACCGACTTTTTCCTTCGTCTTTTGAAGCAGATTTTTCTACCGCTGATTGCGATTGCCGAGAACGTCCTACATTTCAAATTGCTGTAAAGCACCTGTTATTTTTCGCTTCATCGAGGCCTTATGCATTTATGCAGAATAGTACAACTGGACGAGCAGGTCGAGAGGAGTGCCCAAGCACGTACATACTGATACTGGAGTATTTTCTGTTGCAGGGAAAGACCAACAGCGAGGACATGCCAATGCTATGAATTTATCCATCACTGGCACAGCTTCAGCATCAGCTGGGACCAAAAATACTTATACTCTTAGATCACAAGATGCAGATCTACTTCACGTTCACCATGCTCCTGTCCATCATTTTGCCTGATATCATACATAAGGTGCTGATTTTATTGAGCTGTCACCCTGGCTGAAATAGAGTCTGACGCAATGAGCTATCATTTGTGGACCGATTTGTACCCTCGCGCGCCGCGCGGCTCCGGGCTGCAAAGTGTTCGTGGACTACAGGCAGCTACGTAAGTACTGTTGTTTTCACTTCCTAATTTTTGCTATCAAAACAACAAGAACGCATAAAGCTAGCTTGATTTCTTTAAAGCATGTAAAATGCTTTTACATGTAATTTCCTTCCTGCGTGGCGAAGCATCCGTATTCCAAAGCTGAAAGAAAAATCACATATGCCGTGCTGATCCTCAGGAACAGACGGCATTCATTTTACAGTTTCGCATGTTGGTTTTGCTCTTCTTACTCTCTCTGGAAAACAAAAGAAGCTTGACTGTATCTTTTTGCCTATGCGTAGCACTTCTACTTACTTTTCCGACCTGAAACTTGAGAGGGGTTCAGTGCAAGATCTGTATAGAAAAATTGACATTTCTTTTTTTGAAAGCATCTTCAGCTCGGAAGAATGTAAAACTAATACTAAATTGAGAAAAAAAGGAACTAGTACTTTTTGATTTTCTGTATTTTTACTTGGATATTGATGCTGTACTATCAACATCGAGTAGATGATAATGGAGCTGTCACACTACAGCTACAGGGTGGTCCTGGCGCTCGAGATAACGGATCAAGGACTACATTTCAAATCTTCGTGAAAACAATTGGAGATAAAGATTTCGAGTTTTTTCTGATTACGTGTACTATCACGTTTGCGTTTTCTTGATGTCGTGGTTGATTCTATTCTTCAAACTAAGAGTGAGAAAATCAAAATTCGGGCGATCAAAATGCTTGATCTTTCAAGCCTTTTCGCTGGCGCAACAAGAAGTAGAGGTGTTTGTGATCTTGTCATGTCGAGTCGTGCTATTCGTCCTTCAGACTCGCACGGCCACGATCCTCATCCTGGCTCGTCGTCGCGTGCAGGTCCTGGCCCGCCTTCCTCTGCGTAAACAACGTGTCATATTCCTTCTTCGTCTCGCGCGTTCCCGCAGAGGTGAGAGTAGAGGACGCAGAAGTAGAGAAAGAACTGGATCTCGCAAACTTCCCCAGTTTCGCGGGTTCGTTCCTGCTCAGGATCTTGGTGCTTGTGGTCGCCGTGATGAACCGCTGGTCGTGCGACGATCGGTGCGAGAACATTTTTTCGCTGTTCATCTCGTCATGTAAAAATGGGACGCCCGCCTTGATGACCTTTGCTTCAGAGTCCGAAAACTCCTCGCCCCACCATGTGATGACGGACAGCGTGAACTTGATCATCTTCTTACTGTAAGAAGCAGATGAAAGACACCTCTTGAAGAAGCTTAGCCTTAACCTTAATCTTCGAGAAAAATTGATACTAGCAGTGCTAGCAATACTGAAGCGTGTAGGAAAGGGAGGGCGCTCCTGCAATCCTGCTTGTTGGTAGTCCGCAAAAACTTTCAGAGGGATATCTCTATTTGGGAAGGGTGCATGCACGACACCTAAAAATACGACAAGACTAGATGACGACGGGACGGATAGGACGAATTTCAATTTGAAAAAAAATGTTCTTGCACGTGAACGTGTAGGTGGTATACGACGACAATAATGACGATTGAAACGAAAACAATTCTAGGGGCGGAGTAGATATGTTCTTTTGATAGTAAACGAGGTCTCCATCTTGATACTAATACAAAAAAAGCAAGTAAATGATTGGGACGAAGAGTCGATGCCTTTCTTGAGGATCTGAGACCCCGATAGAAGTCAAAGCAAAATTGAGCCTGTCTGAGCGTCGATCATAGCTCGTCTATCATAAGAGCGCTGTCTGAGCAATAGCTCGATGACTTTGTAGAGGACTCGAGTACTACACAACACTGCTTCACTATCACCGATGTAGAGCGGCACGGACAGACGCAGACCATCAAGGGAGAAAACACAGAAAAACATCAAAGACCACAAGGTAAAATAGCAGCTATCGTCCCACGGAACGTCGTCACGTCAGGCGGGCTCAGCGCAGCAGTGGTCAGGCAACTATAACTAACACACCCGTAAGAAGCAGCTACACGAACGCCTCCAACTCTGGGTTGCATGTTGCCCCGAGGACGCACAGTTCTCTGTGGAATTCGAATTGCCGAAAGTAGAAGAGAGATTTTGATTTTGGTTTTGTTCGTTGTCTTTTCTTCTGCTGTTTCTGAAGAGTCCTCACACATACTCATACACACAATCACAAATATATAAATTGATGACACACTGGCCTCGGGGTCGGGGTAGCTGTAGAATACAGTGAGTGTGGGACCCGAGCGAACCGACAACAACAGAAAATAAATTCATAAAGCTCTCTAGATATATCAAGTACAAGGAATCAAGGAAAAGGATCTGGATCTCTATTTTGTAGCTCGAGGATATTTTCTTTTCTCATCTTCTGTTTCTTCTCGGCCTCATCAACATTGATGACAATTCGCTACCATCGCATGTTCCACAGCCTGGCCTCCGCTTCCTTCTTTGTGACGAATAAACTCATGCCCTTTTCCTTCACAAATGCATGCATGCGTGCCCAGACGAGCTGCAGACAGACGGCCGTCGGCCGGGCGAATGTCTCGCGCACATCCGCCTCCTCTTTTTGAGCAATTTTCTTCCATTCGTCCGAGTTAAAGACGATGTCCGTGGTTGACGTTTCCCACCGTGGAAAACACTCCATCTCAATGTCTGGGTTCGGAACGTCGTAATCGGACGAAGAGGAAGAGTCTTCATCTCTTCTCCTTTCCGGGGGAAGATAGGTTGATCCGAGACCGATGGAAATCACCGTCGTTTCGCTGTTTGTTTTCGTACGGGTGCTCAGCGTCCCTTTAAGGAAGGATTTACCTCGTTTTTTTTTTCGAGTAGGACTAGGAGTAGGTTCCTTTTCAATCACCTCTGATGATGTGAACAGGACAAGAAATCATACTACACATACTGATCTAGCACACTGGCCTACGACATGGACACTGTTGGACGCTAATGTACTGTGTTGCAGATGTAGCAAATAACAAAAGCTACAGCTAACTACCTTCCTTCGCTTCTGCGATGCAACGCCTACACACTTTCTGCATTAGTTGCTCCATGTCCGCGCTCCTCTTGTTGAACGCCAAATCGACATAATAGGCCGGGTTGAACAATACATCCCCGAGTGGATCAAGGTACTCCGCCACTTTCCGCAGAATCTCGACTGGGATGTACTGCCGGACGTGTGCTGGCGCCGTTCTACCGTTGAGATAGGAAACCTGATTCTGGACCAGTTTGACGCGCAAGTTCCTCCATCGATTTTTATCGAGCCACGTTCCTCTCGGAAAGATTGCGCCTTCGGACTTTATTGTCATTCGCAGTAGCCCTTTTCCTATATCCCATCGCTCCAGACAGTGTATCACTTTTGGTTGTTTGCTCTGCAGCTTCGAGTTCTTCTTTTTCATCTTGAGCTTCTTGGGGAACCACAAGACGTCAGCCTCACGCGGTCTCTGGGATCCTGAACCTGATAGATTGTGTTGGAGGTGTTCATCATCTTCAATCATATTTTTCATGCATGGAGCTCGAGGACGAGGTTTGGGTTGCATACATCTTCGGCTCTACTAAGTCATTCAAATTCATTAAGCTTCGTATTGTGGTTGCTCGTCAGCAACGAAACAAGAGGAGCAGCAAGAGGTCGGCGCCGATTCGAGTTCGAAGTCGACGGACGACATGTGTCTTCGCTGTTGGATAAAAATCATGAACCAAAGCGCACCGCTCAATTTTATTCGCGTGCCAAGTTGCCCGTCGGCCGCAGCCGCTTTGCAGGTATTGTGATTTTGGAGGTCTAACTCCAGCGGACGCCGCACCGCGGACAACTGCGTAATCGTCTTCCACCTCGCGGCTCTAGACTCTGGGGAGGAAAGGCCATTCAGCTCGTGCTCGATTTCGTCGACCGAACCGACTGCCCATTCTTGGACATATGCATGAGCTTCTTCTTCCACCCAATTGGCAAATGCGGCGGAGGAGGCCTCTATCTCGCCAACCTCATTCATAATTTCGGGGATGCCTTGGCCGTCTAGTAAAATAAACTTTTTTTACTGTTGTTTGGGTTGCCAACTGAGCAAACCGTGCGTCCTGCGCGCAGGTCTATGCGACTCGTGCCAATGCAGCGGAAAACTAATTCATTGTGACTATCACAAAAATTTTTGCGGTCAAATTTCATTTTTGTACCTTTCACATGATGTATCAATTTCAAGAGTCAACTATCTCAATGTCAAAAGACGAGACGACACACGATCGACGCGAAGGCGAATGAATACGATAACGATAGTACGCGAGAGGACAATGCGGCAAGCACTAATATGCCTTCGGACGAAATGTTCGATTCATGTTACTACATCGCGAAATCGGCATGGTCGTCCATGAGTATAAGTACCAAGTAATACTTTGTTTATTTTACAGACCAGCGGAGACACATAAATTATGCGTCCATGTGGTAGAATTGGATTTGCTCACGAACACGAATCGATATCGAAGTGTATGCCCCTGCGCCCGACAATTATCATTATTTTCATTGGTCGAAAAAAATGTAAATCCCACTCACGCTTAGCAAATACATCCCTGATCTGACTCCGTCGGAAGCGGAACATCAGCTGCGACACATGTAGTTTGATCTCTACAAACAAGATACAGACCTTGTTAATGGTCGGCTTATCTTTAGGGCTGTTTCGTCATTTCATCGCTTCAAGGGCTGGAAGTTGACCAACTCGTCTTCAACACCTTTTGCTATTCATGATATCCTGAAAAACTTCTTTGAGGCGATTTTCGACCTGCTCTTTATCATCCGGGTGTATTCTGTGTCCATACAAGGCCAAGAACTTATCCGGATGCCATCGCCGGCACGCGATGCGGTAGGCCTGTTTCGGGTGACCCGGAGCCCACAAAGCCTCGCAGAATTCCAGAATATCGCCGTTCACGGGCGGCCAGGGAATCTGTCAATAGAGTTCGTGGAGCGATTTCTTTTGTTCATAGACGATTTTTTAGTTTCAAGCTTGCACTTGCAGTATTGCATATCACAAAGCGCATTCCACAATTTGCTCTTCGAATGAAATGCTCACTCTGCGACAAAAAGGCCTATCAAAAAAGGAAGGAGGTACGTCTGAATAGCGAAGAAGCTGTGTGTTGGTTCCTCCCTCCACAGTCGTTGCTCCCGCACCCGCTCCTGCTGGCGCTATAATTCTTTCCTCGCTTGGCAATCTAACAGATGCCGCACCGCCGTTTTCCGCCACCTGTTCACCATTATTTGCCCTATCACCTGGTTCCACGTGCTCTTGAAAAGCCCGAAACTGCTCGTCATGCTCTTGCCAGATAGCCTTGTACTCGCTCGCGTTCACAAGATTCGCCTTGCTGAACAGCGTCTGGTGCTCTTGGACCTTCGAGTAGATGTCCGAATCTACTTCCTGCTCGTAGAAGTGTTGGTACTCACTCGGAATCCGTTGTCGGTACGTCGGAGAAGGTGACTCCGTAGTCGCACCTGGTGCGTGGCTCCCGCCGGCGCCCGCCCTGGTTGTGTTCGAGCTGCTCTTGTTTTTCCCTGGTGTGCTGTAGTTGCCCGCGCCTCTGGCCTTGCCGGATGAACCGCCTTGCTGTCGGCCACCTACCGCTCCTGCAGCGGAGGAAAAGTTCACCGCGCCGCTGCTGTAGCTGCGGACTCGTTGTTTCCCGATCTGGTCGCGCTCCCGCCCCATATCGCAGGCTTCCTCGTGCAGGTCTTTGCGTATCTGGGACAGTCCCTTGTCCCACTGCGCGAAGAAACCCCGCACGTTCGGGCCGCCATTTGGCTCGAAGGCGGCCGAGGAGCCGCCGGTGGAGATCCGCGCTTTTCCCGGTCTGGTGGATTTGTAGCCAGAGCTTGACGAGGCACTTGATGCTCCGCCACCATGCAGCTTCTGTGGGGTCGTCCGGGTGCCGTTCGCGGGCAGGCGGGTTGACGAAGACGAGGAGCTGTTAGGAAAGAGTTGCGGCCGGTGCATTTTACGTTACTTCACCTACTAAAGGCCGTGCAAGTGCGGGCAGGACACGGTCTTTTTCAAGTTGTTCTGCTGTTTTTTTCTTAGACCGCAATAAAGATGAAGCAGCCTGGTGTAGATGTACGAAGGGCAAGCAAGCAGCTCTTGTCTTGCTGCTCGGGGGCCTCAAGAGGAGCATTGCCTGCGCCCTGGTGTGCATCTTTCCTTCTATTGGTCCTACCACCTCGACCTCTAGTGCTCGTTGTCTCCTGGTGGCAGTGCAATCCCACAACTGTGCCAACTGTGGTAGTTCCCGCGATAATTATGAAGCTGAAGCGCAAGCTCAGAGAAGGTAACATCAAAAATCGAGAACGAATCTACTTCTGGTTCTGACATATTTTTGGCTCACAGACAGGGCTACGTGAAGAAGAGAGACCTCTCGTTCTGCCTGGCTCGCTCAAACTTGACAACAGCGATGCTCTCAATAAGTCTAAGATCCTATGTATCAGGAAGATAACAAAAACCTCTATGCTTTCGCAGCGGGAAAACTTCTATGACTATGCTTCACAACCCGCCAAGGAAAAGCGTCATGCTTTCGATATTTCATTCTTGTTTGTCTTTCGCTTTTTCGTACTCGTATCGTTTTTCGTTTCGTTTTGCCAATCAAAACAAACGATGCCAGTTCCCATTCCAGCTGAGCGGAGCGGGCTGCAGTCTACCAGAATCTTCAGAAAAGACATTCATATGGTTCAAAAAATTATTTCAATTTCAAAGTTCGAAGGATAGAGAAGAGCCCAAGAGTAGAAACGTGTACATGACATTCCTGATCGAAAAGCGGATACCATAGTAGGTACCCTGGTCATAGTCGCCAAAAAACAACGGAAAAGAACATATCTTGTCGGTGAGTGAAGATGCTTCACCTTCAACGGTCGTTCCAAAAACTTTGTACATGATGATGAATAGAATGATTTCGTAAAAAGCAAGAAGCCACAGCCAGCGTGAAACAAGCTACATGTCAACATCTGCAGTGAAGAATTTTTCCCGCAGAAATCACATCAGCAGCCGCAAAACTAGGTACTTCTGCGTCCCGATTAGGATTACTATCTCGCTGCCGCCCCGTTTCCGTTCCTCAACCGCACGTCGAAGAAGGTGCGGCTGGAGGGGAAGAGCTGCTTTAGTTCGTCCAGATGCTCTATCAAGTGCAAATATGTCTGGGTCTGGAAACTTGCGATGCATGTCAGGGAACAGAAAGCGCACTGTAATGCACCGCCAAGCATGACAGATTTTCTCGTGGCTCTGTGTTGCGTATACCGCATGAGAAACATCGCTTTTGCATGACAGACAAGAGGAGGTCTTCGTGGCCACGCAATACAGAGTTCAGAGTCATGCCAAACTAGCATGAGAAATCTCGCAATTTCTTCCAGGAGACCCAGACATACTTGCAATGCATATGCTCTGGCGTGATGCCCCGGGACCAGGACCCGGTGTATAGTGTCAGTGAGGCAGAGGGTACGTGCCGCAGTAACTATCCTGTGCAAAACAAGTATCGTCCTCGTACTAAAACTAATTGCAATCATGCATGACAAATCTTGTTTCTTAGCGAAATCAGCATTACAAATTCCATTTTTCCTTCTGGAAAAATTTGTATTGCGATTTGTACTAGTACGATACTTTTGCAATGCATAGTAACTTGTCAAAAACGAGTTTCGAGGCTGCAGCGTACTGGGCACAGACCGCAAAAGTGATGTGGCGCGCAGCGTTGGCGGGAGATCGGATAAGCCCAGAACCATCGTCGATCAAAGGGAAAAGCACCTAAATTTTGATTTTTATTTATTTTACGGCAATTCTTATTTTCGAAGTAGAAAAGAAGTTCAAGTTCGCTGCACTTATGGTTATCACAATCACTGCACTGCATTTTCACGCTTGATGTATCAAACCGCAGAATAAGTATGCGACAATGAAGCATATGCGTCAGCGTACAAAATTCCTATACAATTCCGAGCATTTTTTCGATCATCTGGTCCGTATACACCCGATTCCTGCTGCTTATCGCGTGATCGCCGGCGAGCCAGCTGAGACTCAGGACCGCTTCTGGACAGCGCTCGACGCACATCTGCACGAAGGTCTTGGCTTCCAGCACTGGGAGATACCGTTCGGACATGGAACACGGCCCGTGCAGCACGTCGGCATTCAGAATCACCACCGGGAGTCGCGCAGTAGCGTTCAACTTCTTGAGCAAGTGCAGGGCCGGCTTCAACGCGCGCTGGGTTTTGAAATCAAGTTTCACACCCAACGGACGGAGTCTGCGTTTTTTCGTAGAAGTGGATGAGGGAAATGCTGTTGAGGTTGCCGAGGTTGACAAAGGTGGAGCAGTATTTGTGCCAGTCCTAATTCCTTCAGAATTTCTATTTTTGCTGTCACTTGCTAGTGATCCCGAGGACATTGTTGGCTCCCCGGGAAAACTACTGCCTCCTGAGCGGTTGTCGAACAAAAAACCCACGTGATCCTCGTGTCGATCGGTATCCCTGTCCGTCTCGCTGGTTGCCCCATTCATCATCCCCGATGTTGTTGTTTTGTCCGACGTGGCGGACGTCGAAGCAGTAGACGCGGAGCTGTCGCGCGCTTCCGGAAGCGCGAGGTGGTGAAGGTCAGTGGTATTCACAAACAAGGCTCTGCTCGTCCCGGAAAATGAATTCTTGGAAGACTTCGAGGCGGCTGCCGCACCATCCGTGGTAGAGCTAATGGGCGCCCGCTTCTTCGCAGACGATGAACTTTTTTCCGTGCTTTGGCTGCCTCGCGAAAAATTCCCGTCGTCTAGAGCAATCTTTCTTGTGTTTGATGTTCTTGCCGTTGGAGTACTAAGAGCGACGGTGTCGTGATTGTGTTTCGCATCTTGAGGAGCATCAGGACGACGAGGTGGTTCTTCGGTATCGGTTCCGCTTCTCGAAAAACTACTCGTTGACAGCTCTTCGAGTTCAAGGAAGGAACCAGACGTCAAATCATCTTTCGTAGGGCCGTTCTTTCTTCCGCCGGTCCAGAAAGTTGGGCCTGAGGTCGCGGCACGCGCACGCGCGGGAGGGTCGAACTGCCTGCTGTAATCATAATCTGCAGGAGCAGGTGTTGTACTTCGTATAGGTGTGAAATCGTCCAGCTTCAAGCTATTCGCAACAGCTTCAGCAGGAGGAATTATGGGTGCGAATTCATCGTCAGTTGCCTGCGAATGCGGCCAGTGGGAGCTAGTGATCGCAGCTGGCCAAGACCAATCGCGACAAAGCTCAACAGCACCAGAAGGATAGTACTCTGCTTGTTGCTCAGTTGCGGTCGCCCTGCAGCCATTCTCTACTCCCTGCTGTAGTCGTCCACCTTGATCGTAGTTTGCGCTGTTTGTCCGCTGGTGACCACAAGAAGATGCTCTCGTAGTAGAGCACGCTACTTCCCGTGCCGTTTTTTCCTTGTAGTACGCGTCATTTTCTTCGCACAGCACTCGCAGAAACTCGGCCAAACTCAAGTCCGACTTTGTGTAGGGAAAATGGCATAAAATCAGCTGCTCGCCGTCATCCATGTCCTCGTACACGTCTCTCGGGGTCGCGGGTCCCCCACCCGAGTGCAGGTGATGTCCACCTGCTCCAGCTGTAGTGCCGCGACTTGTAGTTCTACTTGCCCCAGAAGATGTTGCTCCTACGCCGCCGCTGCAACTGCCACCCAGCTCCTCTTCCTCCAGCTTCCTGCGGCATTGAAACTTCTTCCGCGCCCCGACGCAATTGAAGTCGAAGAATTTTGGGAAATCCACAATCACCTTTTCGCGCCCGTCCCGAAGCAATTTCCCGACGGTCACGTCGACCTCAATGATGTCCGCATCCCCTTCATTGCGCAAAACGTCCCGCAGCTGCCGCCGCGTGTTGCACCCATGCGCCCAGCGAAGGTCTCCCAAAGCGCGGCCTGTTGCTGTTGTTGAAGTAGCCCTAGTGCTATCTTTTGTGGCTGGTGCCCCACCAGGGGAATACGAATATGGTCCTTTACTAGTACTCCGCGGGTTCTTACCACTGAATGCCGTGCCTTCCTGCAGAACACTCTTGTTGACATAGTGGCTGTTGTGCGTCATGTGCTTCGTCAGATTGAGAGACATGTTAGGCGGGTCCCCTGCTTGCTTCCCTTTCCCTTTTGACGAGGACACTACCGGCCTTTTGTTGTTTCGAAGTGTACTTTGATGCGGCTCTGTCCGCCTTGCAACCGGGGAGACGCCAAGATTGTCGATAAATCGCTTCGACGAGGACGACGTCGCAGGCGCATTGCCAACCTGAACGGAAGTAGCGCTGTGGCCGCTGATGTCATTCTCGTATCTCCACAGTGGGGCATTGATTTCCCCCGAGGCATTTGTGTATATCGTCCGTACGGTCGAGGTTGAGGCGGTCCGCGAGACAGTACTAGAGGATGCCGACGGGGCAGCACCTTCATTTTTCGCAGCCGCGGTACTGCCTCCGGGTGTGACCGCCATCTTTTTCTATTAACCGCTTCGGGAGCGGGACATATTCATTTTTGTCAACAAACTTTTGGTTTCTTCGATTTGTTCATCATGATGTTGTAGCTCATCTCCTTTGTTTTTGCTTCTCATTTTTGTATCTGTCCCTGCTGAAGACGTCACTTTGTTTACCAAAAATGGTGAGTGACCTTCAACTTTACTTCCCTCAGAATCTGTTTTATTGCTATTCAGTATCTTGCTTAGCGGTTGTTTATCATCCCTTTTTTCATTTCAATAACGGTCGTTACTTACTACCTAGTTCTAGGGTACCAAACCGGTCTAGATTTTTTCATCTGAATCTCTCTCCGTAAACTACTTGCAGCTATGGCTATCATCTCTTAACCAGCTGAATGAGCCATCGCAATAGCGCTAACTAGAATGTTGAACATCGGCCATTTGGCGTTTCTGATATTGAATTTTTTGTCGAGTCTTTTTTTTTCATCCTTTCTTCGAAAAGCATAACTTTTTCCATCACGGTATCATCTACTTTGGGGCAGATTTCCCTGGTCTAGTCTCAATCACAAGCCGTTTCTAATTGCAAAAGCAGACTCCGCTGAAGAACTCATCGTCATACACAGTTTACTTACAATCGTCCTCATGTGATCTGTAACAGCCTTAATCTTTGCAAGAGTTGTAGTAAGCTCAGCTGCAGGTGCAGAAATGTGAATTAGATTAGTCTCTTCTGCACATTAACCTAGATTAAAAACAACAGACTAGTACTGCACCGCTCTCAGAGCTGCCGTCTCGCTGCGTTCTGGTCCACTTGGTGGCCAATCACGGGGCCGCCCGCCCCCGCTTGCAAAACGTTGACCGGCGCCGGCGTCCAGCTGCACTTCCACGTACGCGTTTTCCAGTCGTGACGCTGCTGCTGCACGCCCTTCGCGCCGCCGGCGGGCTCCTGCTTCTGCTCCTCTACCGCGAAACCTAAAGTTTCCAGCTCCGTCACCGGAAAAGGGTAGCACCACCCGGTTCCGCGGCAGGCCTCCCGGGCCCAGAAATCCGGCTTCAGCTCCACGTGCTGGTGCCCCGTGCGGGCGGACTCGCGAATCTGCATAATATGCGATTGATGGTGTTTGAGTTCTTATATGTGCAGCGAAACATCGAACCGTGCAGACTTAGTATGTGAGAAGCGGCACGTCGCATCTCTACACTCAAATTCATTCTTCAACATCTACTTCATGTTTAACACGACGGTAGTACGAGGGAGTGCACCTTTTTCTTTGGAAACGAGACATGCAGCCTAAAGTACCAACACACAGCAAAAAAAGAATGTACTTACCTTATCCAGAATCATTTTGAGCTGCTGCGTTTGGTGCGGGCGGCGCAGGTCGGCGGTCAAATCGCCGGCCATTCGCGCGTTGAAAAAGGGCGGCTGCTCCGCTTCGGTCTGCTATGCACTGCAAAAGCATCGCACTCGTACAAATGCATTACAAATTTCCCCAGCATGAGAAATAAAATCTGCATGCAGATTTGCCTTGGAGACAAGATTTGTAATGCAAGACTTGCATTTATACGAGTACGATACTTTTGCAATGCATATCTGCATGAAGGAAACAATGTTCTCTTTCACCCCGACATCCAGCCGCTGGACGTTCCACATCATGGATACCGGGGCGGGTTCTGCAGTTACACTGGTTACTGATGCTGTCGCGTCAACACCACGTGGATTTGCTGTGCTATTATTTGCGCCGGGACGGGCTGCGTTATTGTTCATCTGGTCGTGTGGAGGTTCGACCAAAGGCGTTGGCGCCGCTCCAGTTCCGGCACCCGTGAGAACTACAGTTGTGCTCGAGCTTAAAGTAGATGTTGAGGAAATCATGCTTGATGTCCGACCGCTAAGACTCGCAGCTCTCGCTCTACTCTTTTGGTTGCTCGAGAGCAAAGAGGACGATGCCATTTTCACCGAAATAGATTTCCGCACGGCGAACTCCCAGGCGTTGACGCAGTACTTGTGGAACCTGCGATGCGCTTTGCCCTCGACTTTCCGCCTCTCCTCGTCGTAGAGCTGGTTTAGGATTTCCCAGACTGCCTGCCCGGTCGGCTCCCCGGTGTTTTCTCCCCGGGTCGTCCGCCGCACAATAGGGGACGGCGGGTCCCGTGGCTGGGCCATGACATCCGCGGCTGCCTGGTTTTGCTGTAGTTGCTGCTGTTGCCGTGGCGGGTTCGCGTTGTTATTTGGGTTAGCGTTCATTTGCAGATTATGGTTATCTGCATTTAACATCGCCGCCGGGCCTCCTCTCCCGCCAGGCCACAAATTGATGACATTATCGTTCGGATTATTGTTCTCTCGATTCAGATTCCCTTGTTCGCCTCCAGGAGGCAGCAAGGCATCTAAATCTTCTTCCAGACCTGCTCCTGCCCTCCGGACGGCGTTGACATTCAAAAACATGGCTTTCGGTTGGCTTTATTCAAGGGGAGAGGGCTCTCAATCGATGAGGAGAAATGGGGGTTGAAAAATTGCGCTTACTTAGGAGTATGTTCTTTTGAGGTGTAAAATCTCAGGAAAGAGTACGGATACAGATAAACACACCGCAAGCAAACACAGAGGCGGAGAGAATGTTATTGACACTACGCAACTACACGAAGATAATTTTCAGCGGAAAAATGAAAATAGAAAACCAAAAGTAAAAGTATCAAGGAAAAATAATCTATTGCCCTTCGTACTTGTGGACGAGGAGGGAAAGGTATTTTCGATGGCACTAGCAAATACTTTTTTCGCTTTCCTGTTCGAATTGTGATGAAAATAATGAACTAGTACTAGATCTAGAGATTCAACGAAATTGTTCTACTTATTTTGTTTTCCATCGAAACGGCTTTATTACGCCATCCATGCAACAAGATTCTTCAAGATTGTTCTTTAGAAACAGCACGGCAATCAATGAAACGTCACGACATTTGCAAAGTGCACGAGTATAACCGAGTTTGTGAAGAACAACGCAGAGACGCATACGTACGACGAAGCAGAATTGGCGCAACAAAAAATCTTGCACGAAAGAACGGCGACTCGTCGCTTTTCACTAGGCATTTGTCTTTCTTTAGCAGTGAAACGATACTGCAGACAGCAGCAGCAGCAGCACGCAAGCTCACAAAACTCATCAGTCGGTGCCAGTACTAATATACCAGTACGAATCGCGGCATCAGTCATCTGTATTCTTGTTCAAATTCTTCGTCCTTTAGACCTTGATGTTTTTGACATTCTCATACATTCTTTTTCTTGACGTCGATTTCATCTGCTTCCATAATTGCATGTCACATGTCACGCTTTACTTCCAGCGCCACAGAGTGTTGCAGGCCAGAATCATCAGCATCAAGGCAAAGGAAATCCCGAAAACCAAAATTGGAGTAAGCGGACTGGCCGTTTTGTAATCGCCACCGGATGTAGTTGTTGAACCACTGCTAAAAATCGCGGAAAAGGAGAACAGATCCCGCAGCCAGGAAACGAACGTGTAGCTGGACAAAAATGTGGTTGAGAAGTCGGATTCGCTGTTCGTGCCGTCCGTGGTAGCACTATCATCCCCGTAGACTTCGTCCCCACTTCCTGGTGCGATGTCGGGCGCCCCGATGCCAGCCGCAAGTGCCCGTGGCGGTTTCTTGCTGGGCAATGGAAAGTCTGCGGCTTTTACCTCGTGTCGGACCAGCTTGTGGGTCGTGTGGTCCAGGTGTTGATGTTCCCCCGTTTGTGCGAAAGACGTCGCGCGGATCTCGGCGACGGCTTGCATTTCGTCGACAATTTGCTGTTTGGAAATTATGAAAACGAAATGCGATTGCAGATCAAAATTATCGGGTTGAACAAAGATACCACAAGCACGACTGAAAAGAGTTTCCTTGATTAGGTGCTCATGCTTGCATCTCCTGCCGAAAGTAGACGCCGGTTGAAAATACACAAATCGCAAAACTGTCAATGAATGTAGTGATACCGTTGCCATACGGTCCAAGATTTGAATCACGGACTCCATCCGTATTATGGCCTCCGTCGTGTTCGTGTGAGAGGTCGTGCTGGGTGCAGCGGTAGTGACCGAAGTAGAGGCTTCTTTTTTCTCGAGCAAGCTCAGCCGCTGGTGGAACTGCACCTCGATCTCGTGCTCCTTCGCCTGCCCTTCGGCCGCCAGTCGCTGGTCCCGAGCGGCCTTCAATTGCTGCTGTATCGTGGTCAGGGAGCGACCACCTGTTGACGCATCTTCTCTGCCATGACTCGTTGTTTTCTGCAAAGCAGAAGCAAACTTTGCAGCTGCAAGCGGGTCGTCTTCTTTCAACAAACTGTCGTCGTCCAACAGTCTTGTTATTTGGTCCACCTCGTCGGCAACACCGTGCGTAGCCAGCACTGGTCGTGCCTCACCTTCTGCAAACGCGAGTGTCCTGCCGCTGTCGGGATTATGATCTTCTTGATGCTGCTGTGAAGAGGATCTTCTCGACACTTGTTTTTCCTGCCTCATGAGAAGCGCACGCTCCTTCGCCCGTGCGTTCTCGACCTGCTTCTTCATTGCGCTCCGTCTGCTTTCCAGCTGAGAAAGACTCGACGGCTGGTGCGATGTTGATCTTGGTGTGCTGCTGTGGGGTTTATCTTCCCCGTGAAGATCATGTTCTTGCTGCGGTTGCTTGTCCAGAAACTCGAAGCTCGTACTCCCGTCCTCCTCCAGAAACGAGGCAGCTGCTGTGGTTGCACCAGCGGTGCTTCGGTAGGACCGGACCGCCTTGGCCGCCTGCGCCACGAGCAGCGTGTCCTCCTCTTGCGCCGTCCGAAGGAAGGATTTCAGCCGGTCCAAGCAGGCCTCTTCGGCCTCCCCCGCCACCGCTTCGTCGAAGGTGTGGTCGCACTGCTTCTTCGCGGAGCTAGTCGCCAGCTCGATCTGCCGCGCCCGGTACAGGTGCTTGTGGTGCGCCAGCTCCACCAGGCGGTCCGCCGTGAGGAGACACTCGGTCCGCAAGTCGCTCAACATGCGCTCCAGCGTCACGGACACCGGTTCCATGGTGCTCGTCGAGGTAGAAGTAGTGTTCAACGAAGTAGATGCCGACTCAAACGCAAACACGAAAAACGCATTTGCAGCCGCCCAGACGCCGAGCAGCGCAGGAGCTCCTCGTCCTCTCGGTCGCGATGGCGTCATGGCGTAATCAGTTCCTGGTGATCACGGTAAGTGCAGGAGCCCTTGTGTCATTGCTCTGTCTAGCTAGGCATCAGACACTATAGCTATGGAAAGTTTTTTCTTGGTTGCCATAGATATTGATATTCTTGCGAGAGTTCGATCGAAGTTAGAACTTCAACTGCACGCCCGGCACTTTTCGCCGAGCCCGAGACTGTTCATAGAGTGAGAGAGACGATAACGACGACATGAGAAAGTAGAGCGACGCCGATTTGATTGCGATTTATCTGCGCTCTCAACGGATCGGGGCACCGCTCGATGAATCTAACTCTTTGCTTCCACCGCTCGAAACAAAGCTCCCATCTCTCTCGTGCTCTCTTGCTTCGACCGCTCTCAACCGCACGCGCGCACGCATTCGGTTACCAGATCACGACGATTTTCACCTACTGAAAACCTAGCTAGCGGATTCTGCTGTGAAGACCGAAAGGAGCATCCCCAAGACTGTCGGGCTTTGCCCCCGGAGCATGCTCTTCCCGCAGAAAAAATAGGCAAAATAGATAAAGAAGGTTTTCGGAAAAAATCCGCAATCCGCGAAATTCCAAAGCTTTATTTTTATCGCGATGATTTTCACCTTCTGAAAACCTTGCCAGTGAATTCTGCTGCGAAGAGCGAAAAGATCATCCCAAAGACTGTCGGGTCTTGCCCCCGGAGCATGCTCTTCCCGCAGAAAAAAGGACCAAGAAGGTTTTCACAAAAAATCCAAAATCCGCGAAATTCTAAAATTTTATTTTTATCGCGACGATTTTCACCTACTGAAAACCTCGCCAGTGAATTCTGCTGCGAAGACCGAAAAGATCATGCCCAAGACTGTCGGGCCTTGCCCCCGGAGCATGCCCATCCCGCAGAAAAAATGGGCCAAGATGGTTTTCGGGAAAAATCTGAAATCCGCGAAATTTCAAAATTTTATTTTTATCGCAGCGATTTTGTCTACTGCAAACCTAATTAGCGAATTCCGCTGCGAACAAGACCGAAAAGAGCATCCCCCAGACTATCCGGCTTCGCTCCCAGAGGCTGCTCTTCCCGCAGAAGAGCAAGTGCAAGATCAACAAATGATGAATCACAATAAACGAGTTGGAGTAGAGCACAAGCATAAAAGATGAACGACATCAAATGCAATGTGGTTCACTAGTCAGTCCAAATTCAAGCAGCATCGTGATTGTTCACAAAGCTTGCAGTTCAATCTCCGCAGCACGACTTGAACTTGATGGCAGCTGGCCGGCTATCTTTTCCCTTCCCACAGCTCCTCCTGCCTCCGCTTCACACCACGCTGCTCTTCTGTCGCGGTGGTACAGCTGGAGCAAATGCCGGTAGCCGACGAAGGCGCTCCCACCCCCGAGCCCGCAGCCCGTCAGAACGTCTGCCGGGTCGTGGCGGTTGTCGGTTATCCTGGATAGAATCACCCAGAGGCCGAAGAGAAAGCTGAGGCCAACCACCGCGCCGCTGTCGGAATCCTGGATCAGAAAAGCGAAAATCGCGGCAATCGACGTAGCGTGCCCTGACGGAAAGCTGGTGTACGCCACACGAATCTTACGCAGGTCAGAGGTGCACTGTTTCGATTCGTCGTACCCGCACAGATCGTAGAAGCAGGGCCGCGGGCGCGCGACGTAGAGCTTGAAGATGAAATGGAACGTCTCTGCTAAAAGAACCACGCCCCAGAAATAGGCAGCGACCACCCACCGAGGTAATGCAGGACAGAGAACCTGAAGAAGATTGATGTTTTTCTACAAAAATGTACTCGAAACAAATTCACCATTTGAAAGGTAGCTCACCACGGACGAAGTAAAGTCCCAACTTTTACTGCTCAATCCGCGAAATTTCAAAATTTTACTTTTATCGTGTCCCCCGGACACGAAAAAGTCCGTGGTCGCCGACTTCTGTTGCATAAACTCGAAAGAGAAGGTCCTTTACTTTCGAGTTTATGCAGCAGAAGGTCGGGGACGCGCAAAAAAACTAGCACAACCACGGGAAAAACGACAAAAAGTTTTCAAATCCGCGAAATTTCAAAACTTTATTTTTATCGTGTCCACCGGACACGAAAAAGTCCATGGTCGCCGACGTCTGTTCGTTGCATAAACTCGAAAGAGAAGGTCCTTTACTTTCGAGTGTATACAGCAGACGGTGGGGGACGCGCAAAAAAGCTAGCAAAACCACGGGAAAAACGACAAAAAATTTTCAAATCCGCGAAGTTTCAAAATTTTTATTTTTTATGTCTCTGCAAACCCGTTGAACACAGTTCAACGGCCATCAACGAACCCTCTACCTCAAGCACTTACCTTTTCCTTTTTACGTCAACGTCTAGCAACTACTACTACGTACTTGTCAAGAATTAACAAAAATACCGCGCTCTGACTCCGGTTTGTGAAAAACAGGAGGAGCGACACGACCGCTGCGATGACGAACAGCGCCGGCGTGGGAACCGTGTCCGGATGGAACGGGTCGCCCAACCGTGGGTTATCTGCGGTGGTCACGGGCTTTCGATCGCGAATCCAGTCCGCCCGTCCGTAGGCGACCACCGTTCCCGTAAAGGCGACACAGCAGCCCAGGGAGAACGCGACCACGCCCACATTTGTCAACCGGTACCAGCTGCGCTCCTCACTAGCCTTGATTGCCTCACGCTTCTTCCGCTCCACGGGATCGAGATCATAAACTTGTTCATCTCGTGCTCTTTTTTTAGCGGCCGCATGCTGACCCGCTTGTTCGAAAGCATCTTCTGGGCTGCGGGTTTGTACCTCTGTCCACGTGATGTGCTGTTGCGAGGCCGCGGACGAAGTATTGTTCCCCATGCTGTAGTCGGCCGGCACACCCAAAACACCAGGCTTAAGCTTATTCTTACCGCCGTTCGATTCGCCCGAGCACTGCGGATGCACGTCAAGTCGAATGTCTGCGCTATCGGTTGCAGCCATCCCGCCTGCAGGAATGCGGACACCTCGCCTCATCAACAATCATGAAAAATAAAAAAAGGATCGAAATCGAAATCAAGTGATGAAAGTGAGCTTCTGCGTCAAAGATGAATCTCTGGAGTGGGCCTTCGCGACCCTCACCCTGCCAGTGCCATACGTATCTATCACATTACATCAGATCTGAAAACTTTGACTTTTGGCGATGGATCAGGATCGTCGACAGCTTCCACCTGGCCACGTTCGATATAGGAGTCGAGCACAGTAGATCCGCAGATACCAGAAACCCGAGATCGTCTACTTTTTTTGTGGGGCCGCCTCATTCATAGGTCTTGGCACGAGCGAAAAACTGCGGTCTCAATATAGAAATCTAAGTAAATCTCCCATTCCATGCAAAACGCCAAGACTCACTGAACATTAGGACTTCTGATTCGCAACCACGTCGCAGTCGTGGTTTTAAAATTGGTTTTCAAATCGTGAATGATCAGCCTTATGAATGTAGATGTACCCTTGGCAAGAAATACGACTTGTATCTATTTAAATTTGTTCTTCGTGTAAGTGTTCACTACTTTCATTCTGCCCTGTTTTCCCTGCCTGTCATTCCGCTCATTTGTCTATCTTGTGCTACTGGTGACGAATTATACGCCCCATTCACCACGCTGCTCTTTTCGCCATCGGGACTCTCCCTGTCAAAGTACGTGCGAATCATCCGCGTATGAACCATTGCGCTGACCGCGGTTCCGAGCGCAGCGCCCGCAATTATGTCCTCGGGGTGGTGCTTGTTGTCCACCACTCTGCTGCAGGCGACAAACACCGCAAAGAGTAGAAGCGCCGCTTGCGTAAATATCCTACCAGAGAGCTCCATCGCGACGAAAACGGTACTGGAGAACGCAAGGGAAGCGTGGCCGGACGGGAAACTCAGCTGTTGAGGTAGTGTAAATCATCGATCAGGCAAGAACAAAAGACTTCTGCCACTGCCTTCCAAACTCTTTCGTCAGTCTACGATTACGAAGCCCGAATCGTTCTTGATGAAGTAGACCTAATTATTACATCATTTTCAGAAGTATACCATTCCGCTTATCGGGTCCTTTTTGCAGAACTGCACCTCCCCCTTGACCAAACTGCTCCCAGGAAACAAGGGCGCCTTCTTCGCGTTGGCCGCAAAATGGTACTCGCAGGCGGCAAAGAAGTTCGGCCTTTTTCGGCCCACGTAGATCTTCGCGCAGCAGGTGACGAAATGCGTTGCCAGGACCGCGTAGAGGTAGTAAAGAAGTGAAGGGCAAAGCTCGTCTTTCCTGCTCTTATCAAACGAGCCGACGAAGCGGAGGGAAAAGCCGCGCGAGCTCAGATTCGGCACCGTGACGAAGATCGGGAGGAAGAGAAAGTAGGCGAACGCGATCACAAAGTAGCTGGACACGGTGTCGCTTTTCAGTTCGTTCGCGAGTTTGGCGTCGTTTTCGAAGAACTGCGTGTCGCGGGGCGGGACCAACGATTTATCCCAGTCGAGAAGCACAACGAGGCAGAAGAGAACGCAGAGCTGCCCGCACAGAAGCGGCTGCCCGCGGATCATGTCTGTGAACAGCTGCATCTTGATGTATCTATTTTTTTTCTGCGTGTTGCGATGCTCCTGTAAAAATTTCGAGTACTATGTAATCTACGAACTACGGTAGCGATAATATCCTTTTTTGTTTGGTGCTGTCCTGGTGCTTATGTACATGTACAGATGAAAGCTGAGAGTTTAGAAGCGAATCAAATGCGCGAAGGCCTTTCTTTTTCACTAACTTGACTTCGCTCAAAGAACAATGTAGTTCGATAAAACTCGTTAATATGCGCAATAAACTTCGTCGCAAGGAACAATGCAGCGAGGCGAAAAAGCTCGTCCGGAACCGTGCTTGCTTCAACATTTACCCTTCCGGATCTACAATCGGCTGTAAAACCGACAAGCGTACCTCCTCCAGGAATTTAGATTTTCACAAAAGCCACGACCACGATCATCGATTGACAAAACGAGGGCCTCGTGTTGTAAAATCCCCGGTCCAGCACAAGAACACCGTCCGGCATCTTGAAAGGCGGGGGCCAGCCAGGACATAATTCGGTGGAGGCGACGTTGCGTACAGAAGCTACTGCATGTCGCTTTTAGTTGCGAAGAAATACATGAGATTTCTTTTTCTTGGATGCTGTGAGGATGATTGCTGATGCCAATGCAGCGAGTATGATCATGAAATGAGCGGTGCATCAACCCTCTTCTTACTTTCATATGAGGTCCTCCTCCGGAGCAAATGCGGGCACTCTCTGTTTCGGTGCAGAATCTGTATCTTTTTTCTCGTTCTGACACTTGTTTTCGCGGCAGGTACTACAGCTGGTAACGCTGAAACAACTACGCCGAGCATCCAGTCTTTCTTGGTCGTTCGAGAAAACTACTTGCTCCACGTTGTCCTCCTCGTTGTATGGCGTTCTCAACTGTTACATTCTCAACTGTTACATGAATTTGTAATGCTAAACCGACCGAAACCACAAACGCAAAAAACCGAAACCACATGAATTTGTAATGCAAGACTAGCACAGGTGAGAGGGAGAACCTTGCGCGTCTTGCATTACAGGTTTCGTGCGGATTATAGTGCTGTTTAGACCTCCGAGAATTTGTCATGCGCAGCAGCTTGATCGTCTGGCGCGCGGGTCATGGTCATTTTGCATGACAAATCATGTAACAGTTGAGAATGTAACGTTTGAGAACGCCATACGTTGTCGGTGTCGGTTGTGAATTCCCTGAAAATCGCGCTGGACAACAGCTCCCGGCTTCCATCGCCCGACGAAAAGTCGGCCTGCTTCATGCGCGGAATCGATGGCGAGTGCAGAAAGTTGCTCTCGTTGTTCGTAACGCTTATGCAAAGGAAAGTCAATCTTCATTTTCGCACGGGTTGTGGTTGCGGACAGCGTGAACATTTTTCGCTAGAATGGAGAAGCAGAAGCTTCATCATGGTTATACGCTATTTTCAAGCGCTTCATCTCTTGTCAATTTTCTTCAAAGTGCCATGCATTCTCTCCACGTAATCCGAAGCAGCACGAAAATTGTTCGTCTAAACTTCCTAAATCATAAGATTCGGAGTTCGATAGTGTAAAAGCCGAGCTTGGGGTCCTTGTGACGGAAATATTCAAGAAAGAGACATCAATTTAACAATAGAATCGGCGCGACATCAACACGCAAGAGGAAGACGACAACGACAACGAACGAAAATAACCGATATTCGTTTTAGGTGTGGCTGTAGGAAACACAAACGGCCTCGAAATGACCGAGGAGGCAGTTCGCGCTTGCAGGAGTTGCCCAAAGCGACTTATGCTCATACTCGATACCAAAGCAACCGACATATGGAATTATCCACGAAGCGACCGATGTAGACGGTCGCGGCTGGATTCGTTGTTACCGAAAAATCTATCTACTATCCTATTTGTGTGACCGAAACTTGTTGGAAATTGGGATATTTTCCTCTTGCGGAACAACGTCAAATTGCAATTGAGCTTTTTTGAAATCTGAAGAAATCTTTCGCCTATATGCTATGCCATTTTCACACTGATACGTTTCTCATTCTCTTCGAATCACATTCACAACAAGTAATAAGCAATTACAATTAGTGCCACTGTTAAAAACGAAAGAAATGTGGTGGGGTTTCCAACCTCGAACAACAAGTTCATCAGTGCACTCAATGCATCGGGCGTTTTCTCTTCCTGATGAAGGTGTGTGCGGACGCTTTTCCGCAGAACTTGACCATCATATCTTCGAACCAGGATAGGCGTTTCGCCTCCCGCTTCTCGCGGCGGTATTCCTCGATGAGCTGCGGCATCTTGCGGAGCGCCTCCGCCACTTTGATTTTCCGGAACTCCCGGAACCGCCAGTACTTCCGGCCCTTGGGCTCGCGGTCGTGGATGTGCTTCGGCGGGTTGAAGAAGTCCCGGGCCCAAACCCAGGGCAGCGAGAAGTAGGCGTACTGCTTCTGGATGTCCCCCTTGTACCGCCCGGAGATCGGGCAGGGGTGCCACTCGCCGAGCTCGTCCTTCGACGGACCGATGTCCTTGGGTAGCGTGTAGGTCCGGCGCCCACCCCGTACGCGGACGTTCTCGTTGGGGTCCCAGTTGTCCCAATTCCGGGACGGCCAGTTGTCCAGCCGGTAGCGCTTGGCGTTGGTCAACTCCACGAAGGGGTTGAACACCGGGCGGACGCGAACACCCTCCACCATCCCCTCCTGGAACTCCCGCCGCGGCGTCCCCCGGACCTCGGCAGCGTACTTCGGCCGGACGCGGCGCGTCACCAGTTCGAACCGGGACTCCCACGGCACGTCCCGGGCGGCGCGGTCCAAAGGCGTGATGCCGGGCTCCGTGACAGACCGGAGCGAAGTGAAGTTGTGCGGTTGCGTGGGGTACAGCCACGTTCTCCAGCTATTTCCCAGGTCGAACAGCGAGTCCTTTTCGCGCAGAACTGGTGATGTCGACGGTGTTGAAAGAATTTCTGCACTTTGGTTTCCGTTTTCGAGACCGGAGGTAGAAGTTGTAGTGATGTTAGGAGATGTTGACCGGTCTTCGTCCGTCTCGAGGAGGGCTTCGGGGTCCCCGCCCGACTGAAAGTACAAGATCTCAGCCGCGGTCGGCCGCCGAACGTCAGTTGATTCTTTTTCTTCTCGGCACTCAGCGGCATATCTCATCGGCGGGAGGTGGTGTTCTTGTTCACGATTTCTCTCATTCTCTATTTCGTCAGTGGTTTTTCTATCCACACTCTTTATTTCCAGAGCAGCAGTTGTGCTTGAAGTAGATGCTACTGGAAGATCATCACCGGCAGCAATAACTGCTGTGTCGCAAGTATTAAAATCCTGCACTTTGGCCTGAATCCCCTCGAACCGCAAGTTGCCGGCGAACCACGCGTCCCGTCGCGTCAAAGCTGTTGCGCCTGTCACGGTTCTCGCTGCCGTCGACCGGACAACGCAATCTTCGAGATTTGACTCCACCAGCTCCGGCTGCGGCAGCGGACAGAGTTTGATGTACGCATTGCGCTCCGCCGCAGTCGCGAGCCGCCGCGGGATTGCAGTCTGGAGATGGCCGCCCTCCAGCTGGGTTCTCGGGAGCGCGCCCTCATTCACGGCTCGGAGCTCCTCCACCGTGCGGCGCTCGATGTGCCGCCGCGGGATTTTCGCCCGGTCTACACCCCCGAAAGCCCGTTTTTGCGACGCAAGACAACCATGATCACCCCTTGTGTCACACAGCTTCACCGTGCCGCGTCTCGAAACTGCGAGCACGAAGCGATTGGAAGACCGTGCACCTCTCCCTGCTGATGGTGGTGGTCCACCTGGGAACCTCACGATCATTGCCATTCTGCGTCTAGCTCTAGCGCTTGGTTTTATTTCATCGAAACAAAATAAATGACAACCAATCCGCCCAAGAAGAACCTCGATGGAACAAGCACAGTGAACTACGTTTCCGATGGATCGCTAATAAAGCACTAGTACTGATCATGCTGCATCGTGAACCCGAACACACAGAAGCAGTGCAGGAACGACGGTCAAGACAGAAGACCTTCTCGGAGCCTTCACTTCCAATCAAGACGATGTAGCTCAAGCTCAGAGGTTCGCGACTGCGAAAGCAGGTTCATTCTTGAAATATCCACATCACTGTGCTAGTTCTAGTTGGCTAGAGCAGCATGTACATGATGGAAGTACCTACGCAATACCGCACCCGCAGCCATGAGCACTTCTAGGTAAGTGACAATCATGACACAGCGAAGTCCACCAAGCTGGACGTTGAAAAATTCACCACCTCATCGAATCCGTCTTTTCGAGTGCGGGGGCGGCGTGATGCGTCGCTGTGGCTGCTTGTACGCCATCGACTCGAACGCAGAAACAAAGGTGGTTTGCTGATTGCCATAGGCTCCCACTTGATGTGCGGGGGCGGCCGCGGGGGACGGCTGCAGCATGACACCTTGCACTTGCTCTTGCGGAGCCAAGATCTGCGCATACTTATCGTCGCCGAAGGTGAACTGCGGGATCATGGGATCATGCGAAAGGCTGTCAACATGGGCGGCCGCTGGGGGAGGAGGAAAAGCACCATGGTGTGGGTAGAAGCTTGTCCACGGAGCCCACTGCTCGTTCGGCATCGGCTGGCTATGCCTGAGCTCCTCGGAATTGACTTCGTAATTGATGTTGATACCACGCTGCGCAGGGAGAGCTCCTTGAGTCTGCATCACGCCACCTTGCCGCAGATTCAGTGCGTACGGGTGCAAGAGCTGCTCTTGCTGCCCCTGTGCGCGAGCGATGGCGCGCATGTTATCCTGGTTCACCTTGCGCCTGCGCGTTTGCCGCACCGACTCCTTAGACGACTGTTCGGAGCGGAAATCCGGGTAGTAGAGCGGCTGAGTGCTGTTGCCTGCGCCGCCATCTCCCATTTGCTGTTCCACGGTGAGTTCGCTGTATGTGGGCTCTGTGGCCAGTTGCGCAGATACTCGGCCGGGTGCGGAGGCAGACGGATCATCGTGCTCAGCGTCTGGGTCATTTGCGCCACCCGTTGTACCTGCGGACCGGGACCGCATCTCCAGGAGGCGCTGCTGCAGACTCGCTAGCGGCTGTGCCAGGACGGCCTAGTGATTTTACGTATCGCGTGATTGCTTGTCGTATGTGTCGTTCCCCATCCTCATCGAAGACCTCGCCACAAACACAGACATAAAAATTAGCACCGTGACGACGAGGCTGGCAAGTAAAGTCATCGAAAAATAAGCAACACCAGCACGACTTGCTTCGCAATAACCCCACGCATAGCAATTATACCTGTCCTCTGTCTTGATCAGCAGCCCTGGCTTCTACCTCCACCGGACCGCCTTGCTCCCGCTCTTCCTGTTCTTCGGTTGCCGCTCTGTACTCCGCTTCTGTTTTTGCGGTTTCCTTGGACGCTTTCGAAGCATCCAGCTGGATCTCCCGGCGGAGATCTTCTAGTTCGTTGCGGATGCTGTCGATCTCTGGGTCGTAAACGGTCTTTTGCTGAGCGCCCTGGGAGGTCGGATTTGAAGACCCGTTTGGGAAAAACTGGCCGATTTGATCCTTCAAACTATCCAGTTCCCGCGTGATGTTGTATGCGGTACCGCTACCGACCTTCGACGATGCGCCTTGCTGCTCGCCTCCTCGTGGTGCACCCGAGGGAGTAGTGGCGGTCGCAGCAGTTGTTCCCATTTGCCGGATCAGCTGCGCTTCTTCCCGTTCGAGTTGCGCAGCCAATTGCGCCGTATCGACGAGGGTCATGCTCTTGCCGAGATTTTCAACTTCGCCGCGCAGGCCGGCGAGGCGCTGCAGCACTTCCTTGTAACCCGCGGTTTCCTCGAAATTAGCAGCAGCCGCTTGGCCGCCGCCACTGCTCGAGGGCGCTGCTGTCAGTTTTAAAAGGTAGCCATGGAGATGGAATGCAAAGAAGGACACATTAATTAATTTTCAGGAACAACACCTCCCCAAGAGCAAGAACAACAATTAAGAGAAGTTCGGTTATACGAAGAGTCGCCCCGCCCGGTGTGGACGTAGCATCTTTTTGCAAGAACCACTGCACGACGAGGTCCTTCTGCTTGCGAATCTTGTCTAGTTCCTCTTGGTAGTCCGACTCTGCGTTCTGAAAGGCCGTTTGAATCTTTTCCATTTCGGGTCCGAGAAAGTACTCCCGAAAACTGTCTTCCAGCTGCGCTATCGCCGTCTTCTGCTCGCTTGCGTTCGACTTCAGCTCCTCCCGCATCCGGCGCACGTCGCGCAGCGATATGGCGTTCTCAAATGTTACACTCTCAACTGTTGCATGATTTGTCATGCAAAAACACCATCACCATCCTCACAATCAAGCTGCTCCACATGACAAATTTACGAAGGGCTAAATAGCGGTATAATCCTTCCCAAATCTGTAATGCAAGAGGCGCAATCTTCCTCCTTTCACTTTTCCCATTCTTGCATCACAAATTCATCGTAACAGTTGAAATTGAAAATGTAACAGTTGACAACGCCATAAGCGACTCGGCCATGATTGGGGAGGCGGAGCTGGCGCTCTTGGCGGTGGAGGAAGTAGCTGCCCCCCCGGCGCCGCCCCGTGCTCTTTTCATCAGGCTGTTTGGGTGTTTTCTATCTTGCGGGTGGAGCTCCTCCGAGTGGAAATGCGCCCGCAAATCCAACATATGATCGAGACTGTGGTGCGTTTTGAACTTCGGTTGGTCGCGCTCCGCGATCATCTTCTCGTGGCTTGCGCGGGTGGGGTGCTGGTGCACCGGCTTCCGCTTTTCGCGTCGCTCCACGAGGTCAGCACGGAAGTCGCGGACCATTGCGCCCAGATCCTTGTTCCCATCGCCGCCCGTGGAATCATCAGCCGAACCGCGCCGTCTACCGCGTCGCGCTGTGCAGATGTTTTGATGATCACATGATCACTAGAAGGCTTTGCCAGGATCTCATGTCCATGCTCATTTTGTTTGCTAAAAGCGTCAGTAGGTGCTCGTGCTTTCTATTGCAAAAAATATCTTTAAGTACGCAGCGATGACGAAGACGCACCCCCAGAGGAGGCCGAAGTCGTCTCCTTCAATTTCAACTTCCTGGAAAAGGTGTGTCGCTGGTCGATGCTTTTCTTGTCCACACGCGCCCGCTCCGCAGCCTCCTCTGCCGCGTGTTGTTCCAACAGCCTGGACTTTAAGTGCTCGAGATGAGGGTTTCGCTTTCGGGAAGGCAGCGGCGAGGCGGTGTCGTTAGTTTCGTGTTGCAGTCCGTCTTCGACCGCGGCTCCCGCAGCGGTCGCTTCGGGCATTCCCATACTAGAGGAGAGCATGGAATTGTCACCCACCGCTCCTGCGTCGTTTGCGTCGCTGTTGTAGAATCCCGAGGTGGTTGTTCCCTTACTACTTATCAACTTGCTCCCAGTCATGGACCGTGCCCCCACCCGAACCTTTGGCTTGAAGAAAGCCCGCGGGACCGCCTTCGCAACGTCCGCAAAGACCTTGTCATGCGTGTCCTGCAACGAAAGCAAATCCCGCTGCATGTCGCGCCGCAGCTTCTGCGATTGCGTATTTGCATCCTGCAGCCGCCTTTTCAAGGCTTCCAGACCCCGGCTCACCCGCGAGTCGTCGGGCGGGGCTGGTTTGTTGGCCGAACTGGCGAGGGGCATGACGAAGGCTGCACCTGTGATTGGCGCTGTTGAGCCAGTGCCAGCCACGTCGCTCGAGTAAAACGCAAGATAATTTTCTTCGAACGGAAGAAGGCGGATCCTGTTGGTGTCTTTTCTTATTCGACTTTCTAGCTCTTAGTCGTAACAACTTCTACTTACTTCTACTGCTGATCGTAATCGCCATAGCATTCAAATTCACATTCAGAAAAAAAATGCAACGGAGCAGGCCTTCGAGATAGAGGCAGAGGCTCCGCAAGTCAAATCCGTACGAAGAAATTGCTTATACGGTGCCATGAACATCCAAGACGATAGCACAACAGCGAAAGTCAACAAGTCCTCACGAGGTTGCCACTAGTGTTCTACTCGAACCGCACAACAACTACTCTTTCGTACTTCTGAGCGACGCGGGAAACGGTGCTCCGGATGAACACCAACGAACACCTCTTTACGAAATACGATGGCGACGATTGATGCGATTTACCAAAAATTGGTTCGGATTCAGCCCGGACTAGAAGCGATCGCACGTAACGAACACCGAGTCTACTCGTCGGTCGCTCGATGCGAGCGTCGCCAGCAACAGAAACTGCGCGGCCGCAACATTTCTACCTTCCTGTTCTTATACTTGGCGACTATGCGGTAAGTAGGTGCCTGATCACATGAATCAGGATATTGTCCAAGACTCGTCACTGTCAAAAAGATAAAGACATAGATTGATATACTTTCTAGTTTCTCCCCCCGACTACCTACATCTCGTCAGTCGAAAATGCAGCTGGTTTTGACCGTTGTGATCACCGTGGCCGGCTTGGTTTTCGTTTTCTGCAATTCAATCCGGTACTGCGGCCCGGCACGCACCGGCACGCCCCCAAAAACGTGGTTGCTCAAACTCGCGGCCGCGCTGTCAACCGGGTCCAAAACCTCGAGCACCTTGCCCACGCGTCCATTGTGCTCGGGCGCGTTCTCCACGTCGACCATGCGCACGCGGGCCCCAATGACGGAATCCGGCTCCTCCTCCGGCGGTTGCAGGTTGATGTCGGCAATGTCTTGACCTATTTTGTCAATCTCTTCTTTCGTAACTTTCACGTGCGGCGCTGCCTTGCTTTTTGCCTTCCCGGTACTAGAACTGGCAGTGGTGCTGGCAGAAGCTGCTCCACCTCTACAACTACCTGATGCCCTAGTTGTACTTGCCGCTGTGGCGGTCGCCCCAAGTTCCAGCATAGGTTGCATGGCGCTTGCCACCATCCTATCAACTGTAAAAATGTCTGGGTCTGGAAGATTCTGACACTTGTCATGCACGTTTTGCATGAGCCATGATGTCTGTGATGCAAGCATCCCCTAGCAATACAGATTTTCTGAGGGCTTCTTGATGCGTATTCCGCATGACAAATGCCTTCTCAGCGTAGCAAAAATTGCCCTTCCTTAGGTACTCACGCAATACAAATTTTTTTGGAATCCAAATGCAGCATCACAAGTTGCATTCTGACTTCCAGACCCAGACATTTTTACATTTGATACATCCGCTCTCCCTCCGCGTCGTTTTTCATCAACATGGAGATGGCAAACCGGTCCGTCAACGGGATCAGGTTGAACATCCCACAAAACCGATCGTAGAGTGCCCGGTCGAAGGGCAGGAGCTGCTTCTTGTTGTTCTCGTTGTTCACGATTTCCTCCTCGGGCTCAACCATTTCATCCTTGACGTCGTCGCCGAGGATACCGGCACCATTCAAAAACTGCAGCACCTGCTCCGTATTCAGAGCTTGCGGGGAGGAGCTAGCGGCGGTGTAGAACGGGTCTACAGGAGGTTGTTGTCCTCGTCGGGCGGCAGAAGCGGAGCCTCCACTACCAGCACTGTTGTTTATTCCGGCGGCACTATCGCTTTTACTCGGCATCATCTTGCCGACCCGAATCATGTAGACATCGCCCCTGGCGCGCACCGCGAGCTCAGATTCGTCCCCGATGTGCATGTAGTTTGTGATGGGCATCGCAGAAGACATTGCGTTGCTCTGCGACGCAAACTCCGGCGGTGCCGCCACGTTGTTGGACGCGGTCAGCAGGGCGCTCGCTCGGGCGTTTTGCTTGTGCAAATTCGGCTTCGCAAACTTCTCGACGACTTTGCTGTTCGTGAAGCTCAAATTCTGACCGGAAATGAGCTTGGTGTCCGCCTCGAGTTCTGCGGAAGATGTTGAAGATGTGCGGCCACCACTTCCGCTGCCTTTTACGAGTCTCACGGCGTACCGGTCTTTGGCCTTTCCCGGATGCCCCACCGGGGACTTGTACGCGCCTGTCAAGTATCCCCGCCGGTTGTTCAGTGCCGTGTTGCCGGTCAAGCCCGAAATTTTCACCTCCGCCCCCTTCAGGTGCTTCGAAAAGTCCTCCTGGACGAGCCAGAATTCCGTGTTGTAGAACCTCTTCCCGGGGATGGACTCTTCGTTGTTGCATCCGGGTGTCCGGCCGATCGACGGCACGAACCCGCGGAAGGAGTTGCCCTCCACCAGGTGTTCGCAGTTGAGCAGCTGTTTGATCCGCTTCCGGGCGGCCGCCGGGTCTTTCGGCAAATACCGCACGTACGGCTTTACCGCTTCGTTCGCGGGCAACACCATGACCGGGACGAGACGGTCTAACTTCCGCTTTTCATCAGTCGTGATCAGCTGACCTTCTGCCTCCGGCTCCGTGAAAGATGAAGAACCGGTGCCGCTTTGCGCGCAGAAATACGCGCACTCCTCCTGGTGCTCCTCCCAGTGCAGCGCCTGGTGCGTGGCCGCGCAGTAGGTCGCGACGCCGCACTTGCCGCACGTCACCCAGGTGTGCTTGTCCCGCTCGGACTCGACGTTTTGGCAGTGCCAGCAGACTCGGCTCTGCCCCATGAGCTTGACGGCCGTCTTGCTATCGGGAGCCGGTGACCACGTGCTGTTGCCCGTCTTCGGAAATTTGTCCTCCTTTGGCCCGACACTCTGCAGCTTATCGCCGAGAGCCTCGATGACCGGCTTCAGCTGCGGGTTCGAAGCCAGCAGCTTCTCGAACCCCTTGTCGTCCTTCGTATCCAGAAGTTTAAGCAGCGCGGGATTCTTCTTGACCAAATCTTGCAGCATCTTCTGCCTTTCGAAGTCCGCCGTCATCTGCTGTCCGTAGTTTCCTTGCTTCTCCTCCTCCCGCTCCAACACGCACACACCCATCTTTTTCTCCTTTTTGTAGTTTGGCAACCGCCCGAAGAACTCCGGTGACGCACACGCCCGCACGATCGCTACCACCAGCTTGGTACACTTTTCGTCTGGGAACTCCGGGTTCAGATTTTGCTTAACGAGCTCCCTCCGGTCTGCCTCGCGCCTCGACGATGTTGACGAGGTAATATCACTTTCCGCCGAGGTCATAAGAGCGAACCGGTGCAGACTGCCACCACGAATTCCGGGGAGGAAGGAGTTCCAGGAAAATATCTTGCTGACTGTTTGTTTGTCTTGTAGTTCCTGCCCCGGTTGAGAACTAGTAGACGGCGCACCACTTCTGTGACCTCCGTACGCGTCGAGTGCTTCGAGGTAGGCCTGGAGTTTTTCTTCGTTTTGTTTGTACTTTTGCGAAGTACTACCATCGTTGGCGGCATCTCCGGTACTGGATGATCCGCTACCACTCGCTCCTGTTGCTGGTGACACCACCGCCCTGCTCTCCGGCTGGAACATCCCGGCGCTTTTCAAGCCTGCCATGTCCTCTGCGGGCAGATAGAGATTGCTCGCGTGTCGCACCAGGGTCCAAAACAGACCTGGATCTTTGTTCGCCAGGTAAGATGGCGTAAAAAAGTTCTGCCGCAGAGACTCGTTGCTCAGGCTTTTGTTCACCTGCCACAAAAACTCCACCTCCTCCACCGTCGTGTCCCTCATGCGCTCCATGAAGAGGATGGTCCTCGCTTCGGACGCGTCGACCCCGGGAAACCGCACCTCGCACAGGTCGGCACTGTCCTCGTGGGCACACCGAAAAATCACAAAGGCCCCCGCATGCAGCGCCGCCTGGCGAATCTTCGAAACTTCGCCCGGGGGTAAAGTCCCAGAGCATTCCTTGTTGAAATATCGCCCGCAGTCGACGACGAACGTGAACAGCAGCTGGCCGTGCGTCGGGTCGGTATTCTTGTTTTCGGCAATTAACGCCACGATGTTTTCCAAGTACACAATGGTGTTCTTCTGGAGCTCCTGCAGCAGCTGCTTCCGGCTCCACTCAGAGAGGCACGGCCTCGGTAGCAGTCGGTCGAGACTTGCTGCGGCAGGGCAGCTGCCCTCGGCGTTGTTGATGGTTGATTTGGAGGGAGCAACAGAAGTCGTCGCGTTCGTCTGCTCAAGTTTCGTTGCGTACTGTTTTACGAAACTCAGCAAACGCTTGAACTTGCGCAAGATCACTGAAGACGCAACAGGCTGAGAAGAAGCTTGAGTGGTAGTTAAAGGTGTGGCCGCGGCTTTGCCGGCGATTTTTTCCTGGTCTTCGTTTTTTTGTCCCTCCACCTCGTCTTCTGCCGCCATCAGCCAGTCCACCAGAAACCGGCTTGCGATTTCCAGTTCCAGCGACATTTTCGTGCCCCGACTCACTTTTTTTCGCGTCTGCAGCGCCCACTGGATGCCGGCTAACACGGCGGTGGTGTGCATGCGGCACTTGTTCGTCGGTAGGTGCGTCTTCCCAAACTGCGGACCCGGTTTCGTGAAGCAGGCTCCACCGCCGAGCTGCCCCACGGTATCCAATCCTGACCGGGTGTAGCTTGACATGATCTGCGCCTTCAGGTCGCAGCATGACTCGAACTGGCCCGCGCGGAACGACATGATGTTCTGGTTGGTCGTGGTTCCCTTCAATGGAAGTACGTAGTACTGTGTCCGCGACTAGCTCGTGAAAAATGCCGTATAATAGCACCTTCTATGGGTCCAAAGTCAATGCCCGTGACAGCAACCAAACAAAAAGGCACGGCACGCAGTCTTGTTCCAGTCTTGAAATATTAACGCTAAGCTGTGCGGGAAACGTTTCTGGCGGGGCTGCTGTCTTTGGGTGAATACGTTTTTTCAAAAAATATTTCTTCAAATGACGACGGGCGGCTACAGCGCTTTCAACGGACCTTGTGTCTGTTGACTTTTCGTCCTTTTACAAGTGTACTGTTGCAACGCCAATAAGTACGATCGACATTGACGCGTCTTGATTCATACGCCGATCATGGACGCATCATAATTTACTGCGATCCTTTGTGAAGCGCCGCCCAAAAAAGCACTACACCGAAAACTTTTGCCAGAAGATCTTCTTCTAATTCACCTCTTCATCTCGTTCATTTCAATAGCAAGTAGGACCACCCTCGCGCATCCATGTTTTGCACGGACGTGTGGATCGCGCTAATGTTGATCCACTTCGCGTGTTCCGAGAAGAAAAGTCACCACATTCGCACTCGGACCTAGCCCCGGCTTCGTCTTTTAGTGGGCATACTTCCACGACCGAACCACTTTCAATCATGATCACCACCGCAACCCGAGAGCTTCTAACTCCTCACTATTGAAAGACCTGCCTGGACTGAGGGACTTGCCCTCGTCCTTTCAATCTTCTGCTCAGATCTAGGTCTAGCTCTCGTCATTTCAAAAAAGCAAGGAAGTTCTGACATCTGTGTGGACGTTGTCTGCGGATGTGAGGTCTTACTTCCAAGAGACGGCAAAATCCAAACCGAAAGCGTGTCCTCCCTTCATCTCCTTTACACTGAACTCAAGTCCTTTCTTTGCAAAGTAGTCCTTCAGGATGACGCTCACGACGTCGTATTTCACCTCCCCCATCAATGGACGGATGACAGAATGACGCGCCGCAAGATCTTTTTGCCTTTCTTGCTCCCACACATCGTAACTCGCCAACAACGTCTCAGCTAGAGCTGGCCAGCGCGTCTTCGCACCGTCCAGCATGCAGCTGTCGCCCCCCAACTTGACGGTGATTCGTTTCACACCTGCACCCGCACTCGTCCCGGGCAACGCATCGACCTGGATGCTCCCGCGGATTTCTGAGGCCGAACCGACGAGAGTGTCGGATTCCAAACACTGCGCGAAGACCACCTCGATCGCACTTTCCACGTCGAGCCTGCGCTTCGCGATCGCCACATTTGCGAGATACTTCGGCCCCAGGATCACGTCGCTGACGGGTTGCAAAAAACAACAAACCCTGCGGAACAACTCCGCGGGGAAGTTCGGCATTAGTGCTGGCTTGCCAAAGCCCCGGCGTACAGCCACCATCCATGCCCGCATTTGGTCCTGCAAGATCTCGTCTCCGAGTGTCTTTACTGCGCTGCTGTGCAGAGAGGGAGAGCGTTTGATGTTCACTGAGACTCGTCCACCACCCGCCCGGACCGCAGTACGCGTGCACTCTTCGAGTGCGGTGCCGAAAGCGAAACGATCAGCAGCCGCCTCGTCCGGAGGAGCGGGCAACTGACCGCCCCCGTCTTCCGTGTCTGTAGTTGTCGCTGGATCCACTGCCTTCCCTGGAGTCCAGACGCAGCAGCTCGTCACCCCGAGGAGTGATAAGTCGTCGTGCTCGCAAAACTTTCCTGCACGCGCGGCGCGGAGACAGGCAGTGTGCCGGTCCAAGACCCCGCTGAGGCCTTTGATCGTTTCCGCAAGCGCAGAGCCCTGCTTGAGGATGTCAGCAGTTTTTGAAGGGTCGCGCTCAATAGACCTGCGTCGCGCATTGACCTCTTCCGTTGCTCGCGCCTCGAGGTTTGTCAGGCATGTTCGCACGCGCCCTTCAACCCAGGCTCCGTAAGCCGGGGAAGGTGCCGCCTTCCACGTCGCTACAGAAGCTGCAGACATTATCTTGGCTTGTTCTTCGAGATAGTGAGTTGGCACCACTTGAGTGCAAAAAGTGGAACAGAGAAATACTCTTGATGATGCACTACCCACCAGACAAAAAAACACGTTTATTGTTGTCGTTTGAATTTGCGTTTTGGTGTCGGCTTTTGCTTATTCTTGACAATGGGTTGTAACTCTTTCGTTTTGCTCGTCGTGTCCGACGTCCTCTGATTGGCAAATCAAATTCGTACGCAAACAAGGCTAAGGCTTGGGCTTCTTTTCCCAGTCCCATTAGAAGACGGCCTTCAGACCGCGACTTCTGTCTTCGTTTTCATTCTTGCCCGTTTTACGCACGCGTCAGGCAGCGCATGAAGAATCAAGAACATCAAGATTGAACTTCTGTCACCTCGTTTTCTTGTCGGTTTTACTACAGACTCCTCCCAAATCCGTATCTACGTTCTCCTGTCAACATGCATCAAGTATCGGTAGTACAATCAATTGATTTTCAGTAAGATGTAAGCACGCGCGAAGCTTTTATTGAAAAACTCTTTTTGAAGATCGATGTTTTCGTACATGGAAGTAGCAAGTCTGCAACATGGTTTTTTGGTACATACGTTTTTTTTCGGTTCAATTTCCTTTTCCAACGCGTATTACTTTTACTCTTTAGCTTGACTATACTTTTGAAATACCACAACAAATTATTTCATTCAAGGTGTAAATATTTTTCAGTGTACATTTGAGTGCGATATCATTCACAAGAGTAGACGTAGAGTGGCAATCCTTTTCTTGAGTCACAAGCGATCCGTTCCAAGTAAATCTTCTTATCCATCCCGATCCGCATCCTTGCCGTAGGGCTCGTCCGGGCGGTGCCTCGTCTCGAAAACCCGGTGCACCACCCGCGGACTGGACAGTTCCGTGGCCTGTTCGTAGTCCGCTTCGCTCAGCTCCTTTGGCGTTTTGTTCTTCGCGATGCACACACGGGACTGCTTCCCGTTTTCCGAACCCCGGTCGAAAATCGTGAAGAACGACCGCATGAAGATCTCCCCGGTCACAAAAATGTCGGGCCCGTACGGCGGAGGTACGTCGATGGACATGAAAGCGGGCTTGCACAGCCCGCCGCCGCCGCCCACGTACCACTGCTCCGGAGGCTGAATGATGTTTTTAGGAAAGTCGCAAACGAAATTCTTTAGTTCTCCTTTTGATAAAAAGCACGACAACTTCCTTCGCACTGGCGAAATCGAAATGCTGACTTTTGATTTATTTGTTGTGGTCTAGGTAAGCAAAAACTCCTTCCAGGCTTCCACCTAAACTCTTTCGCTTTCGCATTGTATCAGCATAAAGTGTTGAACTCACGCGGATAATACCTGCACGACGCGGTAGATATCTTCGCAATCCGTGTCCATACACAAGTCCAGAACCAGGTAAGGGATCTTCTCTGTGCCGGTCTTGACGTGTAGCTTCGAACACTCCACGGAATTCCAACCACCGTTTGCGTGCAAGAAATCCAGATTGTGTCGCGTCATGTAAGTCGGGCCGCCATTCCAGGTAGTACCTTGTCGTTTAAATTTGAAAGTTTTTGTCGTTTTTTTCTGCCGTGATACGAGAAGGGCTTTATTGTTTGTTTTCGAAATAAATTATTGGAATTGCTGCATCGCAACATCAAATGCACAAAATCAAAAAACAAAAACCTGTGTCCCAGAAGATGCTTTTCGGTGGATCGCCGCCCACGGGATGCGTGACCCAGCTGGTTTTCCCGTGGGGCCCGAACCGGAAGCCCATCCGCTTCAGCCCGGTTTGCCAGTAATGCTCCTTCTGCACGTCCAAGCAGACCGGCACGCCGTGGTACACCCTCGGGTTGACACCCCCAAAGTAGGCGCCGGACCGAATGTTCGGGTTCTTCGTGAAGTAGAAGGCCATGATGTTCTGCCCCTGGAACACGTTGTTGGCGATCGCGTTGGTGATCACCGACTTCAGCCGGGGCGAGCTCATGTCCTCGAACGCAAGGCCCATGATGCCGCCGTACTTCAGCGAGTCAAACACCGAGCCGCTCTCCTCGTGGATCAGCGCGAACCGCTGGTTTTCGATCTTGTGCCCCGCCAGGTAAAGCGTGTCCGTGCCCAGGGGCCCCCCGAGCGAACCAGAGCCAAATTCGATGCGGATCGAGTTGCACGCCTGCCGGTCGACACTGCACAGGTCGGTCGCCTCCTTGCCCGACTTGTGAATGTCGTACAGGGTCTCCTTGTTTTCCTGGCACCGAACGCTGTCGCACTCGCTGTTAAGTTTTTTTAATTTTCAAAGTTTTCCCTCTCATTTTGCAGCCACAGCTGGTGAGAAGAAAAAAATAATGCAAGGCGGAACCGGTCCGCAAATAAAATTAAACATGATTCGACCTCGCATCAGACCAAAAATCATTGAGAACAATCGTATCTATACGCAGCTGCGAGCCACAAGTTTGTGGATCCCGAGTCGAAAATGACGTTGAGCCGCTGCTGCTGCCTCCCCACGAAGATCGTGCCCAAATGCTGCGACGTGGCGTCGCGCTTGTCCGTCAGCGGTGTGGTCTTGTGGCTCTCGCTGAACACCCCGTGGTACGTCTTCGCCAGCTCGTCGGTGAGTGACTCGTTGTCTTCCTTCTCTTCCGAGGACCACGTGGGGGCCAGTAGTTCCCCCACTTTCGCGCCCAGGTGCTTCAGGTCAATGTGCCCGGTAAAGTGGCTGGCGATGTCTTGCAGAAAGGACGAAACGGCGCTCTGCAGCTTGTACGTCCAGGAGAAGTTCTCGCGCTCGGCCTCGGCGAGGTATTTCGACCGCAACATGCCCTCGTCGATATCCAAAAGCGTCACCTCGGAGTCACTCTCCGGAGATGACGATGGAGACGAGTAATATGCGTTAGTAGTACTACTGTCGGCGAACATACCGTCCACCTGTACGTTGATTTCCTGCTCCGTGACCGTCTTCTGAATCTTGCTATCCCGCGGCTCCTGCGCGGAAAGGGCACTCGGAAACGAACTTTGCAGCGTTTGCTGCATCCAGGAACTTCCTGTTGTACGCTGAGGACGAAGATTCTTCTTCTTGCCGAACTGTTTCGGACGCTGCTCTTCTACTGCGTCACTCGTTCTTGGCTGCTCTGGTAGCGTGCTCTGTGGCACGTTCTCTGCGGTCGCGGTGTTTTCCCCAGCGTCTTTCTTCGTGAGCACCATGGCGCGCACCTACGATGGAAATTTGATTCCGGGCGTGGAAGCGACTCTGATTCATGTTCATCTTCGTCGTGCTACCTCACAAGCTCTACTTGATTGATGTGTCAGGAAGAACAGCCGCAGCACGCGCGCGGGCGAATGAAAGCGAAACGAGGACCAAAAAATACACATGCGAGAAAACCATCCTTACTTCCTCATGGTGCGCGTCCAGTTTCCGCAGGGAGCTAGCTGAGGGCGCGTAGTGGTAGGGTCGCTCGTGGATTTCGGTGTCGTCTTCCTATCCACAGAAAAAAACCCATCCACATCCAATTTGTCATGCAGAACACGTATCAAGTCATCTGTTTGCTATGCAAAAAATGGATGTGGATGCGTTTTTTTCTGTGAATACTTCCGCGAGCTGCAGCATGGAATGCGTTTCTTCGTCGACGTGGGTCATGAACGGCACGTAGCCGTGCGTCCGGATCCTCCCGCTCACCGGCTGGTGCCCCCGGTCCGTCGGATCGTGCGGTGGGTGGATGTGCTTCGCCTCGTGCTGTTCGAAAAAGTAGTAGTCGTCTGGCCGCGCGGACTTTTTCCTCAACACGTATCCCAAAGAGTGCCCCAGCCGCTTCTCCAAGTCCGTGTGGATGTGCGCCGGATCGTAATGCGGTTCCTTCGAATTTTTACCATCTGAGTTCTTTGTGTTCGCCTCTCCGGCGGCCCCGTCAGAACCCATCTGCAAGAACAGCGAGGAAGTGGAAGACGACGCTCGCAAATTCTGCGAGGAAAACTTCGGCACTTTCAGCCTGCCTGAAGAACTGGGGGCTTGATGGGGGTTCGTTGACGAAGAAGTTGAGCCCCCATATCCAGGCGGAGATGAGGGTGAAGAACTGCGGTCAGCCGCGAGTTCGCGCTGATTGTCTTCGTCAACTTCCACAGAGGAGCATGAACTCTCGTTCTCTGCTGCGGTCGTGGCAGCCGCTGGATCGTGACGAGGTCGTTCCTGTTCCGGACTAGTACTGCTTTCTCCCGCACTTCTACTTCCCAGCACAGAGGTGGCTGCCAGCGCAGTCGCCGCACACGCGGTAGCAAGTCTTCGAGTCGGTCCTCTCTGCATCAGTCCGCTACCAGTACTCGATTTGTTCTTTCTCCGAGCCACCGACATTTGCCGTGACATTGCGCACACCGCACGATCAGACTCAGTGTGGGATTCGAGGTCAGATTCTTTTCTACTACTTGGTTAAGAATACAGCATACATGCAACGTGCTTCTCCACCCCCGGAGTGGATACTTACTCTTTACCTTTTTGCGCTTGCTTTCTAAATGAGTTCACGTAGATTTCACCTTTGCTTCTTTTTTTCGCGAACAAAACGACAACGACAACTTGCTTCGAGGTGCCCGAGAAGACGAAGATGCACCTCCCTTTGATAGAAACGACTGCGATTGCGAAAACGACTGCTTCGAGGAAGTAACGAAAGCGAGCACAATGCCGATCTCTCATCTAGAAGCGCGCTCTCCTCGATTTCGACGACGACATTCTAATGACACTAAGGAAACGAAAACGGAGATCACAGACGATGTTGTTGAGATGAAGCCATGTCATTCGCTTTTGCGCATACATAGCAACTGCATTTCTCGCCGAGGAACATCACGTGCTGAAACAGGCAGCAATAAAAAATTTCGTTTTCGAAACAGGAACAGCGTAGTTTGCTACTGTGCTCTTTGATGTTTGTCGTCTGTTTACTTCTGTCTGATCCAGGTCGGGGGATTTCTTCAAAAAATGTTTGTGTCTAAGGGAGATGAGCGCAGTTCTGTGTGGTTATTTATTTGTTGTACAACTTGTTCTCGAGGACGTCGTGCATGGTGTGGTGGAATCCCATTTCCGGTACTGGCGCCATGTCTTTTCGGTTCAGGAAGTCTTCGAATCTGATTTTTTTGCATAAATTTTGATCCTCTTGATTGAAAGTTTTCAACTTGCTCTCCCTTTGTTATAAGTGCGAAACTGTGGCAGGCACATCCTGTCATGAGACAAGTCGGTCAAGAGGAAAGCAATAAATAACAAAAACTTACTCAAGTGTTTCGTCCAGGTCTAAATGCGCCTCGAGACCGACAAAGCTCGACTGCAATCCGGGAAGCCGCTGGTATTGGGCCAGCATTGTCATGAAATGTAAAAATGTCTGGATCTGGAAACTTGTAATGCTATGTTGGGAATAGTGAGTGCTCTGTAATGCACAGCCAAGCATGAGAAATATCTGCGCTATTTTGTGTTGCTTTGTTCGCATGAGAAACTGCGTTTTTGCATGACAGGCACCAGGGTCTCTTCTTGGACACGCATCACAAACTTTTTTGTCATGCCAGGCAAGCATGACAAATCTCGCAATCTTCCAGACCCAGACATTTTTGCAATCCATAATTGTCCTCTCCATTCGATTTCGCATGCTCACGTGAGATCCTGTCGTGTAGTTTTTGTTCCTTACATCTCATTTGCATTTTTTTTCATTTTCATCTTTGGCAGAATTTTCACCATGCGTATGCGAGCGGTGAAAAATGGAAACAACATCCACTTCATCAAAAGGAAACCTGTCAATATCTTCTTTTTACCGAAAACAACAGTGTCCAGCCTATCCTCCATCTTCAGCTTGTCACGTGTGCTCTGCAGCTGGATTTTCTGCACAGGGTGGTCCGCCTTGCCGATATTCCCGACCTGCAAAAAAAGTTACAAGTTCTTCATCAGGAACTCCTCGAAACAAAATTAAGTGGCCTTATTTCGAGCTAATTTTTCAACCAGAAAGCGATATCTACTCATGGTAAACCCAAGCAAGTACTATGCAACATCGTAAACTTGTGTGCTTACCGGGCCCTGCAGCTTTTCGTTCTCCATCGAGCGGTTTGGCCTCTCATGAGGCATGGAAAGCTTCAGACTGTCACTCATTTTGTATGCTTTTTTCCTTCGGGGTAGCGTAAAGCAATGTACAACTGTACTGTTGACGTAATGGGAAGAAGCCCCGAGCGACTTCTTCGTGCACGTCCGTATCTATCCGTAAAGTCAAGTTTTGCTTCGTGGTTCTAAAATGAAAAAAAGTGCGCGTTAGAGCCACTAAACTAGTAGGTAAAAGTTGTAGAAACCGCTGGCGAGTTACGTAATTGTAGATGAAATTCTCGAGCTTTGATCATCTACGGACTCGTCACTCATTGATCGTAGTAGGATGAGCTTGTGCATGCTGGAGGTGCCACCTCCACGTGCAAGAGAAATTGCGCTTTGTTTTCAATATGTCGTGCGCTTGAGTGGGATCTTGTTGCGTCAAGAATGGCGATGTTGACGTCTGAATTGCTTTACATGAAATAGGATCGCTTTGCTTTCTGTGATGTCCACGCAGGTCATATCTCAAGACGCTTCGCTTCTGCAGACGGACGGCACATAGAACACAGGAGCGCCACAGCCAGGACATAAGACACGAGATGAAGCCACAATGCTGTTAGTTGAGTTGCTACATTCCCATAATTGTGCGACAGAAATTCGAATTTAGTAATTCTTTTGTCCATTAGAACAAGCAGACTATTTCTGCACAAATAGCTACTTTCATATACTGAGCCGAAGCGTCAAATTTGCGTCTCGTGTCGCTTTGGACGCTTCTGCTCTAAATGGATCACACCTCTGTGTAGTACTACTACGAGAAAAAAGTAGAAACTGAGGAAAATAGAAAGTTCCGTGTGTAGTACTAAGCACTTCAAGTCCACCAGGAATCGTTCCTTACTTTTACATATAATTCATGTTCATACTTGCATGCGTGTCTCCCACACAAATTTTTACCTTTCCCGTTTCATGCGTGAGAGAACGCAATCGAGAACCACAAACTAGCTCCGAATACAGACTTCGATCCTAAAAATTTTGATATGAAGAGTAGAAGTGGTTTTATTAAGTCGTACAATAGACGCGCGTCGCTCAACAGGCGTAACTAAGACTCCCAAGAAGTGCAATAATTCCAAGTGCTGCTCAATCATATTACACAAAAGCTACCCAGCAGTCGTCCTTCTGCGCTGGAAGTCTTCGTCGATGCGGCGCACGGCGGCGCCGATCTCCTCTTTGACCAACTGCGTCTCCCGCTGGACCTGCTGAGGCGATTTTCTCGATCTCTCGCGATATCCACTGCAAATATGTCTGGGTCTGGAAAGTTGGAACTTGTAATGCTAGCTTTTCATTGCTAGGAAATCTGTATTGCATATCCAGCAAAAGTCGCAGCCTCTTTTGTCAACATGCAAAAACGCAGTTTCTCATGCGGATTTCCCATCAGAAAGCGTTCTGGAAAGTTGTTATGCTGCAGTCCATTCAGAACTGCTTTCATCATTCACATTTTCGCATCACAAGTTTCCAGACCCAGACATTTTTGCAATGCATACGCGAATGAAGGCCGCGATCTTCAACGCGGCGGCCGTGGTCTCGTCGTGAATAATCTCCAGCTTCGCCGAGTTTAGGGCCTCCTGCTTCCGCTGTTGCTTCGTCATCTTCGAGGCCGCAGAGGATTTCGAAGTCTGGTCGTCATCCTCAGACGTGGCAGGGATGGAGGAGCTCGGGTCCTTAGAACAAGTTGCCTGCAGGTTGTGTAACCGGCTGAGCTGGCGACTGATCTTATCGCACGCGCGGTTGATCTCCCGGTCAATGCGCGCTGCGGTTTTGTTGTCCTCGGAGGTGGTCGCAGTGGTTGTGCTGATAGAAGTAGTTGTAGATGAAGTCGGAACAACCACGACACCACTTGCACTTGCAAGCTCCTTGCCGTGGTCCACCAAATTTACATATTCCACCAAAGTATTGATATTGTTCGCACCATTCATAATTTGCGTTGTGGACCGTGACGTTCTGCGCGAATGTGTAAAAGTTGTTCCCCCGCTGTGAAGGTGAAGATCGGTCGCGGCAGGAACCGTAGAAGAACAAAAGTTCCTCTCCCCCACCAAGCCGCCCGAGCAGTTTTCTGGCAAAGCGGGTGCCATTCGCAGATCGATTTCGTCGTCGTTTGCCGCCTCCACCCCGTCCGCGAAAATCGGCCCCAACAATATGCCCCCCCGGCCGGACTTCTGCACTTTGTAAGCTTGCTGAATTTTGAAGGCGGCCTCGTGCATCGCCTTCCGCACCCGGCGGACTTCCGCGCGCTCCCGCGCGCCGCGGAAGTAGGCCTTGATCGTGTTCGCCGCGTCGGTCATTTCCATTTTCATCTGGGCCGTCTGTGTGCGGTCCATGTGCCCGCGCAGCACCGCCACGATCTTCTCCACGGCTTTTGTCACACGCTCGTTCACAATGTCCCCCAGGTCGTCCTGCTCCTCGTCCTCCGAGTCGGAGGAAAGAAAGCTCTTGTTCGACTGCTCGTCGCAGGCGGATTTCGTCCCGCCGGATGCCGCTCCACCCCGCTGGTTGTTGAAGCTGCGGTTGGACGCGCGCTCGAGGAACTCAGACTCGATATCCGAGGCCGCAAGCCTGGCCTCCTCCTCGATCTGCCGGCGCATCCGCTCAATGCTGCGGATGTGTGCGCTGTTCTTCCAGAGGGCGGCGATCTTTGCCGCGGCAAGATGCATCTCGCGCCGCATCCGCTCCACGCTGTTGCGCACCAGCTTCCCACGCACGATCTTCGTCAGTTTCTGCGCCGCATGGTCCTCAAACGTCAGCACCGGCTGCGGCGGCGCGGCGCTGCGGTGGTCCCGCGCATGGTAGGTGCCATGCCGGAAGGACGCAGAAGTTGTTCCTGCACTATTTTTGCAGTTGAGCAGCAGATTTCGGATCTCCACTGTTGGGATTGTTCGCAGGGGACCAAGGTGTGCTGCACCGTCCTCCTCTTCATCTTCACGAGAATTGTGCGGATTTTGATTCGGGATCGGGATATTGCCGCGAGAATTACTCTTAGAGGTACCCCTGTTCAACATATTTAACGTCGAGGAAGAGCTACTGCAACTTCCCACACTGCCGGGCCGTTTTCGCGCATCTGCGTGGGCATTTTTCGGGGACGAGACCTTGTAGTCAATTTCATCTGTGCGGCTGCTCGCTGCTCTCCCACCTTGGCTTTTCCAACTCACGAGGCTCCTACTGCGGGCGGCTTTAGTGCTGTTGACGCTCGACGTCCTGTGATTTGTTTGTTCGTCCATGTTGGCTGCAACACCAACATTACCGCCGATTGAGGAATGTTGAGCCCGAGCTGTGGGAGCGAAAGCGGGAGCTGCACGTCCTCCCGTTCGTGTAAAGGTAGCTCGTCCGACGTCCATAGGAACAGGCGTGTCAACATCAGCAACGCCGCGCTTGACGTCCGCCCGCTCCTCGTCACGCCCCCGGGGCGCGGCAGAAACTGCTGGAGACGGCGCCCCAAGCTGGTCGTATTCTTCATCGGTGAAGGACCGCCGGCGGATCTCGCGTCGCCCACCGACAAACCGAACTTCCAGGCCGAGGTCGTCGAAAACGAGGCGCACTTCGTCCGCAGAAAAGGCTGCGACCACGTCCGCTTCGCTCTGCCATCTCTGGGCACGCGTCACGTGGAAAAGGGTCGGGAGGGGCTGGGTCATGGTTTTCGTTGTACTACCTAGCATTGAAAATTGATAAAAATAAATGATAGATAAAGGCCAGAAGTTTCTTCTCCTCGGCGATTAGAAGGAAGAAGTAGAAGGTAAAACCAGACTACAAAATAGAGAATTGGTACATGTAAGGTCTAGATATTATCGTTGGGATGATGACGATGAGGAGGTTCACTCAGGGGTAGAATCCAAGTTGCGGGAGGGTCTATCCTTTCAAAGAAAGCAGGAGTGCTGTCGTAGAAGTTTGTTTCAGACGGGGTGATCACTATCAAGCTAAGAACTTACCCTAGGTAGAGGGCGTTGACCAGAAGATGGACAACTTCCGACTAGCACGACCGAATGCTGCAGAACAAGTACCGAGACTGTGCAAAACCGAGCCGTTCTTTTCTTGAGAAGTGCAAGAGGTTGTACAAGCCACTAGTTCTTACTTCACGACACACTACTGAGTAGCGACCGGAATTCACTTCCTGATCTTCCATAGAAACCGTTTTTGCCAATGACTCGCATTGATGAAGTTCGACGTCGCATGAATCGATCCCGTCGCAGGAGATCATTACTCATATTACTTTTTACATCTCCAACAAAGAACATCGCCACCGGAAGGGAAATTCCAAAACCAGCGGAAGTGGCAGAGTCGCGACAGGATTGCCGCTCTGCTCGCCTCGTGTTGTACTTTTTGCTAGGTGTATGCTGTGTCGCTTTTTGAGAGGGCCGTTTGTCGCAGTGTTCTTGGTTCTTTGAAAGCTCCTGCCATGAACGAACGAACCGCGGGCAGATCAAGAACCAAGAACAAGCTCATCATTCAAGATGTTCTTGAAAGATGACGAAAAAAGCGGGAGAGCAGGTTTAATTGTCGCGCTCAGAACTTCTGTCATGGCGGCCCCGATGCTGTCGCGGTACCAGAAGTAGCGGCGGGCTTCTGCTCAGACGGCTGCTCGAAGAATGTGGCTAGATCTTTCCCCATTTTTTCGAACCATGAGAGCTCGGCGTCGCCTGTTTTACATGCCAAGTGAGGTCGCTTTGACAGAAACGGGTTTTGATAGATTGACGAGTTAAAAACTAAAACTCAACGACGAGACCGACATGATCCTTGTATAATTTCTATACCGGTCTCGTTCCCTGCCGGCGCACCACTCGCTTCGTTCCCGCCGCCGAAAAAATCGTCGAAGTCCGTGAAGTTGTCGTTCCCGCTGCTTTCCTGATTGATGATCGTGAGCACCTTTTGCGAGAGCTCGATCCTTATCAAGTGTAAAAATGTCTGGGTCTGGAAGAATGCAACTTGTGATGCTGCATTTGGATTCCAAAAAAATCTGTATTGCATGAGTACCAAAGGGAATGCAATTTTTGCTACGCTGAGAAGGCACTTGTCATGCGGAATAGGCATCAAGAAGCCTTCACAAGATCTCTATTGCTAGGGTGTGCATCACAGACATCATGGCTCATGCAAAACGTGCATGACAAACCTCGCACTCTTCCAGACCCAGACATTTTTACATTTCATAATCCTGGCCGACTGCCGGATGAGCAGCTGCCCGATCATGGTTGCGTCGCAGTCCTCGTATCCTGAGTAAAAACGTACCCACGCCAGAGTTGTAATGCAAATCTGCATGCTGAGAATGTTTCTCATGCGGAGCCCCATGAGAAGCATTTTCTAGTCGTCTTTTGCAATTTGTCATGCTCCAATCAGCATGGTATGCTAGATCTGTGATGCTGCTGAGCTAGCTCAAACAGCACTACACTACGAATCCAGATTTGTCATGCAAAACAGCCAAAACTTGTGGATTTGTCTAGCAGATTCCCCATCCTGACTCTGGTGTGGGTACGTTTTTACTCAGGATACCTCGTCGCCGGTCTTCATGGTCTTGAAAAATTTCACGATGTCCTCGAACTCCAATTTCAACAGGACGGATTGCAGCACCTTCAACAGGCTGAGCGTTATGGAGAGCAACACATGCAGGCCCTCGCAGACCACCACGTCCCAGATCACCAGCACGGTCTGGAGGGGAAGGCAGTTGATGTACAGGGTCAGAAACCACTGGTGCAGGTAGACCGCAGGCTGAACGCCCTCTTGGCGAAAGTGCTTGCGCAGCTCCGGAAGCTCCTCCTCGAGCAGCCGGTCAAAAGCCTTCAGGTAGACCCTGTTTTTCATCGATATGGCATAGGATTCATATAACAACTACATGCTGGTCAACACATGAGCACGTACACACCGAATTGTTCTGACGAAAATCGAATCTGACAGATAAGGTGCAGTTCGAACTAATCCCATAGATTCAGATAATTGATTGGTGGTGCAGCTCAAACTTTATTTTATCTGCCTTGTATAGGCATAAAATCATACCTGAGCATGGGAAACTTGTCCTTGTAGAAGCCCTTCAAGCCCCGTAGTTCCATGAGCGAAACGAACATCCAGAAGGTTTCCTCCTCGTGGGACCCGGACACTAAAAGTAGCAGACCCGCGATGAAGTTCATGCCCTGACAGTACCCCACATCCAGGTTGAAGTTGCTGTACGCGGAGAGTATTCGCAGCAGCTTATTCTGGTGGCTATCGTCGAACGCTGTGGTTTCTGGGAACGTTCGCGAGATGTCGATCTTGATCAGACTAATCCACTTATTGTATGCATTGCAAAAGTATCGTACTAGTATAAATTGCAATACAAATTTTCTTAGCATGAGAAATGGAATTTGTAATGCGGATTCGCCTTAATAAAAAGATTTGTAATGCAAGACTTGCATTTATACGAGTGCGATACTTTTGCACAGGATATATTGTCCTTCGCAACCAGATTTTGGTACGTACTGGACCGGCACTGCACGGACTGCATCGAGTATGCAAGAAAAAAACTGTGTAAGTGTAACTCTGTAATGCAGAACATGCAACAGAGTTACGCCTGTCATGCCAGACAGCCATGAAGTCCTCTTTTCATGTGTGTTTTCCCTACAAGCCACGCATGACAGATTTTCTCTGTCATGTAGAGCAAATTTGTGATGCTGCCAGCCAAAGATAGTTACACTAACACAGTTTTTTTCTTGGATATCGAACTACTCGCGGAACTAGGCGTGGTGGTGGTAGTGGTTCCGCTCTTGTTCAGTCCGGTAGAAAAATTGGTCTTGTTTGAAGATGTTGTTCCATTGCTTGCTCTGTGGTTTGTTGAGGTTCCTCCAGTATTGTTCATCGCAGCACCATCCCTATCCGGGTCAACAGCTCCTACAGAGGTGGAATTCTTAGGTGAATTACCATTCCCTGGTGAACCGCCAAAGATCGTGTCGCCGTCGTTTATCACCGCACGCCACACCGTCCAGCGGTATTCTGGGGGAATGCCGCGCCGGACCCGGCGGAGGAAGGTCTCTTTGTTGTCCTGCAGGAACTGGCGGGTGAGGCCCCGGGAGATCATCTTATCCCACTTTTGCTTCGACAAGGAGGACGAGGACGTCGCGCCGCCCGCAGTGGACGACCCGGCGGTCGTGGGTCCACTTCCACCTCCGCCCACGGGGGGCGACGGGCTGGAGAATTGGTTTTGAGCGCGAGTCGATGTCGAGCTGCTCGCCATCTTGCCGGAAGGTGGTCCCGCCTCGCCTTCCGGCAGTGCAGTTCCCCTCGTTCGTGAGCCGGGCGAGTAGACCGCTCGGCGGTTGGAACCTCTTCTTTTTTGCTCTTGGTAAGAAGAACTCGGAGCTTGTTCGTCATCCGCGCCGCCAGGTGGCTTTATCTGCTCCGAGGTGGACTGTCGCGGTCGCGGGGGTGAGGAAAGGACTACGGCGCGCGTCTGGGAAGGGACAACACTGGCATTCGTGCGCATTGGCCGGGCTGAGTAGCTAGTACTGTTCAGTATTTCCACTACTTTACTGCTCGTAGTTGTGTGGCCCCGGCGGCGACTGGTTGTTGACGTCCTTATTGGCGACCGAAACGAAAAGCGGTTTTACAAGAGCCCGCCAGCCTTTATTTCTACTTCATCAGGCAAGTATGAAGATTTCGCTGCCCAATCAGCAAAAACCTCAACGCCCGTCGGAGACAGCAGCTGCTCAAGAGGTCGACTTTTACTCCGGGCGCAAGCTAGAAATTGATTTCCCCGTGCAGCCACTGTTGACGCAATCTATTACCTCCACCGGTCCCGTTAGACCACGTCGCGCCTTCATTTGCTGTGCTGAGGATCAGGTCGCCGCTCAGGCTCATGCACCAGGTACCACAGCTCGCAAGAGATGCAGGTGCGGTAGAATTGAGGGGCTTTTTTCGGTCCGGTCTTCGCACTTCGCAGTTACTGTCGAGCGCGCGTGAGTACCCCAGGTCGTTGTATCCCCCTGGCAGTAGCTGCAAACCAGAAGACAAAAACTGAAAATCCTTAAAAAAATTCGCGAAGTCCGTGTCCGAAAGACGCGCAAACCCGTTTAGGTTTACTGCTGCGTCTGGGATTGTCTGGCCCAATCGAAACGGAAACACGGACACTTCTCTATCGTCGCAACAGAAAGGCACGCGCGAACATTGTTTTCTTTTGAAAAAAATACCCAAAAAAGCGGGCAGAGATAAGTGAAAAGAACTAGCACTAAATTCAAACTACTGATTACTCATCGAAACGTGGTGGTGGTGCCCGAATGTGGAGAACTACGGAGGTCTTCAACTTGTACATCCGTCACTCATAAGCATGAAACGGCCCTTAATTTTCGTTTCCTCTTCTGAAGTAGACTTCCACTGTCGTAGCAGCCATCGATAGCCCTTTTTACGTGTTTACAGCCCCCCTGTAGTTGTAACAGTATGTATCGCAGAGATGACGTCATAGTTCCTAAGGACATTGCACGAGCACGATGTAGGTCGTGTAGAAAGACCCTATTAGTAAAGTTTTGGGCTTTTTCATGTGAGAGAGGTGCTATTTTAGAACTTACCGGTCGGTCACAGTCTTCGGTCAAAGGGTGGATGAACATCGTTAATTCAACACTGGTGCCTGAAGAACGGCCAGATCTCCTGACTTCCTCTGCAGAACAAACATCTTCGTCCATGGTTGTTTCGTTTTTTTCAGAAAGATCGCAGAACAAACTCGACATCTAGCAACTTCACAGTTGAAGATTGTTCCACCCCGTTGTGGAAGCCCTTGTTTGATGTTCCGCTGCCGACTTCTACATCGCTATCGATGTTTTCTTTGTAGATCTTAAAAAGTCGTAGATTACCATGATAATATCGTCCCAACAAGAACCGTATTGTACTCCTGCGCGCTCCCAAAGAACAAAAAGTGTTGTGGCGGTGCCTCGTCAAACGTCATATAGATTTTGAAAAAAATCCGTGCTGAAAAGTACTTCTGCAGCAACAGCCAACATTTTGTTCCTCCTCTTGCACCAAATCCTCGACGGTCGTATTCGTAAGTACAACTGCTGACGTTCATGTCACTTCTGAAACGACTTCGACTTCCCCGAGTTGTAGATCAACATAATCTTCCTCGGCAGAAGAAGTGGTTAGAAGCTGTCGGCGTTGCAGTATGAACTGCAAAAGTATCGTATTCGTATAAATGCATTACAAATTTCCTCAGCATGAGAAATAACATTTGTAATGCAGTTTTACCTTAGCAAAAGGATTTGTAATGCATGATTGCAATACGAGTACGATACTTTTGCACAGGATATGCAGATCACGTCGTCGATTTTGAGGATCATTTTTACCACCTGGGTGGCCTATGCATTGCAAATATGTCTGGGTCTGGGAACTTGTGATGCAAGAAAGGGAATATTAGTGAACTCACTATAATGCGCTGCCAAGCATGACAAGTTTTTTCCATGGTTCTCAGTTGCGTACTCCGCATGAGAAACTGCGTTTTTGCATGACAGGGAGGAGGAGCTCTTCGCGGCCATGCAACACAGAGTTCAGAGTCATGCCAGACAAGCATGACAAATCTCGCAATCTCCCAGACCCAGACATTTTTGCAGTTCATATGGCCAACCGGAACTGGTTGCACTTCGAGGAGAGGGCTTCGTACACAGACTGGTCCCACATGTCGTTGGTGCCCTTGCACATGGCGTCCACGCCAAACCACCCATTCTTCGTGTCGATCTGCTTTGCCTTCAAGTCCGTTACCGTCTGGATGCACGGGAGACCGCTGTTCTCCGCCAGGATCTGCGGGATCGTGTCCAACGCGTCGGCGAAGGCTGTGTAGTCGTAATAAATGGGTCGCGATCTTAATCTTTCTTTTTAGAATAGACAGCTTTCAGCTGCTGGTGCGTGCTGCAAAAAAGAAAAAGTGACCAAGACCCTCTTTGAGTGCGCACACCACGAGGACCCAATGTCGCCTCAGCAATCTCAAAAACAAATGTTCTGGAGTACTATGCAACAATACGTAAGTAAAAAATTCTCTGTACCTTTCATGCTGTATTGATCCACAGTGGGTTCGTTGTCTGAGGCTTCGACGATGGCTAACGAGGCGGCGATTTCGGACGCACCTCCTCCAGGGATGATCATCGGGTTCACAATCAGATTCCTGACGCAGCAGTTAGCGTCGTGCAAACACCTCTTTGCCTCCGCGACTGCCATTTTGTTACCACCGCGGACCTGTAAAAATGCACGAGATGTTTGTTTAACGCCTAAGTACTTTCCGGTAAGTTTTTTTCGTGGTTGAGGTTGAGCCCTGCTAGTTCTTGCACATCAACATTCAGTCTCCAGGCAAGAGGGGTACACACATTTACAAGCATCAAATTCAAAAGCAATAGAATCTGAATCATCTGAGCTAATAGTACCAGCACGGTGACGGTTTTTGTGTTGCCGCAGTCTTCGATGACCAACATGGGTTCCCGGTTTGTGCCCATCTGCACCTCGGTGATTTTTCCGGCGTACCCGAGTTTGTCCGCACTCAATTCCTCGAACCGCGGCACGATCCTGGCCCCGGTCGCGATCGCCAACAGTTCCATTTCGACGCCCCCGACCCAGCGCACCGCGGGCAGCTTGTGCTGGTAGAGGAGGTGGGTGGCCTCGTCGTCGAAACCCCACTGGCAGATGACCATGTCGGCCCCCGCGGCCTTGATCTTCTGGATCATGTCCAGGAAGTAGTTCTGCTCGGTGTCGTGCAGCTTGCGGTAGTCTTCCGCCGTGCGGATGTCGAGCTTGTACTTGGTCTTGGGCTTTGGGGGCTCAAACGGGCAGGTCAGCACCGCGAGCTTCGCGTTTTCGACGACTTTCGGCATCTGCGGGTGGGCGAAGTCCTTGTCGATCACGATCCCCTTGATCATTTTGGTCTCTTCCAACTTTCCACCCACTTTTCCTTCCACCTTGATCAAGTCAAAATTCACGTCCTTCCGCTCCAGGTCGGCCACGGATAAAACCGCGCCCACGCAGATCTCCGCGAGGTGCGCCTGGTGGGAACTGACGATTTTTGACCCGAGGGCGGTGGCAGCGGCCTTCTTCAGCGCGGCGCAGTCGTCCTTCATCACGTCCATTTCCCGGGCGATTTCTTGGATTCTGATATTATGTTTTGAGGAAAAGATTGATCCAAGAACACTGTTTGATTTGCAATCCTGTTAGGTCGACTTCCTACTCCTAGTAATCGTAATGCAACTGCATAATGGTGCAAAACAGTATACAAAGCAAACAATTTTTTGGTAAAACTAGTACCTCTTCACTGCGACCTCGCAGGATTTTTCGTAACCCGTGGCAATTCGCAGCGGGTGGATGCCCTTTTCCAAGAGCTTCAGGGCCTGTTCCAGCAAAGCCCCGGCCATAATCACCACGCCCGTCGTACCGTCGCCGATTTCGTTGTCTTGGGAAACAGAAAGATCGACTAGGAGCTTGGCGATCTGTTGTGGTCGACGTGTGTAGTTGTTGATAGGCAAATCACTTTTGTATTCATCACGTCATGGCACAATCAGCGCATGAAAGAACTAGTCGAATCTTCGCACCATGTTATGAATAGGATTTGCGTTTGGAGACGTGTTTAGGCATCGCAAATCGCTTAATACCTGGTTGTCGACGTCCATCTTTTCCAGGATGGTCGCTCCATCGTTTGTGACGGTGACGTCCCCGTCCGGTTATGGAGTTCTCAAACGTTACATTCTCAACTGTTACATGAAATTTGTAATGCAAGAATGGCAAAAGTGAAAGGGGAAACGTTGCGCCTTTTGCATTACAGGTTTGGAGTAGATTATAATGCTATCTAGCGCGTCGAGAAGTTGTCATGCGGAGAAGGCTTGATCGTCTTAAGAGAGATAGCGTTTTTGCATGGCAAATCATGTAACAGTTGAGAATGTAACATTTGAGAACGCCATACCGGTGACACGATCATTTTGTCCATGCCTTTGGGTCCGAGACTGGTTCGCACGGTCTCCGCCACGGCTTTCGCTGCGATGATGTTCTGCTTGTGGGCCTCCAGCCCGTGGGTCCGCTTCTTCATGCCCTGCTCCTCCAGCACCACAAACGGGTTCCCATACTCGTCCATCATCATCTGGCCCATGTTGAAGCCAGAGAGATCGATGTCCTGCGGGTTCGCCATCTTGGTAGAATGCTTCTGGTAAAGAGAATGTCGCGGTTGTAGATGAAGGGGTAGGCGTGATACAAGAAGTCGTACAAAGGTGGACGAAAAACAGAATTTCTATACTCGTAAGAAGTCGTGGCAATGGCTAAATTCCTCCAACTCTGAAATCTTTTGTTTTGATGCTTTCGTATGATGTTGCGGTGTGTCGCTAGAGTAGATGAAACTTTCAGAGCCCTTTATGTGAGTGTACCGGTAAAAATGCTGTGGCCCACCTTAGTGCTGTCTTACTTAAGTACTTTCTTTCATCTAATTCGAAAAAGTGGTGATATCACGTATTCAGTTGTGCCCGAGCCTGCAGGTGAAAGAGGGAAACGAAAAAGGTGAATAGGAATACTGGATGAGTATGTATCCTGCGAAGGCAAAGCTGCAACTACTATGCATCATAACCATAACCTACTATTAGCTTATTCCACAAGATCCGTTTCTGCGTTGGCTTCGCAAAATGAACGAAGTGGTGGATCTTCCGCTGAGGATTTTGCAGCAGTTTTTCATTTTCGGAACTTGCTTGAAGATTCGGTTGATTTTTGTTGCGGCACCTCCTGCGGCAGAGATGCACTTTCCATGTCATACTGAACATTGCGTTACTGTCGAAGAAACCAAACGGGTCACGCCTTCAAAGTGAAAGATCATTCGACATTTGTGTGTCATTCTGTCTCGCAAGTCGTGAATAGGAAAACCACTTCTAGTGCAACATCTTAGGTGCCTCGCGCGTGCGTCCATCAACTACATATTAGAGTAGCCAGACTCCGTCGATTGCGTATCACTATCATGAATAGTTCGTCAGGGTCTTCGGTCGGATTAGTGAAGGTCGGATTAGTGAAAGCGACCGCGGAGAAGTGGTGAGTTCGCGACGATCATGGGTAGTAGAGTAGGTCTAGGTACTAGTGCATCGGGTGAGACATCAATATATTTTTTCCTTTACATAGTCAATAGACGATCGAGCATCAACTGTGTACATTTTTTCCTCTGAGAAAATGAAATCCAAAGTCAGCATAGTTATGTGGCGAAGCGAAGAAACTAGTTCCGTCTCTCCTTCTTTACCGTGGGTTCAGTGATCGCATGATCGATGAAAAACCACCTAGCGACGGCTGCGGCCACCCCGGCCACGGGAGTCACGGCGCCTGTCGCGGCCGCGACTCTCCTTGCGGCCACCACGCCCGCCTCGGTCGCGACCACCACCACGGGAGCTGTGGAATGTTGAAAGGATAGATTTAGATTTGTTGCGACTTTTGAGGAAGTACAAGAGAAGGCTCTGTATTTGCTCCCAATACGCGACTTACGGGTTTTTCTTTTTATGCAGATGCCAGTGCTCACTGGGTAAATACAAAATTTTCTTTCACTATGAGTATGCCTAGAAAAGATAAATACCGATCGAGAAACAATCAATAATACCGGGATCGCAGGAAGCGACGGGAACCCCGATCACGGCTGGACTCACGCTTGCGGCCACCCGGTCCGCCGGTACTGACCTCCACACGCAGGCCTTGCCCGTTGGATTCGCAAAAATCTGAAAGATAGTAGTGATTCGGAATGAGGAGCACTTCTTACTACAACATGTTGGAATGATGGATGAAGCCGAACTTGTAGATCGGTGATGGACGCTGTGGTGTACTAGACGAACGACGAAGAACAGTCAGCCGTGACGCATCGGCGCGACGGGAGGCGGCTGTAGCATGCTGCTCCTGATCTACTGGGAAGACAACAGGAGCTCCAGTAGGTAGCAGGTGCTTCTAGACGTGCACGCACGATGCTCCAGTAGACGTAGATCGTCTCATGTAAAAATACGAGCAGCACCCTGCTGGCCGCTTTCTTACTGCCGCAGCAAGGATGAGCTCGAGACGCACAGGGTTTGTAGTTGCAGGAGGTCTAGGTTCGACGTGTGCAAAAATGCGTAGCTGCAAAAAAATGCGGTCGACTTTTACACGTCGATCGATGTACTTGTGCAGTAGATCATGATGACGCAGCACGACGCGGCGAAAAACACTCGCGTTGGATCACGTAGCGAGTCAAACGACAAGACGCCGAGACGCCGACGACGTCGCACGGCGGGAGAAACGGATTTGGTGACTTCTTGTAGAGGCTTTAGGCAGTCTGTCTATAAAGGCGCGTAGCAGCAGCTGGAGACGAGCCGCGAAGATATGATCACAAACGCGTCGAAGAGTTGATGTGTAGCAGTAGTTGGTCTGAATTGGTTATGGTGAAAGTTAACATCAAACGCCAGTTGCAAGTTCTGGTACAACTTACTCCGTCAAAATTATCACAAGCATGCTCGACCCAAAACTTGCTCCTGTACCAGCAGCACGATCGCCTGCTGTAGGTGTTGATAACCTATCACGTACTATGTTTGTACAAAATAAATTCTTACCCGCTTGATAGCCGTGGAGCTCAGACACCGCTTTCGAAGCGTCATCGGGATTGTTGAAGACGATAAAGGCAAAGCCCGGCGGGCTCTTCGCGATCCAGGTGGACCGGATGTCGCCGTGCTCCTGGAAAATCTTCTCCAGTTCGCTCTTCTGCACGTCGCGGCGCAGATTGCCGACAAAAACCTTGCACCCGTCAGACATGGCTTCAATCGATTGGTTCAGTCCTTCGAAGGTTAGAAAATCAAAAGAGTTCTTGAGTTCTTAGTGCTAAAGCTCAATGAACTACTGAAAAAAAAAGCGGTGGCGTGGTTTGAAGAATCAATCGCTGGACTGTGTCGATTTTAGGGTTTTTTTTGTGCGGTTGCCATTCATTTTGAACCACACACAAGAACTGGATCTCGATCTGTTCTCTATTGCATTCGCGTCACTTCAAAGTACTTACCATAAAAATTGTTCATGCTTCTGGGCTTGATGTTAGGTTGTGATCTTACTGATAATCAATGTTTTGTGTAGTTCTTGTTGGATCGATCGTGTACACCATGACGCCTTTGCTGTTCATCGTTGGACGGAACACGAGAATTCTAGCCATGCGGTTGCAAAAAAGTGGAGCATGATCGATCTGAATCTGCTTGTTCCTTCAGCGTTTGTACAAAGTGGTCACTTCGCTTACCAAAAGGTGTGATCGCGTTCGCATCCTGTAGCAAACTACAACAAATTCAGTACAGATGGAACTTTCATTCTCGCCGGTGCGTAAAATTTGCTATTGTACATTGCATATTGTTTCTGTTGGAAACGCAAACGACTCTGTTTCATCAAGCGCATATACAACAAGCTACGATTTTCCAGTGTGATGGCAAATTGTTCAAACAAGGTTCATTGTTTTCGACAACAGTCACAAAAGTTGCTTCTATCGTAAAATTGAAATTGTTAAACTCCGGCATACAATTACGTTCAACATTTCCGATACAAAGGCACTTAGCATACTCATCTTTCCGACACGCCACCTAGTTGCAGGAACGACCAAAAAGACCGCCCCACCGTCTACGCCAGTACCTCGATCCGCTCGGTTGGCATCTGCATGTTGCCCTTCAGCACGGAGCCGACGAGCTTCTTCCATTCCCTTTTCGTGAGATGGAACTCGTTCAGGAGCTGATTGGTTTCGCGAAAGTTGAGGTAAGCAGAACTGGTCATGGCCCGAATCATCGGCACCACCTGGTGTCGCCGGTCTGGGAGACCTTGAAGTTTCAGTTTGTGATGCGGAAACAGTTTCGAGAAAAGAAACAGGGTGGACTGTATGTCAACTACACGATGTCTGAACTACAAATCATTCGCAAAAGATATCTGTACTCTCTTCCAGCAGTAATCGCAGTCGGTACGCGGATACTTTCGTTGCTTTTGACCACGGTTCGGCTGCCATGGCGAAGAAGTGCCACCTGGCCTTCACCGAGGGGCCTTTCTTTTCCAACTTCTCCTCTTGCTCCTTTTCCACATCCTGATCCGGCTTCTTAATCCCTTCCAAGTCGTCGATCTTGTCTTGCAGACTCACCACCGCGTCCTGGTACTCGTGGTTCTGTGAGATCACATCGGCGTACTTCCGGCGCATCCCGAGGAAATCCGCCGTTGCCATCTCATCCATCACGGTCTCGGTAAGGAGATCGGAAACCCGAAAGCCGAAGGGGACAAACCCGACCTTTACCACGACGTACCTGAGTTATTTGTGAGGGGAAAAAGAAATGGTGGGTGGGGAACGTAGGAAAGAAACGCTGACACGTCGACATTGATCAAATTCAAACGCCTATCTGATCCTGATCGCTGATCATCACAAGAAGTGAGAAAGAAGAAGAACGAGAAACAAATACAAGATTGATAAGTTCCGATCGAAAAAATTCTATGGTTTCTTATTTACCCTCTGACTTGCATGCTGATATCGTCGTGGATGCGCTTGATGTAGATTCTGGAAACCGGGGTCAGCGGAATGTCGCAAAACGTCGACCCCACTAATCCCTCGTCCTGGAGCACGCGGATCTTTACTGGCTTTAAGTGGTCCGAGCTCTCAAAGTCAATTATCCTCTGCAAAAGTATCGCACTCGTATAAATGCAAGTCATGCATTACAAATCTTGTTTCCAAGGCAAATCTGCATTACAAATTTTATTTCTCATGCGGAGGAAATTTGTAATGCATTTATACGAGTACGATACTTTTGCAGTTCATATCAATCGGAAAAGAACAACCCTCGTTCCAAGCGGGGTTGGGAGTACCTGGAGATAGTGGATGGATAAACTCAACATCCGCGGCGCAAAAGTGATGAAGTGAAAGGACAACGGGGATGAGCATTACCAGCATCCTGATCTTCATCAAACCAACACTAGTAAATTTTGATTTTCCCACTTCTATACCCTCAACCTCCAGCGACCTCCAGCTGAAGCCCACCTTTCTGGATTTGCACTGCTTGGTGCAGGTGACTTCCATAATCGTGTTCCAATCCACTTTCTGTTTTGGCGCCAAATTGTATGACAGTGCACAACTCCCCCTCCCCCACCCCCTCCTACGTTTGTAAAGGCATAAAAAAACAGCATTACAAACACCAGTACATCAGGTGGACCACGTGCATGGCAAGTTCATGCGCCGAGTGTAGTATTGTTTGGATTTGTTTCCGGAATTTGTTAATGTTATGCACGCGGTGCCACAAGGTAGCAACTGGAACTGAGCTTGGGTTTTTGCATGACAAATGAGGAGGAGCGGGAGTTGTGCACTGTCGTAAATTGTTCTCGTCCTCGTCGTCGCTGTCCTCGTCGTCGGCCCGCCTCTTCTTGACCAGCAGGTGCGCCGCGTCCAAATCTATCGCGTCGACCGCCTCGACGTACACGAAACCGCAAAAGCAGCCCGCGTCGTCGCCGTCGACGCCGTCGGCTTCCGGGGGCAGGTGGTCCTGCGGGTCGCCCTGTATCTTGCTCAAGTCTGGCACGTTGGAATACTCGGCAAAGAGGACGCCGTCCACTATCTCGTTGCATTTCGCGTTCATCAGCTTGCGTTGGACCTGGAGGGCGGACAGCGGGATTGCAATTCGAATGCAATGAAAAAACTGAAACTGAAATAGCTTTTCTATACTTTTCAGTTTTCATTTGCAGTGCAACCAACCGGTCGTGCTACATCACAGTAAAGTGTAAATTTTAACGCCGCAATCTATCGAAATCGTTTTTACCTCCAAATTTCTTATCTTGTTCCTCAACTCCTGCAAAATGGCTGTAGTCCCGCCCCCTTCCGGCGATGGAGGGCGGGCTCTGCGGCGCTGGCTGAGCGTTGGTCGGCGCTAGGCACGGCCGCCAGGCACGCATGACGAAGATCCCCAGCCCCAGGCGCAGACTGCGCGGTGAGTGCAGGCCCGCCATTTTGCGCAGCTGGTCACTGCGCGGCCTCCTGGCAAATATTGCGGCGCGCCACCGCCAGAGGACCCTCTCCAGAGAAAGCGAGGCAATCGGGTCCGGCGGGTTTTTCCTCGCCACATTTCGCGATCTGATCGGAGAAACAGCTGCTGCGCAGGTGTTTCTCCGAAGAAACACCTGCACAGCAGCTGTTTCTCCGCTCTGATCGCAAAGTCGGCACTTCGCGAGCCCGAGAAACGGGCCGCGCGAAAACAAAAAATTTTTCGGGCCTGCCATGGAAGGGGCGCGGGCGCGGAGCGTTTTTCCTTTCTGGGCACGCCAGGGAGGGGCTTGGGGAACAGGCGTCGAGCGACCCGGGAAAAACCGCTCTGGGCGGCCCCAAAAGAAGGCGAACCCCCAAGACGCAGCTACGCCTGTGACAACGGGCAGGGGTTGGCGGGGGCGCGAGTCTGATCAACGCACGCTGCCACCGCCAAAGCTTGCTCGCACCCAGCTCGTTAGCCGGAGCAGGCCAGAAAGAGCCACCCGGGCCGCAGAGCTCCGTCCGGAGGTCCGGCCCCGCGGAGGAACCGGCCCGCCGAGGGCTTTTTGTCAGCTGCCTTGCTACCCGGGCACGCATACCAAAATAAAAATCGCACAGGCCGGCGCACAGGCCAACGGCGCCGACGCTTCACAGAGGGTCGCCGTGTGTGCGCGGGGCTCTGCAGCGCCTGCGTGGACGCACAAATAAATTTCCGCGGCCGGCCGAGCCGGCGCTGGCAACACAGGCCTCGCCCTTCTTTCAAGAGAAACATGGCCACTGCGCTCCGGCTTGTTGAGGCCCGCTAGCGATGCAACGCCCAACGGTTCCAGGCATTTTAGAAACGCCCGCCCGTACTTGGGCTGCCGGACTGCGCCCTTCCGGGGCGGAAGGGCGCCAACGCTGCGAGCCGGGCTAACCTTTATCCGCGTGTCTGGGGGCAAGACGCGCAACGCCTGCCTCACCACGAAAAAGCGGCGGCCTGTCAGCTACTGAGAGTGCGCCACTGGTGGCCGCGCGATGATACAAAAACCCACAAACAGAACGCCACCGTCGCGATTCGTCGCCCTTTTTTGCTATGTTTTTCGCTCATGATCGCAACATTTTTTCGATCATGATCGAAGTCGCGATGGTACCGCAGCGGTATTGTGTCCGTCCATAAGTGTAAATTTTAACGCCGCAATCTATCGAAATCGTTTTTACCTCCAAATTTCTTATCTTGTTCCTCAACTCCTGCACGTGGCAGCAGTCGTTGGCCGCAACATGCGGGCCTCCCGGTCTGCTTTCGCGCAGCGCTGACACAATCCCAAGGGCCTGCGGAAGCTAGCGGTAGGCAGGAGAAGGCGTAGGCCGCCGGCGCCTGTCCCTGGTTTCAATCTTTGCCAGCGCGGCCGCCCCCTCGATGCCGTTTTTGCTGTACATAGAAGGACGGCGCTGGCCATGAAGGCTTCCCCCACCAAACAAAGCGGCGGTAGTCGTTATCCATGGGGGCCCCGGCCGCAGGTTTCGCGAGGTAGAGTTGTGCCGCATGCGGTTGCGCTATGGGGGCTGGGCCCATATGGTTTTGCACTGACTTGCCACGCAAGGGCAGAGGGACGCTGCGCAGGTGCGCAATACCTGGCAGGCTTGAAGCACGGCAAAACCTCACGGGGGGTTATGGGGGCGCTGACGTTTCCAGCGACGAGGGGGTGGCGGCGCGACAGAAGCAGTGCGGTGACTGGGCCGGCTATGTGTCCTCTGCCGAGGAGGCTGCGTGGGGGAGTGTCGGACGAAAAGCGCAGCGCCATCGTGATGTGGGCCAGGGCCAGCTTTACGACTTCTTTTGCCCCGTCGAAGAGCTGGGGCCGTGCCCTACAATTCCGTCGCACTTTGGGAAGGGGAGAAGCTGCCGAGCGGTGCTCGTCCTCTCTGGGGGGGCGCGACTACCTTCGCAGCCGCGTTGTCTTTGCGAAAGATTCAAAAATGACCCGAATTCGTGAGCGGGGTAGCCGTCGGTGCGGCGACCTGGCCGCCTTCTTAACTAGCTAATTTAGCATGCAAAGTCCAGAAGTAGTGTACGTAAGACAAGTTTACATGACAAAAGTCAAGCACTTCCATGCCTATGCCGGGGGACCCTGAAAATTTTTTATGTACTTTGAAAAGATGCAGTTAGAATGGCCATAATCTTACCTCCAAATTTCTTATGTTCCTCAACTCCTGCACGTGGCAGCTGAACAATAGCAGAGCGAGCAGCTGAACAATAACTCCAAAGCGCGGCCTGTGAAAATATCTTCTAGCACAAGCAGCGCTCTTTCATCGCACAAGACAGTAAGGCGCGTACTCAGTCGTGCCTGTGGGCACTTTCGAAATGCGTGCGCGCGCCGGTGGCACTTTCGCAATAGGCGGCGCGAGCAATGCTTTTAAAACGCCCAACAAAGCAACGCGCATCAGAAAAGCTTTTGGAAATTTTCGTGCGTCTTGCGTATTTTCTGCAAAGCCTTCAGAAGCTTTTCGGTCTTCAGAAGATTCTACAGAAGATGGTCTTCAGAAGGTCAAAGCTTCTGAAGAATGCGGAAAAAAGAACGCAAAAAGTTGTCGCTTTGGAGACACAATTGAAAAACCTTCTGAAGGTTTTCAACCTTCAGAAGGTTGGCCAAAATTGCGACACTTCACTGCCTTTTTTTTTCTAAAAAGTCGGAAAGTCTTCTGAAGGTCAAAAAAGTGTCACCTTCTGAAGGTTTTCAACCTTCAGAAGATTTCAAAACGGTCATTTTTCACCTTCTGAAGGTTTTTTTGCTCATTTTTCATTTTTTTCTTCTGAAGGTAAAAAAAAACCTTCTGAAGGCGTGACCTTCAGAAGAAAAAAATGCTCATGGTTAAACCGATGGTATGCTCGCTCAAAAAAAAGAGACTTTTTTCCATTTCTTCTGAAGGTTCCAGTGATGATTTTGGACCTTCAGAAGACCTTCAGAAGAAAAAGCTTCTGAAGGTTCAGCAGCAATTTGGACAAGCCTTCTCCTTATAGTTATTAGATTACGTGCAACCAACCGATACGGATGCTACAAACATCACAGCAAAATTATTTTTTTTACCTCCAAATTTCTTATTTTCCTCAACTCCTGCACGTGGCAGCAGCCTAGGAATTCGACTTCCTTTCCTGACGAGCTTTTCCCGTCTGGGGTGTGGTACGCCTCAAATTTTATGCTCAGGGCGTCGTGCTTCACCTTCGCAAACACGAACTCCTCATCCCACTCCGGGTCCTGCACGCCCTTGATTATCGTACTCGTGAAGGTATCCAACACTTTGCTCTTGGACAGCAGAGACACCTTCACGTAGGTGTTCAGGGCTGAGCTGCTGGACGAGGAGGGTTCTGCGTCGGTGGGACTCGCTCTTGACCCGCCCGCCTTTGACTTGGCCTTCGCAGCCGACTCCGGAATCTGGGGGGCTGCATTTTTGCTCGAGAAGAGCCCGAAGGCAGACTTCAGGACGACGCGCACTTCACCCATGGTTCTCTCGTGAGCTCCTTTACTTAGTTTTTGCTTTCAAATTGGAACGAATTTAGCGTAAATGCTGATTTTTACCCCGTACCCCGTGCTGGCCTCAATGACGTATACGTTCACCAAAAAACACACCCTTTCAACGGGTGTAAGGGCTGCATCGAAAATTTTCATGCAGATAGAACGAATTCATAAATTGAAATTGTGTAGAAGCGCTAGTGTAGTTAACTAGTGAGCTCAAGCTCAACCTTCGACGAAAATGACAATAATTTCCTTCGACGAAAATGACAATAAGCTGCACCATGACGAGCACGATGTGTCGAATCTTCCGGACCGAATGCGCAGAGCAAGTCACGGACAGAGCACTGAACTGACCGAATAAAGGGTTGCAACGCGTATCAACAGAAGTCTTAACTTTGACGGTGAAATCATGAGCGTCGAAACACTTACTGAGAAGATTGAATTGGGTCCTGATGTTTGGCAATTTTTCGATAAAGGACGATTCATTCCTGGCTGAGTGTTTTTCTTTAGGCAGCTTTATGGGACCTTTGAAAGCACGAGCACGATCACGGCCCCAGCATCGGTCCCCCCTTCACATTCGGTTTTGCTTTCCCTTCCTGACAAGAAAAAGACCGATGAAATCAAGTCGTACATAAGGTTTCAGCAGACGAATTGGACGCGGGAACACTACTTAAACCGCGCCACAACATGTTGAGTCTTTATTTTTCCTTTCTCGTTTCTGAAATTTTTGTTCTTCCTCTCAGATCGAATCATACACAATCACAATGTGACAGGCAAAAGTCATTCCATATTACACGCTCATTAGACCGTCTTCTGCTTCTCTCTTTGCTGTCGTAAAAGCACACGACGCATGCGTAGTATTGAATTTCAGGTTGACACAGATATTCCACGTTAGACATTCGTACTCTTGCCTTTTCAGCTCGACACCCTTAATTTCTTTTTCTTCTGCTTCTGGCATTCAGTTTTGGATCATTGGTAACAAGGTTCATACATCAACTATGATAGGATATTGTACATGGGTTATTACACGACGTGGACCTACATAAATCATGTTGGTCGTTGACCATACATAACAGGATGACATTAGCTGCATTTTTCTTGCGCTGTGACCGACATGACCACCTTCAGTCCAACACATTCACATCCACAACCAGAGTCCCGCACGGTTGAAAACAAGAATTCGCTTTACTCGCCCGCGTTGGCTGCGCTGGCGTTTCGTCGACTATGTAGAGCTTGTACGCGCCCGCGTCTACCGGCAGCGCGTCCCATGTGAGGACGAGCTCCCCGCCTTCGATGGACCCGGTGCTTTCGTGGCACCGCCGCTGCGCAGCGTCGGGGGCCACGTTGTTCGCGGTTTCCTCTTCTGTCAATTCGGCGGGACAGAGGAAGATACCTGTGAGTGTGACCATAGGGGTAGGGCTGCCATGTATGAACTGCAACTGCATTCAATTTCAAATGCTATGAAATAAGGTTACTGAGGCTCGTTTTTTTTTGCATTGATTTGCAGCTGCTGAACAAATTTTAGTCAACATCAAGATCTCCTATACGGATTTTTCGTCCGCCTTCTTGCGTGACTTGCGTTCTCTCCCCGTCCACGCTGTTTAGCAGCCACGTTATCGGCAGCGCGTCCCGCTTCATGTCCAGCGGATTGTACTCGTTCGGGGTTTCTTCCGATTCTGATGAGCGATTGAATAAAGCCATGGTGGTTTTTCATTTTATTTTTACAAAATCAATGCTGAAGTGTGTATGTACTTAAGTAAGTCTAAGTGACAAAGAGGTGCTAGAACAAAATTCTTGTAGTTGCGTCGTCCCTTGTGCAGAAAAGTTTTCTTTTTACTTGGTATCAGCAAGGATGCCGGTTTGTCCTCTCCTTCCGGGATCGCCGCGGCTGGGTCGACGATGTCAATTTTGCAACTTTTGGCGATCGGCAAGTCGTCGCTCCACGCTCCAGAGTAGGTGAGACTGGAAAGCCCACACTTACCGCTCCCGGTGCCGTTCCGTTTGCCGGCTTGGAACTGGCCGACGTAGCTCAACGGCCCGAAACCGCTGACGAAGCCGGCCGTTTCGGTTCGTTGCACACCCTCCCCATCGTAGGTACTGTGGACAAATTGACCTGAAGAAGGTGGGTGAACAAAGGCGCTCCGTTTTCTTTGTTCAGTTCGAGGGCGCATTGAGAATCAGGTGTCAGAAAAAGAAGGAGTGGACGATTAGGCACTGAGAACAAGGGACAGGGAGCTGCCACACCCACAGCCAACTGCAAAATAAATTTAAATGCCCTTCTTTACCTGCGTATCTCTCCCCGTTCTTCAGCTTCAGTCTCCCTTCTCCGTGAAATTTGTGGTCGACGAACTGCCCGCGATACGAAAATTTCTCCGTCACGAGCTTGCCCTCGCCGTGGTACCGGTTCTCCTTCCAGTAGCCGCTGTATTTTGCAAATTGGATCTTCTGCTTCTCGATGTAATCCTGGGCGGCGAGCGGGATGGAATCATCGAAGTGCGCATGATTCTCGTTCTCCCCGGATCCGCCTTTCTTCGGGCTGTCCAGCTGCTCGATTTTGCTGAAGGAAGCGGACTTCGACCCCGACATCCTGGTCCCTGTGGCGCCCGAGGTAGTTTTGGTCTTCAAACTGGACCCGGCTGCGTCGCCGGAAGACGCCGCAACGGACATGTTTATCGTGCCCGGCGTGCCCGTGCGACTACCAAAACCCGCGTCCGCCTCCACGATAGCGGCGTTGACGACGGTTTGGTCCTTTTTCTGGCCCATGTAGGCATCCAGACTCATGCCCTTCACTCCGCCGGAAGACGACCCCCGGCTTTCTGGTCGCGACGCAGCTGCGGAAGGCGCAGAGGGCTTAAACTTAACCGCCCCCCCGCCAGCCGCGGCGGCCATAGCGCTCCCGGAACCGAAAATTGCTTTTTTCGTCGTTGGACTGGCCAGACCGACGTCCTCGAGCTCCGTCTGGTAGGCGGAGTACTGCCCGCGCAGGTTGATCAGGAGCTTCTTCTCTTGCGTCCCGTATCCGTGCGCCTCGCCTTTCCGGAACTGGCCCTGGTAGACTTCGCAACTCGGGTGGAAGTGGAACGCATCGGCCTGTTTCTCGGCCGGCGCGTCCGCGGGAAGTTCGGGACATCGGACGCGGACACCTGAATTATATTGAAAAAAGTGTCGATTTGCGCAGAAGCGCACAATGTCAGTTTGATTTCCAATTTCATGTGCCTGCAACTGCTCCATGTCCATTCGTTTTCGTTTCCCGCATGCAACGGCACTAAAATTCTAAACACCTTCGCCCGAGATTTCCCCCTCGGTGAAGCTGCAGGCGACGTAGGTGTGACCATTGTCCATGAGAATTGTCCCGGGCCCGGACTTGATTAGGCCTTTTTCCCATTTCCCATGGTACTTGAAGAACGGATTCTTGAAGGTGTGAACCTTCGGCGGGTTTTGGGCAACGCCCTCCAGCTCGAGAACCATCTTGTCGGATCGGGACAAGTTAGTATGTTGACTCTCAGCGCTTCCCAATGAGGTGCTTGTGAGTGTATGCTTTCAGCGACCAGTTTCATCTGCCGGCTGCTTCTCATTCACATTCTCTCGCTTCTTCATCTCAGTATCAATAGATACCATGCAAGAGACCCTTTGCCTTTTCTCTCGCATTTCGCGCGTCTACTGCTAAATAAAACTCTGAAATTGTCTTCGCTTTCTACAACTAACCCTCTCGTGGTACCTCTGGTGACCATGATTCTTTGTTGTCACTGCGGAAGCCAGCACAATACATGAAATACGAAGACAGATCATCAATGAAACGAGAACAAAAAAGACGACCTTGAAACTTCTTTCACAGCATGTCTATCCTCAGCTCGCTTTTGCTACAACGCCAGAGCCAGGCTGCTGTTTCAATTTCAATTATTCTTATTCGCTCGGAATCTTAATTGTTCAGTCGCCGTGCTGTCGCATATATTTTTTTTACATTCTTGAGGTTCGCAACAAATCTTCATCAGAGTCGTCATCGGAATATTTGAAGTCAATCTGGTGACTGTTTCGGAATTGCGTACCGACCGATATGGTGATAGAGGATGGACAGAGCGAGGCATACTTTTTTCCTTTTCTTCCTATCGATCTCGCGGTCACAGTGACAGTAGTTCTAGTTGTACGTCTACGTGCATCCACATCCACATAAAATAAACTACCACGCCATCTGCTTCGTTCTGTAGTTTCAGCTCAGCTATGTAAAGCCACCCCGGTACTGTAGCTCCGTGGATTCCGCGAGCACACGGCGAAGCGTCTCCTCATATTCCTCTTCAGTTTGAGGGTGCATGTCGTGCTCGTTAAGTTCTGCACTTGGAAGACCTTTCTGACGCTTTGCATTGGGTGCTTCGTCTTCTAATTCACTCTCGTGATACAGCCGGTTCTCTTCATTTGCGCGCCGTCGTGGTGTCAGAGGCCGCGGACTCCGGTGGACCGGGTTGTTGAAGTAGGACGCGGACTGCTGGGCAGATGGCGCCTGGTGCGGATGCTGGCCATGAGATGCCGAGGAAACACCTGAGCGGAGAACACTGCTGCTGCTACTCGCAGCTCTACTCGTGCTCTCGTTGACGTGTCCATGATGCAACTCACGGCGATCGTACACAGCATGCCTCGCGTTTCGATCGACGCTCGCGGATGATCCTGCTGCGATGCTCAAATGCTGATTTTGAAAACCCGTGCTGGTGTTGCCAGTTTGTGTTTGGGCATATGCATTCTGTCGCTGTTGCCACGACGGGACATCACGACCGGTGACGAAATGATGCTGACCAGCAACTGCGCTGAGTGGGTGGTGATTGCGAGTTGTTCCGGTCGGATTCGGCGCGGCCGTAAACGAACTGCTACTGCTGGAGCTGCTAGAGTGCGATAGTATGCCGTTCGAAAAGCTGGGAACTGGATAAGCAGTGGCGTTTCTGTTCGATGACGAGGACGATGAAGAGGATTTCGCGCGGTCACTCGTATCGAGGGCGGGACCGCAACCGAAGTCAGCCGCGCGATCTGGTTCTGGACCATGTTGCAAAAATTGATTATGATCGCCCGACACGCCGTGGTAAAAATCCTCAAAAGCATCTTCTTGCCCCCACCGCCGCGGCCCGTCATTTTCATCTTCTTCAAAACGTTCGTCACCGCGATCGTGAATGTCCGCAAACTCCCAAGAATCATCGCTCTCGCCGTCGTAATCGTCCTCGTCCGACGTGAGCAAAATTTGACGCGGTTTCGCACGCAGTCTGGTGTCTCTTTCGTCTTGCCTTCGGGGCTGTTCCTGTTCAGCGCATTCTGCAGCTGTTCTCTCCTGCTGCTTCATCTCCCAACGTCGCGCTGCCTCAGTCTGTTCCGCTATCTTTCGACTCTCCTCCAGAGCTCTTTGAAGGTCGGCATCGTAATCATCCACAGCTGGCTGCTGACGTTGCTCCGGATGATTGCTGGCTCGATTCGTCTCCTCCAGCGACAGTTTGAGAGCCTGCTCAAGCTGCAGCTGCTCGTCCTCGGTCATTCCCTGGTCGACTGGGATTGCAGCGGCAGGTCGACTGGAAGCGCTGCCGTGCGGATGCTCCGAAAAAACGTCCGCTGCTTGGTATGGTGCTGCTGCTGGCAGGTGATCGTCCCAGCGTGCACGCTCATACTGCACACCGAGCTGTTGAGCTGCGGAGACCGCACTACTACTACTACTTGTGATATTATCAAACGACGACCGATTATGTGGCTGTCGTGCCGCGCCGGCAACGACCTTCCCGCTGCTGCTTGCAGGAGGAACAGGTGGAGCGCGTACAGCCCGGACGCCGTCTACTTGCCGTTTTTGCTGCTCCTCCTTGTCGAGGGCCTCTTGCTTTTCGCGAACCTTTCTTTCCTTTCTTTCCCTCTCCCGTGCGAGGATGCTTTCTCGCATCACATCACTTGCCTCACAGGTCCCACAGCACAACGTTAAGCAGGAAGAGCAGTGCGGGGCAATTGCACTGACGCCCTTCGGCTTCATGTTGTTCCCCGTCTTCGCCTTCAGTTCGCGCTGGTACTCCTTGGCTACGACGCCGACTTCGGTCGCTGCTTCGCTGCTTTCGGCCGCGAGCGCCATCAACACTTCCCGCTGGCACAGCAATGCGCTGCCCATTCCGTCGTGCATCCGGTGCCGCTTCTCGGCCGCGTCCTTTGTGAAGGTCGGGAGTGTCCCGTGGTAGAGCGGGTCCGGGTTGCAGCTGGCGACCCAGATCAGACAGCCGTCGCCCCTTTCTCGCGGCATATTGAAGACCGCGCCCGCGACAAACATCCAGGAATGCCCGGGCAGAAAGTCGTCCCGGAACTTCTTCAGCCCCGGGCCGCTGTGCTTCGGCCGGTAGAATAGAATGGTCTCCAGCGTCCCATCCGCACTACTGTCAGAGTGGACCATTACCGCATACCCATGGGTTTTGGTAATGTTGTGGGTGCCGTTGAATGATCTATGACGACTGCCGGGCCGCTCTTCGATTCGATTACTTTCATCGCCTACCTCGTTCGGAACCAGAGTGGCTTTTCCCGTAAGGTCGAGCGTCTCCATTATCTTCGTGCGGGTCACGGCGCCCTTGGGGACCAAGATTTCTTCCAGCTGGGTGAGGCTGCGAGCGTGCGCCTCTGCAAACTGCTCTTCGGCAATAGCGCGACGTCGGTTGCGAATCCAATTGAAATGCGTCAGGTCCCGGAGAAGCGCGCACGCGACACCTAAAGACGAAGCGCAAACAAGTTTCTGAGAGGCTTGCTTGCGCTTTGCACGAGGAATCAAAATCAATTTATGGTGCATAAAAACTGCAAATATCAATATTAGATTTGACTACTGGCCCCAGAATAACTTTCATACGTCGCCCATCTAGTTGTAGATGAAGGCGACGACATGCTCGTAGTGCAGCTTCGCGTAGCTTCAACTTCTGAGGACCCTGCGGCCTCAAGAAGTTGAAACGCAAGGAAGAAATTTACGCTTCAGGGAAATGAATGAGCACACTCCCGACGATCTGACACATGTCCAATCGGTACTGGCTTTGTAGCGACGAATCTCCCCAACTTTGCTGCGCATGCCGGCGGCGTCCTTTCCTGAGGACAGAGCGAAGCCGCAGGCCGTTTGGGTGCCGAACATCATCATGGGGCCCTCCGCTGTTTTGTGACCCCGGTCGCCTTGCCGGACGTGCGAGAATCCCTGGAAGTTCTCCGCCTTGCCGAAGGGCCTCTGCGCGTAGGCGTCCGCCGAGTTCTTCGCCTGTTGAGCTTTCTGCGCCAGCTCAGTGCCTCCGTCCAGGGAGGGCGCGAGGTCCTGCAGAGGCAAGAAGGCCGCTTTCGCGTGGAACCACAACCGCTTACGGTCGAAAGAGAAGAGGATCACGCTCGCATCGTATTCCTGGAGGTTAAGCTGTTCCCTGACGAACTGGTGGGTCCATCCGATGCTCGTCCAATCGTGGCCCTTCTTTAAACTCTCCGACGCCAGCTGCTTGCGAACCGATATGCGCCTCTTGCCCCACTCGTCTAAGCGGCCGAGGTAGCTCTGCATTTTCTTCCACACTTCTTCGCCATACCCAACGAGGCGCGGCCGCTGATTCTCGAAAAACGTGCTGAAGTGCGACTCTTGGCCATGCGGATCCGCTAGGTCCAGGCCTTCCCATTGCAATTTGTTGAAAATGCGACTGTGCTTCTCCGGGTTGGCGCTCTCCTGCAGATCCATTTCAGGCTCCGGGTCCGGCAGCGGTTGCCAGAGCGGAACGAAACTACGGCCTCCTAGTTTTTCCACTTCCTCGTCGTCCTCAGGTGTGGCACAACTGACACCACGAAAATCTGCGCACGTCAAGGCAGTAGCGCCTTCTGACATTAGAACACCCGTGCGCAGGGAGCCCTCTACATCGACACAGTGCTCGAAGCAGATCCGCTGCTTGCGACATGTTGCGCATCTTATTTTCACTGCTGGACGTGTTGCTAACCCTTCGGCCCCCCGCAGCTCGAATTGGTAGTCTTGTTCTCGGAATCGCAGACAAGAAAGCATGCCGTATTCTGGGATGTTTTCGGAGAAAAAGATCAAACTGTTGTGCTATCGTCTGTCACAGACCATCTCCCCAGGTCCGGGCGTCCTATATCCGGCTCTTGCTTGTCGTTTCTGGAGGAAATAAAGGTGAACTCAGGAATATCAGAGGGGGCATCATTTTTCTTTAAGAAGAGGATCGGGCTTCAAACATGCGCAGAATGAAGTATTGTACTCAAAGTCAAATTCAGTTCTTGGAAGAAAATAAAGACATCTTTTTTTTCTACTTTGGCGTTGGTTCGTTATATATCGTTCAAGCAGAGGAGGAGGACAAAGGATAAATACAACATTGACCGGCGAATACTTATACTGCTATCGTTTTCGTTGGCGTTACGAAGCCTTTACTTGATATGGAAAATACCACACACAAACTAGAAATCGAACGAACAAGGACCTAATGAAAAATCTTCATCTTCTTATTCGTTGTTCATGCAATTGCACCAGACAATGACACTACCGACGTGCCATAACAACTGCCTCTCTAACCGATGGCATTTGCCGCAGTTGTATGAGGGCAAACGCTTTATTTTGTAATCAGTTTCTATCGAATCTCAATCATACAAAAGTGGATGAAATATGACACACGGACAACTTGGAGAACGGCCCTGAAGATCTTATGCTTGACAGGACATGAGGAAAGAAACAAGAAAGGCCCCATCAACCGGAACAATACATGATCGGGCAAACTAATCAGCGAATTGGCTTTTGATTTTGTTCTGCGCATGATACGAAATTTCTATTTTTCGACGGGGCACGAAATGCTGATCGTCCTCGTCCTCATCGACACATTTTCTGGATATCGAAAGTCAAGCTCCCAAAGTCGGGGGCGGGCGCACCATCGTCACAATACGATCGCGTCGAAATTATCGTTGCTCTTTCTCAGTGCTCAGCCCGAACGACACGACAAGGAACAAAAAGTAGATTGAGAGGGTGGGTGCCACGTTCGCAAACGTAATCCGGCGGCGGTGTGAAAAGGACAACTACACGTGCTCAAACAAGTATGGCTCTGCTCGTACTGTGATTCGATTCGTAGTCACGCCATAGTACAGTACCAGTGCGATATATCCACTTCGGCAAAAGCTCGATGCCTTCGCGACGCGCATTCAGGCTTATCCTACCTCTGAAGGCAATTTAGAAAAGTAGTGTCGAAACGCGCGGTCAAGGAGCTCAGTGTTGGACGACGTACGTGCAGTCAATTCCTGTGTCACATCAAAGAATGTCGGATGCTGAAGAGCATCAGCATCTTCATGAGCTGTCTGTTTCTTTACTGAGACATTGCTGCCTCGAGGATCGCTCTTCCTACCGCCAACTTGCTGCTCTCCTGCCAAGTTCCCCTTTTGTGGCGGCGAAGCCGCGGACGTGGATCGAGAACGGGGCCCAGGAAAGGAGAACAGCATTGCAGCCCTTTCCAAAACAGCGTCGCTCGGTTCCTCCTCGGTTGTGAACTTGCTGGCGAAGTTCTTTTGCAGAAACGCGGCGGAGGAAAATGCCGCGGTGCCTTTCGTGCCGTCAGGATCGTGTTCAGGGGCAGTCCCTGAAAGAGCTGACGCAGAACAAGGCGCCGACAGCAACAGTGCGCTCAGGCTCTTCCTTTCCACTCCAGCGGGCAACGCGACGGGCGCTCGCGGTACTGACGGCAACATCGATGTTCCGAGTTGGGAAGATCCTTCCACGGGCGGGAGACTTGCCTGGAAGGAGCCGAGAAGCGCGCGGTCGTCCGTCGCGGCACGGTAGACAGCTGCTGTATCTTGCTCCCGCCCGCCAAGTGGTCCGGCGCGCCGTCCCGCGCTTACTTCTTGCTGTGGCGACCCGAACCCGAAGCCGAGCTCTGCCAGCGAAGTTTTCACCGGCTTTTGGCCCGCGGGAGCACGCCTCCCGAGGGACAGGCTCTGGTGGTGTGCCGCGTTTTGGTCCAAGTTTGTGTTTGAACGGGACGATGTGCCCCCTAGCAAGTTGAAAGGTGGACTGTCCAAAAAGTATGCCGCTGCTGTCTCGCTCCGCTGCCGCAGGGTCGTTGCTGCGCCCGCGGCAAACCCTCCTCCTCCGGTCGGAAAGTTGATTATATCTGGTGAATCTAAGCTAGTTTTCGATCCACCCTGGTGTTTTTGAGCGGCGAGCAGGTCACTTCGATCCCGTCGTCTGACGCCGCGATTGTACCAAAAAGAGTCGCCAACGTCGACCGCGCCACCAACTGTGGCAGCCATTTGTGCGCGCCTTCCTCTGGTGTCCGGCCGGCCCCGTGGAGTCGTCCTGCTGGCAGCTTCGTTGAGCGGCCTTTTCCTAGCTGGAAATAAAGCTAAAGGGTCGCTCTCGCTTTCATCATCTGTGGACGAACTGGAATCAAACTCTTGAACATCACCAGCGCCATCGGAGGAAAAAGCAGGCTGACGTTGCTGATCTGGTTCATAAATCCCTGCACGACTCAGGTTTGCTAAGCGCACGTGCGAGCGCCCGATAACATTCTCCGTACTGATGTTTTGCTGCAGCAGTTCCATGGATTTCAGGTATTCCAGGCACTCTCCGCAGCACACACTGCCATCCAGCCGTTCCAGAAACGGATCGCCACATTCTTCACAAAGCAAAAGCCGTGGGGTTTTTCGTTCTGTATCCGCAAACACCCGTGCATTTGCAACCGGGAAGTAAAATTTCTGATTGACGTAGCTCGTGTGAGCACCGTTGTGCGAGGATTGACTCAAAAAGCTCGTTTTGGCCTGGATACTCTCGCCCTCCGCAGCACCCAACTGCGCATTCAGCCGCGCTGGGTATTTTCCCATCAATCGAGAAATGGATTGTGACATCGGCTGTTCTACTACTGCGCTCCGTGAAGATGCAACAGTGCTCGACCCGTATCTCCCTCCAGCCAACCCCAAACTTGCTGCACCACTTCCGTTCCCTCCTGCGGCGCGCAAGAAATCAAACGACAGGCTGCGCTTTTCAACAGAGAATCCGCTCCCGGCAGTTGCCCCTACTGGTCCTCTCGTCGGTCCGCTAGTACCATTAACCGACGCAATTCCACCGGGAGGTCCGGCGCCGAAGTAGTTTTGCTCACTGGCACGCTTCGTCTTGCGATCGCGCAAGGTGTTCAAGTATGAGAAAACGAACCAGTGCTCGTAAGCGTTAAGACGAAAAAAGGCGGTTTGCTTCAAAGAGTCCGGGCCTTTTGGCCGGTCTTGCTGATTTGTTGTAATTTCGCTGTCCCCGGCGAACTCCCCATCGATGAAAGAGGTGAAGAAGTCGCGCTGTGAGCCGGTCGTTGTACTCGCGCGAAGATCCTGTTGCACTGATGCCCGCCCGAACAAATTTCTGCTCGCATCCTGTACTGCCGCACTCCGTGGTGCGCTCGCTCGCGGCGCACCTAGATACCGCTGAAGCTCGTGCTTAAGCCTGCGCTCCCATTTGTTCGCGGAACGCGCTGCTGGGGTTGTGTTTTTTGTTTGTCCCTGGTCTTTCTTGTAATTATCTCCAGCGGAAACAGGAACAGCAGAGGAAGAGGACGAAAAGGAAACTGCCTCTGAGGCACCATCGACTTGTGCAATCATCTCGTCAGAAAGCTGGCCTGCACTTGTTTGCAGTGGTGAGGCTTGAAACCCGATGAAATGTTTCAAAAGCAGGAGGTTTTCGGCGTTGCTGAGACTCCGCGCTGAATGATGTTCGCTCATTTTTCCTCCTGGTGCCACCGACGTCGTGGTGCTCGAGGACGGTTGTAACTTGTCTCCGCGGCGGTAAGACCTGCGGGGCGCGACGCGAAACATATCAGTGAGGCCGTCAGTGGCAGCTGTGAATGGATCATCCAATTGCTGCGCTTCCCTTTCCGCTCGCCCGGCGAGATCGTGATAGCCGACACTGCTGCTGCTCGACGTGTCTCGTGAATGTAGTGCGCCTTCGTCTCCTGCCAAACAGAGCTGATTCATGTCGTGCTCGCCTCGAATGTCGCGTAACACCTCCATTTCGTCCGGCGAAAGAGGCTTCTGGACCCGGAAGACCGAACTTCGGAGACTCAGAAGCACCGTTCGGGGCTGTGCGTACTGCCGATACACTTCGCGGTCGTGCTTTGTCAATCCAGTTAGAGTAGTTGTCGGACCGAATGCATAAGAAGACTCATCGTCCTGTCGCCCCCGCGGAGGTGGGCCTCCTCTGTCGTCCTCTGCGAAAGCCAGTACCTTCCTCGGTATCGATCGTGCCCCGACCCCGGTCGAAGCAATAAACTTATCGAGGCTAAAAAGATCCTTGCGGCGAAAATCCGGCAGCAGGAAGCTCAAGCTCAGATCGTCGTTAAAAAATCTAGCATCCGCTGCAGTCGTGAGCCACAGCTTGCCAGGAGCAGTCTGCTCTTTCCGGACATCGAGCGCGTGCAATAGCGAAGCGACGTCTTGCGATAGCAAGGTTTGTTTCGCTGCTTCTAGAACGGCCGCAAACGATAACGACCCAACTTTCCTCATACTTTCATCTCGTCCTCCTGACGAAAAGAACGAGACGGAGGACATTGAATCCGAGTTGAGCATGGTAATACTTTCTTGCAACAGGTGCTCTGGCTTTCCGAACAGCGCAAGACGTGCACGGCTTTTCACCGACCTTGCGTTGCTAGTATTTGTTGCCAGAGGCAAAAACTGTTGCGCGACTGCTGATTGACCAAACCGACGTCTACCCGCTTGTGCTGTCACCGGCGGCTGGTAGCCTGCGGCCCAGACTGGCAGAAGAGTTTCGTAGCCGCTATCTGTAGTTTGACCGTTCTGCGCTCCACCTGCTTGCTGGTTAATACCATCCTGGTACAACGCATGGGTAGCTGTATCGTCAAAGGTGTTTGTGTTGATAGTACTGTTTTCCGCCCGCAAGAGCTTGTCAAAATTCGTCAGCTTCCATATCTTATGCGCGCTTTGAAAACGATTCGGTGTCGGAGGCAGGAGTATATTAGGTGACGCTGCGGCGCTGTTCGGGCCGGTTGCAAAGAGTTTCTCGTGTTCTGACAGCAACACAACCAGATCTCTGCTGTCAAGCTTCTTCCCGACGTAAAGCATCCGTGCGAGAAACTCCGGCAGACAATACGCGTACACCCACGCAGGCACGACCGGGCCACCTCCTGTGGAAAAACAAACACCAGCGTGAGCCAGTCGCAGCGCCAGTAAGCGATGGCCAAACCTCACAACAGGGCTGACAAACCACAACTTCAAATTGGCAGATGAGTCCTGTACTTGTTCCGACGTGTAGAAGTGGTAATTGCGCGGGCCCGTTGTACAAGAACTACGTTCCGCGTCAAACGCCGCCGGGAGCTGGCTCTGGTGCAGAAAGGCGTCAGCTTCCACCGCGACCTGGGACAATTCGTACCCGGTAAAGAGCATATTTTTCTTCGCGATGGCCCGGAGCGGGAAGATCCCCAGAAACAAATTGATGGCGAGCTGCTTCTCGGCGTCCTGGAAACTCGTCTGGTACTGCCGCTGGATGCTGGTCAACAGCTCCTTTCCGCCTGACGAGGAGGCATACTTCTTGTGCGCCACCGAGCCGGCGTACTGCATGGAGAGGCAGTCACCGCTGGTGTCGTACAGTTCGCCGAGGAGTTGCGCCACGTGTCCGTCTAACTCGAGACTGGATTGCCGACGATAAGCACCAGTCCGATTCGGGGACGGTGCTGTGCTGCCTTTGCTGTATTGCCGCGGGAAGGTGGTAGCTTGATGTTCTGCGCTCTTGTGGCCAACGTCGGGTGCTGAGGAAAAGTCCTGCTCGCTCCGGGGGCTCGTCGATGGAGGGGTCTGTGTTGTTGACGCTTGCGGGGGTCCGACACTTGTACTGAAACTTCTAACCCCGGCCGCTGCCGAGGTTGACGAGAAGCTGACGTACCTGCCCTGATGTGCGTCCTCTAACACAAGCTGAAGCTGCTCCCCTCCCCGTCCTGGACCTCTGCCACTTGAAGTCCAACGGCTCTCAGCATCGTCCGCCTCTATTTGTCGATCCACAAAATTCAGGGTCCGCGGCAGAGCATCGACTGCTAACCGCAGCTGCCGAGGTACCAGCGTCGGCACCGCGCCGAGGGATTTCAGCTGTCGCTCGAAGGCCTCCAGGCCAAGGAAAAACAAAAGCACGTTGGTCCGATCAAGACAGTCTACGCAATTGACCCTGACCGCACCGCTCTGCACACTTTTTACGGAAGATCGCGTCTGGTGGTAAAACCCCACCTTGTCCACCATGGCCTCAGCCGTTTCGCAAACCAATCGGTTAAATCGCTGCTTCTGTATTGACCGGTCGACCGCAGCTGCAGTAGTTCCAGCACCATAAAGCGGATTATTCGCAGAAGAAGAACCTCCTGGTGGTGCACCAACTCCTAGGCGATTTCCAAAATTGTCTCCACTGAGTGGTGCTCCTATTGCGACTCCCTCGGCAACCGATTGAAGTGGCAGCATTATACCTCCTGCGCTGTTGACCTTGTAGCTATCGTAACTCAACAACGTCGTTCCACTGGCCGCGCCGGAGCTGCTCATGGTTTCCGCGATCGCCAGAGTCGGCGTTCCCGCCTGTGCCGCCCCTGCACCAGTTCCGGCAGCATAATTCAAATCCAATTTGGCCGCGGCTTTGAGGTCCAAATGATGGTAGACGACTTGCAACAGCCCGCTCGCGTCGTTGGCCACAATTTCCGCAGCGAGCTTCTCCAGGCAGGTCTTCATTTTCGCCGACAGTGTCTGCTCGTCCGTGCCGGCTGAGTTGCGCATCAAATTGAGCACCACCAGCGGGCTTCCGTACCGAGACAGCAAGTCGCCCAGGTGCCGCCTGGTCGCCTGGAGATCGATGTCTTCCTTTGGGTAGACAATCGGCGGCTTGAACGCCATCGCCGTGCTCTCCTGGCCCCAGAACAGCGGCACCGAGGCCCGGAGCTGGACGAAGCTCAAGATGGAACGAATCCCGGGGTGGCACAAAATCTGCTCGGACTCCACCTCATTTCCACAATGGCCGTGCGCGTTCATGCCGCGTTTGCGGTACCGCGTGCCCGCAAACCGCGTGCTCCGGCGCGACACCAGCGTGATCTCGAGTTGCTGCGAGTAGGAGCTCAGAATCTGCTGCGCGAACGTGCCGTGGCAAATTGTGAGACAAAAAGTCCGCCACTCGGGTCGGTCGGGAGTGCCGAGCGAAGTAGAGTAGAAACTACAACTTCTTCTGCAGGGGTGTACTACTAGCTGCCGTGAAAGATTTTTACGACGGAGTTGTGTCGTGCCACTTGCAGCTCTACCACTTGCGTTGGGCCGGAGCATGTGTGCGTTCCACACGAAGCGAAAAAATTCCGGATCCGCGTAAAACGGATCGCTTTCCGCAAGTCGGTCCGCCTGGTTTTGCTGCACGCTGCGCGACAGCTCGTAGCTGTAACTGAAAAAAAAATTCCCGCTTTTCAACACGGACATCCAGCGTTCCACCCACTTTTGCTCCTCCGCGAGGTCGGCTTGTTCAAACTGGAAGAATTGCTCTTCTTGGATGAGATTCTGGTCCGCGATCGGAACCAACTCCACCCGTTCGACTTCAAAGACCTCGTGGTGCCCAAGAGTACCGAGCTTTTTCTTCTTCGTAAGCACGACGACGTACCAGCCGCGCAGGAAACGCACAAACCCCAAGATCCCCGCACAAGGTGCACATCCGGAGCTGCGGGGCGGGGTGGAAAGATTTTTCCCGGCCGATGTTGAGCTTGATGCGAAAGCCGACGAGCTTCCGGCAGTGCTGCTAGCAGTTGCTGTTATGGACGCGCTTCCAACGTCCACATAGAGGCTCTGCAAGGCGGCCTGCCGCACACTTTCCGGATCGTCCTGATTCAAATCATCACTCAAACTTTTATCGCCGCCCCCGCCGAAGATATTTTGCAGATTTGAAAAGAAGACGTCGCGCTTCCGCGCAGTGCGGGCAGTCGTAGCTTGCTGCAGTGCTCGCGCACTCTTCGTGCCATCACGCTCTGCTGCAATCCTGTCCTCCCACCACCCGTCTGCGGCAATTTTGCAATTCGCTTCGAATTCCGAGAAGTCCGCGTCCTCTTGGCTCCTGCCCTGCGCTATCAGTTCGCGCGCAACCGCAAAATCCAGCCACGTCTTGCCGCCCGACAACGCCAGTCTTCCGTCTACCGTTTGGGCGCATTCAAGGACGCGAACTAGCCTTACGGAGCGCTTTTGCGCAGTCTTTATTGGGTCGAGGTCATGTGGTCGCGGCTGGGGCAGTAGATCCTCCTCTTCGTGCTTTTCGGATGCCACCACGTACAGACGCGTGGGCACAGTGGGCAAACCGGGACTTGACCGCGCGGAACCGCTGTCCAGTGGACTGCGGTAAAGATCCACGCAGGCGGCTGGGCGCTCGAATGCGCTCGTGCCGAATAGGTCGCCCATCTTGATCCTTTATCAAATCAGCACAAGAAGGCCATGCATCGCGAGCTGCAAGTAGACACCAGATATAGCAATCACCATACTCAACGTTCATCCAGCATGGATTTGCGGAAAAAAATTATAGTAATTTCATGTTGCGGCTTCGTAGAAGTTTTAGTTTAGGTATTGGGGATGTCGACGCATGACCAGGAATAGATCACACATACACATTCAGATTCACCGACAATTTTGATGATAGCTTAACCGTTCGACTTTCTCACGTGTGTGCCAAATATGAAGCGATTCCGATAGCAAGTGGAAGATTTGCGAAACTGACTCATACACATTTCCGTGTCCGTAGTAACTTGGTAGCCCTTTCTTACTTGGCCAAACAACATAAGTACTTGTACTTTATGACCTCACTACATATCACGAAGCGGCGTTCACCGAAAGATACGAAGAGTCCTCGATGCCATTGGTCGCCGCATGATAGAGAATAGAAGAATGACAATGTCAATGATTGGTTCCAGCGAACACACGACAGCGCCATTTCTTTACTTTTTGGAAGAAAATTTAAAGATTTCAAAATAGTACTTTTAAGATCGCCAATTTCTTGGATGTGGTGATAGAGTTCCGACAGCTGGTACTCAGTGTTACTCACACAATTGGTTCAATTTGACGATTGCCATTGGTTCGAGGAAAATCTGAAAGAAAGAGGATAGTCGTCGGTTTATGTTTAAATCTGCGACTCATTGTTGAGCGAGCCTGTTCCCGCGGCCAACCCGCTCACTCATTCGGTAAACTCATCTTCTTTTCCAAGACGAATGGTAAACGCAGGCGGGAGGGTCTCCGAATGATTTATGATGCGGTAATAAGGATGGAATTGAAGTCCATGTACTTCGAATCGGAGACGACTCAGGGCCGCGTCCGACTCGTCTAGATCGGAATGGAACAGCTTCGCCTGTCGCTCGGTCATGGGATAGGCGGCGCCACAAGGCAGCTTGGGTGCGGCATTGACAATTGCTTCTGTTATTTCAACTTCAACTTTCCCGGAAGCAAATTCTTTGAGGAGGTAATCGCTGAAGTACATAACAACGGCATTTCGTGTCTTCTCCATTGTCTCAGCAAAGGCTGCGCGATGGTTACTCTTGTACTTGCGTTCGAGAGGTGCGGATAATTTTTTCCCCAGAAGTTCCATCGCCGCTTCGCCTGTGGCGTCGTCGTGTCTCGCACCATTGAACGAGATCCTGAACGGAACGGTGGCGCTGCCGTGGTGTAATACATCTATCGTGTTGCCTCTTCGATCTTCGATGATGTGACCCAAATGGCCGAAGTACGTTGCTATAGTGTCTGCATGGACGGCATCACCATTTCGCATCCGCGGAGCTGCGTCGAAAGTTTGTGCATCAACGAGAATTACAACCATAACGGGGGGTCTGTGCTAAACTTTCAGAACTTTTCAAAAACTTTTCGAAAACTCTGAATTTCCCGCCGGCCTGCTCGTCAAAGGAGCTGCCTCGCAACTTCGTGGCCAATGACTGCACGGCCAACACGAGATCGAGCCCCAGCATGCCATCGCGGTTCCAGTGTGACCGATGGGGTCCCGCGCTTTTCGTGGGTGCCCAGTTTGCGCACTCCGCCACAGTGAAAAACGCCCGCACCTGAGAAAGTTGAGGCAGCGCCGAGCTTGGTGGCCCACCCAGCCTGCAACAACGGCGGGCTTCGTGGTCAAGGCCAAAGACCGAAAAGCTTTCCCTTGCTCTCTGTTCGTAGTATCAAAGAGGGAAGCCAAACATAAAAAAACCCAAAAGCCTGACTCAGCGATGCCCTTCGTCGCAAAAGTGCTGGCATTGGCGAAACATAACAAAAAAACACCACCAACATAACAGCGACGCTGGAACAATGCTGATTTTGGCGCGGTGGTATGGCGGAGGCCAAAAAATGCAACAAGCTTTTTACTGTGCTACTTCGGTGAGCCCGAAACGAGCCCGAAAAAACTTTTCATCTGGCCGCCCTTCTCGAAGCTTCCCGCTGCTGATTCTGCTTGAATCCGGCACCGTTTTGGTGCCCTAAGTGAAAGCTTTTGGAAAGTTTTCAAAAGGTTTTTTTTCCCAGAATCAGCTCGGGAGTTTTTTTTTGGAAGGTCAGGAAAGCGGCGCCATGCTGTCGGTTTTGGTTTTCCAGATATAACGAAAAAGCACAAAAAAAACTTTTTGAAATGGGCGCACAGGTCGCGCCCTGCCTCAGAATTTGAGCAAAAGTCGAGAGCTCGCGCCTTTTACCCTACGCCGTGCCGCCATGCATAGATAATGTTACCGCCAGCGGTATTCTTCACATGTAAAATATACAACAGCCCGCCCCGGCTCCGGGGTCCAAACCTATCACGAAATCAGGCCGAGAAATAAGCGTAGCGATACCCCATCCAATATCACACTCCAACTCCAACTCGTCCAGAGTCTAGCACTGGACTCAGCTTCTAGCTTTTCCTTCATCGCCCAGGCTACTTCTAGTACCAAAAAACCCAAAAGCTTGACGCAGACGCAAAAGCGCCGGCACTGACGAAACATAACAAAAAAACACCACCAGCATACCACCGGCGCTGGAGCAATGGCGATTTTGGCGCGGTGGTACGGCGGAAGCCAAAAAGTGCGACTTTTTTGCTGTGCTATTTCGATGAGCCCGAAACGAGCCCGAAAAGACCCCGAAAAAACTTTTTTTCTGGCCTCCCTTCTCGAAGCTCCCCGCGGCGGAGTCTGCTTGAAACCGGCAGCGATTTGGTGCCCCAAATGGAAGCTTTTAAAAAGTTTTTTAAAAGTTTTTTTTTTCGGGAATTAGCTCGGGAGTCGTTTTTTTGAGGCCCAGAAAAGCGGCATCATGCCACCGGTTTTGGTTTTTCGCATATAGTGCAAAAGTGCAAAAAAAAAACTTTTCAAAATGGGCGCACGAGTCGCGCTTTGCCTCAGAATTCGGGCAAAAGTTGAAAAAGCGCGCTTTTTTGCCTACGCGGTGCCGCCGTGGATAACGTTACCACCCACGGCATTCGTCGCGTGTAAAGTATACAACTTTTCGCCCCGGCTCCGGGGTCGAAACCTATCACGAAACAGGATGGCACGCCGTTCAAATGCGTAAGAAATTAAAAATCTGCTGAGGGGATTCCGCCCGCGATTCACGTGTGACCGACGGCAGCGCGCGCGCCTTTTATCGGCCACCATATATGACCACGAAACACGACGGCACGGCGCCACAAAGACTGCAAAACCTGAGCCGTGAGCTTTGCCTACTTCGCAGGCAGTGCCAGCCTGCTTCATGTCTGGGCTACGCTTCTTTTGTACTTTTTGAAGACTCAGCAGCCTCGCTCCTTTCTGGCAGCGTGCCGCCGTGCCTGGGGTCAGAACAGGTGCCAAAAAGATAGCAGAACTCAGAGTCTGCTTCTTCGACTGCGCCGCTTTTTCTTGTGGGAATTACAAACGCAACGCGGCGCAGGGGCGCACCCCCTGGATCTCTCCAGACACGCCGCTCGGGCCGGCGCGCTGCGCCTGAGAACCGAGGCCCTAGGCCCTAAACCCCAAACCCTAAACCCAAGCCCTGCGCCAGGTGAAAAGGAGGAGGGCTAAACCCTAAACCCTGCTAGGCGAAAAGGAGGAGGGCTGGCCCCGGATGGGGGGATGGCCACCCAAGTGCGTTTGCCCCTCGGTCAAATAAACAGCACGGCCACCCGAGTGCGTTTGCCCCTAGGCGAAACGCGGAGGGGTGGATCTAAGCCTTTTCGTGCGTGACTACATATATCAAGGACGCGGCCCGGTTTGTGCGACACGCTGCTCAAGAAACGCGCAAGAGATTACAAGTCTGCGGAGAGTATTCCGCCCGCGATTCACGTGTGACCGACGGCAGCGCGCGCGCCTTTTATCGGTCAAAATATATGACCACGAAACACGACGGCACGGCGCCAAAAAAGGGCGTCGGACCTTGGTGGTTTCGCGTCATCGTTTTGCTCTGTTTTCAAAAGTTTTCAAAAAGTTTTCAAAAAGTTCTAAAGCCGATGAGTAGACCCCCCGTTATGGTTGTAAGAGAAGAGACCCTTCCCCCGCCTCCGCCCGTTCCTTGATCAACTCAGAGTAGTACGCTACCGCTCTCGCTCGATCACTTGCTCGCTGCGCTTTTGAGATTTGCAAAGCGTCACGTCCGCTAATCCCCAGCGCCGGATGCTCAATCGGGCCCATAAACTCAATGATGCGTCGCCGCAATTCCATTGGCAACTGGGTGCGCCCGCCGGTCTGTCGCTTGTGAAGGTCGCGGGTGGCCAAGATGTACCACATGTTTACCTGGCGTTACTTATTCATCACGGGCTCAAGTCCATCAATGTTTTTTTGTTTCAGTTTCGACTGATAGCGGCGAAATCAGTATCAGCATCAGATTCAGACGCAGACCACATCCACTGAAAATAAAAAATAGATGCCAGCATGACTGAACTAACGCGCTAGAGTTCATCGGTCTGAGGCTGTACCTGCGCCATTCCCATCCTTCTCGCACAGCGCTCCTCAACGCCGGTCATTGCATACTTCCTTACCGCATCAGACCACTGTGAAACTGACCCCCGGAATGACAGGAGTAAATCGCCCATTGTCGGCGGAATTCTTCTCGGTGGATTTCCCGTCTGGTTTTCAGCATTCCCACCTGCATCTGGGCCTGCACCTGCTCCTGACGCAGCACTGCTACTCGACGACGATGCCATTTTTTGGTGCTATTTATTGCTCTCTATAGTACAGTTAGAGTTTTCTTCTACACCAGAAGGATCAAGTAGATGGCGACGAATAAACCACAGAATAGCTTTGCCGCCGAGGTGAGACTACAAGGTCTAGGCCAACGAGCACACCTTACTTCTATAAATACAGACATTCATGAGAGCTAATGAATAGGTGGAAGAGCGTTAACAAGTGCACAAGATAGGCTCGCTTTCGAGTATGATCTTCCGCTTCCCACGTTCTACTTTAAGAAATCCGATCACGTGCAGAGCTGGAGTCAGTTGGTTCGCTGCCGCTAGGTAGAGGATCAATGCGAATGCCACTGCTTGCCTGAAGAGCCGTTTTTCCTCCAGCTTTTTCGATCTGCTCGTCTCTTCTCGCTTTTCGACGTCAAGAAGTAGAGCAAGAAAACTGTTCTGAGTTAGAACATAGTCAGCCCTAATACAGACGCACACGAATACCACTACCCATCGACGAGTCAGGTTTTCGTTTATTTCCCTAGTATGCGTAATGCCTCCGATCATGTCACTACAGAGCCGAGGGGGAGCGCGCGCCCCCATTTCTGAGTACTACAGGTAGCTAGATCAAGCCTCTTTCCTGTTGTCTATATCCAGTTCCAGAGTACTTTTAAAGCGCGAGCAGTCAATAGATATAGATAGTCCGCTTATCAGCTGGGAGTTGTATGACGAGAGCACCACTACGAGAATGGGATATAGGAGAAACTCACTACTTTCCAAAATGAAACAGAAAAGCAAAAGTAGCAATCGCAATCATGGCACTGCGAGTCAAAATAGAAAGGTAACTTTGGCGAGTGTTATTCAAAATACCACTCGCGCACGAGAGCAACAGCAACTCTGTAGGAGCGAGGTAACAAATGACCCGTTAACTCGCACCAGCGAGTTAGCCGTCCGCCCGGCCGGCCGGACGGTTAACTCGCGGTTAGAAATGTAGACAAAGCGAATGGTAGCACAAATTTGAATCGAAGATCGGCGAGCACTTCGGGGTAGATTTGCACCACGACAATTCGATTTGTCTACACTTCTAACCGCGAGTTAACCGCCCGGCCGGCCGGCCGGACGGCTAACTCGCGGGTGCGAGTTAACGGGTCATTTGTTACCTCGCTCTAGGAATTACTGAAGCGAGATTTGTTTCGACTCTGATGAATGAACATCATCTAGTCCTGCACAATCCCACCGAGCGCGTCCACCGCTTGCTGGACCTCGTTCGCGGGTATACCCGTCCGGAAGTCCTTCTGCGTGTCCTCGTTTACCGGCGGGTGTGCCCCCGGCTTGGCCCGCGCGTCCTTCTTCACCGCCCCGTCCTCTAGGCTGTACAAACCCTTCATCGGGAGTTTCGGTCCGCCCTTCTTGCGCTGGTGAAGCAGGCCGTCGTCGGCGTATTACAATGAAAAATACCCCCACCCCCGAACTTGGGAGCATTTGTATTGCAAACCTTTCCAAATGAAACATTCGCCCTCTTGCATCTATCAGCATCACAGGGTTTCAATAGTGAATAGCAAAAATTTGTATTGCATAAGACCCCAGCAAGAGCGGCACTTGTCATGCAAGCGATGCGATACACGCCTACATTCTGCATCAGAAAGATTCATACTCCTTTCATGCATGGCAAAAAGTTTTCATTTGGAAACTTCGCATCACAAATTTCTGCAATTTAGGGGTGGGGGGCACTTTTCACTGTAATACGGCGATGACCAGCTTCTCCTCGGGCGGCGACTCGGGCACTGGCGGTTCCAGCGCGCCCTCCTGCAGCGGCTCGAACAGTTTGTCGCTCTGCGGCCCGATCTGCACGATGACGTTGTGCCGCTTCTTCCCTTTGGCCATCTCCGGGGCCACGGGCATTTCCGGTGCCTTGGCCAAATCCGTGATCGTGGGGCAGTAGATGTTCCGCGCCTGGTATCCAAGGAAAAAAGTGTTACAGTTACACACTCGTTCGAGTTTCTGCATCACAAAGTTGCTCGACATGGCAAAGAAAACCTGTGATGCGCAGACTATAAAGGAAAACACGAATGCAATTAGGCTGGCAAGCATTTCCTGCATGACAGAGGTTGTCTGTCTTGCTTGTCTTCTATCAGAGTGTGTAACTGTAACACTTTTTTTTCAGGATAACTGGTGCGCCGCGAAATCGTCCTCGCAGGGCCATTATCCACCTGTGCAAAAGTATCGCACTCGTAGTAATCGCAGTCATGCATTACAAATCTTCATCCCAAGATAAAACAGCGTGACAAATTCCATTTGTCATGCTGAGCTAATTTGTCATGCGATTTATCCTAGTACGATACAACTTTTGCAGTTCATAGCCAGGGCGTGTCGCACGTGTCCCCGCGAACCTCCTTGCCCTCGGCGCTGAGTTTCGGGAGGCCGTGGTCCCGCAGCGCGCAGACGCCTTTCCAGTTGTACGGCGCCACGCACGCCTTGTCCTCCGCTAAACACCACCCTTTGGGACAGGGTAGCGCGTAGTCTTTGCGGCACGTCGTCGTACTGGCGAAGCTGGTGGTCCTCGGAGCAAGGCCCGTGGTGGTCGCGAGAAAATGGCTTTTGATGTTTCTCAGCAGCGATGAACGATTTGTTCTTGTTGTTGTTTCGTGAAACAGCGAAAAATCTTCACCGGACGGCGCTCCTGTTCTTGATGTCCTGGTCAACCCAGCCCTGGCCGACGAGGGCCCCGCTGGTCCCGCGCTCGTCCAGAAAGAAGACCACAATGCCGCCGCGGCCCGCGACGGACTAAAATCATGGAGATAGCCATCCTCAGAGGACGCAGCATATCGTCCGGAAGGACTTGAGTTCTCGACGAAGGAAGTGGAAGTACTCGAGGCAGCTGCGCGAGACGAAACCGTACTTGGCGCAGTGCGCAGAAAGTCCTGAAGAAGCAACTCCAACGAGACCGAGGAGTGAGGCGCCATAATTATTGTCCGGTCGAGCTATCTAAATCTATGGCTCAAAACTACGTTGCTCACTTGTGTTCAAAAGAAACATTCCAGTTGTCAACTCACTTACACTTCACACACAGAAGCCAGCACACTGCGAACATGCGGATGGAAGATAGAAATTCGATTTCGATGTTGTTGTTAAGGGTGATGATTGACAAAAGAGTTAGACTATTCAGCGGCGAATTTCTCCAGCATGTGCAAAGAAACGGTATCAGCTCTCAGCTTCAGCACGTTTCTCTCTACAAAATCAAAGATGCAAGTGCAACGTTGCGTGTGCATCTTCTCCTGTACTATCTCTCTCCACTTTTGTACTTCGGCGTCGTGTTCCTTCGCGCCATAACACCGGCTCGACATACTGACTCTACGTATTTTAATTTTTGACCTTCGACGAGTCGGACACGACAATAAAAAATCCGAAAGGAACAAGCCGTCTTGCGCGAATCGCGTATTGCTACTGTCCAGTTTCACACCGTAGTCCATTTATTCGGAGACACGTAAAAAACACTCGCCACATCGTATACGAAGACTGAAGAAGTATTTACTCTTCCAGGCAACAAAAAAAATTAAAATTGTCAGTTTTGCAGTCGCACAAGGCAAAGAAGAAACTTGTGAAGAAAAGAAGTTGCGTTTCGTAGTTCATGACATCATGCTTGTTTCATCTGCAATAAAAATATATCGAAACGGAATTCCTTGTTCAAATAAACGAGTTTCAACGTCTCGTGAAAAAGGGAAAGACCCCACATTGGACTCCACGACGACACATCGCGTGGTGTCCCCTACAGGAAGTATAGAAACACATGTAACAACTTCAGAGGCATGGTAAAGAAAGTAGGCGAAAAGATCTTCAACCCTGCTGCGTACTGGGAAAATTCAATCGTGCAGAAAAGTACAACTCTGTGCCTGCAAAATTTACCTTATGCTCGCCAGAAACAACCAATGTGCTCCAAATTTATTGCGACGGACAGCAGCGGCCAGGTGGACACCATCCCGTTTTAGTTTTTTACGATCGCCAGCAAAGGCAAAGCCTACACAAACTCCTGCTTTAATCGATCCTCTGCCAGTCTCGTAGTTGATGCGGAACTTCTCGCAATGCTAGTAAGAGTAGTTTCATCCCTGCTCTGAAAAGAAATTGAAATTCACTATACCAAGACCACAGCTCTGTTCCGGACTTTTTTTTTGTCCGCCTAATTACGGGCGACGTCGCTTATGCCTAGCTGCGCGGAACCAGGACTTGTATGCTTTCGTCTGTTTCCAAGTCATCAAAGACCATACTCGCTAAAAAGTAAAACTAAAACATACAAAAAATAATGAAAAATTGCATCTACTTATGTAGACATTGATACATGATATCTTGAAACAACAACAAGCCAATAGATTTAGATCATACAACCTCCAATCAAATGAATGCAAATGTATGCTGTGCGAGCTCATTCTTGTTTATTTTTTACTAGAATGGTATCACGAGCATCCTCCATGCTCACGGATTCAGTATATTTTAATTTTTATCTGTCCAACGTTGCTGTTACATTTCTCTTTCGACCTGCTAGTCCTAGTCAGTTTAGTTTGTTTGTTCGTGGTGCTGGTTCTTCTTCTTGCAGTGCTAAATATAACCGAATTCAAGCAGTAAATTGTGGAAAAACCGGCTTCGGTTTGACTTCTCAAGTACAAAATCTAAATATACAGCCTCAGCCTGTAGGTACTGGCGAAAGTGGCAAGAAAATGCACTGGAACGAAATTTTCAAACTGCTCGAATGCACCTCACTGGGTGGGACAACATGTCCTTCTCAAGAAACTTCTCGTACTCGTTCTTTGTTTATGTATCAGCCTACGCATCATCTTTTTTACTTCAAGAAACGGCTAATCGACAGCGCACGAAAAGAGCTAAACAAGCACAATCGTCTGCAGATATTAACGAACAAGCTGTCATGCTATGGTGCAGTAGTTCAATTTAAAAAAGTCTTCTGTTTCTGGTTCGTCCGATCAGGAACTGACGCTCTCTTCGCTGCAAAACAGCCTACGATTCGCACACGCCGTGGTGATCGCTCGGGCTGCGCTATCCCTCTGAGCAGGGAGCAAATCATCCGCGCAAAGGTAGGCTTGCACGGAGCAGAAACTGGGAACAGATGAGGAGGCAACGGAGGCATCGGTAGTTTGTCGTGGCACTGGAGCTCCGTCTACCAGCAGGGTCGTGTCCAGCAACGAGGTACTGCATAACTCCGCAACCGACGTACTACAGTGGCCCGGAAACGCGGACGTCAGCGCCGGCAGAGATATGGCAGCGCCGGAAGTGCGCTGGTGGAGGCCGGACGAAGCAGAAACACTTGCAGGAGCCGGCGGCATTAATCCAGGGTCAACAAAGCCGACGGCGCTGGTTGCGCCCGCACCCGCACCCGCACCGCCTGCAGTACTACAACTGGGTAATAATATCGACGGTCCCGCGCCGGCTGTCGAGGCTTGCTTGATGCTACTGCTCGCAGGGGAATACAGTATGCGCCGGACCATGTTGTTCCTGTTGGTCGAGGAAGAGTGTGATCCCTCAGCAGTACCAGCAGCAGGTTGCGAGTGGGACGACGGTCCGCCGCCGGCCTCCTCATCGACGGTAGGGCGGGCGCCTTTCGTCGTACCACCGCAATCAGATCGGCGCGGGGCACCAGCAGCAACTAAAGCTACATGGTCGAAATTAATCTTCTGACTCAGGCGGCCCATCGCTTTGACACTCTGCGGCACGTTCACGCACATCGAATGGTGGCTGGCACTGCTGCTGCTGGAAGGCGGGGTTCGTACAACCCGTCCCAGGGTGGTCACCGCGCCGGAGTCGGTCCGCACCCGCAGCAGGTCAGAATCTTCTGGCCGTTGTACATCGGCAAACCCGGTCGCTTGCTGTTCACTGAAAAATGTGTCCGTAATATCGCGCAATGAATGGAAAGAAGAGGACTCCACTCCACGATCTTGTTCCTGCCTTTCGTGGTGCACGTGGTTTTCGCCCTGCCGCACCTGTTGTAAAAAAGCCAGCGCCGCGCGCTCACTGGTGCTCCCGCCGGAGCGTATCAAGTGCAAATATGTCTGGGTCTGGAAGTAGAGCGCAGACCTTTATGATGCAGTTTTTGCCTAGCCCAGATCGTCTCTCTGGCATGCAAGCCCTAGCATCACAGGTTTCGAGCAGGTACCCCAATGGAACGCCTAATCCGCACGACAAATGCCCCCTTTCTGTACCAAGAAACGGGGCCTTTTGCTGACCATGCCTGACAGATTTTGTCATGATGTAGAATTTGCATCACAAATTCGAATTCTTCCAGACCCAGACTACATATTTGCGTTTGATAGAGCTAGGGTCAACACTAAAGTCCGTGCCACTGCTCGAAGAACAGCTTTTGCCATTCGCTTTCGCTCCATCTCCTCGCGCAGGATTCTTACGAAGCGCCGCGATCGATGTGCCTGTGCGGAACGATTCCCGGGCCTGCTGCTTTGGCTTTGCTTGCTGAAGATGAGATGAAATAGTAGTTTGCGCGGCATCAGCAGCTTCTGCTCTGTCTGGTTCACCGGGGCAGGGCCGCGAAGTGGTGTTGCAATTGTGGCGAAGGAGGTGGTCCACCTCCTGCTTCTGTTCCTCGTCTCCGGAGAGCTCTCCCGTTTGCGCTGCTGCGTCACGCTTGTGCACCACCTGCAGAGCCGACGAGCAGACGGGACAGAAGTGCGTAGCACTAGTCGTCTTGCCAGGAACTACCGGCTCGCTTCTCCTCCGCCCCCGGCGGCCACGCTGCGCGACATCACCAGCTGCACTCTCCGCCGCAGCCACGTTTATTTCCTCGCCCGGACGGTCACAGCCTGTAGTGTGATGTGCGTCAAAATTCATTCCCAACAACATGCCAGGCTCAGGCATGGTTCCTGCTGATGCATTACCACTAGATTTAGAGAGGCCTGAATTCGCATAATTGGGCGGGCCCGGGCGGTTCACAAGTTCTTGCAAATAATAAACTTGCGACCGCCACCGTGTCTGCTCAGGTTCTACTGCTCCTACTTCAGCACCGGCAGGTGGAGCGCTGTTCTTCTTCTTCTGCGGAGCTGCACGAGCACCACGATGTGTGGGACAATTTGCAACCTCCCGAAGAAAATCTGATTTCTCGCGACGGGGTCGAGCGTCGGTTTGGAGTTGTCGCAGCTGCGTGTCAATTTCTTTCTCGTCCGCCGCTTCTGGGTTGTCGTCTTCACGGGACGACGGGTCCTCACTTCCAAAAAAGATGCGGTCGCAGAACCTGCGAACGTTCTTCGAGCTCGTACTGGTGCCGTCCTGCGACGAGCCAGCACCGATTGTTCCATCCAGCGAACTACTCCGCCCGACACTGCAGCGATCTTCTCCCGGGAAAAACAACCCCACATCGTCGGAGCTAAAAGCCCGCCAAGTCTCGTAGTCGTGCTGCCACCTTGCTGTTTGCAACTGGGATATGGGAGGCAGGAACTGCTCCTGCGTCGTTGCAGCCGCGGGGTACTGGTGGTCGTACAACAACGGATTACTGGTAGAAATCGGGTGAGAAACATAGGTACTCGGTGCTGTAGCGCTGGCACTACTAGTTGCAACTACACCGACTCCCCCGGCGGGCAAAGTAGTTGTGGGAGCCTGTGTAACAATAGCAGCATCTTCTACTACTTCTCTAGAGTCTTTAGTGCGTACTTCTACTTCCGTCAGGGGAAAGAAAAGAAGATGATGCCGATGCCGCAACAGGAGCAGGAGTCTGCCGGCAGTATGATGACCCCCAAGAAGATGAATCCTCCTGGTCCTCTGGTTCGTCTGCTGTTCCCGGCAGTATGAAGTCATGGACCTCCTGCTGCTCTGCTTGCGCAAAAAGTCTTTCATCTCTTGTTCCCTGGAGTTCTTCGTGCGGAAGAAGAGCAGCGGCATCAAGATCATGCCTTCTCTCGTCTCGCAACTGGTTTTCGTTTCTACTTCCAGAAGATGCGAACCCGCGACCGCCATTTCCGCTACTGCTTGCCGAACCAAAGCGCAGCTGTAGCCGGGTTCTCTGCACTTGCAGTCGTGTCCCAGTTGTCACTGCAACAAAACCACCGGAGTAGTTGTAGTTCTTGTTAACGCCTGCACCAAACATTACATGGCACGCATCGAAAACAACAATAAGAATAGGTAAAGGTGTAGACCAGGGCCCCTGGGACCAGGGCCCCCAGGACCAGGGCCCCCAGGACCAGGGCCCCCAGGACCAGGGCCCCCAGGACCAGGGCCCCTGGGACCAGGGCCCCTACGGACTGGGGCCCCTACGGACTGGGGCCCTCACGGTGTCTCGGACTCTGGTGTCCCGGAATCTGGTGTGCTGGAGTCTGGATGGATCTGGAGAAGTTGGGTCTGAATAGGTCTGGGTCTGCACAAGTGAGAACTTGTGACGCGGGTCGAGGAATATAGAAAGAGATGCTCTGAGAGAGTAGTCAGCAGGCTGCATCACATACTATTACGTGTGACATGCATACTTCCACTTCCTGGACCGATACTAGGACTTACATGACACGCATACTTGTTGGCCCAGATTATTTCTAGTTGATACGCTGGTAGACAGCTCCGCTTCCGGCCGCAGCTCGCCGTGCACCAGATTCCGGGACGGCGTTCAGTCCGTAGGGGCCCCAGTCCGTAGGGGCCCTGGTCCATGGGGGCCCTGGTCCAGGGGCCCCTGGTCTAGGGGCCCTGGTCTGAGCAGGGGCCCTGGTCTACCCGGATACCATAAGATCAAAATAGAACCCTAAATCCAAAAACCCTTACAACCCTTCTAAACCCTTTTCGACGCTGGCGAAGGAACCGGGCCGTGGGAAGATGAATCGGGGGAGAAGAACAGGAAACCGCACTGATCAGAGAGAGTGTGCACAAAAACGCATGGTAAGACCTAAAGATTCTACCCGGATACCATAAGAATAAACCAAGTCATGAGCAGAGCGCTCGGTGTAAGGTAACCCATCAACAACATCCTTGGCGACACAACTTCCGATGAGGTGAACAATATCATGTGGTTGGTCCGATGGTTCCCCGATTCTGCTGCTGCTGCTGCCTTAGGGGCCCGAGTCTTCCGCAACAAGGGGGGCAGAGCCGTGTGTGATGTCCTTCTTTGCTGTCACGGTAACTACCGTGCGACCAAAGAGAAGAAAATCTACCGGTGAACAAGGTGAAGGTTTAAAATATTTATTTCCAAGAGACAAAAGTCAGATTTGCAACACTACGCCCCTACGGCTCCACCGGCCTGGCCTTAATATGCGTACAACTTTATTGCCAGAAAAAACTACAACACGCGAAAAAATAGCAAGATCATGCGAGAAGTTCAATCACACTTCTTAAGAATCGGCATCGGCAGAGTCAAGAAATGTTGCACCAAGAAACTGTACGGCAGCGCAGCAAACGAAACAGAGGACGACAACAGGAAGCACGGACTAAAGGTACTTCCATGTTCTTGGACCTAACCAAACAGACTCAGATGCACCGCCTTTCCAAAGAAGTAAGAACAGCGCGATGTAGTTCTTTGCTTAGCTACTGAACCAAAGCTCGTCCTCTCTGCCTTCAGGGAGGACAAGATCCTCGCCGATGGCATAGGAAACAAGGGAATAAGAAATTCATCAGAGGCTCGCTGGTCAACGAGGAAGTGACCTTTAATTTTTTTTTCTGAAACATCCTGAAGATCCTGCACCTCGATCGTATAAAAATTCCTCGGCTTTGCGAGCCGACAATTCAGGAGGTGGGTGCTTGGTCGTTCTTCTCCTTCTTGCGTGTTTTTCTTTGATCGCGTTCGCGACTACACTGGTAGCACAGGGAAAGAAAGCCTCCACTTCATACATGTCCTCCAGTACCTGCACTACGGATCGTGGATTGGAGTTCATCCCGTTCTCGCTACATCATGTTTCTGTTTGTTGCAAGTACTGACACTGGGCGGGAGTAACAAGTGGATGAAGAAGCCGAAGGTCTGGCCGCTTGAATGCGTTCTTTTTCCTGGCTGACTGCACCGTATCGATTTCTTCTTTTTTGGTACTAGACCTCCTTCAACCGAAACCGTGCCGCTCGGCCTAGTCTACTTCACGATGTTGCGCAAGAACCTCGAGCGCACGAAGATTATACACCGTCTTCGTTGCGGTCCACGACCTTGGAGAAGCTCCTGCTGCTAGAGCCAGACATTTATTTCCACCACCTCGTCAGTGCCTTTCCTTGAGCCAGGAATGTATCGCAGTGTAAAATTGTTCGACGTCGAAAGCAAACTGGCGTGCCTCTGACTCCGAAAGCGCATCGTCGGCCGCCATCTGGTGCAGCCGAACCAGCCAGTGTTGGAGCTTCTCGCGGCCCTCCAGCTCTACATATGAAAAGATAAGAAGTTGTGCCAAAATGGCGTCCGTCGACGCCGCTGAGACGTGAAAAATGCGAAACTGAGTATCGAGACTCCAACGCCGACTCGCACATAGGTCAGAGGACATCCGAAAAATCATGAATACCTTTCTATTAGCGGCTGCACTTTTTGTTTTCCAGATGTCATGATGGTTCTTGCTCTTTCATACTCGAACATCTACTCATTCTCTTTAATATTCAGTGTGTTACACCGCAAGCACGCAGATACGTACTTGCGTCGACGAAGCGCCCAGCCACCTTCTGTGTTAATATTTGCAGCGCGTACTTTTGGAAGTCCGTTGATTTTGTTTACGGATCCGAGCGTCTCTTTGAGTGTGGGCAGGATCTCGTCGACGGCGCGCATGTTCATTTTGAGGGAGTCGATCAGGGTTGTGGTGTACTGACACGCATCAAAGACGTGAAGATTGCTGCGGTCCCCGGTGCGGGCACTGCCATCCTCGCCAGGGTCCCCTCCCGTGTTATACAGCGTACTCGCCGGCACTCCGTATGCTGTGAATAAAGCAAAACGAACAGTCGTCGTGTGATTTCATCTTCTATCATTCCAACAACTACATCAGTCTTTACTTGACCGTCATCGTGGCGTAAGTAGAACAACCAAAATCGAAGAATTCAATAAGTTGAAGTAGTAAAGTGACGAGCACGCGGGGGTGCTGGAACCGGAACGCTCCTAATCCTGCTATGTGTACTAAGTGCTGTATGAATAAATTCCAACCGAAGGCGAAGAGGAGTAGACCAGTTCTTGTAGTCAGCAACATAGAAAAAATACTTTGCAGCCTTTCCCTGGCTAGTGGGCAGTCGAGCTTGTGCTCCGTCCAGAATTTTGCGAATTCCGGGTAGTCTCCCTTTAATGCCGTTTGTTGCACCTTGTATTGCGACAACAACGCGTTGCAGGCACGCTCGTATTCTTTGCTGAGCACCAGCCCGGAGACGAAGGCCTTTTCGAGCTGCTCGACCGCACGAATGATGCTAACCATGTTGGCACTCGCCTCCAGTGCCCGCTTCTCCTGTGTGGTGAGCAGCACCGCCGAACCTCCCGCCGGTGGTCCCCCCGGGGTGGAGGAGGAGCTGGAAGCAGACGTGCCGCTTTTTATCGTCATTGCTGCGGAGGTTGTTCGTATGGCACCCGAGAAAGGAAACCCTTCCCACAGGGTCCTCCGTCGTGCTCCAGCACGACCCTAAGGTCCAGGTGCTGTCCGCTCCTGTCCTGGCACACGAATCCAGAAATTTGTCGCTCGGATTCCGTGGGAAAAGAAAATGACAACCTCGGGCGGCCGCGAGGAATAATTCTCATATTACAGAGTACAAAATTTTTAGCGCCGGACATGCATCAGGAATTCAATTCGATACAATGATGAACTACTCAGGACAATTTGATGCTGAGCTCAAGAAACATGAACATCATAGAAAAATCATGCCCCGTTCCTCGCCAGCAGGTGGTGACGCATCAACAGGGGACAGCACGCTCCTGCAATTATTACTGCCAAACCGAACTCGTGGATCATAATTGTTCATTTCAGTGCCCCGACATGGCGGGCCGGGACCTTGTGGGAACGATTTCACATAGGATAGTGGCATTGTTGACGTCACTCACAAGATCTTGCTCCCGCCCAGTGTTGGAAGTAGCAGGCACGACAACCCGCGCATCGGAGGACATCATTTTTTCTGCGGTGGACTGATGTTTCGTAGAGTTCGAATGCAAAACGGAATAAAGGCTCAAGGAGCACAAGGGACCTAGTGAAATGAGGAAGCTAATAACTAAAGTTGACTTCGTTTTACGTACTTACTCTTTTGCTTTGGTCCTTGTTTACATCTGCAGGACGGCCAAACGTGCCAAAAGAACAAAGAAATCAGGAGTCCACCGCGCGGAGGAAAATGTATGATGAACAAGCAAAAAATCTCTGATAAATCTATTTTTTGTATGCTTCAATGCTCAACATGCGCTTTTACAATTTTAGTTTTCAACATCCAACACAGGTCGCTGTAAATACTCATGATCATCAACGTTACCAAGAAGGAGCGTGGTCGATGGTGTTGAAGAGCCAGCAAGCACATTAAGCGGGATCTCGATAAGGCGGATGAAATGCCAAGCCACAATTGACAGCGAATTCGTCGGAGCGGCCATAACCGCGGCAAATCAATGGCGCCGAAGATCCGGAAACACTCAAATGATATTTACTACTTTGTTTCCAGCACTTTTTCTTTTAGAAAATTTCTCGCACCAAATAAAACTATGTGTGTGAATCGCAATCGGAATTGCTGTGCCGTCTTGAGAATTCCGTGCTGCTTCCAACCACATCCTCAAACGGTGGGAGGTCCGCGATACGATGGGAAGAGAGACGCGACGCAACTAAGTCAAAGGATGCGGATGCCCCTTTGCAAAAGAGGGCACCAGTATGCAATCGCAGCCAGCCCCAGCGTTTTGTGGAAATACAATACAACCGTTGCTGTTCATTTTTGTATAATTTTTTCTCTTCGATAAAAAAAGCAGTGAAAAAATTAGAGATGTTTATTCCAATTTCGCCACCATCCCGGTTCTTTTGATCCGCAGTCCCTTCACACTAGATCAATGGAGTCATTCTTGCAACTACACATTCATTCTATTGCTCCCTCGACTTTGACATCGTATCTTCTACTTCTTCGCATTATCAAAGTCGTCGTTGGAGGTACCAGCGCTGTCATCTTGTCTTTTGTCGCTGATTGATAGATTTTCTTGAAGGAAAAAAAAACTTTTAGGTAAAACAAAACATTTTTCAAACGGAGACCCTGTTAGTACCAAATTGTAAAGTTCGCATTATTGTTCTCGGGCCCCACGAAGAACGGCGGGAGACAGCTACTGTATGTGTATCATGATCTACATATTGGTACAGTACATTCCTAAAAAGTGCCCCATCTTTGTAAAGTAGTTCCTTTCCCTTTCATAGCAAGATTTTTTTTTAGCGTTTCCGTTCTTCTTGTTCCTTCCATAGCCACTTGCTACAGAAGAAGGAGCCGGCTGTTATTTCGCAGTCCAGTACCTAGTTACCCCTCGCCCGCCTGGGCCTGGGTGAGAAATCAAATCATGGCGATAAGCTGACCAGCATATTCATAAAAGCGGACAAGGAGGCAGCTTGTAAAATTGCAATAGGAATAGGAACTTGCTATTCCAATTTGCGTCCAATTTTTCATTTTCGTCCGTAAAAGAAGTTGAAGTCCTCGTCCTCCTGCTGCAGCTCCTGTGAGAAATAAATACATATAGAAACTAAAATCCCAAAGGGAAGTTTGAAAAAAAGCACTGTAGCATAGCGAACTGGACATAATTGTCGAAGCACATCCTGTGGAGGGTTTTTTGAAAATGACGAAGGAAGCGACTACTTGAGTCCCTAGCTAGAAAAGGGCGCGGCGCGAGTGTGGATACTTCTGCCCACGGGGTCCCACATGGCAGAAGCTGGAGCACTACGACCAAGCAGCGCTACACCCAACCTACCACGTGGGTGCTCCCCTAGTTAGCATTTGGTCGATCGTTATGCGCCCGTGGGTACCGGTTCACCGCAAAAACGAAATGCATAACTAGCGTATGCCACGACCTAACTATTTCTAGTAGCCGGCTAGTCTCGAAAACAATCATACTAAACTTCTTTACATACAAGGTGAGAAATAAATACAGGTACTATCTAAAGCAATCCTGAAGCGCTACTATTTCGCCCAAGTAGTAGCAATTCATCGAAGAAGTCACCTGTAGACATATTTTCGGCCAGCAAGGAACAGTATCAATATCTGGGTTGTGCTTTGTATATGGGGCGAGAGCTCTAGTTGTCGTCGCGTGCTTTGTAAATGGGCCGCAAGCTCTAGTTGTCGTCGGTCTCGGTTCCCACGAGAGTGAGATCCTCAAACAATATAACACGCTCCGGGCGGCACGCCGGCGGTCTAAGATCGTAATTTGTCTAATATCGTCCTTACTGCAGCACAGGTTGGGGAAGATGTGCAGAGTACGCGACAATTTATGACTAGAGATTTGTGGCCCGTCGTTAAACTGATCGGCTCAAGGCCTATTGTGCTGTTTTCGTGTGTTTTGTGTTCACGTGGTGTGTGAAGACAACAGAAATCCTGAATACATAGAAATAGAAATGAAAGAGGGTATTCAAATGCAGTAGAGAAAGTTATTTTCATTTCGCTCTACTTGTCAGAGAAGTATGAAATAGGAATACTAAAATTGAAGAGTGTAAATGGAACCACACAAAATGAACCCGCAGAAGTACAACAATCTCTACCATGACTAGTTATAAGTCAGAAAACCCATTATTTAATAGTATCCCGCAATAAAAACAAACAATAGAAACGAAAAACAAAAAGAATGAAAACGAAAAACGAAAACAAAGAATGGAAACAAAGAATGGAAACGAAAAACGAAAACAAAGGATGGAAACGAAAAACGAAAACAAAGAATAGAAACGAAAAACGAAAACAAAGAATGAAAACAAAGAATGAAAACAAAAAACAAAAACAAAGAATAGAAACGAAAAACAACAACAACGAAATGCAGACAAAGTGCCCAAGCTTCTAAGCGGCGAAGCCTCGAAACGATGAGGCCTCGAAACGCCGAAGGAAGCGGCGAAGCCGCGAAGCCTCGAAGCAGCGAAGCCTCGAAGCAGCGAAGCCTCGAAGCAGCGAAGCCTCGAAGCAGCGAAACCTCGAAGCAGCGAAGCTTCGAAGCGGCGAAGCCTCGAAGCCGCGAAGCAGCGCAGCCCCGAAGCAGCGCAGCCCCGAAGCAGCGAAGCCCCGAAGCAGCGAAGCCTCGAAGCAGCGAAGCCTCGAAGCAGCGAAGCCTCGAAGCAGCGAAGCCTCGAAGCAGCGAAGCCTCGAAGCAGCGAAGCCTCGAAGCAGCGAAGCCTCGAAGCAGCGAAGCCTCGAAGCAGCGAAGCCTCGAAGCAGCGAAGCCTCGAAGCAGCGAAGCCTCGAAGCAGCGAAGCCTCGAAGCAGCGAAGCCTCGAAGCAGCGAAGCCTCGAAGCAGCGAAGCCTCGAAGCAGCGAAGCCTCGAAGCAGCGAAGCCTCGAAGCAGCGAAGCCTCGAAGCAGCGAAGCCTCGAAGCAGCGAAGCCTCGAAGCAGCGAAGCCTCGAAGCAGCGAAGCCTCGAAGCAGCGAAGCCTCGAAGCAGCGAAGCCTCGAAGCAGCGGAGCCCCGAAGCAACGAAGCCCCGAAGCCTCGAGGCGGGGCAACAACGTGCGAAACGAAACTAACCTCGAAACACGAGCCGGCGCCAGGTCGTGGCCAGAGGAAGCCTGCCAAGCCGGTGCCAGATCATGCATGGCCAAGCCTGCCAGCCGGTGCCACATCATGGCCAAGCCGATGCCAGATCATGGGGTAGCCGGTGCCAGGTGGGTCGTGGCCAAGCCGGTGCCAGGTCATGGCCAAGCCGGTGCCAGATCATGGCCAAGCCGGTGCCAGATCATGGCCAAAACCTGCCAAGCCGATGCCAGGTCATAGCCAAGCCGGTGCCAGATCATGGCCAAGCCGGTGCCAGGTCGTGGCCAAGCCGGTGCCAGATCATGGCCAAAGCCTGCCAAGCCTGTGCCAAATCATGGCCAAGCCTGCCGGTGCCAGATTATGGCCAAGCCTGCCAGCCGGTGCCGGGTCGTGCCCAAGCCGATGCCAGATGATGGCCAAGCCGGTGCCAGGGCAGGCCGTGCCAAGGCTGACAAAAGAAAAAAAAAAGCCAGAGCCTGCCAAGCCGGTGCGAGATCATGGCCAAGCCTGCCAGCCGGCCGGTTCCGGATCATGGCCAGGCCGCCCGGTGCCAGGTCGTGGCCAAGCTGGCACGGTGCCAGACTGTGGCCAAGCCGGTGCCAGATCATTGCCAAGCCTGCCGCTGCCCGGTCGTGGCCAAGCCCGCCGGCCGGTGCCAGATCATGGCCAAAGCCGGCAAAGCCCGCCGGTGCCAGATCATGGCCATGCCGGTGCCAAATCATGGCCGAGGCGGTGCCAGATCATGGCCAAAGCCTGCCAAGCCGATGCCAGGTCATGGCCGGGCCGGTGCCAGATCATAACCAAGCCGGTGCCAGGTCGTGGCCAAGCCGATGCCAGATCATGGCCAAAACCTGCCAAGCCGGTGCGTGCCACATGCATCATGGCCAAACCGGTGCCAGATCAGCGCAATGCCTGCCGGTTCCAGATCATGGCCAAAGCCTGCCAAGATGGTGCCAGATCATGGCCAAGCCGGTGCCAGATCATGGCCACGCCGCTTCCAGATCATGGCCACCCCGCCCGGTGCCAGATCATGGCCCAGCCGGCGCCAGATCGTGGCAAAGCCTGCCGGTGCCAGGTCGTGGCCAAGCCGGTGCCAGATCATGGCCAAAGCCTGCCAACTCGGTGCCAGGCCGTGGCCAAGCCGGTGCCAGATCATGACCAAAGCCTGTCGGGCCGGTGCCAGATCATGGCCAAACCTGCCAGCGCTCCCTCGCATGCCAGATCATGGCCAAGCCTGCCAGTCAGCCGGTGCCAGGTCATGGCCAAGCCGGTGCCAGATCATGGCCAAGCCGGTGCCAGATCGTGGCCAGGCCGGTGCCAGGTCGTGGCCAGGCCGGCGCCAGCGAGATCATGGCCAAGCCGGCGCCTGATGAGATCAGGGCCAAGCGGGTGCCAGATCATGGCCAAGCCGGTTCCAGGTCGTGGCCCAACCCGCCCTGTGCCACATCATGGCCAACCCGGCGCCAGATCATGGCCAAGCCGTCCGGTGCCAGGTCGCGGCCAGGCCGGCGCCACATCATGGCCAAGCCGGTGCCAGATGGATCACGGCCAAGCCGGTGCCAGGAAGGTCAGGGCCAAGCCGGTGCCAGATCATGGCCAGGCCCGTGCCAGGTCATGGCCAGGCCGGTGCCACACCATGGCCAAGCCGGTGCCAGGTCGTGGCCAGGCCGGTCGCTTCCAGATCACGGCAAGGCCGGCGCTCGCTCAGGCCATGGCCCAGCCGGTTGCTCCAGGTCATGGCAAAGCCGGGCCGGCTCCGGGTCGTGGCCGAGCCGAAGCCGGCGCCAAATCATGGCAAAGCCGGGGCCAGGTCATCTCATGACAAAGCCAAGCCGGTGCCAGATCATGCCCAAGCCGGTGCCAGGTCGTGGCCAAGCCGGTGCCAGATGAATCATGGCCAAGCCTGCCTGCCTGTTCCAGAGCATAGCCAAACCGGTGAGGGATCATGGCCATGCCTGCAAGTGCCAGGCCGCGGCCAAGCCGGTGCCAAATCATGGCCAAGGCGGTGCCAGGTCGTGGCCACGCCGGTGCAAGGTCATGGCCGTGCCGGTGCCCGATCATGCCCAAGCCGGTGCCGGACCCTGGCCACGCCGGCCGCTGTCGGGCCCTGGCCAAGCCGGTGCCCGACCATGCCCGCCCCCCGCCGCCAGATCGCGGCCACGCCGGTGCCAGCGTGCAAGATGACGGCAAAGGCCAACCTGCCCGCCGCGCCGGCCGGTGCCGGATCGTGCCGAAGCCGTTCTGACGCTTTGAAAATCGCCGGCAGATGGGCCTGCCTGTGCTGAAGCGCCGACAACGATTCTCTACAGAGACACGCTGAGTGCTGCTATTCATCTAGCGGAATACTATTAAGTCTGCAGGTTACTGGACACGGGAAGCGGGATAAGGCTAGTAGATTGGCCAACTGCGAACCACAAGCACAACCAGATCCCTAGCGCTAGCACGCATTAGTTTCCGCCCAATACTTACACACCGGTACGAAGGCAGTCACAGGCTGGCGCGTAAACAGGAGTCGGTCCTTACACGGTCGTGAAGAACAAATACTAAAGCGATAGAGGTAGAGCTATTAGCACCAGGTCGTGCTCAACCACATGCATCGAAGCCGACAGATAGGTTCTGTGTGGTGCGGTGGATCCATGTCCTGGTTTCCACCACCTCCTTTCCGAAAATCTGGAACTACCACAATCATGGAACATGATGGGGCTATTGTTATACAGGGCGGAGGACAAATTACAACATGGTGAGGGTCGTGAATCTACGGCTGATCCATCATATTGCTTGTTCAAATAAAAAAGTGGTGGAGGCCTTTTGTCGCTCTATTATCAATATTATTATTAGCTTGACGTACTAGAAATAATGGCAGAGATGCATGTGGTGGAGGTGTTAGAGTTAGAGTTGCTAGCCGGTCGCCACTAGTACGACATCCTTCTTCAACATCTTTTTTCTTCTTATAATCTTTGCGCACAAATAATATTTGTCGTCACCAGATTCTTTTGAATCGGAAAGACATATTAAAAAATGATCGATATAACAATATCGATGTCCACGCGCGATAGCGTTCTTCGACCATCTCCTTCTGCATCTCCAGATACGTTCTTTGTTCTTCTCTGAATGCATCTGAAGGAGTAGAAGAAAAAGCCAAAAAAAAGCTAAATCCAGTGCACGCCGGAGTTCGATCGGACCCGCCTCGCCGATTATAATTTTGGTTATGCTAAATGCTCCACATGATCCGCCTGTCAGCTGATACAATTCGAAGCAAGTGCGCACACTATCATTTAAAAAGATTTTTACAAAAACGAACTCAATAAAAATCATATCACATAGTTATATATAAAAAAATCCATCTTCCAAAGCCACTGAGATTTCGGAAAAGGATACATGGCCCATGGACACAACAAGAACTTTTGTGCAAAGTAGATGTAGCTCCGCTCCTTCATGCGACTGCTTACACTTGCAGCTGAAAAGCAGATGAAACAAAGTACTAAGAGTCGGCTCTTTTTCAACACGTATACGCTGCGACGCCTTCAAAAATTTGAGTTTGGAAATGCGCGGCAAGGCATTCGATGGTGTACTCACTTCTCAACGCATGAAACGTGTCATACTATGGACGACAATAAGCTACTTCTTACTACTTCGCAGAATGCAGAGCGAAACTTTCAAAATTTGTCCTTCGAAACTACTTACGATCAAAATTTTATTTTTTTCCCAAGCGAAACACAATCAACTTCTTCGTTCGCGGGCATGTGCTTTTCGTGCTTGGCGTTTCTTCTTGCTTACCCTCCGTGCTCCTCATCGCTCGTGCTTATCTTTTGCGCAGCCGCAGTGGTCCCGTTCGGACCTTGACACCCGGAAGATTCGAGTTCTACCATCTCGAAACAAACACGCTCCGCTGCTTGTCGTCCTGCGTCCCGATGATTATTTTGCTCCCATGCTGCGATACTATGATTCCGGTGAAGTTTTCAATGAGACGTCAAGTCTTGCATTCATCTACTGCACTTCCAGTGATACGACACCCCATATCTATCAAGTCATGCAATCTAAATCTTAATCTTTCCTTTTGTTTAGCTTGCTGGTCGAATGCAAATGAAGTGCGTGCATTTCCATAGTTTCGTGCACCTCCCTCCGATGACTAAGACGTGGCCTCACATTTGAAGATTTTCCTGAGATAAAATTGTTTTGGTGATGCCACCGCTTCTGCACCTTCGCCTTCGAGAGTCTGTTCTTGATCACCACCTGAGTGGGACCGGGACAGTGGCAACGGAGACGGACCGCCTGAGTGGGACCGGGACAGTGGCAACGGAGACGGACCGCCTGAGTGGGACCGGGATAGTGGCAACGGAGACGGACTCATCGAGAACGCACTACCGCTAGCACGCCGGGACTGGGAGGCATTGGTGGGTGAGGGCGAAGAGGACGTGTATCCTGTGTAAGCAAGGCGATCTCGCAAGAACGATCACAAAGGCAAGAACGGTGGATCGAAGTACAAGTAGAAATCTAACTCTACTTCTACTTGTTCTTTGTTTTCTATAAGGACTTCGGTTGATGCGGATAAGAGTTCTATTGCGGCCCGTTTTTGCACATACCAACCAAGAACCAGTTCACCGTTCAGGGTACATAATTTGTATGCATTTTGCAATGGAGGATCCTCGTATGTTCTGACGAAAAAGCAGTGTTTTTACATCAGGATACTGCAAGGCTCAGCCACCGTGGATGTGATCCGCCGTCGCTCTGTTGTGAAGGTAACCGGGTTGGTACTAGCTCGTCGTCGTCGTCGTCGTGTCCGATAGGCATTCCCATCGGGAGGTCTTCTTTCATACGCTCTTGATCGGTAGCTTCCGCTAAAGATTCCAAATCCAAATTGGTCTGACTCGCGATGTCCGCCCGATCCCCTGCGTCGCTCCCCCGCCAATTCATGCTGGTGCGACTTCTCTTGCTCGGACTGTAGCTCCGATCTTTCGCGTCGCGGGCCACAGTGGTCCCTCCGCCTACTTGCGCGAACGCGGCCAACGCGCGTTCAGTTAGCTTCGGCGGTCGTCCCGGTCCGCCTCCTGTGGTAGTTTTTTATTTTTCAACAAGGTGGATAACTTTCACGAAATAATGCCCTGGAACAACAGCAACTACACTCTAACTTTTCAAAAAGACGACGCGAAAGAACAGTGAAGCCTTCTTCATGATCTCCAATCGCGAGTCCAAAAAGGTGAATGTAAATGTTGTCGTTGTGGCTGGTCGAACAAAATCCAAAATATGAAAAAAAATAAATGGCTCTAGTACCAGATAATCTCAGCGGAACTGTACTGTTTGAAAAAGCAGGAGGCACACCCGCTCCAGAGTCGGATCCGTTAGATAACATTTCCGCAGTGCTATTGCCGGCATATCCGAATGCCGCGTCTAGACGGGGAGGGGGACGTGACGAGGCCACCACGGGCGGCCTGCCGCGCCCGCGACCTGCCGCGGAACCCACACCCGAGCCGGCTGCCGAGGACGCGAAACCACGGCCGGACGAAGCAGCGCTGCGTGCGGGGCTCCGGCTGTTGGCCCCACGCAGCTCGAGCGCAGCAACCCGACCGTCGTGCTCCTCATCTGCTCGGGTCGCAGCAAGAACCCGACCGTCGTGCTCTTCGTCTGCTCGGGTCGCACTCTCTGTGCGCACCAGACCCCTGGATGGAGTTTTCACTCGCTTGCGCTTCAGGAACGGTATGCAAAAGGACAAAGCAAATCATCTACAGTGTTCCAGAATCCATCTATCTCACATACATGAAGACCATAGCAGGTCGCAGCCAACAGCTTGTCCTTGCGCTTGGGCTTGTTGTCGATCAGAACTACCACGCGCCATAAGTATCCAAATCCATTATGGTGAAAGAATGCACGCCCATGAAAGTCTACGCCACGGCCGGATGCATGAAACGCAAAAGAGCAGTACCTGAAGAGCGCAATACCGCAGTATAGTTGATGTCCCAGGGCTGAGTAGTGAAGCGATAAATTTGAATTTATGTACTTAAATTGTTCCTCTCTATTTGATTCGAGAGTAATTTTTTCGAAGATTTGCTGTATTGGATAGGCGAGGAAGCGTTTGAACGGCTGGATTCTCGGCCGCTGCAGTGCGTCCATCGCCGGCCCCGCTCGCTTCCCTCCTCTTGGCTCCCGCCGCCCTCGTCATCGGCCTCGGCTGCTTCCGCGATCGAAGAGAGGTTTTTACCGTACATTTGCTCAAGAAGTAGAAGATGCTCTGCCGCAATCGCATTGTAATCCACCTCGCCAGGTCGGAGGAGGTGGCGCGGAGGACCTTCGGGCGACGATCCGGTGGTGCAATCGACATCCGTAAAAACTCCGAAAAGTTTACGACCCTGTACGGTTGCTCCGCCTCCGGCTGCTCCACGGGAACCCCATAATGGACCGAAAAGACCGGACGGTTGAGACATACCGGACAGAGACGAAGATGATGATGAAGATGCCCTGGTATTGTACTTACCCGCAGCACCAGCACGACTTTGCTGGTGCTGCGGTGTCTCCGTGCGTTTTGCTTTTGACTCCTCCATCACAGCAGAAACATCAAAGCTAGTATCTTTATTTTCTCCTGCATTGCCCGGCAGAGCACCTGTGCTGGACCGAAAGCTGCCACGAAAATCCTGTCCTCGGTTGTGTCCTTCGTCGCCTTCCCTCGTCGACTGATCCTCCTGATCATGTTGCCCTCTCGCCGCGGCAGCTCCGGTTGATGTTCCGTAGGGCTCCGCCCGGATCGCGCGCGTTGAGGAGAAGGCCGCAGGAGGCGCAGTCATCTTGTTAAATTTGTTGTAGTTGTTCCGCCACTGTTTAGATGTAGTTGATCCAGCTTCTTGGCTCTCCGTTCCTGTACTGTTTAGTCGTGCTATCGCCTGCCGGAAGTGTATCTTCTCCGGAGCCTCACCTCTGCCCCAAGCTTCCACCAGTGTGCGAGCGCTGATGGTAGTACCTGGCTGTCGTGGTCCATCATGATCGCCACGATGCAGAAAAGCAGCACCGCTGGAAGAGGGTACTTCTAACTGCGCATCGTGTGGCTGCGGGTGGCCAGCAGAGCTATCTCCCTCCTTCTGCTTCGTCGTCGTGGCGTTCGCTGAGGACTCCGTGTTTATTTCGTCGCCCGAAGAGCTTCTGGCAGCTGCGGGCCTGACGGCAACGGGTGTTACAATCTGGTGCGGTGGTGTTTCATCTACTCTCGTCGGGGTCTGCGGCTGCTCCACCCGAGAGCGACACTGAGGATCGTCGGTTGGTCGTGGTTCGGGTTCCGATGGTCTCGAAGCAGCAGGAGCCGCTTGCCTTGGCTGCTGTGCTTGTTCAACGGCCTGCTGAATCGCCGCAACCAGCGTAGAAGAGGGGCGGAATGATGTTATCGCAGGTATCTGGTGGTCAGCAGTTGAAGGTGGCACGACGAACGAGGGTTCACCTACTCCCCCATGTCGCAAAGCAGCGCTGACGCCTGGAAGTGCGTTCAGAAGACTGGTCGGAGGGATCACGTCAACATCTTGAACGGATTCATCAGTGCCGACTGCTGCGCTGCTCGCGCCGGACTGCAACGCTGCCATGCTTTGCTCAGCTGCTGCATTCAAGAGATCCACAACCCCGGACTCCTCGTTGGAGGCGAAAAGCTCCATTCCGGGTGCCACAGCCCCGTGCTGCCTCGCAGTGCCCGGAGTCGGAGCAACCAGCAAGGATTGCTCGTCCACCTGAGGCGTCGAGGAGGCGGCTTGCTGTGTGGATGAAGCAGCTGGTGTTCCGAAGAAGTGCTGCAAGAAGCCTCGCGATTGATGTGCGAGGACCGGCGAGGCTGGGAGGCCTTCTTTAGAAGCGGAACGACTCTCGTCGTGCCCCGCGGTTGCCGAGCCAGAGTCTGGGGTTCCGGTTCGGGAGCCGGCAGACATCTCAAGCGACCCCGACATCACACTTCGCATCGAAAGCGATGATGCGACTTTCGGTAGGTCCGGCACCCCGCTCGCTGGTGTAGCCCCCGCGGATAACCAATCTGAAGCGTTTAGAAACACGCTCGGCTGCGACAGGTGCGGAGACCGGCGCATCGCAGGTGGCGGCAGCGACGGAGACCGCCGCTCGGCCGACTGGTTCCGCGACGCGCCCCGAGGAGCACGTCCATCGTTAGTCGAGTTCGAGAACAGCGTCTCCGCCAGATCCGAGAGATGACCCCCTGAATGGATGCGGCGAAACGGAGGAAGATCTGCTTCTAGAACTCCCAACTGCGACTCGTCTTCGGGGAGCGCAAATCCTCGGAAGATGCCGACGTTGCTGCTGGCGGAGCCGCCGGTAGCTACGACCGAGGCGGACGTCGTTGTCGTGCCGGTGTTATTCGTATTATACAAGGAGTCTTGATTCTGACTTGTGTCGTTCGCTTCAGCACCAGGAGCTGCCCCACTCACCCAGGAGGAATTATCGCCATGCGTCTTTCGCAGATCTTCCGTGAGCAATGGACGAACAACATGTTGACGTGGTTGTTCCGCAGTTGTAAGTACAACTTCATTTTGCGCTTGTTGGATGCGCGCCCCTGCCGCGGTGCTGCTCTGTGCGGTATAAAAATCATCTCCGACGTCTTCAGGAACTAGCTTAGCCAAGCCAACGTGCTCCCCGCGGTCGTCCCGGACCGGGCTGGCTACCCGGCCGCTTGCGCTCTCCCAGGTGCCATCGCTCATGGCGTCAGAATGGGAGGACGACAGCTGGTCCGCCGCGGGCAGGTGAACAACCCCGTCGCCATCTGCTGCTGCGTTCGCTAACGCCGCGATGTTCGCGGCAGTGAAGCGGTGCTCAACACCCTCGACCACTTCACCTTCTTCGGGCAGATCCGGCGTGCTCGCGTCCGAGCCAATCTCCATCGCGTCCGCCACTGCGTCTTGCAGTAGATCAACTGCTGCAGCCGGATCATTTCTTGCAAGTGGTCCCTGCGCCGCGTCCACCTCTGCCGGGTCGTGGTCGTCTGCTGGGTAGTTGTTCGCGACGTTGCGGATCCCGTACCGCGTGAGCACGACTTGCGCCGCCGCCTGATATCCCCCAGCGACTTGGGGCGGTTCGCTCCGAGTTCGCGCGCGGGAACCGCGGCCAAGTGGCCGGCTGGAGTCGTCTCGCTCGAGGTCGCGCAGTTGCACCTCCGGCGACCGTCCGCGCCTGCCTGCTCCCGCCCAAGCAGCAGCAGCAGCAGCAGCAAGAGGAGCTGCTGCGGTGACACTCCGCACCCCTTGTACAATCAGCTGGCGCCGTTTTGGGGCCGACGAGGAAGACGCTGCAGCTTCGCCCGCCCCTGCTTGAGGCGCCGCGGAAGGGGAAGTAGGTACTACAGCAGCTGCCCCATGTTGTACTAGCAAAAGATCAGTAGACGGCAACCGCAGAGATTCGCTCGAACTACCTTGTGGTTGATCGACGATTTCGTAGTTGCCAGTTGTACCTCCAAGTCGTTGCGCACCGGAGATCCTAGGGTTATTTCCATTCGTCTCAGCCGTCCGCGTGTCGACAGACTGATGCTGGTCGACGTGTCCTCTCCGTCGTTCCTCCGCAGAGTGTTCCTCCTCGTTGTAGCGACGTTGGAAAAGATCGATCTCTTCGAAAGACTCCTCCACTCTACTGCGACGGGCGGCAGTTGTGGAAAGATCTTTGACGTCCTTCTTGTTGTCAACATCTAAAGCTCCCGATACCACAGTCGCCGCATCATCTTCAGCGCTCGCAAGTGAAGTCCCCGGTGGTGCGGGACACGTTCGTTCTTCGGTGGAAGCTTTCATCTCGCAGTCCGTCAGCAACTTCGTTGGTTGCGGACAAAATACCTCGGTCAGAGCCCCTGCTGTAGAGCTACAACTGGCGGTTTGTTGTTGTTCCCTGATGTTTCTTGTTCCACACAGGAGCTGCGGGGAGAAGGGCGACGGTGGAAGGGAAAACGCCTGCTGGAGCAGATTCACTCGATCCCTCGGGTCCACAACCACCGTTTCATCAAAATCCGGCGTCGGCGCGAGCGGTAGCGGGCACTGGTGATGGCCGCTCGTTGTACCTCCAGATGTTGCAGGTGGTCCCCCTGCCACTCCCGGCGCCGCCGGGCCGCAGCTGCTGCTACCACTGGTCTCACGAGGACCCAGCATAGCGGGCTCGCTACCACGACCACCGGTCGTGGCCAGCACGCGCTGGTGCGACAGGAGGGTTCGCGAGCTGTTGTTGTACTTCCAGTTCGGCTCACCACCAGTAGTTCCCGTACTGGTAGTACCCGCAAAGAACGACGGTGGCGCGCTAGTGTCGTGCGTCGGCAAAAGATGTGGAGCTACACCGCGTAGTTCTTCGGCTGCAGCATGTTGCAGCGTTCTCTTCTTCCCGTCTGCTCGTCCGTCATCTGGAGCCGAGGATACAACTGCAGCAAGAGAATTTCTTGCTGCATCTTCCGGGTTAGCGCACGTTTTGTCATTGATACCGGCACCAGCACGACGTGCCTCCTGAAGATCGTGACGATGTTGCATCAGCAAAGCTTCCTCCGTGAGGATGTTTGCCTTTGCTTGCGACTGGAGCCACCCCTTCATTTTCTCATTGACGGTCATGGCCGTGCGGTGCTGCTGGAGGTTAGCTTCAAGTGGAGGCGAGCAGACTTGATTCTCGGAATTATGGGTCGTGGACAAGGAGCTCAGGCTCGCAGGTGCTGCTGTTTTGCGGCGGCTTTTTGGACCAAAGAGTAAGAGATCCTCAAGCGTCGTTGCTGCCGTAGTAGTAATTCCAGGACTAGTACCAGCATCTCCGCTTGCAGCTCCCTCCGTCATAGTAAAGTCGCGCAGTTGTCTCCCGCGGGCGTCGTCGATGAGTTTTTGCACAGGGCCAGACCTCGTCGACGCTCCTGTGTGGCGATGATGTCGTTGGGCTCCGCTCCCGCTGCCCTTAAGCAGGGATGAACCGTCCAATCGGTGCGTCAACTTTTTCAGCTCGTCCTCGAAGTGATCAGGAGAGCCTCGCGAAGGATTTCTACTCGCGGGGACTCCAAAGATGCCTTTGAGGGCCGGTTTGCCGTCGGAAGAAGACGCAGCTGGTCCTCCCTTATTTCCTCTCAAAGCAGCCTGTTGCTCCTCCTGCCACGCCTTCTGCATTTCCTGCAACGAAGGCCCCCGCCGGGGCCGGTTTTCGTCGGAATCTGAGGAGGTGAAGAACTCCTCCGCTGGAAAAACGGGAACAAGCCCGGATCCGGAAGCGCCCACATAAGCTATGCACCGCCAACAAAGAAGTACCGCTCTGTAGTCACATTAGATAATTAACACAGGAAGAAAACGTTCAGATGAATTCGAATATGAATCTAAAGTTAGCGCATTGATACTCGCACGGCACCCTATGCGCCTTTTATTTGAATGGCACTCAGACAGAAAAAAACGACTGGAGGTCGTAGTAGTTCGGAGTCCGTCACCGTCTCATCAAAGACGCATACATTAAACTTTTTGTTCTTGTTCTTCTACATTATAGCAATACAACAACTTCTTGTTCAGTGCATAGTATCGAGGTGCTGCGGTACCGAAATCATGTCCTTTTCCATGGCATCTGTGTCGTCGTCGTCGTCATCATCCGCGTCGTTCCCGCCCCGGTGCACAGTAAACTGGCGCGCAGTGAAGTCAAGACTTCCAGGACCGGACTGGAGCGGCGGGCTGTGCTGCTGTACTGCAGTGCTTTGTGGCCGTTTTCCATTTCCTTCGGAAAAAACTGCTGGGAAAGACGTACTAGAACTGGCCGGACCCAGCCCGCTCCCGAAGACAGCTTCCAGCATCGCCAAGGATCCGAAACCCACACGAAGGAATACACGACCCGCCGGCAACATCATTACCATGCAGCAGGTTCTTCTCTCGTGATGTGCGCCTCCGCTTTCGCTTCGCTTCTGCTTCAACATCTTCTGCGGGGTGGGTTTCTCAGTGTTGATATGATAATGATCCTTGAAGATACTATAGCTGACTCCAGAGCAGCCCTTCTTGTGCGTTGCCAACTTGCTAGTTCTTCCGGAGGAGAGGACTCCGCCCTGGGCGCGGCGACGTGGTCCAGAAGCGTTTCTTGGCACCACCGTCTTCGCGCTGCTGTAGTTCGCTTTTGGATAATGCTTGTGCTGCAAGGATCGAAAAAACTCTCCACCTGCTGGTGTCGGGAATTTACTTATTCACAACTATTGGCTCAGTGCCAGCCGTTCCTTCGCTTCATCTGCCGGGGAACGTGAAGAGTTCCTTTCTTCAGGTGTGAAGGCAGAACTAGAACTCGCCTACTACTTGCTAGCTTTAGGTTTACGTTCAGCAGCCAAATAAAAAATATTGATGCAACCACTTTTGTCATGTCCAAGACCATCCAGTGTGCCAAGTAAGGACTTCGTAGTACAGGTGCAAGATACGCGTAAAGTACAAGTTGTATGGAGTTGGAGTATGCCTTCTAAATTATTGCCTCCTACAGAAATACTTCAGCTATGTCGGCTGTACAGCATATTGCGTCGCTATGTTTACAACTACTTGGCGACCTCCTGCAAGCGATGAACAAATTCATCTTGCCGATGCCGACACAACGTCCTCGCACGAAGTGAAGATATTCGAGAAACTACAAATCAATGCAGTAGGAATGATGGAACAGCTACATGTTGACCTACCGTAGTTTTCTTTATGTCGTTTTGACACAAGGAAATGACTTTGACTTTGAGGTATAGAACGGGACGGGACGGGAATTAGGTGGTGATTGGCGTTGCCTCTTACTCAAGCCCTCGATAGACAGACGCGGGCTTACATCTTTTCGCGAGCTGGCACACGACTAGGAAGGAGCAGTGTGGTCGCCTCTCAGGCCTGAACGGGAAGGCGTCTATCTGCCCCTCCGTTCTGACTCGAGACTGATGCCACGCCACCGCAGCACCCTCCTCGGTCGTAAATTGGTGTGTTTGCGTTTCGCGTGTGGTTACAACTTTTTTTAGCAGACAACAAAACTCGGAAACTTGGGGGCCCTCAATAAGAATAAAAAACTGGAGATCGTTGTGAAAATTGAAGGAACTAGTATAAAACTCTTACACATTAAAACCTTGGTAGTCGCTGTACTATTTGAAAAAGGTCGGACGCAAAATTAACTCACTAAACGCTCTCCTTGGATTGAGTCCATACCATGCTAAATGCAAGTGCACATGGGTTTGAAACAGTTGTGTGCCTGGGTAGCCTTACAGCTTAATTTTACTTTTTGGTCTTGGAAGGATCGAGCTGAACCTGAGATACGGACGAGTTTTAGGTAGGTCGGGGAGAAAGTGGATCAAGTCTCTGTATTACTATTTTGCAAATATTCATTTTTAGAGTGGGACAAGGCGAGTTGGAAAAGAAACAGAAAAATTGGCAGAGTTCCTGCCTTTTCCGTGCCTTGTAAGGCCTAAGTCGACCGATTTAGGTGGGGACCAGTCGTGCTGTATGAGTTAGTAAAGATACAGGAAAATGAAGCGTCTCGTCGGTGTTGAGAGAAGAGCTTAACGCGCGCAAAATAAAGTCCTAAACCCGCCGACCTGTTTAAACGACTTTTACTTATTCAAGCGATATGAAACGGAGAATACTGCTGTGTAAAAGTCAAACTAAAACAGAGATAGAGTGCTAAATAAGTATACCTGTAGCTCCGCAAATGATGGAGAAACTTTGAAAGAACTTGAGAGTGAAGCACGCGACGACTTAACTACACAGCTGAAAAGAGCTTAATGCGTTACTCAAAGCAGTAGATAATCTTTATCTTTCTGATTCTTGCAGCGCAACTATAATTGAAATGCCGTTCTGGTGTAGTTCTGCAATCCGCATCTGTTCCAACACTGGCTCAACATAAAAAACTGTGTAGTTGATAGAGCGTAGAAACAAATGTACAAGTGCTGGTGACCAAGGGTGATGTAAAGCTGATGGATAGTAAGAGCGTGTGAACCTTTCCTTTTGGAATCGGTTTTAGTTTTTCCCGGTGCTTATTATAGAGGTGTGGAATTCTTTTTGGTTTTTGCTGTTACTAGTATGTCGCTCAGATAATTTTTAGGGTAGAGGAGTATCAGCAAGGGACTCAGTGAAATAACAAGCGAGAAAAAACGGTATGGAATTTTCCTCTGGTGCACGACAGCTTGTATTCGGACTTTTCCACAAAGATTCAAATTACCCGCCCGGTATGGTCCTTTGTGACTTTTTCCGAAGCCACGTGGTGACAGGCTGGTCGTGGCCGTGGTCAACTTCCTACACGTTTTCGAGTGGTGGTGACAACTTTCCTGCAAACGAATGTCTGCTACAGATATGATAATGTGTTTTTCCCTGTGTGATACTTACCAACGGAAAGCTTTTATAAATATGTTGAAAAGTAGAATACCACTACCAGCGAGACCTTTATCAACATATCAACATACAATGAAAAATATCCCAGCGCAGAATATTACGAAAATTATTGAGGTACAAGAATGCGTTACATCAACTTACAAAACATACTTATTACAATCGACCGATCTGTGTTTTGTCGTCGAAGATTTACATTCATGCGTGTTTGAGATTACAGCTTCTTTTCAACAATTCTTCATACTCTCTTGCGGCGTTTAGAAAACGATAACTACCATTCTCTAAAAACAACCTTTTTCTCTGAGATTGGAATTTGGCACTTCGGAATCGGTGGAGAAAAAATGGGGCGGCATTTTCGTAAGCCGTGCGGCTGTCATACATCATTGGAGTCACAGAGTCAACATGCATTATCGTCTCTGCGGGTCATTCTTCTGAACCTACACATTCCTGTCGTGGCTCTATGCTAGATCGACCTAGACTGGAATAGTCAACAGTCTCTTACTATCGAGCGTGCCGAAGTTGTGATCAGAAAAGCGCAGACGACGGACTAGAAGCGGTCGCATGTCCACTATTAAGTAGATCTTCGTCAAGTAAGGCCGGCCTCGCTATGACTTACCAATGGATATGGAAGCGGGCACGAAATAAATTAGGATGTTCGATGAACGAGTTGGAGTTCTCTAGAAGGCCCGTGGCTATAGCAAGTGAGATCGTACAACACGGGGGGCACTTGTATGTTCATCCTTGTTCCAAAACATGATCCTGATATCTAAGGAGGTTGTGATCGCGATCTCGTCCTGAGGTAGAAGACATTATGCTTGGTGATGACCTGATATCCCGATCCCCTCTTTTCGAAAACCTCCTGCCGTGGCAGCACTGAAGTAGAGTCTGATCTCTTCATCTAAGCGATCACATGTATTAACCCGCAAGCACACAACCGATGTGCACCCTACACCTTTTACGATCTGTGTCAGTTTGCGGCACCTCTTCTGCGTCATCCCGATCTTCACGTCTAAGTGAAAGAAAAAGGTTTCTTCCATGGCACTTCTTGTTCTTCTATCTTCTTCCACTTCTTGGCGGACCTGCCGTGATATGACTCAGCAGAAAGCAAAGGGATTGGAGCACAATCTCCCTGTTTGGGCATTTATTGGCAAAAGATAACAAAGTCACACTTTCGTAACATGCAGCTTATTTCCACCATCTTCAAATCTCAAGCGGAGGCAGGAGCGGGAAAAAAATCTGCGACGCCGTCCATGTAAAAGTCAGGCCTCATTTCGTCGGTTGTAGCTTTTGCCTCTTCCTCAGTCGTCACACCGGACAAGACCAGTACCGTCTTCATGCCGTTGCTGCTCCCGAACAAGATGTCTGTGTCAAGACGGTCGCCAACCATCACCATGCGAGACCGTTCCATGCTGTGGCGAGAGCACAAAATATCCAGCAGGAGGCTGCTTGGCTTTCCGGTATAACTCGGCTCTCGGCCAGTGCACCTTGCGAGTGAAAGTGAAACATCAATTGGGCAAATCACAGTGCTTCTCGAGACAGCTTGCTTACGGAAAATAAAAAAAAGACCGGAACGGCAAACAAATTAAACTCACTTACACCCCTACTTCCACTTGCACTTACGCAAAGATTAAGACACAACAAAAAAACGCAAGTGGCGCAGCGTTATGAGATGATTTCCTGGCAACTACGAAAATATATAAGCTTCAGTTGATGTTGAAATAAACGTGCGAAAATTTTGACGTCACCTGCAAAACAAGCGTGACCTTCCAAACCCTTCTGGCACGACCATACCAGGTACTCTGCTTCTAGTTATACTATACTTCTACCAGTTCAGCAATACAAAAATTAAGATTAACTTACCCCTTGATAGCGCCGACGCAGCAGCCGTTTCCGGCCCATTCCTGGGTGGGGGTGATGTGCGCGACGGCGTCTGGGTTGGTGGCGATGAACTTGCAATCCGGCACGTCCAGATTGTATTTCGCGTTGAGGCACAGCTGCGCGGTCTGAATCTTGAAGTAGTTTATGCGGGGGTCGAACCCGCACACCACGGCGCCGACGTTCTTGGGGATTTCCAGGTTGTGCATGGCGAAGATGCCCTTTTCCATTGCGTTTCCCACGGATTCCTCCAGAAAGTGCTGCATTTTTTTCTCAAACTCCTGGTCCGAGGGTCCCCCGATCACGTTTACCCCGCACGCCTTCAGTTCCTCCTCCAGTCCGTGCATCCCGATCAGCAGCGCATTGTGGGTAGAGAGCAGCCGGGGCTCATACAGCCGAATGTACTCGGCGCAGGCGAAGCCGGCGGTGTAAAATTCCTCGGGGGAGGCAGTGATCCCCAGTGAATTCAGCTTGGCCAAAAAAGTCGCGCGAGACTTCGTGCTGTTGTTGGTCACGAAAAAAACTTTCTTTTTCAAGTCCCGCAACTGCTGCAACACAGCCGGTATCCGCGGATCGCAAAGCTCGCCCGCGCGCCAAAGCACGCCGTCGCAATCAAACACGAAACCGTCCACGGAATCCAACAGCGCGGCTGGAAGGTGCTTGATCTTCTCCATGGTGCGACTGGGCTTCAAAATGGTCTGGGCAGCTGCGGTCAGAATCGTGGGCGGACTCATAATTTCAATTTCTTGAATGATGATGAATATGAATGGCAATGGCCTTTAAATGAAATGCAAGAAGAATGATCGCAGTGGCAATAAATCGTATTTCTGAAAAAAATATGCAACACGATTTTTCACAATCGTGTGATGCGTTTTGAAACTACTGCATGTGTATGTATTGGTATTCATTGAAGAATTGTACTGGTACGACTCAGATCGACAGGGATAAGTAGCAGCGCAGCAACTTCGTTGCTAATGGGAGCGGCTTTATCGACACAGTCCAAACAAGTAACTGGCTTGATCTGCTGCAACCAAATAAGATCGACGATCATCATCCTTAATCGCAACAAAACTCAAAATCCACCGGATGCACCACATCAGAACTGTCAGAATTCACCAGAAGCACAGCACTGTCAGGGCCGATCTACATGGATCCTTCAAACGGTGGGAACCACGCCACAGACTACACACGAGCTACTTCTCTGTCAATCCACGTCTTCTACCGATGTTTCCGTGCGATAATTTCTGTCCCGATAAACAGCTCCTGCTGCCGTTAGATCCATTCGACCCATTCAGCCCATTCGGGCCGTTCGCGCGCGCGAATGGGTCGAATGGACTGCCCCTGAACGGTGCGCCGGCCGTTCCCGGGCGGCCCACGCGAATGGCTCGAATGGCCCGGATGGCCAGCGCGCGCTTTGAGCTAGATTTTTTTTTTTTGGGCTGGAAGGCGCTGCTTTTTTTCCTCTCTCAACAAATTCTCTCGCCGCGCGGGGCGGCCGAAATCGAAAAAACGTACCGAAGCTCGCAATTTTGCAGCAACGAAAGATGGTCCGAATTTAGTCAAAACGAAGTAGCTACGCCTGCAATTGTTCATCAAAAAGCTGTCTCGTTCCAGCTCGGCCCATTGTCATTTTCGGTTATTTTGCCGCGCCATGACGGGGAGCCCGCCGCTAAGCTGCGAGACCACACCCCGAAGTTCGGAGACGAGGCAGACAGGCTCCGCAACGCCGAGGGGTAGGTCTATACTGGCAACCAGCCTGCCCCCAGGAAAAGTCCCCGGAGAGCAAGGCCCTACGATTTTGCTTTTCATTTTTTACGAATGGCTTAAATGGGCTGAATGGTTATGGTCAATCGACCCTCATAACCGATGTTTCCGTGCGATAATTTCTGTCCCGATAAACAGCTCCTGCTGCACACTAGCAAGAAATGGACTTGCACGTGCACCACGACGCGCGTTGTAAAATGAAAATTTTATATTTGTAAAACAGAATTGCGCGCAAAACTTTATTCGCAAAATGGAAAATGCTGCTGGGCTGCGATTTACATTGATCCTTAGCGTTTGTCTTCCTTGCGTCTTGTATTTATTTTCATACGCTTCCAGGCTACAGGAGCGCACATCTCATATTGAACTTGAAAGGAGGTGGACACTGAAAAAAGACACTTCCACTTTCACTTTTTTTTGTATTCATGCGGATGACAAAAAACTCTATGGATGGAAGAAAAATCGCCGAAGCGCTGCGCTATGGTATACTACTTTACGAACGAAAGAGAGATCGCCTACCTGAATCTGTATCTGACCTATTCCTAGTTGAGGCATAAATGCAATTCTAATTGTAAAGAACTTGTCAACACATCTATGTATAATTGCAACCACGACAGATCGAGATGGATCTCAGCTGCTTGTTCTTGACGCGTACTAGTACATCGTGCCTAGAGTTCTCTTAAGAGCGCGAGATCTTTTGGGATGGCTTTTGGCATGTAGCCGGCCAGGTAGAGCTGCAGAAAGAGGAGCACGTGTTCCAGCATGAGCAGCGTATCAAATGTAAAAGTGTCTGGGTCTGGAAGAATGCAACTTGTGATGCTGAATTTGGATTCCAAAAAAATCTGTATTGCATGAGCAGCAAAGAGAGTCTAAGTTTTGCTACACGGAAAAAGCATTTGTCGTGCGGTATAGGCATCAGGAAGCCTTCACAAGATCTGTGACGCTAGGGCATGCATCACAGACATCAGGAGTGGTCATGCAAAATGTGCATCACAAACCTGGCAATCTTCCAGAACCAGACCAAGACATTTTTACATTTGATACAGCGACATGAAGACCGACTGCGACTGGTGTTCCTTCTCCAGCCTGCGGGCCAGCAGCAGCATGTTTGCCAACAGCGAGATGATGGTGATCGTCTGCAGGAGCAACACAAACGCGTCGCACAGACCGCCGGAGGTCAAGTCCAGCGCCTTGTAGACGCGGCGCCGCACGTTCCGCAGCTTCCAGCTATCCGCTTTCAATTCCGTGAAGAGCCAGATGAAAATCCCCAGCGGCAGGTAGAAGGGAGACAAGGGAAAGAAAAAGACAAGTAATGCGTAGGCCTCGCACACCTCCTTGTACTCGTCCAACAAGCTGTAGGGCTCCACCAACTCCTCCTCCTTCACACTGCTTCTTCCCGCCACGGCGCGCTGCAGCGCGAAATTCCGGTGCAAGAAGTAATTCTCTAACACGACCGCCCGCCGCGTGTTCAAGCTCTTGTTGTTCGTGGTGCTGCTGGCTGTTGTACTGGAAGATGATATTAATGCTGTTGCATTAGTTGTGCCATCTGCCTCTGTCATCTTCCCAAATGAAGCCTGCTGTTTGATCATTTCCTTACGCCACTTCCAATCGTACGACTGCGGCTTTACCTTTTGCGCGCTCGAAGAGCAGGACTTTCGGGCCTCGGATTCCACCAGGTTGTGCAGCACGGAGGCGGACCGGCTACTGAGCGACTTTATTGCCTTGTTCGTTTTATTTTTCCCAGCACCCTCGACTACTTCCAAAACTTTGAACAGGATTTTCAGCCGCGGCACCACGTTTTCGGTGATGGATCCGAGGATGGTTGCCTTGATGAAGACAAGGGTGAGAATGTAGGACAGCGCCGCGTTTGCGTCGTCCGCGACGAAGACCAAGAACAAGGGGTACACGACCGCGTTCATGACCGCAAACGCGGCACTTTTCAGCGACGCCGAGCGACGGAACTCGGCCCGGCTGATGTGGTGCTCGTAGTGGGTCAAGTGCCAGGAAAAGGCGGTAAACAGCGGGTTCAAGACACTTCCGCAGATCACCACGTTCCCGATCGTGGGGGTGAGCAGCAAAACTTGCAACAGCAACGTCCGCACGAGGTCCGCGCAGCCCAGCGCGTTCACGTTCTCCCAGGACGCCTGCAGCGGGGGGAAGACTGTGCCAGAGAAAAAGGGATTTCGTTGCAGTTTCGGCACAAATCTAATCAGCCACGCGTCGGACAAGAATTCCGGCGAGGTCGCGACGAGGTCGGCGACGACCAGGTCGAGGTACAACATATACGTCTGGCAGTAGAACAAAAAACACATCGCGAGGAACGAGAGCAAATACGTGGTCGCGTACCGCCGCACCATCCGCCGCTGCCGGTCGATAAAATCCTCGAACGCGTCCTGCACGACGCGCACCAACGCGCCCGCGTAGGACCGCTCCAGGAGCAAGAAGGTGGGGCCCAGCTTCGGCACCTGCAGGGACTCCGCGACGTTCAGTAATTCCTGTCGATAGTCGGCGGAGGAGAGTGTGTGCGCCTCGGTGCTGTCCTCCAGTGTCGCGAGCTTCTGGTCCAGCAATTTGCGCAACGCTTTGTCCATAATGTCTGATGATGTTGTGCGGGTCTCTTTATTAGTACTTTTTCCTTGTTCATCTCCGATAAGCTTGAACTTGACATTTCGGATGAATTTCTTATCTACCACGATCGCCCCGCGGTGCAGGCGGTCGATCAGATCCCGAGCCCCGTCCGACAGAGCCTGCTGCTCGGACGCGTCTACGCCGCTTGTGTCCGTCAAATCTCGCGCGGCCTCGACCACCAGCTGCTCTACGTGCCCCTCCGAACGGAAGTCTGTGGAGGTCTGCGTGCGCGTTAGAGACCGCCGGATCCGCTCTTCGACGGTGAGCGGCTTGTTTTTCTCCTGTACTTGATGTTTATTTGTATTTCCGCCTAATCGAAATTCCGCATCGTCCGCGAGTTTTCTTCGGCGGTCGCGATCCCGCGCGATCTCGAGGTGGAGCTCCACCCGGTTCACGAAGGCCGTGGCCCAAATAGAAATCAAGGTGGTCGTGGCTACGCGGAGCAGAAATTGGAAGTTCGGTATGGTGAAGAAGTTCGCCTGGAGGTAGCTCACGGTGAAAATCGTCTGCTCGAACCCAGAGAAGTCGTAGACGAAGGTGTCTAGCTTTTCCACGACAAAAAAGATGAAAGAGAGAAGCATCGTGGCAATGGCGTCCAGATTGTGCAGAATTGTTTGCAAGAACTGCAGCCAGTAGTTTTGCAACAACGTGTTAAATGTTGAAACATCTCCTGCAGCCACGGGCTGCTGTAGTTCCGCAATTCCGTCTTTCTTTTGCTGCAGGAAAAAATCGCACACCACGAGCAGCAAGCCGAACCGGCAGGGTCCGGACACCGGCCCCGTGCGCACCAAGTGCGTGACGAAGCACTGCATGAAGGCAAAGTAATCCACCAGCTCGTCACAGTTGAAGTAGGACCGCGCCAAGTAGCCTGGTTCGGTCAATATGATCGGGTCGTCCTCCGGCCAGACATTATCAACTGTAAAAATGTCTGGGTTTGGAAGGTCATAACTTGTGATGCTGTCGGTGGATTCTAAAAAAATTTGTATTGCATGACCAGAAAGAGGGGTCGGGCTTGTTGTCCTACGCTGAGAGGGCATTTCTCATGCGGTAGAGGTATCAGAAAGCCCTCTAAAAATCTGTGATGCTACGGCATGCATTAGAGACATCATGGCTCATGGAAAATCTGCATGACAAATCTAGAAATCTTCCAGACCCAGACATTTTTGCAATCCATAGACGTTGCGGTAGTGCCAAATGTCCTTCAGCGTCATGTGCGGGAAAGAAGGCCGCGGGTCCGGGTTGCTGTCCCCCGCGAGGTCCGCGTCGTCGTGCAGCGCCATGTCGTCCACCAAAATGCCCTTTTCCCGCAGAATCGGCATCAACGGCATGCTGTCCCGGGTGGAAAATTTCTCGACCATGGCCGCGATCTTCGCCACGTCTACGCCTTTCCGAGACGAATAAATCGGAGTTGTACTATTATTTTCTTCGGACGACCCATCCGCGAGCAGCACGCCGACGCCAAGGAAAATTCGGGAAGAGGAAGACGTTTTTTTGCCGGTTCTTTCGTTTTTACTTTTGTACACTTCGTCAAGTACGCTGCTCCCGTCCAGCCGGGAAAACTTGGTGAGAATGTCCTCCACCGTGGGAGGACCCTGCGGCCCCGAAGAAGTTGTAGCAGCCGGCGCGGCGGCCAGGGCGTCGAAGACGCGCAAACCTCGGGCCTCGCTCAGGCGGAGGAAAAAACCCAGCCAAACGTCCGTCTCCGGACTGGCCTCCGGCTCCAGAACCAGGATTAGCGCCATGTTGGTAAAGGCGCTGCTACTTGATGACGTTGAGAAATTATTTTCCCTTCTGGGTTTTTAGAGTCACTCTGAAATTGAAAATGACAATGATAGAACTAGTTTACTGTAAAAAGAAAAACGGGTTAACCAATTGGTTTTGCCGGATAAAATTCTTGTCGGGGGTACAAGGTCTTTCGCCTGAAAGAGTTTTGCTTGAAGACGGCATGATTTTTTGCTCCAGACAGAGACAACTGGACGAAAGGACACCTTAATTCAAGCAAAAGATAGCTCTAGCAGAACGATGATACATTTTTTGCGCGAACGACAACGACGCTTCACTTCATCAGCAATTGCACGAGCACGTAGCAGTTTTTTGGCACTTGGCGGACGATACCGACGCGGCTGTTTGTCGACACGACCAAATCTCCATTCACCGATTTCAACATCTTGTGCCGCAAATGCAAAATGAAAAGCGAACTGCCTGACAATGAGGAACTACCATGCAACTACCGAGAAGAGGCTTTTCTGTTCCTACTAGTAAACCGAAAATAAATACGTCAAGTCACAAAGTCTTGATGATGGACCACGACAGAGAAATCCGTCTTTGGGCATCATGGACAACATGGGTATTGATATTCTTGTCTATTTTCGCATCACGGAGCTGACTCGCTACCGGACATCTCGCGACAGGTTTTCCATCATGAGTGTCATGTTTCATCTTCGACGATCATTCAACCAAGTACATCGCAACTTCGTCGCGGTTCCTGCGGACATAATTCTTTCGCCATCAAATATCAGTGAGAATGGAGAAACTCTCTTTGACACTTGGTTTCGCCGCCGATAATTGGGATGAAAACACCTCTCCGTAGAAGTCGTTCAGGCGGTATTCACCTCGCACCAACTGCGAGGGCCGCGCTTTTTGTGCGTTCTGAAAACATTCCAAGTCCTCAGCAAAAATGTCCATCCCCGCTCGACCGTGAATTCTCGCCGCATGTCCCGCGTGGTCTATGGAACGCACCAAAAAGTCTCGCTCAGCGGCACTGTAGGCGTGTTCCAGTCGGTCAATGGTCGCTCCGGGCGCGCGTAACTTTCGCCGCAAACCCTCGCGGTCGATGGAGATGCGATACAAGGGACAGGTGGACGGCTTTCGTCTTGCTGGTCCTGTCCGTCCCGCCGGTGCCGATCCGCTGGAAATATTGTTTACCCCAAGACCAGTGACATTATTCCTCGGTTCGCTTTTATTCAGGTCCTCGTCCCTGTAGGAGCAGCTTCCTCCTGCTCCTTCCGCCGTCGTTATCGTTATCGTTTCCCGTCTCACGACCGCCACAAACGGGGGCACGTCCGCGGTGAGCGCAACGTGCATGCCGATGAAGCACTTGGGGCCAACAATCACGCCTTGGTGCAGGCTGCAACTGATGGACAGCGTTGCGTCGTCCAGCACCTGGGAAAATCCAGCGAGATAGCAGTTCATGTTCAAATTTACCCTTTCCCCGACCACGCAGTCGTGCCCGATGTTGCAGTGGGAGTGCACCATGGTGTTGGACCCGATGGCCGTTTTTCCGTTTTCCACCGTGGGCATGTTCACACTGACATACTCCCGGAAGACGCAGGAGCACCCGATCTCCACCTTCCCGCACGACCGCGCGCCGAAGAAATCTTGCGGCGGGTTCCCGATAGACACGTTGTCGTAGAAAACATTGTCGTCCCCCGCCTCAATTTTCCCGGACAACCGGGCAAAGTTCCCGACGAAACAGCGGTCTCCGAGCACGACGTCGGCTCCGATGATCGCGAAATCCTCGATGATGCACCCCTGCCCGAGCTTGCCCTTCACGATGGCGGTTGACGCGATTTTCGTTTCTAGATTGTCGGCAGGAACTGCGTTTTCGTCAAGGGGCCGCATCTTTGGTAGTTTCAGGCCTTTGGTACTAGAACTGGAGGCTACTTCATGTTGTAGTACCCCTGTGGTGCAGAGACGAGCAGCAGTTGCTGCATCTGTCGCGGCAGGAGCTACTTGGTCCTGCTCTACTAAGCTCCCACTACGACTCCGATTTTTTGCTCCTGCAGCTGCACCGCCGGTCGTTGCAGATGTGTTTCCACCCCCAGCCCCTACGTGTAGGTACGGCCGAACCTCGCGCGTGACCTCGCTGAATTTCAGGCTGCTCTCGTCGAAGACTATGACCTGTCTGTTCGAGGATGTTTGTGTCAAGGCACCATCAGCCATCGCAACCACACCACCTCTTGTGCTTCCGGGCGTAGACGAGCCCGCCACGGGGCTGCCCGGGTAGCTCTGCGGGTGGGGCTCCTCTTCTAAAACAACGCGAACATCGGCTTCCCGCTGTAACCGTTCGAGCAATTCTGTCACGGTGGCCTGTGCGAAGAAGTGCAGCGGCCACTTGAGGTTGTGAAAAGACTCGAGAAACACCGCCCGCAGTTGGATTACGGAAATGCTGTCGAGTAGGTGCGATAGCAGTGTGTCTCTCGCAAAGCTGCTCGCCCGGTGCAGCTGCACAACACCGAAGCGGGCTAAAATGCGGTCGAAGGCCTTGCGCTTTTTCTCTTGCTCGGTAATTGTTGTACCTCCGGAGGCGGGAGGTCGTTGGCGGTGCTCGACTCCAGAAGTGATTCCTTCAGCGGGCGGTTCTGCCAGTTCTAGCGAAAGATCCTTTAAACTACTAGAAGGAGGCTTGATATTTCTTCCAGGATCTTCTTCTTCTCCTTTCCGCTCGATTTTTACTAAACTGTTCTCGCCGTCCCATACAAACTCTCGGGCTGTGAACGGTAAGGTCGGCGCGGTTTCCGCAGCGGTGATGTTGAGTCTCTTCGCAAGTCCGATCCTCTGCGGCTTGCCCGTGTGCGCCCGCGGGATAAAGTCGGAAAAGACCAGGACCTCCGGACTGTAGTTCGTACTCAGCCCGCTGTCGTTGCGGAGGAAAGTGCGGAGTTGTTCTAGGAACGATGAAACTTGCTCTTTTCTATCAACATTTTTGCTCGAACTGTTCGAAGAAGTAGAGGCCCAACTATCGTCCTTCACCACCAAGACCCCGACAGCTTCTCCATAACTCTCGTGCGGACAAGCGAAGCAGAGCACCTCACGGACCCGCGGGTGCTGAATCAAGGCGGACTCGACCAAAAACGGGGACAGCTTCTCCCCCCCGTAGTTGATGATTTCCTTGTACCTGCCGAGCAGCACCAAGTGCTTGTCTTTCGCATCTAAATACCCCTTGTCCCCCGTCCGCAGAAACCCGTCCACCGTGTAGTCATTCAAGCAGTCCCGCCAGTCTTCGACGTTGCGCTCGTATCCGGTCGTGACCATCGGACCCTTCACACAGACCTCCCCCTCGATACCGAACGGGACGTTGAGCTTGGAGTCGCAGTAGGAGAAGTCTTTTGCGAGCTTCTGCCGTTGGGCAACGGTTTTATTGATTTCCGCATCTGTACTCGTTTTTGGGTTTGTGTCAACGTTCTCCCGGATGACCACATGCGGCCCTTGCGCGTACCCGACGGAATCCAGGCGGTAACTAGTACAAGGGTTCTGAAAACTTTTCTTTTCCTCTGTTCGTCCCTCAGACGTGGTGGATAGTAACGTGTTCTTCCTCATCTCCACTGGGTTGCTGCAGATGGGCATGCTTTCCGTCATAGCGTACGTTCCAACCGACTGGCAACCGAAGAGCTTCTCGAGTTTCGCCGCTGTGGGTGGGAGCAACGCCGCGCTGCAGTTGCGCACGAAGCGGAGCGATGGAGGCGGTTTCAAAATAGAATGCTGGTCCGGAGAGGTCGCATTAGTGGTGGTGATTTTTGCAGCAGGAGATCTACTACTACTTGTCTGATGCAGCAACAGTTGCTCGTGTATTGCGGGCACCGCGCTGTAGTACGTCGGCCTCATCTCCTCTACCAATCTGAAGAACTCGTCCGGAACGAATTTCGGCAGAGGCAGAATTGCCGCACCCGACAAAACCGGCACCAGGACGTTCACCGCGATCCCGTGGATATGAAACAGCGGCATGGCGTTCAACGCTGTGTCCTTTTCCGTCAACTGCAAGGTCTCCCGAATCGCACGTCCACCGGCGAGAAGGTTTCCATGTGTTAACGGGACAGTTTTTGCGCGCTTCGTGGTGCCGGAGGTGTGCAACCGCAGCGCCACGTTGTCCAGCCCGTTGACATTCGTAATCGCCCTAATGGCGTCGAACTTCTTCTGCATGGGACTAGAGACCGTTGCGGCGGTGACCGCCGGCTGGATTTTGAAGCGTCCGAGGGCGTCGTCCGCATTTTCGACGATCAACAGAGGGACGTCGTTTTGTTCTGCGAAGTCCCGGACAACCCGAGCAAGCTTCTTCGTGTCTGCACTTCCACCTTTTTTCATATCCTCCATTCGTTCGTCCAGAATAAGCAGATAGAAATTCGCCAAATCTTCCAGCTCGTCCTGCAGATTCGCCGGGCCGAGCTTGGGACTGAAGGGGCAGAGCGCCAAGGGGAATTTCAGCAAGCTCAGGAACAAATTGACAAACGCCGCACTGTTGTCCAAGAAGAGAATCCCGAGGTTCCTTTTCGGGAGTCGCACTATCATGTGGTCTGCTTCTTCAGAAGTCGTGCCAGTCGTGGTTTTCATCTCCGATCCAACTTGTTGTTCCTCGTCTGCGTCGTAGGGAAACAGGTTCCAATTGAGAAATTTCAGCACCGGGGGCCACACGGTGGTTTCGGCGAAGTCTCGAAATTGCTGGTACGTGAAAGTGTCCCTTGCGTCTTGTGTAGAACGGATCAAAACTTTCCTTTCCGCGTTGCTCCAATCGATGGCGTCGAACAAGCATTGCGGGGCCGCGTCCTCCGGACCGGTCGCGTTTGCAGTTGAAAAATCCTTCATCCCTCTATCTAGATTGCGGCGAGGACTAAACACAAGAAGCTACTAGCTCTAGCGCTTGCATCTTCAAGAACTGTGTGTGTGTCCGCCGTAATACACAAAAAAACATCGAGATCCGGAAGATCATCGTCGGAAAACGTATGAAATTCCGCCAAGATTGGGGTAATAGGAGTTTGAGCGTTACTAAAATTGAAACCACATGATCATCTGCAATACTTCCTGTAGTCCACTCCTTCTTCCTATTTGATCTGGTCTTACACGACGAACACGGAAGTTGACCCACACGAGGTGAAAAAAGTGTGAAACTCCACGTCCACGTCCACCACTTCTGTGTTCACTTATGCGTAAAAACTAAAACTCGGCCAGACGAGTTGTATAGCCTCTACTCTCCGCACCGCGCAACATCCTGCCAGGAAGTGGTCTGTTGATGATAGGACTGATGAAATCATCCGAGCCGGAGCCGCTGGGGCGGAACATCTATCAATCACCAGGTGGAAGCAGGGTAATGAGATAAATTCCCTTGTTACTATCCCCCCTCGCCCCCACCGCCAGTTCCCGGACTGCCACCACCCTCGCCCCCGCCCCCGCCTATCCTGAGTAAAAACGTACCCACACCAGAGTCAGGACGGGGACTCTGCAACACAAACCTAGGAGTTTTGTGAGTCACGCATGACAAGTTGCACTCTGCAGTGTAGTGCAGGTTAGCGAGTGCAGCCGCATCACAGATTCATCTGCTCATCCTGTTCACAGCATCACAAATTCCGAAACACGATAGAAAATGGCTCTCATGGGGATGCGCATTACAAGTCTTCCTGTCTTTGCAAATCTGCATGACAACTCTGGTGTGGGTACGTTTTTACTCAGGATACCGCCGGCCCCATCCTCGCCCTCCTCCTCGTCTTCCTCCGAACTCGAATCTTCGTTTATCCTGAGTAAAAACGTACCCACACCAGAGTTGTAATGCAAATCTGCATGCTGAGAATGTTTCTCATGCGGAGCCCCATGAGAAGCATTTTCTAGTCGTGTTTTGCAATTTGCCATGCTCCAATCAGCATGGTATGCTAGATCTGTGATGCTGCTGAGCTAGCTCAAACAGCACTACACTACGAATCCAAATTTGTCATGCAAAACAGCCAAAACTTGTGGATTTGTCTAGCCGATTCCCCATCTTGACTATGGTGTGGGTACGTTTTTACTCAGGATATCGTTCTCCTCCTCCAGCGCCTCTTCAAAGTCGTCCGGATCGATGTCAAACTTCTTGCACTCTTCTACAAAGACGTTCCGCGCTTCCCCCTCCGGGCAGTTTTTGAAGAGCTTTCGGATCTTGCTGTCGTCCTCCTCGTCCGGCGGCTTTTCGTCCACATCCTGGTACTCCTCCCGTAGCCTCTGTATCACCACGATGTAGTGCTCGACCTGCTCCAGGTGCTTCCGCTTCTTCTCCTCCGCATCGAGCCGCGCCTGGGCCTCGTTGAACACCTGGAGAAAGGACCGCGACGCGATGTCGATCAGGACGACCGGGTGATCCAGACCCCGTTCCCCGATCCGCCGGAGTTCCACGGAGATGTCGTGCCGGTTGGTGCTGGTGACGAGGAGTTCCATCACGGAGAGCGCGAGAAACTGGATCTCCACGTCGTCCACCAGCAGCAACGGCTCGGGTTTCGCGTCCTCCAGCGCGGCGCCCTTCAGCGTGTAGACCGGGAGAGGGTGCTCTTCGAACTCCTTGCAGCGCCGCTGGTACAGGAGGTGCTCCTTACCTGTAGTGGGTGGTCACAGGATGGAGATGAAAAGCAGACGAAAATGAAGTCGCAGGTATGAAGCTCATACTAATTTGCGACTAGCTACAAACGGGACAGAAGTACAACGTGCTGCGTAAAGACAAGAGTAAACTCTATACCTCTGTACTCCAGCATTTCGATATCGATGTTTTCTGCCCTCACCAAATGCCCTTTCCGCGTGTACAGATCGATCATTCTCTTTCGGTATTCCCACTGCACCGTCCGGATTTTGGGGATCGGGCGCTCGTACTGCGGCAGCGGCGGGGGCGGCATCTTGTACTCGGGTTCGATCTCGTATGCAAGAAAAAAACTGTGTAAGTGTAAATTTGTGTTGCAGAACATGCAACAGAGTTGCGCCTGTCATGCCAGACAGCCATGAAGTGCTCTTTTCATGTGTGTTTTCCCTTACAGGCCACGCATGACAGGTTTTCTCTGTCATGTAAGGCAAATTTGTGATGCTGTTTCTCAAAGAAAGTTACACTTACACACTTTTTTTCTTCGATATCTCGGTCTCGGGGACGTTGTGCACCTGACACTGCTCGAGATACATCACGTGGTACTTATTCGGTGGCCACCGCCGCAAGAGCGCAGTTATTTCCCTCTTACCCCGCGCCGTCTCGGCCTGTTCCCCGAAAACGACCTCTAGACGCGCCAGGTATTCCTCTTCTAGCGTTTTGTGCTTGACTTTCGGAGGGTTCCACTGCTTCGCACGATTTATTTGCAGCTCCTCGCGAAGCTGTGAAAAAAATTCGGGTGTTGCATTCAAAATTCAAACTTGATACATTTACATCCTGGCGCACGTGTATCAGCAACACTCTGCGAGGAAAATGCCCGGTTTTATCTTCAAGTGAAACTAGAAAAATCCTAGTAGTACCTGCTCTAGCCGCTTGAACTCCCTCATGAGCGCCATAATATCGCAATCTTGTTCGTGCTGCGCGCACATGAGCTCGCTGCGTATCTTCTCTTCCTCGATGTAATGAGGATCGTCCTTCTGGAGCCATTTCTGTTGTTAAAATGGGAGTGGATACAGAAACACTACACGTGCATCGAGTAAAGAATTCCGATTCGTTGCCGGGCCCAACAGAAACAGGGAAAAAACAAAAACCACGCATTGACTGTCATTCAGTCCTTTACCAGTATGCATTTGGACATTTCCAGGATGATTCCGTAGTGCTCGGCCTCAACCCGTTCCTCCTCGGTGTCAATGATTTCGTACGGGCGTTCTGGTTGCACTTTCTCGCTCGACGCCCCGGTCTGCGCAAACGACTCTTCCGGGCTGGCCGTCTCACTGCCGCTGCCTGGCAGCGGGTCCAAATTCGTCTTCATTCCGGCGTCGGACGATTCCGGGTCGCCAGTCGCGTCGGCGAGCGACGAACCCGGAGCCGTGCCCCCCTCAAGAACGTTGCTATTACCACTATCTTTGGAGCTTGACCGCATACCCGGCATCGCGGACGAAGACGCCGCGTCTTCCCCACCTAGTTCCGTTGGTGAGCTGGTAAGCACCGTTTCCGCCGGCCCATCCGGCTGCCCAGAACTGGCCCTCTCTTCCAACACAGCCTTTTGCGTCGAGGTCGCGTCTTTTTTCGCTTCGGAGTCGCCAAACCCCTCCCCCGTGGAGACCGGATCAAACGACGTTACCGTCTCTACTTATCAAGTGCAAATATGTCTGGGTCTGGAAGAGTGTGATGCTGTTTGTGCATGACACAGAAGGTCCGGCATGCAAGTCCTAGCAACACAGGTTTTGAGCAGGTTAGGCGATGCCTAATCCGCATGACAAGTTCCCTTTTTGGGTGACAAGAAATGAGCAACTTTTGCGGTCCATACATGACAGATTTTTTTCTGGTCTCAAATGCGCATCAGAAGTTTACATGTTTCCAGACCCACACATATTTGCAATGCATACTACTTCCCCCTCTACGAAAGACACCGCCTTCCCGCTCTTCTGGGCTTTCGAGGAGCTCGAAGTCGCCGCGTTCTCGTCGCTGTTGGCTATGGCGTTCTCAACTGTTACATTCTCAACTGTTACATGGATTTGTGATGCAAGAATGGCAAAAGTGAAAGGGGTCACCTTGCGCGTCTTGCATGACAGATCTAGCAAAGATTCTCAGCCTGTTTGGCTCTTCGAGAATTTGTCATGCGAAGCAGCTTGATCGTGTCGATTCTGATTGTGATTTTGCATTACAAATCATGTAACAGTTGAGAATGTAACATTTGAGAACGCCATACTGGCCTCCTGCGGGTTGTTGTCCGAGGTAACACCACCTCCCACCTCCCCCGCCGGGTCCGCGAGCGGTGTGGCCGGCGCGATGTCGACACCGGAGGTAAGATCGGCTACGGCAACCGTTGCTTCCAATGGGTTCCCATCTTCGTCGAACAAAAGCGTCGGCTGCGCGGGCTCGTCGTCCTCAAAGGTCACATCCTGCCGCTGCGTGGTTATCGTTTCGGCTCCGTCTTCTGGATTCACGTTCGTGTCCCCGTGCTGCGGATCACCAGCATCGAAAGTATTCTCGTCCAAAAACCGCTTTTGGATGTGCATGCTGTTGATGTTTTTCGTCGTGCGGTAGACCCGGTAGATGTAATCGGACGCGTTCAACAGGCACGCCCAGCTGGCGAGTTGGAGAGCTTTGTCGTCGGGGTACAAGCGCATGACGTAGGCTGCGGCCTGAAAGCAAATTTTCGCGTTGTCGAAGAGTGAAGCCAAGGCAAGCAGCCCGAACAAGGCGAGCGCCTTCAATTCGTGTGCGTACTTCTCCATCGCGTCGAAGATCAATAAAGAAATTCGCTTTTTGAACCGGGTGCAGCTGCGGTAAACGTCCTTCCTTCTATCCTGGACCACGATGGCGGCGGTGAGCCGGCACAGCGCGGAGAGCAACAGCCCTCGGCCCGGGTTTTGTTCGAAGCTGTCAATGATTTTGTTGAGCAACCCGAAGTATCAAATGTGAAAATGTCTGGGTCTGGAAGAATTTATGTTTGTCATGCTTGTCTGGCATGATTCTTAAATCTGTCATGCACGTTACCCAAGCGCTCCGTTTTTCTGTGATGCAGAAGCGCAGTTTGTCATGCAGAATAGGCAACACCTAGGAGCTCAGAAACTTGTCATGCTGAGCCAGCATTTGTAGCCTCATCATGAGACGCCACCCAGCATCACAAGTTTCCAGACCCAGACATTTTTACATTTGATACGAAGGACAAGACGTGGGTCTGCAAATCGATGGTCGCCTCCTCCAGCATCGCGCAGAGCAAGACCGGAATCCTATGGAAGTGTCAGAATCGAAATTGACAAAATCGAAATGATTTGTGATGCATAAAATCGATACCAGTTGGAGCCTCAGTTTCCAAGTGGCGCATGACAAATTTCGAGAGCACCAAAATCCAGTTTGTCATGCTGTTACGGCAAAGAAGACTGCTCCTGTCGTGCTACTCTGACAGCACAGCGTCTTACCCTAAACAGGCTTACAAGCTATCTCATTTGCCTGCTCCCCAATACAGGCCTTCAGTGTCCTACATTTTCTGCATCACAAGTTTTTCGATTTTGTCGATTTCGATCCTGACACTCCCATAAATCCCCGCGTTTGCGTCTAAAAACGGGACCAGCAGTGCCGCCGCGTGGTGCGCCATGCAGATGTCCAGCAGGGAGTGAATCCGACACAGCCTCGGCTTGTGTCGCCGCTCCACCCAGGCTTGCCCTTTCGGTAAAGGCGGTAGTTTTCCGTCGTCTTTTTTCTTTCCTGCCGTCTTTTTCGGGGAGCCTCGCTTTGGGGACGCCGCTTTGGTTTTCTTCTCTTGCGGCGTTTTGGGCTGCGGGGTGGAGACCGCCGCGGCCGCACCGTCGGGAGGCGTGGGCATCAGCTCCAGTTTCCTGGTCGCGTTCTTGATGATCTGATCCCGAACAAACTGCTCTTCGCGCACAAAATCCCTATGCACTGCAAAAGTACGTATCGTATTAATAGAAAAGGGCATGAAAAAATTTCCCAAAAAAAAGAGTGATGCAGATTCACATTCAGGTAAAATGACAATGAGTAGATCTGTCATGCTGCATTTATACGGGTACGATACTTTTGCAGTGCTTAGTCCCCCGTGGTCTGCAAGTCGTTGTAGTCGTCGAAGACGCTTTGCCTCAGGAGCAGGAAGATATGGGAGTGTCAGGATTGAAATCGTCAAAGTTGAAATAGTCTGTCATGCATAAAAGCGATACCAGTCGAAAGCCCACTTATCAAGCGGCGCATGACAAATTTTCCGAGCACCGGAATCCAATTTGTCATGCTGTTTGGGAACAGAACACTGCTTTTGTCATTCTACTTCTACTTTAGCAGCTCTATTTCAAACCCTAAACAGGCTCACAATCGGCCTCCCTTGCCTACTCTGCAAGACAGGCATTTTGTGGGTTGCACTTTATGCATCACAAACTATTTCAACTTTGACGATTTCAATCCTGACACTTCCATAGAAGAGCGCGCAGCAGTACGTTTGAATGGTCGCGGTTTCCTCTTTCTCCTTCTTGCGCTCCGCCTCTTGCGCTTTTCTCTCCTCGCGGGAAATCGTTCTGAGATTTTCCAGGGGTGGCAGTGGAAGATGAACTCGAGTCGCCGTGGATGGTACTTCTTCTTGCTGTTGGAATTGCTCCTCAGTTTCTGTGACCAGAACTTCCGCACCAGCGATACGGTCAGGAAATGAAGCTGCATCTGGATCATTGTCAACCGCTGCAGCTGCTGCTGCTGCGCCACCTGCATGATTCGCAGTTGGATTTTCCTCCTGTTCTTTCATCGCGATTGTTGTCCCCTTCAAGTACAATTTCTTCATGTTCTGCGCTAACGCGAACAGCAGGGCCTGGCACAGGTTGCGGGACAGTGGTAGCGGGATCAGACTGCTTCCCGTGTCGTCCGGAGAAGACGACATCGAGATAGATCCACACCGGGCAATGTGCCGACCGACGAAAAAGCCCACCGCACGGTCCAGACTTGGTTTCTGGCCCGCGCCCTTCTTCAGCGTTTCGCAGGCGAGTTCCAGTGCCTCCGGCAGCCAGATGGTGCTTTTCGCGAGCCCGAGCCAGGCGTAGGAAGACCGGGGGCACTGCAGAAGGTAGCGCAGGACAACCTTGTTGTCGATTTTGTGCAACAGCGCGCACAGTTTGCACAGCGTCAACGCCGTGTCCGGCTCCTTCATGCTGCGCCACATGGGCAGGATGCGCGTCTGGATCAGCGTGTTGTAGTCCGGGTGTTTCTTCATCTCTTCGTGAAAGCGATTTGGCCGGTTAAAAGCCTCCCAGTCGGCCTTCTCCTTCGCGATCCGCGCCTCCTCGGCGCGACGCTTCTCCTCCTCCTCTCTTTCTTTTTCCAACCTTTTCCTCTCTGCCTCCTCGGCGGCTTTCCGCTCCTCCTCCTGCTTTTTCTTTTCCTTTTCTTCCGCCGTCAACCCCGCGTTACTGTTATTAGCCTTCGCCGCAGCTTTCGCCCCGGCCTTCGCTTTCTTCCCGGATTTCGCCTTGGCCGCCCCCGGCGAACTCGCTTTCTGCTGGCTCTTCGTCTTTTTCCGCGCCTCGGCCTCCGCCTTGCGCTTCTCCTCCTCGCGCTTCTTCTTCGCCTCGACAAAAGCGCGCCTCTCCAGCTCTTTCTTCATGAACGCCTCCTTCTCCTCGGCAATCGGGTCGTACCCGGGGTCCATATCCCCGCGGCGCAGCGCTTCCATGTTGTGCTTGATGGCCTTCGGATTCACGTTGTCCGGATCATTTTCTAAAGGGAGGAAGCAGCTGACGCACTCGATCAGGTGTCGGCACACGCATTCGCGGTTCAGCTGTCGGTCCAGACTGTCGAACACCTGGTCCAGCAGCAACCGTGGTTTCGTGTTTTCCAACACCTCATTGAAGCTGATTTCCTTGCTGTTCACGCGTTCCAACAGGTATTCGGGTAGCAGCGTCCGCGCCTGCATCAGCTGCAATTTGTCCGGCTTGGGGAACTTCGGCCGCATCAACACCTCCACGTCCTCGGAGACGGAGTCGAGCAGGTGTAAGCGTTTGCAGATGTATTTCAATGCGTTCGCGAGGGTCAGGGCGCGATTCGAAACCCCGACGCCCCGTCGGTCGTGCCGCTCGAAGTTTTCGTGCTCGTAGCCCACTTCCACATTTTCCAACTCCACATCCATTTTCATTCGTGGACCCGGGGGCGAAAACACCCAGTAGTCCACCGCCCGGCGCTGCGGCACGGCATCCTCTCCTGGTTCGTCCTCTTCTTCGTCCGAATGATGTGACGAGCCCGCGCCGCCCTGCGAGCCCCGACTGTCTGGCCGGGCAGGATTTTTGTTTTCGTCGCCTTCCTTGTCCGCCGGGGGCTCGGCACCCGCGGCGTTTGCGGCGGCGGGGACAGTACTAGCATCTTCCGGGGCGCCAACTGCTTTTTCGGTGAGCTCGTCTGGGACGGGGGGCGCATCCGCGAGGTGAGAAGGCGACACCTCGGGACTGGTGTCGGGCTCGGCCATCGGCCCGCTGCTCGTCGGTTTTCAACGAGTTAAAGCAGGAGGGCTCTTCAAATTAGCGGAGAATTCCAAATTCATCATTTTGATTTTCATCTTCAGCGCACCTGACCAGAAGCGTACGGGTTTACAAAACATCAAACAAGAATCGATACCTTACTCCCGTAGCCAAAAAGATAAATTTAAAGAGTTGTAGCGAAAAAAAGACCACTCGTAGAGCCGCCGCGCTGTCGACGACACCCACCGGAAAGGAAATCCTGACGGGTTGGTAGCACACACAGAAAACTTTCTGACGAGGCTCTCTCATGGGAATAACCTCACCAATTACACGCCAATTTGCAGCCTCTCCTTCCACGTCTTGCCGATTGCGATACTCCCTCAGAGTTCGCAGGCTGTCCTTCCGAGTCAGAGAGAAAAGCCGCCACTTCCAGCAGTCGCACGACCTTCAAGATCAAAACAAAAGTGAAAAGGTGAGAACAGTTTCAAAATCGAAGATGAATGCTTCGTACGGCGATCCAAGTAGCACCGCGGCTGAGAATCTGTGTCGAAAGCGAAACAAGTAAAAACGGAAGAACGTACGGATTGTACAAGTAGAGCGTGCGTTTCACAATTGGTTCACGGCAAGAACTACAACTAGTCCGTTTCATGTTTGGCCGCCGGTTCCATTCACGTTCTGTTCCTCATTTTGGCCAGAGCCTCTGTTTCCACCTCTTTTCTTTTTTGCCGAGTACGCTTTCCAGCTGGGCGCTCCCCTACGAGATCCGGTCGAACCACCCGTCTCTCTGCTGGGTGTCGCGGCGGCAACGTCTACTTCAGCAGGAGTCCCTTGGTTGCCGGGAACTGTTATTTTCTGCGGGCTGGCATCCTGCTCCTCCGCTAGGATAGCAACTTCGGGCTGCTCGTTCGACCTCACACTCACGCGCGTCTTGACGGGTGAGGGGGTGAGAGCAGTGGAAGATGATGTCGCACCTCCGACACGACCTACCGATAAATTTGCCACTGACCCGCTATCGTTCAAGGTTCCAGTCACCGGCTTGACGCCAGCCGTGATCTTCTTCGGACTTGTCCTTCTAGAATTGGAATTCTCGTCCACAACTGCTGTCGTTGTCTTCGCTGCTGCATTCGTATCACAATCACTTCCGAAGAACTCGTAGTCCTTCAAGGGATCTTTGGCGTTCACCTTGCGCCACTGCCAATAACACGAGATCAAGGACGCAACGACACCTAAAGCCCCACACCAGATCTTGTGCTTCCGCTTCTGGCGAAAAGCGGAAGACCGGAGCACAAAGATAACGCACGGGAAATCGCAAAGCCCGAGTTTTATCAAGTTCGTCGCTAGGAGGAGGTGGTCGGTGTTTGGTGGGTCTTGTTTTTGTACTTTCAAAGCAGTTCTCGACTGGTCCTGTAAAATTCTACTGACCCAAAAATCTCGTCCGTATTCCAGTAAGTGCTTGAAGACGTTGATCTTTTGCGTTTTCCAAAGCCGAACCGCTTCCAGTGCGTCGCGGGTAAAAAGCGGAATAATTTCCGTCAACCAGAAGCACTCGATGAATCGGTCGAGCAAGTCCGACCGCTCGGCGCTGATCCTCAAAAGCTGAATTCGCTCCAGGAAAGCGATGTGGTCGATACTATGGTAGAGGATGTCCTGGGAGATGGCGAAGAATGTCAGAAGGTTTTGTTGTTTTGAATGCTGAACTGTCGTTGCGCCGTCCGTGCTCGGAGATGCAGTCGCGAATCTAATTTTGTCCAACGTCGCGAACAGATCAAGGGCAAGTCGCAGCGGCCCGCCAAACCGCATGCCTTTTCGTGTTAAAGCCATGACCTTCGAGAGCTGGAGGAAGAAGTTCCACATGGTGAGGCCGTGTAAAAGTCGTCCAGCGTATTGGCCGGCGCGAAATAGGCGCTCCCGGCCTCGCTCGCTTTGCAGAAACGTGTTTAGGTCGAAAAGAAAACGCTCGACAACGGAAGCGGAGCAGACGGGCAGTGCCGTTGGTTTCGCATTGCTGGCGTCTCCCCCACTGATCGCAGAAGCCAGTTCACCGAGTGACCGCTGGAGATAGGCGCAGGCGTCCGTGACCTTTGACGCGACTTCGCTTGCAACGATCGTCGTGGAAGTCTTCGCTTCACGGCCGGGCTCAGGTGCCTGCCCATCGACCACGAAGGCAAACGCCTCACGCATCAGATCACACACGCTGGACGAAATACGTGCACCCGACCCGGACATTGTACGCCTCTTTGGTATCTCCTCGAGGACTCTTTACATCAATTTCTCCTATCTTGCAGAATGAAGCGAAGGATCGATGTGTGAGTACTAAGTAGTGCCTTCTATCACCTCTAGGTGCTGGCACGGAGGAGCAGCTGAATTCTTACTTGTGATCCTGCGCGCTCACTACAGACACAGCCCTCCAAACAAGGAAGTCGCACTCACAATCATCGATAAACCCCGGCAGAGATAGAAACTTTTCGACCCTCCACATCTCAACCTCTTCTGGATCTCAACCTCTCGCGCGATAAGGAGCGATCAGATAAAGTGCGATGGGCAGGCCAGTGACTGCGAGCCGGAGCCGGTGCCTCGATGATGCACGCAGCCGAACACAAAGACTCAGGTTGCGGAGGCCGCAGGGATGTTGTGCTCCTACTGGGGCTTCAAACATAAATTGCCACGCGGGCACCTTCCGGCAGGGTTCGGAAATTGTATGCACAACAGCTGAACCGAGATCCAGAGCAGAGGTCGCTCGGGCCGGGCGGCGTGTCCGGCAAAGGCGGCGCTGTACCAATGCAGCGGGCGGTCGGCCCCTGCCAACAAGGGAAGGCCGACAGCACAGGCGGCGCGCCGGCAGGTATGGCGGCACACGAGGGGGCCCGGGGCCTTCCACCACGCCTTCACAAAGTGCCCGGCAAGGTGGCCCGGCTATGCAGCCACACGAGACGGCGCTGGCCGGGCGGCAGGTTCTTGCCTGGCCAAGCCATCCATTGGCAAGGGCGCCAGCCTCGACAGCCGGGCGGGCTCCCTCGGGGGGGCATGCAGGGCCCGGCGCGATTGTCGGGCCGCTGATTATGTCCGCTTTGCGATACAACGGCGCCAGTGAATGGGCGGCGAGCTACGTCAACTGTTGCCCAAGTCGGCCGACGAGTCGCATCGATCCATGACGGCATCACGCCACACCTGCGCCCGACTGCGTTGCGCTTCCTCCGAGTAGTTCCCCGCGGCGACTGCGCCCGCCCCGATCGGGCGGGGCACGGCGGGCGCCCTTTCTGAGAATGCGGGGGGCCCCACCGCCGGAACCTGCCAAACATGCGCCCCTCCTGTGCGTCCGCGATAGGCGCAGCGCTGCATGTGCATCAACGCGCGACACTTCCACCCGCACGCGTGAGCTCTGCCATCGCGTCCCCCGGCCGGTCTCGGGTTTCGGGTCATCTGAAATATTCCACATCACGGCGAGCATCTTCGTTGCCTGTCGTTGCCCCGGCTTCCATTCCGTCAAGAGCTGCGGCGTTTGGTGCGCCCGCGCCGCAGCTTGCGATGCGCCTTTTCTCGTTTGGCCCTGTGCTGCGCGCCCCGCTGGTCTTCAATGCGCGGGCTGCCCCGCGTTTTGTTCGGCGCCAGCGGCGGCCGCCGGGCCAACCTGGCTCGCTCCCCGTGCCCGCGGTTGTGATTTCTTTGCGCTTGTGGCACAAAAGCGGGAGGGGGGCCATGAATTCGGGCGCGCGGGCGCGCCGGATCAAACGGCGCCCCCCCAAGGCACCGGCGCCCCTGCCTGGCCGGCCCTGGGCCTCGCCCGGCTGGAACACGGCGGAAGACGCATTCGGTCGCGTTTTCATTTCGCAACCCCACCGCCCAGCCCGCTGGCAGGCGCAGGGCCGGCGCCCAAGCTCGTCCCGTCTCTGCGCGCGCTGCCGTTTTGCTCTTGCCCCACCGGGCCTGGCGTCGGGGGCGGTGCATAGAAAACCTACGCGCGCCAGCCTGCCCGGCAACAAAACAGGCAAGCGGCCCGCGGTGCCTTGGCCTAGCGCGCGGGGGGCGTCCACACACATCATCCGGGCCGCCATGACTTTGCCTCGTGCGCACAGTGCCGGTGGCGGCTCACCTCAGTCCGCCCCGCCACAGAACGGGGGGGGAAGGCCCGGCCCGGGGTTTTGCGGGTTTTGCGCCCCGGGGGTTCCCTTGCCTTCGGCGGGCGGGCGGAAGCGGCGGCCGGCCCCTTGTCAGCACGGGGGGGCCCCCGAAGACGCCGCGGGCGTCGCGTCTCTGGTCCGCCATTCTCCGCATCACCTCGGCAAGCCACGGCCCGGCGGAAGCTGGCGGCCTGCTAGCAGCTTGGCGCCGATTTGTGGCATCGGCACACATGAAACGAGGGCCGGCCGAATTTCGTCCGATACTGCAAACGCTAGCGAACCCGCCCGCGCCGGGTCACCTGCAGCGCAAAAGAGAGCGCACGAAGTCCCGCCCCGGGCGGCCCGCCATCAGTGGGCGGGGCCCAGGCGGTCCGTGTCCGGTGCTTGAAGGAAACGCCTGAGGCTTCATTGGCAAGCAGCAATGTACTTTACGTCATGCGTACTCACAAGACACGCTTTTTAGCTGCCCCGGCGACCACCCGCACCCGATGAGCGGGAAGGGGAACACAATGACGAAACGAAATAAAGGCAAAGATACACACTTTGCGTTGCTTTTGCAACAGCCAAAATGGCGCACCGCTTTTTTCTCATCTGTGCAAGTAGTAAGTTCTTTATCCGCCGAAATCGGGGGAGGTTCAAAGGTGCATTCGTGGTCTCGCTAGTTTTTTTGTTCTCCCACTGCGGGTGCTTGCAGTTGCACTTCTTGTCAAAATATCCTGCGACTTGACTTCCGGCTGAGCGAAGCTTTTTCATCGTCGATCATCGCAATGACTCGACAGCAACGTAGTTGCTGTAGCCAACCTCCGGAGGTGCCTGTAGTCTCAAGATGGTTTTCCTGATTCCGTGTCGCAATAGACCAATGCAAAAGCTTAACAAGTCTGAGTTAGTCTCTCAATCGATCATCTTCATAAACAATTCGAGCCGGGGACTCGTTTCCGTTTGATTCGTGGTCTAATACTGTTGTACAAGCAGTAGTGTAAAATAGCTGTTTCCTCGCATCCTGTCCAGCTGCTCTGAGTGTATACATTCCATCGAAGTTATAGGCGTCTGCGCTGCTGAAACAGTATTAACAAAAGTGGCAAGGTAGTTATTTTCCTTTGCAGCAAATTGTCACCATGTACATTGTTCTCTATTTTCTAGTTCAACGCATCGCCTAGCAGTATACAACATCTGCGGCCTGTGTGAAGTCTTCCGATACTGTAGATGTAGAGAAAAAATTGAATTCTTGTTCAGGTTGTACATTTTGATTTTATCTGGGGCGCAATACTTTTTATCATGCCATGTTGAGACTTAAGTAGTACCTCTGCGCGCAATCCTTTTCTGTAGCACTCCACCTCGCCAACACATCAGCACCAGTTCATTAGAGATCATCATGTTTTATGTCGTTCATGTTGAGATACACAGATGACAAAAAAATAGAGGTCGGCAATAGCTTAGCCTATGCTTTTTTAAATTTCAAAGTTCATGGTACATATCAAAAATGGGCGGCAATAGAGGACAGCAATGGGAATGGCATCGCTATCCTATCCCGAGTTTCAAGAAGGTCGTATAAAGTGGCGCTAAATTCATTTCAAAAACGGTAGAGTCAAGATGGTGAAAGGAGAGAAAGCAACAATTGGCAGCTGCAGAAACTACAGCTGCACTCCCATAGAAACTTTTTGCTATTTTTTTATTTATTTTTTTAGCAAGAGCAAAAGCATGAGAAACTGATAGACAAAGTTGTAGCACAGAGGCAAGTTGTGGGCGGTTAGACTTCGCACTGAAAAGACATGGTGACTAAGACGGGTCCTTTTCATGCCATCCGGTCCTCATTTAGCGAACCGGAATCGCAGCAGCACAGTGTTGCTAAGGACCCGGCTCAGTTGGCGAATACTTTAGTTTCTTTCCGTTGCTATTTCTTTATTTTTCATATGATGTGTAGGACCGCCTGCACAGGGTGATGTTGTACACAGTGTGTCAATTGTTTGAACCACGGCAACAATATTGCTGAGATGGTGAAAAAGCAAGTAAAAGTGGAAGCGCAAACGAGCCCGCGGCCAAATTCTAAACGCATCCGACAGGCGCAACAGTTGTGAAAGTTGCTTTTGCAAGCATGGTCTCCTTGCACTAGGGCTCGACTTTTATACTTTTGCAGTAAAAGTTACAAAGTGGAATTTTACTTAGCACGGTAGTTTCTGGCTCGACGCAAGCTACCCTATTCGATAGCGATACGCTCGAAAAATTTCGGCAACAAGCGGTAAAGCGCAGCGAGTTTTCTCGGCAAAGGGCAACAATTCCCGTACAAGAAGCCGCTGCCCTGTAGTACGCACGCTGAGAGAGTCCTTGAACCCCCCAATCCTTAGTAGGCCGAGCGCCAGTCGTATTTGCACGATCGATTTTCTTACCGTGAAGTGGAAAATGAAGACGAGCGTAGCGCGCACGCACCCGAAATTATAAAAACTTTTTTCATAAAATTTGGTTGCACAACTAGAATTGAATGCAGCACTGATGTTCCATCTTTTCACTATAACAAAAAAGTTATATCTGGCGACCACGACCCCCGTGAGGTAAAACTTTACTTCTCACTCAAGCTGAATAACAAGCTCATGACCTACAATATACTGCAGTTTCTGAACGCTTTCCACTGAAGGAGCAGCGCCCGGAGGATAAAAAATTACCGTAAATTATTTGCCTCAGAAGATAGAAAAAGACCCGCAGAAATGTTGAAAAGCCGAGCCATCTGGCAGATGCCGTGAGCCCCCCAATGGTGCGGTTGACCGAAGACGCTATTGGAGCAGCATCCAAAGTTGTTTTCCCAATTGCCCAGGTTCCCTGTGCGACGAGGACGAGCGCGGTTTAATTTTGTTTCCGGTAGACTACTTTTAGTAGCAATGATGTATTTTTAGAGGTAACGCACTCATCTGCTCCTTTCCCTAGTCATCATCGAGCGCGTGGGAAATGAACGTGGAACAGTGACCGCAGAGCATGCGCACCAGCTTTTCGTCGTCCTCGGAAAAGGCAATCACCTTGCCCTGCTCGTCGCGACGGTTGACCATCTCTACGAGTCCGATGACTTTGCGTTCCTGCTCGGGCGTGTCCTCGTCTCCGTCATTCGCCTCGAAAACCGGACCGACAAGCAGCGTCCACTTACTGTCCACGCCCGCGGCCTTAGCGGCCTTGCGCACTTCAGAGTGCGTGAAACGCTTGTCGCTGGCACTGTTTTGGTGTACAGAGTTGGCGGTTTGGTCATGCACAGACATGACCTCCGATTTTACATTATTCGTGCTCCTTTTCATTGCAAGCGATTTTGATCATTGAAAATCCAATGAATCGAAGTAAACAACAAGGTAAAAGAAAGTAGTAAGTAGTACATGTCTTTGACGTTGAGCACGTCCTTGTTGTGTACGACCCAATGCTTGGTTCCTCCCTCGCGCAGCACTATGCGCTCTTCGTCGTGGTGCGACAGGTCGTCCATCAGCGTGACGCACTCTTCGATGGTCAAGGACTGTCGCTCGGGCGGGAGCGCCTCGGCGATGTCACTTTCGGACCAGTTCAACTTCCGGAGGCAATCCGCCAACACGCGAACCGACACGTGGTCTTCAATGGCTGCTTTGGTGAGATCTGCAACGCACTGCTTCTTGATCTCCTTTGCGTGGACGGTGTGGCGGACCTGGTATGTTGAGATTGAAAAGACGTGGTCAACCTCACAGAAACTGTGTGTCAACTTCTACTCAAAGTTTTTTGGTTCAATTTGAGTCCTATCTGCATCTTCGATGAAACAAAAATACTTTCCTCGCCGCGCTCCACACGAACCGCTGATCCTCCTCTACGATGTAGAGGGAGCACCTTTCCACGTTGCACAAATCAGAGCCTTCTTCCGCCAAGGTGGAGAAGATAGTGGCGAGCTTTGCTTGCCGTTTCAGTCGCTCCTTCTTGTCCAAATCCATGAAAAGCAGGCTAGTCATACCGAGGAGACAGCCCTGATAGAGCAGTTTCAATTTGGATATCGATGGATATCGATATATTTGTTTGCATGCATTCTCGCTTTTAGCAAACCGAAGGCGATTGAAGATGAACAACGACAACCCTTTGACGTCGCCCTTGACCATCGAAAATGAAAATAAAGTACCGACAAGACGCCAACCGCCATCGCCATCGTCCGCACGATGCGCACACTGTCGAGCGCCAGCTGGTCGGGCGTGAGGTCGGAAACGGGCAGCCCCAAGCGATTGAATGCAGCGTCGACGAAGCCGCCAAAGCAGATCCCGGAGGTGTCCGAGCAGATCTGTCCGAGCGCGGCGGCCGTGATGGTGGCAAGTCCGAAGGTGGCCCCCAGCGTGCAGTCGATCAGATCGCCGGCCTGGATCATGATCAAATTGTCCATGACGCCAAAGCCGACCATGGGCACCGCGCATTGCACAGCATACACGCGCTTCTGGTAAAACGTCGGACGCGGGACAACGGTAATCGCGGAGGACTGTCGACGTTGCTGCTGGTGCTGTTTTATTTTTCCATGATGCGAGAAAAGCGTAAGCAGCCCTGCTGGGTGGCGATATGAGCAAGCGCTACTCAGGCTGCCATGTGACTGCAGCGGTTTCGCTCTCTGCTGCTCCACCCACGGTCGTTGCAGGTCATATCTGAATGGTGATGTTGTCCTCCACGACGAGATAAACCGCGATGAACACGCGGATACGTTCCCTGCTTGCACGGCTATACGACTCTGCCGCTGGTGGTAACCAAGAGGTGCAGCTCGGAATGCCTGCCAAGGGTCCACTGGTCGTACGGGCGCTCGTCCTGGGGCCCGGAACGCACTGGTGCTGCTACAACTTCGGACAGTGGGGCCGGAAATCGCCGACGATACGGGAGCCAGCGTTGTTGATCCTGCCGTGTGTTGGATGGCACAGCGCCCACTTGGCGCGGCCGACCGGGTCACATTGGTGACGACGAACATTTAACGGGCGGCGAAATAATTGTCGGGTGGCTTCTTCTTCTACTGCTGTTGAGCGTTGATGTAGTCGCCGGCCGTGGTCATTCCAGATTTTTGTGATATTGATTCTTTGCTGTAATCAAACAACTACAAGAAAAAGGAACATATATAAATTTTATTTGCAGTGTTCGTAAGGTCGTGACTGGGTCGATTACTCTCTGCAGGAGCCCCTATCCCGGCCAAAAAACCTAGAGCACCTCCTTCACTCGCGCTGGTTCTCGCACCTAGATCCAGTTGCTCGAGCCGCTCATTGGACACAGACATGATAGATGCACTCGCGATGAAAATGCTACAACCTCTCTTCCCCCCGGCCCCGCGTGCGTCACTCTCCAATCGTGGCCAAATAAAATCAGAGAAAACTTAGGAAAGGTAAGTGGCTGAACCAATCAGCTTGAGCGCAGATGATCGACGTCGCTTGGACTGTTGCAGATTGTCGACTTGTTGCTTTCCTGAGCTTCAAAGTCCGCTGCATCCTCTTGCAAGCGCCAAGAAGAGGTTGGAAATTTAGAAGAATGAGCTCGAGCTCGCTGCAGCAGAAGAAAGAACTCAACTGCCAGTACACGGTGTACTGGCAGTTGAGTTCTTCTACACCTACACGCAGCAACAGAAGCAGGGTTCACATTACAATTACCAGAAAATAAATTTGAGAAGTTCTAGTTCATTTGATCTTACAGGTTCGTCCTACCTACGAACATTGGGATTACGTGGACGATACACAGAGGGTTCATTGGGATATAGTTTTTTAGATAGGGTTGATACATTGTATTTGTGTAAGAAAGGGCTTCATTACGTTTGTGGTCCCTATAGCGGCCTGCTGAGTTGTACATTCATTGAGATGTCCAACCTCACCTTCGCCACCCCTAACCATACGGAGGGCGGCGGATGTGGACCCGATTCTTGAACAGTGCTGTGAAAGGTACGTGGCGCTTCGGAAAAACCTTCGGCGCGACCGAGGGCAGCGGGTCCTGCTCCATCTGGCTGTAGCACCGTGGGTAGTTCGCTTTGAGCACGCTGTGGTCAAACTTTTCGCGCTTCTGGATGTCGATTTTCTTCTTGCGCTTCGAAATGTCCATATCTGTGTAGTCCGACCTGTGGAAAGATTTTTCGTTTGTTGATTTTATTCATGAAATAACCTCCCTTATCAAGTGAGCTTTGACGGATGTCAGACGAGCAAGTGCGAGACACAAGCTATTTGTAATTTGAATTTGGTCAACATGGGGACGTTCGAACATGTACACGAACGCGTTCTGTGTACCTGGTATCCCAAAAGAATCGCATGTTCCGCCTGTAGTCCGTTTCGTGGCCGACGGTTCCGTCCCGCGCTGCCGCCCCCGGAGAAATGTCCTTCTCGCCGGCTTTGCTCTGGTAGTAATCCAGGTCGAACTTTTTATCCAGAGTTCTCACCCCGTCCTGCGAGGGTCGGCCACAGGCCAGGTCGCGCATAATGTGATTGCTGTAAAACCGGTACTTGTCGTAGAGCGGTGGGCAGTCTTCCGTGTAGGTGATGTTACCTGGTAGTTCGATTTCGAATTCGATTTCTATCTCTCATGCGAGATAACCAGCAAGTAGAGAGCAGTGCAGCTCACCATGCATGCAGCTACGATCGATCCAATCCTCGTCATGAAATCAATTCAATTTCAGCAGGACCACACTCAAATCAGAACTTCACCTGTTGAAATGTAGCTTTCCGTGTCGCTCTCGACATCCGTCGGCTGCAGCCCCGGCCGGTTTCCCCAGCCTTCCGGAATCGGCGGCGGTCCCTTGAACAGATCGAGCCGCTCCTGCTCGATCTTCTTATGCAGTTCCGCCAAGCGCGCCTGCTCCCGGCGCGCGCGAACTTCCCTGCGGTCCTGAATCCCCGCGAGGTCCTTGTGCCGCCCCTGTATCGCTACGCGCACCGGTCGTGCAAACGTCGAGTTCGGCTGCTTCAAATAGTCCGTTTCGTAGTTTCCCGAGGTTCTCTGCCTGATGTTTGGGACTTTCGGGTGGTCGACGTAATATGGGTACAGTTCCGCGTTCACCTCGTGCTCGTTTGGGTCTCCTTTCACCATCCCCGGGGGTAAGGAGGTGGCGCTCGTTGGGGACACGCTGATAAATTTCACTCTTTTCTGCCGTTCGTTATCCTTCGCGGTCCAGGTGCTGGACATGGGCGAGCGCTGTGACGTCGGGACGTTTGACTCGATCTCTTTCTGGTCGAGGAGGTGGTTTTTGTGCCACGCGATGCTCCGCGTCGCTGGGGCGGACGTAGGCCGCAGCTTCTTCGCGGGCGGACCGGTAATTGCTCCTGGTGGCTCCGGAGAGTCAGGAGCTTCTGGTTGTCCTGTGATTGGAATTTCCGTAGCACCGTCCTCGGGGTAGTAGACCGGACGAAAAGATGAACGGTCTTCTGCTGTTGGCGCGGGCTCCCCGCCGAGGGTGCTCCTTGTTCCTGGTTTTTCATGCGCTCCTGGTAGCGGTAGCCGAAGCGGCGCACCCGAGCTACTCGAGGAGGATGAAGCGGAACAACTCATCGCGTCGTCGTTAATTTCGTCCACAATATTCACCCGAGCTGCACGGGCGACAGAGCCGGCATAAGCTGACTGCGGTCTTTGCGGGGGTAAGGAGCTTCCCCGGATTGGTCTGAAACCACCACAGCCGTTGGGTACGAAATCGATGATTTCCTGTCTGTGATTCGCTTTCTCGTGCGCTGACTGCGGTCGAATTCGCGTCCACCAATACGAATCGTTTTCGATGGCGCCGAAAGGACGGTCCTCGATCGGGCGGGCTTGTTTTGCGACCTAAATCAATCATGACGGTTTGATAGATGAGTGATCTTTGCGATTCAATGAGGGGAATTCAAACTTTGTAAAAGAAACCATGGTGGAGTCAACTACTCCAGTTATTTCAAGGCACTCCAGATGAAGTCGTACCTTTTCCTCTTCAGGTTTCTTCTGCACCGTGGAATTCACATTCCGTCCGCGAATGTGCAGCAAATCGAACTCGTCCGGCCCCCTGAGTTGTTCCACACTAGCCTTGTTGGGAGGCTGTTTGCGACGTTTGTTTACTGTGCCAATCGCTGTTTGGGGCCGTAGAATGCCCCGAGGACCACGTATGGCACCCATGATGTTTCGCTTACCTTTGACTGATAAAAAGGTTTTTTGTTTTACGTACTTATCACAAAGTTCTGAGTGACAGAGAAACTGATCCGCAAACTCAATGAACTACTTTCACACCGAGTAACAACAAAGAAACTCTCCGATCAACTCTGAAGCCACTCACTGCCCTCGCTTACTGTCAATTTTGTCTCTCGATGGAAAGTGCGCTCCGCTTGTGCTTGCAATCCAAAAAAGCAAAGATTCCAATTGAAATCCAAAAAACGACCATGCACACCAAACAAAAGAAGCGAAGCAATCGAATGCCCTCGGCCTCGGCAAGCAACCCTTACAACTACGATGCGGCTTTGCGATGCTTAAACTTATTTTTACCCGATGTAAACTAGTCAAAGTCAGAAGTTTCCAATTGGTAGATACACAGGAAAGATAACTTTGGCACCAAACCCAAAGCACTACTAGAATGCGTTTGCGTAGAAGGAAATTTTACAATGAATTGCGAAGAAAATTTAGTGTACAGAGTCAGAGATTTGTGTCTGATTTAGAAAAAAAGAAACCTGAATTTAAGGTGGATTGCTATCGCTGTCTTCTTGGATGAATGAACTACATGAAAGCCTTTCTGTTGCTACTTTAACGAATTGTGTTCATAGATACACGGTACAACTGCAACGTGATTTTTCGCAAAAAAACATACTTATGAAGTTTGTCAAACAGTCTTGGTTCTCCATCAAAAATGCCATTTCAATCTGAAAAAAAAGCCTATACGTGAAAGTCTTCTCTATTTCTTTTCAAAAGCTCGTGCTTTCTGCAAAACTGCAGCACGATTTGCGTCCTTGTTCGACAGTCGTCCCCAGATGTTGTCTGTCGACGTCAAGAACTTCATCTGCGCCTCCCTTGCCTGCGTCGCGAGACTCTTCAGTCTCTCCCCCTTCGCCGCATCCTGCTTCTCGATCTCCTTTTCTTGATACTGCCTGCCTTCGATGACCGCAACATGGATCGCGGCGGATTGCAGCGCTTTCTTCATCATCTCGTGCATCCTGCCCGTCGCCATACGCCCGTTTCTGTCGTATTCGAGCTCCAGATCCTCTTTCAGCCTCTGCATGCCGCCCAGCACCCGATCTCTCAACGCGTCCGCGTCGACGTGGTTGGACATCTCGTACTCATCCAGCATTCCGCGGAGAAGTCTCAGCCTTTCCCCGGTCGACTCCGCGTGTAAACGCTCGCGGTCCGCACGGGCTTGCAGTTCTTTTCCCCGGAGCAAGAGCAAAGAGAGTTGGTTGTCGTCGTTCAGAATCTTGTTTGCGCGGTCGAACGCCGCGGCGTCGTCAAAGTCGTACTCGTCAAACTGGCTTCTCGTGGATTTCCGATCTTCCAGCACCTTCTCCAGCTTCCTTTGCGTCGCCACGTTGGGGAAAACCACTTCCCGGAGAAACGACTGGTGGTGGTACCCCAGGAGGTTCGTCAGGTTCTGCTCGACCGTAGCGTTTTTGTTCTCCAATTGCCCGGCGGCAAGCTCTGCATCACGCAATCGCTGCTGCATCAGAGCCGCGCTCCGGTCCTCGGGAGCCATAATGGTTGTCGCGTCTTGCTTCGCAAAACTGGCTGCAGAAGCCGCGTTACTATTTACTCCGTTGGTCGTTTTCATTTGCGAGATCTGCGAGGACAGTTCCTGCGCACGGTTCTTCTTGGCAACTAGGGCGGACTTGCGCTTGGCCGGCGCCGGAATTATGGACGCAGCTTCCGCGGATGCCATCAGCGGCGAATTTTCCACCACACGGGCAGCAGGAGCGAATGGAGCGGCTTTGGAAGCAGATACAGTGGTGGTCTTACTGATTTCCGCAGCGACAACCGCAGTATTGCTATTGCTCGGTGTTCTTGCGGCGACAGGAGGCGCGACTAGAGAGCCCGTATCCTCCTTGTAGTCAACAGTCGGTTTCGGGGGGAGGTTCTCCTCGAGCGCCAATCCCGGGACAATCCCTGCCCCAACAGAAACTGGATTGACCGCTGGCGCGCTTTCCGCCTGCTCTAGTTGCAGCTGAACCGTGGCGCTGTGGCGCAGACTTTTCCGAGCGTAGGACCGCAAGGAACCGATGTCGCTAGGCCCGGTGGCCGGATCGGGGGTGGGTTCTGGCGATTCGCTACGGGGCTGCTCGACAGCTGCCTTGGAGGTGGTATCTGCTTCGGTGGTTGTATCTTGTTCCGGGAAAAAGAGCATAGTACTCCGTGGCTGAAAAACTGGTTGCTCCTCCTGAAGATCCGAGGAGTTGTCTAAAACTTGTTCCTCAGCACCGATCGCATCCAGTCCGGACAACCAATCCAGCACCTCCTCCGTCACCTCGGAAAACTCAATACCCGCAGCCCGCAATGCGGAAACTTTCGCCAAGGCCCGGACCCACCGCTGCTTCACTTGATGATTTTTCTTCAAAGCTGTACAACTATTGGAGCTGCTGCTCGTCTTGTCTGGGTAGTAGAACAGGGTTTGTGTTGGGTGGTGCAACAAGGAAGACAGAAACTGCTGCTGCTCCTTTGCAGATCGGGCTCGACTGCTCTCCAGCTGCTGGATGGCGTGGGTCAGGTTTTCGTGCTTCAACTATGAAAAGGAAAAATCCCCCCTCCCCATATCAAAAAGGAAATTTGTGATGCTGATTTGTGGCCACAAATCAGCTTTGTATTGCAGAGAGGCACTGCGGCCAGATCCCCAGGCTAGGTAGGGGCGTATGGGTCTAGTAGTTCAGCACGGCAAGCGCCCCCCTTTAGGCCCGACAGCATGACAAACCGCTTCGATAATGGGGCGGAAGCTTCTGTCCTTGTCTTCTTGCAAGACAGACATGATTTGTGACCTCAAATCCGCAACGCAAATTTTTGGAAACATACCTTTTCAATATGGGGAGGGGGGATTTTTCCCCTCAATATCAACGAGGTAAACAGGTGCACGTCCAGGGTCAACAGGGTCTCAATCGCTCGGACAACCACGCAGCCGGAAACTTTTATTTGTTTATGATTTTTGTTTTTCTAGTGTCAAAGGGGGTCGGACATAAACCTATTGTTGAGCTGCAAGAGGGGATAACACACGCCTGCTGAGAGTGAGATTGAACCAACTGGTAAACGAAATAAACGACACGAAGTTAATAGCAAATGTTCTGATTATCCTCGAAAACCTTACTATCCAAGAACGAGTACCACGTGCTTTTGGAACGCAGGCTAATTCGTACGAACGACGCGCATTTGTGTACGAGGAAAAAGAGACCGAGCGATACGAATTCAGTGAAACGCAGGTGGAACTTTCTACGAAAGAAAAGACGAACGAAGAAAGCGTACGGAGAGACGGTGCGAGTGCGTGTGCGAGAAGGAGCTGGAGCAATTCTGTACTTACAACATTGGCACCTCGGTTTGGTTTCTGACTTTACATACGCATAGATACCTTTAGGAAAACGAAAACGACCAGAGCAAAACAATACCTCCCTTCCATTCTGGCGGTTTGTACCTCGCGATCGGAGCCCCGATGACCTTTGAGAACTCGGGCGAAAACTCCGGCCTTGCGGCTCCCAGCGCGACCGTCGCGAACGCCAGCAACCTCGCCTTCAGATGCCGATCGACCATCTGCGGGAGCTCCAGCTTGTGCGCCACGCGGTCCACTTCGGACGCCAGCAGGCCGAGGTTCAAGTCCTCGAGCAGATACGCGTCATCAGCCCGTTTGTGGTTGTGAAACGCGACGTACGCCAACCGGGACAATTCCAGAAACCACTTATCGTCCACGGCGTGCTTTTCCGGCTCGATGACGGCCCGACACAGCCGCAGCAGATCCTCCCGAGCGAGCTGGTTCCCGCGGAAACAGGCGGAGAAGAGTTCCTGGTGGCGGGGGACGGGGGATATGGATTGTAAAAATGTCTGGGTCTGGAAGGTTGGAACTTGTAATGCTAACTTTCCATACCTAGAAAATCTGTATTGCGTAACCAACAAAAGTCGCAGCCTCTTTTGTCATTCAAAAACGCAGTTTCTCATGCGGATTGCCTATGAGAAAGCGTTTTGGGAAGTTGTCATGCCGGACTGCATTCGGAAGTGTTTTCATCATGCACATTTTAGCATCACAAGTTTTCAGACCCAGACACTTTTACAGTTGATAGGGGAGAACTTTTCGCAAATCAGGTTCACCACAATCTCGAAGAACGCGTGGGCGTTCTGCAAGACCTGCTGTCGCGTCTTCCAATACTTCAAAACTTCGTCGGATTGGACCTCCTGCAGGGTTTCGGCCGCGTACAGGTCTTCTTTGTTCGTCACGAATTTATTGTTGGCAAAACCTCCGGTTATTCCTTGTGCTTTTTGCTTATTTTCCCCGCCGGGCACAAAAACCCCGCGGTCGCCCAAAAGATCCTCCGGTTCTGCCGCATCTCTATTGCCTACTCTCGCCATCGTCGCTGCAATTGCATTCTGCCTTTCGTCCATGGACATCTCGGCTGCGTTCGCGGGCAGCATGGCCTCGTAGTACGAGAGGTCTTCGCCCAGATTGGGCAGCCACTCGAGGGTTTCCGGTAAAGCGAAAGTGGTTTTGTTCCACAAATTGCGTTCCAGTTGATCTTTCACCGCGGAGCAGCACGCGAGTAACAGCATGCAGCCGCTGTTGGGGCAAATCTTGCAGGTGTCCAGGACAAAGCTGACAACCGCCTCCACGCCGGGGAGTTCAGAATCTTTCGAAGAACTGTTTGCGCGCAAAACCTTCAACCGCTCCATTGCAGGTAAATTGTTCCAGGCCTCATTCGCTTTCTCCTGCAATCGGTCCATCACAACGTCAGAGGTGAAGTGGTCCGCGGAGGAGGACGAGGAGGCACTACTACTTCCCCGGCTGTCCCGCTCTGAGTCGGAAGAGGGGTTGCCCTCCTGGTAGAACTGCTTGTGCCAGTCGAGCAGTTGCTGCAGTTTCTTCGACGCAAAGTCCTCCGGTGCGGAAGTTATGTAGGAGAAATCGTCCGTAATCTCCAGCGCCGTCATCGCCACCCGCTGCACGTCGTCGGCCTCCGGGTCCGCGCCCTTCTTCGCCTCCGTCTTCGTGACCCAGTGCAGCCGCTCGTGCAGCTGCATCAGGCACGCGTCGCGGAGCCGCGTGAACAGCTCGACGATCGCCGGGGTCCGCATCAACACCCCGTCCAGTTTCAAAAGCTGCGCCTCCGTCGGGTTCGCCTCTTCCTTCGCCGTCGTCGCGGCACTGATAGCCGTGGCCCCGCCGGCCGAGGATGTTGGCGATGATGTAAGAGCACCACCTCCAGCAGCAGGATTTGCTTGTTGGTCTAAGTGATCCTTCTGGACAAAGTTACTGTTCGTTGACGGCTCCTGATTCATGCTGTCCATCAGTACCTGAAAGACCTCGCAGGTCACGCTGCACAGCTGCGCCACGGACAAAGCACCGTACTCTTCCCGCTCATTGTTCCAGTTAACTGGCTGCACTAAATGTAGCGCATGCGAAACTGCCTCGGAAACGATCTTCGCGCGAGAGAGAATGTCCAAGTCCTGTCGGTCCGCGTTTACTTTGTTTCCCCGACCGATGCCGACCAGGTTGAGAAGAATTTTCTTCGCCGCGCTTTCATCGCCCGTGTCGTGCAGGGGCTGCATGAAAAGTTCCAATTGCTGCATGTCGCTGCTGTTCAAGGGTTTGAACCCGAGAACAAGCTCGCACCTCTTTCGCCAGGGCGCAATCGGCCGTTCCCCGTGGACGGCCCGCAACACGTGACAAAGCTCCATCAACAGCAGGTGCATCTCACGCTTCAGGGAGAGAACGCGACTGAGTGACGGAGGAGGTCGGCCTGAGGAGAAAAATTTTGCGAAATTTATCTCTATGGTACGAGAGTTGCGTCTTCACTCCCTTCTACAACTTTAGTAAGGAACTATGATCGATAGCAGTAGCTACCCAAGCTTCATCTTCAAAGGATGAAATAAGAAAATCGACATTGTCGCAGCGCACAAGAAGAGCTTCTGTATCCTTTATACCTCCCATCGCCGAAGTATTGATTGTCAGCGCGCCCTCCAAGCCCATGCAGTAGAGCAGGTAGCATTCGAAAACACTCTGGCAGTCGTGATTACCGGACCTCAACAAGTTGTGCACCATCGTGTGCCGCTGCAGGCACTCGCCGAGGATCATACCCCCGGCATTCAGCCGCCCGCACTGGGACCGCATGAAAAGTTCCTTGCCCAGGGCGGTCTCCGCATCTTTCGGATTTGGGATGAAGCGCGGGTCTAACGTAATGGTTCCATCTTCCGTGTGGACTAAATCTTGGTCCGGACTCGTTTCCAACACCATGGTGGCCGCGCCGCCGTCCATCAGCAGGGATTTCGCCTTGGCCAAATCCAGCGCGATCCGCCCGGCGCCCTCGGTAATCAGTCGCGCACGAATTTGCTCCTCGGTCATCAGCAGCGAGGAGGTCAGAACGTCAGAGAACTGCGAGGACGTCTGGGTGCTCAGCACGTTTTCGATTTGCAGCAAATCAATTTTCATCAACCACGCCTGCATCATGATCTCCGTGCGCCACCGGTCTTCGCGGCCGAGCCGCAAGTGCAGAATTTGGTCCCACGTGTCCCGGAGAACCTCCACGGCGGCATTTCTTCTGCGCGCCGCGAACTCCTCCTGCGATGCGCCGGACTCAACCGTCAAATCCAAAAAGCACACCCTGCGCGCGTCCACTTCGGAACTGACGGCCCCATCCCCGTCCTCGTCGCTTTCCTGGGTGGAATCCCCGAACAGCGCCACGGGGAAGTTCAAGCGCGCGAGCAGGAACTTCAACAGGACCAGGACCTGCGTGCGGCGCTTGCGTTCCACCGTACCCGCGCGGTTTTGCAGCAAGGAGCACAGCACGAGAAACGCTGCGAAGTAGTTCACGGGATCGCTGGTCCCTACTACATCGACAACCACTTGCTGCAAGTTCTGCCGGATCCGCGTAAAATGTGACAGGAAATGCGCCTGCCGGGTATAGCTCCAGCCGCCACGAATCTGCGCCTGCACGTCCTTCGGCTTGTAGTCACTGCGACCCCGGTGCTGGTTCAGGCTGCTAGGCAGTTGCGGCTTCTCCCCCTCCGCGGACGCAGCTGCGGGAGTTGCACCATCGGCAAGCGGATTTTGGTTCATGACCGGCTTCGAAGCTGCCTTCGCCACGGTGAAGGCCGGTTGCTTCGCGGCGGTTTGCGCGGTATTCCGAGACGTAAACGGATTGGACCACTCGTACGGGGCCGCCATGCGTCCGCGCAGGAGCATTTTTCGCTTTTCCTCTTCCTCAAAGTGCGCAGCTTCGGCCTCCTCTTGCGACTCGGTTGCGCCGGCGGCGTCCTCGGCGTCCGCGTTCAGCTCCTCGTCGTCGACCACCAAAGGGAAGCCGGTCGCGTCGAGGAGCAAATCCAGTTTCTTCAAGGTCTCGTTCGCCGTGTCCAGCAGCGTCTGTCGCATCTCCGGCGTGATGGCAAACACCTGGTTCATCAGGTACGGCAGCATCTCGTTCCGCAAATCCGGAGATGACACACTTTCGTCCGCCATCGCGAGGGGGAACAGATCCTGCAAAAACGTCCGCTGCCACTGGTTCACGAAGGCAGGGCAGTGGCGCTGCTGGACCTCGATTTGCTGCAGTAGCAGAATCAAATAGACGAATAATTGCTGTTTGGTGTTGAAGACTCCCGTCGAAAACGTTTCCACGTCCGCCGTCCCGGTCTCCACGTGCCGCAAAAAGCTCGGCATTTTGTCGCGGTTGGAGCGAATTCCCACCGTGTCAAGCCAGGATTCGTACCTCGCCAGCGTGATCACCGGCTCCGCCTCCTGCTCCTCGCGGCCCATCGCCGCCAACGGCCAGGGCGGGGGGGCGCACAACGAGACGACACCGACGGGAGCGTCGTCCACGTCCTCTAGGTCGGAGTCCAACATGCCGACCTCATCCGGAAGTTCAAACTGCTCCCCCATGGACTTCAGAGATTTCCGCAGTTTCGTCGTCTCCTCGTGCATTTCCAGCATGTCGTGGAAGTCTTCGAGCTCATCCGCCTTATCAACATCGTTGTTCCCGTTGTCTTTTTCACTGCTGCTAGCCTTGCTGCCATCTCCTTTCGACAGCAAAGCCCCCTCCCTCGATTTGATCACCACCACGATACTGCCGCGCGCCCGCCCCCGCGCCCAGCACCGCACGTTCCAGTGCGGCATGCAGTACTGGACCTGCTTGGCGTGCTATCCAGGAAAAAAAGTGTGTAAGTGTGACTTTCTTTGGGAAACAGCATCACAAATTGAAAGAGAGAACCTGTCCTGCGTGGCTTGTAAGGGAAAACACAGTTGAAAAGAGGACTTCGTGGCTGTCTGGCATGACAGGTGTAACTCTGTTGCATGTTCTGCAACACAAACTTACACTTACACAGTTTTTTTCTTGCGTACGTGCGTCCGAAGCAACTGCACGTCCTGCTCCATGTCCGCGGGTTTGACTTGCAGCCGCCGGGCGTACCCGTACTCGGACATAGCGATCAGAAAATCCGTGTGCCGGTCCAGATCGTTCCCGAGCACCTCCTGGAACGTGTGATACTCCGCGAGCAGGTGCGCCAGGTAAAATCGGTTGGCCGCCTATGCACTGCAAATATATATGTCTGGGTCTGGAAACCTGTGATGCTGAATTGAGCATGGTTGAGGCGCTTGCAATGGCAGCCAAGCATGACAAGTTTCTGAGACGCCTGCTGATGCCTAGCACGCATCACAAATTGCGTTTTTGCATGACAAAGGAAGCTCCTCTACTTTTGCTGCTCATGCAACACAGATTTTCCAGGAATGCAAGACACGCATCACAAGTTGGTTCCACTGTTCCAGACCCAGACATATTTGCAATGCATACCGCCGTCCGCTTGCGGATCTGGAAGTGGTCCATGCAGCGGTGCATCAAGTCCGCCAGGAAGCTCTTCAGTTCGTCCGCCCGCTTCGCATCGAAACGCAAGCCGCACGGGGTCACTTCCAGGGAGAACCAGGAGCTCACATATCCAAGAAAAAAACTGTGTTAGTGTAACTTTCTTTGGTTGACAGCATTACAAATTTGCTCTACATGACATCAAAGAAAAGCTGTCATGCGTGGATTGTAAGGGAAAACACACAGGAAGAGAGGACTTCATGGCTGTCTGGCATTACACGTGTAACTCTGTTGCATGTTCTGCATTACAGAGTTACACTTACACAGTTTTTTTCTTGGATATCACCCGCGGCGGTTTCAACGTCTGCCGGACCACGCCGCTGGTGTATCCTGTGCAAAAGTATCGTAGTCGTACTAATCGCATTCATGCATTACAAATCATTTTCTTAAGGCAAACCCGCATTACAAATTCTATTTCTTATGCTGACGAGATTTGTCATGCGATTTATATACTAGTACGATGCTTTTGCATTTCATATGGTGTGCAGGGCGGCGAACTCGCCGACCCGCTTCGTTAAGGTTTTCAAGTACTCGTAAATCTGCGGCCAGTCGTCGCCACAGCGGTCGACTAGGTACGCCACACTCGCGTCCAGGTCCCACGGGTCCGCGCCCTCTTTGTCCACATGGCAATCGTAGTGCGGGTCCCGCGTCCAGGTAGCGACGTCTTGTTCGTCGACGTAAGAGCTTCTGCTGTTTCTCTGCTGCTCGACATCATCCGACGCGGTCGTGTTGTTTGTTGATGTTGCCCGGTGCAACACGTCAAATGCGTGGAGATCCAGTGTGTAACTACTGCCGAACAAATCCGACAAAGCGGTTTGGATCTCGTGCCCGCGGCCCATTCGCTTGGTGTAGCACTGCGAGAAATCCCGCACGACCGCCGGGCGGTGGTGGAATTTCGGCACGCCGAGCTGCTCGATCGTCGTTTGCTCCAGAGACAACAGGCGCTCCGTGATTTGCCTTAACCCGAACTCCGCGTTCTCCTGGCCCACCGCCTCCGTCATGTGCTCCAGAATCGCGCTGCGCATCAGCCGCCGCAGCATGGAAAAGATGTTGGACCGGTACTCGCGCAAAAAGGAGAGCATGCAGCCCATCTCCGCTTTCATGTGCTTGGTCAGCGCGGCGGCGTTTCTCCGCGGGGCGTCGCGCACGCTGCCCGCCAGGTCCCACTCCACGGCGTCGATGTTGTGCCCGAAGGCGGAGGGAGACAGCCGGTTCACCGCCTGCGTCGCGTCCTTCTTCGCGGAGCCGGAGACCACCTCGATTTTCAACAGCGACGCCTGCTCCTTCGCGCGTTTTTCCTCCTCGTCGAGGTGGGCCGCCGTGATCTGGTCGGACTTGTGGATGTGGCCGAGGACCTTGTTGAAGTCCAGCGAGACAAAATCTTCCGTAACGGAACCGCGGCGGGTCTTTATCTTTTTTTGCTCTTTATCGTTCTTTCCGTCAAGAACACCAGCCTTGGACGTAGCAGCCGCGGTTTTTGCTGCTGTTCCGTTATCATCATCGTACAGCCCTCTCGCCATTGCTTCCTTTTCGTACTCCAGTAAATATTCGAGCGGCCTCTGCTTGTAGAAGCACTCCAGGAGTAAGAGGATCACCATTTCGCACACGTCGCGACACACGTTCGCCTTCAGCACCCGGACATTCGGCTTCGGGTTCTGGTTCGCAAACTCAATCGCGGTCTGAAACGCCTCACGAAGCAGCGTGACGTCCTTCGCGTCCGGCTCGAAATTGCGCGTGACCAGCTCCAACCGGTACATGCGGTGGGCGACGCGCTTATCAAATGCAAATAAGTATGTCTGGGTCTGGAAGAATGTATGTTTGTCATGCTTGTCTGGCATGACTCTTAAATCTGCCATGCACGTTACCCAAGAGCCCCATTTTTCCGTCATTCAGAAACGCAGTTTGTCATGCAGAATAGGCAACCACTAGAAGCTCAAAAACTTGTCATGCTGGGCCAGCTCTTGTGGCCGCCTCATGATACGCCACCCAGCATCACAAATTTCCAGACCCAGACACTTTTGCATTTGATAGCGCTTCGTCAGATGCAACGCTTTCTCCCCGAGCGCTTCTTGCTTCTCGAGGAAATCCGGCGGGAGAATCGCCTCCAATTGGATGTTGTGAACTGCAAAAGTATCGCACTCGTTTCGTAGTAATTGCAGTCATGCATTACAAATCTGTTCCTTAAGGTAAATCTGCATTACAAACTTTATTTCTCACGCTGATGAAATTATTTGTAATGCATTTATACGAGCACGGGATACTTTTGCAATTCATAGATGTGTTCCCGGTGCTCATCCTCGTCGAGCGTGGGGAACTGGACGTGGTTTACGTCCTGTAACGCCCGCCCAAACACGTTCTGCAAGCGGTCGAGTTGCGATTCCAGGGAAAACTCCCTGTTCACTTCCGGCATACTTGCCGGCGCGGGTGTCTCCTCGAGCGCCCCGATGTTTTTCCCGACCATGAGCGAACTGCGACTGGACCTCCGCTGCGCGGCCGAGTTGCGTCCTTGTGTCACGCTCGCACTCACCGCGGCACTCTGGGTTCGGGTCAGCGACCGCAAACCCCCGATCTGCATCATACGTGCCGTCGCGGAGGGGCGCGAGGACTTTTCGTCCAGAGATTTCAGCGCGCCGTCGCGCCGGTTGGGGTGCTCCCAGCTCGGCCTTTTCTGCTGTTGCGCCAAGAACGCAGCCTGCTGGATCTGCGAAACCTTGCCTCTCTTCGCTTGCTTCGGTGCAAAGTCGAGGTGGAGGTCCTGAAAGATTTTTAACGTGGGTACAACATCAGAAGGGATCTAGGTACAGAAGTAGAAATAGACTCAACCTCAAGATCAGCTACTTTGATGAACAATTCGTATTTATTGTAAGTACAATACCGAGGTTCCGTCTTCCGACGACGATGCTCGCGAGCTTTTCACTCGCTGCGCGCCCCCGAACATCACAACGCTTGCTGCGCCCCGCGCCGTGTTGCGCCGCAGCATCGCGGTCTGCACTCCGGGATCATCCTCGCTTGGCTGCAGCTGCGACGCGACGCCAGAAGCTAACGCGCGCGTCGCGGTGAGACTGGCGTCCGCCAAGTCCGCCGCTGCGATTTTCCCTGAAACCGCCTCGCGTTCCACCTCCGCATCCGCCAGGTTGAAGGCAATGCTCTGCTTAACATCACCTTGCTTGCTTCCGCTTGCCGATGCAGCTCTGTTTTCTGGGTAATAGGCCAGAATCGGTGTTCTAGAGGAAATATTAACCATGGCCTCCAGGTTACTATCCTGCCCCGTCCCGCTCACGACCCCATCTTCGATCTTGCGCACGACCGGTGAGCTTGTGGTCCCCCGGGCTTGATTTGCAGTAAGCAAAGGCACGCTCGTCGGTTGTACCAGACTGCTGGCTTCCAAAGCTAATTCCCGGACCGTCAAGTGGCCTTCAGCCGGAAGAAACGTAGCGTTTACCACGTTTTCATCCAAAACTAGAAAAGGTTGGTCCACCTCCGACGAGCAAAGCGGGGCAACATGCAACGAAGAAGATGCCTTCGAAGAAGAAGCCTGCTCCCGGACGCCATGACTGCTAGAGACAGAAACGGAGGTCAAAGCCGCTTCCAACTTTTCGGCCAGCTTGACACCCGCGGGCACGACACTGCACAGGTTCGTCAATAGCGAATCCTGTAACTCTTCCGGCAACTGCAGAAGCGCTCTCACGTCTCGTTCCAGCTCCGCCCGCGTCGCCGGGCCTTCCCACGGACGCATCTCCGCTTGATAGTAAGCGAAGATGTCTTCTTCCTGAATGGCTGCTTCATTCGCTTCCGTCAGGTCCGCCAGTTGGTCTCGGTAGAATGCAATGGTCTCGGCGAGAGTGTAGAAACGACCGTCCGCGGGGTCCTGACGCCACTCTGCTGCGCCGCTTCCCTCGTTGCTCGTTGTACTATCATCTCTCTCGCCCATCGCACGCACATACTGCTCCGCTTCGCCGCTTAGAAGCAGCCAGAAAAACGGCCCGCCTTGAGGCTGTGTACTAGTCGTGTCCATACTTTTGAGTCAGTCGTGAGGATGACCAGGATAAAGATGTAAGTGTACTAGTAACTTTCGGACTGAAATATTTCAATTTCGGAACGCCTCGACCTGACAGAAATACGTGTGCGGCCTCATTCCCAACCTTCAAAAAAATACACGGCCTGCTGATGAAATGTCACGAATCAAATCTCATTCATTGCTGGTAAAGGTCAGTAAACATCACAAATTTTTAGTTTACTTTTGCGAAAATCTGCACGATCACGACAGAGTGTGCCTTAGGGCTTGACGACTGAGACTAATCACGACGATACCGCCTCTAATGGTAATGATAGAGATTATCAATAACGACTGCACCAACAATGACAACGGAGACAAAAGACCGACATCTTCGGACTGTTCCCAATGTCGTTTTTCACGAGGACCGATCGGGCAAACAAAGTGGAACTTGCGACGATTACGAGCACGCACAGTTCTGCTTGGAACATGACCTGTTCCTCGAATAGCTGGCAAAATGACTAAAAACTTCATCTTCGACATCAAATCAAAACGACAAGACGGCATGAAAGCTGTAGTACTCACAAGCGGTGCGGTGATAGTCGTGGTTCCTTAGGCGCAAACAAGTAGTAGACACCTTACATTCATTTTAGTTCTGCTACGGCTGCTGTAAATATTGTTCCCGCATTTAGTAATTGGTGTATTCACGTATGTAGTTGAAGAACCACTCAGCCGGCCAAATTTCATTTTGAACTTTGATACACTGCAAGTTTTGCTCAATTTTCGCATCGAACTCGAAGACAGTTAACAATGATGGCCCGTGCCGGGTGTAAATAAAGGTAAGTACAGTAGAAACGTGAGGAAGGTTGTTGTAAAAAAATTGATCACATCTACTCTAGTGATGAAAACGAGCAAACACATCCCGGCTGCCTTCATTTGCCAGCTCGTGCAGCTGCAGCCGCAGCCCCCTTGCGAAACCGGATTGCGGCCAACAGCACCTTGTTGCTTTTGCACAGAGCTTGGGCTGGTGTGATTTTTTTGAAGTTGGTAAGAAGAAAAGGCGTGCTCATAGTACGTGCGTACGTGTAGTAAAAACTTCATGCAAAAAAATACTTTTTTGCTCGTTTGCACTTGCAGTAAAAAATCTTACCGAAGAACACATATATGATTTTTACAGTCATGCAACAATGTTTTTATACCGATTTTGTCGCCTTCTAACGCCTTCTCGATGAGCTCTTCGCCGTTCGGAACGCTGGAAACGTCGGGCTCGTCGCTGTTTCTCGTCATCTCGGTTTTCTCCTGCAAAACTTGACTCTGCTCCGTCCTTTCCGTCGTGATACTGGACGAGACCGACGTAGTTTTTGGTTTTCCATCTTCCGCGGCGCAAGCTGGTTGTGATTTCTTCTCCTCGGTTGTACTAGAATTACTATTTTCGGCCGCGGTACTACGTTCTTTCGACAGGTCAGCCTCCGGAGTCACGTTTTCCTTGTCCTCCGCCACTGTCAGCACTGTGGTCGTTCTCGACGCGTTATTAATCCCGTCTACTTCCTCCCCCTGTTTTTCCGAATTTTTCTTCTGCGCTTTCTCCTGGGATTTGCGAAATTCCTTCGCTATGGAGTCCAACGTTTGGGCCAAGTCCATGCCCTTTGTCGCCGCGAACTTCTTCTTTTGCCGCTGCGACAACTTGGGCTGGAATAAACCGTCGCCACGACCCTCCTGGTCCTCCAACACTAGCGACGCGCCGTTGCCCCCCACGCCGGACAGCAGCGTGGTTGGCCGCGATTCCGACTCCGCCGGGCTCGCACCGGCAGAGCTGTTATCGGCCGTGGTGGACATAGACTCGAGCAGCGCGGACTGCTCCAGCTGCTTCGCGCGGGTGATGCGCCGGTTGGTTTTCTTCTTCTTGTTCTTACTGCTGTTAGTGGAGGCTTTCCCGTCCTGCTTAATGGTCCCACCGTTACCACCGGACGAGGTTTTGCTGGTTCCGCTTCCGGTTTTTGACGCTCCCCCGCCCTTCTTTCGGTCTTGCTCCCCCGCGGTAGCGTTCTTGCTTTCCGGTACACTCGCGTCTTCACTCTGGTACATACTCCACTTCAAAGTGTCCACAGCACGGCCCATACCCAGCGACTCTGCCGAATTCCTAAAGACCATTTTTATTGCGTTAGCATCTTCATCGGTACAAAGTGGAACTGTCTTTGTGCAAAATCCTACATTGAAATGTGAGCAGTACATTCAGGTGCATCAGTCCCGACTCCTTATGTCTCCCCCCCAGCATGCAAATTTATCATGAAGGTAAGCAGCAATGGCTTCTGGCGCAATTGTGCTCAAAAAATCGAACGAAGAAAAACAAAAATGATTTACCGTGGCTCATCCAGAGCAGCAGCTTCTACCGATTTGTTGTTGAAATCGTTCAAGAAGATAAAGTTGGTTCCCATCCCACCTGGAGAAAAAAAATCAGAAGCTTTCCTTCACACCGTCTTAGGTCACCTAACGCAAGAAGTCAAAGAACGAATCTTCAAGAAGACTGATCTTTATCGTTTATACAAAGCGCAAGAAAGTGTAGGCCCAAAAGTCATGAATAACTAAGCCGTACTTGCTTTCCGCAAGATTGCATTGATCGCCCAGCGCGCGGCCTCTGGCGAGCAGTTCTTGATGCAGTCTTCGGTTGAGGGTTTTTCTTTGTCTTCCTTTTCCTGCCCCGTTAATAAGCCACTGTCCTCCTTCTCCGCAGATTTTTTGGACGAGGAGGACGAATTTTTTCCCTTTGTTTTTTTAGACGGAGTTTTCTTTTGCTCGGAACCACTGCCGGCTTTCGCGTTCTTGTCCGAGTTCTTACTTTGTTCAGAACCAACATTGTTGACCATTGCATTGTTGTTTTCTTTGTCGTTCACACAACTGCCGGTTGTACTAGCAGTCTTTATCTTCGGTTTCGGAACCAGCACGGGATCGCCGCTGGAATTCGTACTGAGATTCGAATTCGCCACCAGCGTACGCAGAATGTTGGCATGAATGTTGTCCTTCGAGGCCTGCGCTGCACTGGCGGAAGTTGTTGTCATCTTCGACGCGGCACTCGTGCTCCCGGATAGCGCCCCCCCGGGGGGGTCGGGCAAGTACACTCTAGATCGGGCTTTCTCCTCCATGTGCCGCAAAAACGGGCCTCGGTGGGGGTTGTCTTCCTTCAGGTCGTCTGCGGTGCAATCGATAACGTCGTCCTCCAGCAGCTGGCTGATAATCGCATTGTACTTATCTGCCTCCTCTTTATGTTTCGCCACGTCGGCGTTCCCGATCAGGTGTGAGGGGATCGGACCGACCTCCATGTTGAAATACTATATTCTGCGTTATTTTCGACCGCCTCTCGAAACCTTCAAAGAACTTGATGATGAAAGAATGGTTAGTCGCAATACAGATTTAGAAAACGATCGATCACCAGGTCAGGAAAGAACAACATCTACAAAAAAGAAGGAGATCGTCGCACTCTTTCATGGGATAGCAATTGAATAGCCATGGGCCGTGCCGAGGTGGACACCACACACACACGAACGGAACCAAAACAAAGGCACGCAGAAGTACAGTTAGACCTAGACGTACAGGTATATCAAAAAACAAAAGCTGTCAACCGAAATACATAGTACAGAACCGCCACCACATGAAGGACGAAAATCGCTTGCTGCACACAATGCCAAATGCACAATTATGTAAATGCGCGTCATACATAAAACGGACAGAGCTTGGCAGGAGGGAGCTTGGAGGAAAAATACCAGCTCCACAACGTCCAAACGGTTACGGATCGAGAACGGTTCGACACAACATGTACAAAAATATACTACGGGAGGATCCATGCGCGATTCTTTTTTTTTTCGGATGAAAAAAAGAACACTACAACTCGCATACCAGGATGTTGATGAAACAAGCAACAGGCACTGATTTTGATTTTGCTCTATTCTTGTACTAAAAGCTGGAAAGTACTATAGCGTCAGACGCCTGCTCTGCCTGCTTCTGCTAGCGCGATTTCAAACAATGACAACAGGTAGCCAGTTTTGCCCAGACGCGTAGTGTCGTTTTCGTTGTGAGATATGTTGGCGTTGACAAGCTGCAATAGTCTTTGTAGCTTCTCCTGGTCTTCTTTCGTTGGGAGCGCCAACGATATGCAGTGAATCAAAACCTCGCACAGCGCATCCGTGCCGGCGGGCACGCGGGGGTAGTTTTTCTTCGCTTTTGAAGTGCTGGACATAGCTCGTTTTCCCGGTGAAAAGTCGAAACTTGGTTTCTTACTAGGGGAAAACTGGTGCCCAGGAAGGTGAGCACTGTTCTTCGCTTTGCTTATTTGCTGGTCAACATCTGCCTTCGTTTTCGATCTTGTACCAGTTGTGGTGTCATTTTCGTTGGTCTTTCGACTCTTCATTCTCGTTCGTGCCTGCTCCGGCGTCGGTTGCAGAAAGGGAAAACGGTCTCCATCTTCTGCGGAAGCGACGAAATCTGAAATGCCGGGCTCCACGTCCTCCAAAAGCTCGTCTAGTAAAAATACCCCGTCAGATTGTTCGGAAAGCAGGTTCTTTGCAGTATGGTTTTTGTTCCGCTGGCAATCAATCTTTTCCTCCTGAAAATAACCCGTTTGCCTGCTAGAAGTATCGTTGAGAAACTCTGGAGGGAGCTCCAGGATCGCGGCCAGAAAGGTGACAGCGGTGTCTAGCGTTTCTAAGACGTCCGCGGGGGGAACATTGTAGTTTTCCGAGCACGGGCACTCACGAACCAAAAATCGAAGCTCGTCCGCGAGAAGTTCCTCGGCTTGTCGCCACAGCCCGATGGATGAATTCGAAAAGCTAGACCTATTTTTCCCGCTGCTTCTGGCATCTCCCTGCCCATACGAAGGTGTGTCTGTCGCTCTCGTAGAGCTTGCTTGTGTTGCGCTATCGGTTCTTCCGTCTTGGGCGTCAGTCGCGGGCACATCCGTTTCAACATCTCGTGGTCGAAAAGCTCGGCTTCTTGTGCCTTCTTTTTCTGGCGTCCTTGGGTTTGGAGGCTCGAGCAAGTGCAAAAATGGTTTCGGTGCCACGGAGATGGTTTTTTTTCTTCCCGACATGCTCTGCTGCCCAGTCACTGCACCTGAGTGTTCTTCTTGCGCGGCCGTAGTTTTCTCCGCATCATGGAACGGGCTTGAAGAAACGAAAAACGAGAAGCGGCCTGGAATCATTGGCGCCTTGGACGCGGGCTCCTCAGATGAAGGTTGTGCTTTGCTATCGTTTCTTACCGTGTGCCTTTCTGAAGAATCGCCTCCGTTCATCTGCTGCTCGTCAAGCTGGAGGGCGCACAAACCGGTCCCCAACCGCTGCATCTCGGCCTTGATTTGCTATCCAGGAAAAAAACTGTGTAAGTGTAGGTTCGTAGGAAGAGCAGCATCACAAATTCGCTTTGCATTACAGGGAAAACCTGTCATGCGCAGCTAGTACATGGAAACACCTATGAAAGTAGCCTATGACGCAGATCCATCATGACAAGTGTATACAGTTTTGCACTTTCTGCATCACAAACTTACACTCACATAGTTTTTTTCTGGCATATTTGCGGATCAAGCGTGACAGTCTTTTTCGCGCGCTGGAAATGTGAGAAGTAGGGGTGGCATCGAAATGAAAAACCCCCCCTCCCCATATCAAAACAGAAATTTGTGATGCTGATTTGTGACCACAAATCAGCCTTGTATTGCACAGAGGCACTGCGGCCAGATCCCCAGGCTCGGTAGGGGCGTATGGGTCTAGTTGTTCAGCATGGCAAGCGGGTCACTTTTAGGGCCAAAAGCATGACAAATCGCTTCCATAGTGGGGCGGAAGCTTCTGCCCTTGCTCTCTTGCAATACAAAGGCGATTTGCGACCTCAAATCAGCAACACAAATTCTCGGGAACATACCTTTTCGATATGGGGAGGGGGGATTTTTGCTTTTGATAGGTGGGGCTGCAGTTTCACACGGAAGTGGCTACTGACGTATTCGCGCTTCAGCCACTCAAAAGCCTCCCGTGAGCCCTTGTCTTCACTCGCACGCAATGCCGGATTTTTCAGTGGCGAAGAATTTTTGCGAACGTTCGCTCCAGCAGGACTGGAAAGGGTTTTCGGTTTCGGTTTCATCATGTCGTCCTGCTCTTTTTGTCCTTCCAGTGTACTACTAGCCACCTGCTGCGCACTCGGCGAAGGCGCATCTGTATTTCTTCGCTCTTTCATGTCATCTCCGTCTACAGCAGCGGCATTTTCAGCCGCTTCGATTGCTTGCGTGGCGCCCTCTCGCGACAGCGCGTTTTGGTGCATTAGACAGCGAAATCGTGAATGAAGGTCGACTAACAGACTCAATTGTGACGGGTAGCTCTGTACATCCTCTCGCGCTGGCTCGGTGAGAGTGGTTTTTCCGGACGCGGAGGCGGAGGAAATACTACCGCTTGTTCGAATCGAAGGTGCTCCTGCTGGAACCTCTGTTGTCGCACTCGCATCCTCTCGCTCCTGCACGCTCGAGCGCAGTGTACTGCCACGTCCTGTTTTGCGAGGATGGAGCGTCGCCCGTTCTTCTTGCCCCTCGGCAGCAGGCGGAGAAGCCGCATTTTTGATGTCAGCTCTAGTCGTAGTACTATTACCGCTCTCGCTTTTGGTGCTCTTCTTTTCATCGGACAACCGATCTTCTGGATCGATCACCTGGCTTTCTTTCCTTACCTCGGAGAAAAAAACCGGTTGGGGCGCGCCCAGGTCCACCAGCCCCAGGTACTCTTGCGACCGCGTCTGCAGCGTCTGCCCCTCGGGCGGCCGAAAAACTTCGTTTGAAACGCACGCACCCGTGCGGAAGCGCTCACACTGCACCCGCGCGGGCAGCTTCGCACCTCCGGCGTTCGCGGCCAGGGCGGCGTTGGCCACCTTGCTTTTCAGCAGCTGTTCTTGCCGGATCCTCGCCTGCGTTCTGGTCCGCTCGGCTGCGGGCGCGAGTGACCGGTCGAGGGAACTGAGGCTCGCTGTTGAGGAGGATTGTTCCGCGGCCTGCTTCGTGCTGTCGCCGAAACTGGAGGTCGAGTTGCTCTGCAGAACCACCTCCCGCGCGGCGGCGTACAGTTCGGACTCGAGTTGCTGTTGGCGCAACGCCTGCAGCGCGCGGTCCTGTCTTGCTAACTTCGCTTCCAGCCTCGCAATCTCCAGATCCTTCTCCTTCAGCACATCGGCCAGCCGAGCCGCTTCCCGCAACCCGCTTGCTGATGTTCCGTTGGAAGGCAGATTACTCTCGAGGACCCCGAACGCCCCGCGAGATCCCGCACCCGGGGTCCCGGAGGAAGAAGACGAGCTGGCCGTGCTGTAAACGAGCATTTTGATTTACTTATCTGAGGGGGTGGGAAATTCAGTCACAGTGAGGCATAGACATGTCCTTTGAGAAAGTTGGAGAAAGATACGGAATGGGTTGAGCCGCCCGTGGGTAGATATTTAGAAAAGCAAAAGGAGAAGCATATTAGTTGTATTCAATGCCAAATAAGTGTCCTGCGGTAAATTAGCACACAAATGTCCTTCTATCTGCGCTGCACAGCAACGCAAAAGTGAGAAAAAAAACGCCACAAAAGCTGAATATACCGACTCCCGTTGCAACTCGACGCTCCTCCATGTTCATCCTCTTTTCGTTTCACGCGTAGCGCCGAACACTTTATCATAGATGTGTCTTGCAGAACCCGGGAAAGCATACGTGAGCCACGCCAAAAGCAAAACGAAGGCGTTCATATCTTCAGTATCAACTTCAACATCAGCCTGGCGCGAAGATAGATTGCTCTCGTCTCACTCTCTATCAGGAGTGCATAACTTTTTGTTTTTCGGAAAATCTCGTTTTCGGCTTGTTCTTCTAGGAAGTGGCCACAGAAGTTGTGGATGCCCCCTGCACGACAGCCGTCGCCGCCAACGTCGCCACTTTCTGCCGCCGCAAAAGCCAGATGGTCCACACGATGCTCGCTAGCCGGGACACCGTGAGCCGGAGCGCCGGCGGGACAAGCAGAAAGTTGGTGATGGACACCGGACCCCAGAAAGACACGTTGGACAGCCACAACCGCAGAAACGCGAAGGCGAAGATTTCCCGGCGCAGCAGCTCTCCCAGCGGGCGGTCGTGCAGGAGTCCCGAGCCAAGTACGTACGCCGCGTTGATCACCGGGGCGAAAAAGAGCTGCTCGGCCAGGACTCCCCGCATCGCTTGCCGGTACGTTTTCGTAATCCGTTGCTGGATCCTGGCTAAGTGTGTCCTCTGCTTAGACCACGGTGAGGAGGAAGAACTGTCTGGAGCCGCTGCCGCTGCGCCGCCGTCGACACTTATTTGCTGGTCTGACGGTAGTTGTGTCGAAGAAGTTCTACTCTTACCATTCCCTATCATTTTATCGTCCTGTGCCGATGTTGGTGTTCTAAACCCCACGACCGGTGGCCCAAGGGTATTTTTCGGCGTTGCGGTTGCAGGGGTAACGTTCACTTCTTCCTCGGTGCTCGCATCGACCGCTCCCTCTGGTCGGGAGCTGCTCGGCGACTTGTTTCTTGTGATAGCGTCGTAGCGCGCCAATATGCGGTCGATGTTGTTGAAAAAGGCAAACGCGATGGGATGCAGGATGGCTACGGAGAGGCAGTACTGCTTCATCAGGGAAACCGCGGACAGCGGCTTCTTTTCTGCCACATGTCGCAGAATATCGGACACCACTTGCAAGAAACCGCCCACGAAAGCCTCGCGCGCGAAAGACGACGACATTTTTTTCCTGGTTTCTTCAGTAAATATGTTCGGTCTACTACCTACCTCTGAGGAAGAACACAAACCCGGCCTTGTTGTGTGGTAAGTACTTGTGGGAACTTCACAAGAAAAACCGTTTTACAGACAGGCGACAAAGACTGCATAGAGCAGACACAAGAAAAGCGACACGCTGATCCATAACGGAAGACCACATAAGGCAGTGGCAGGCTTCGGCCGCAATGTATGAGTCGTGCTGCGCTGTAGGTGCGGTGAGGCTGAAGGAACACAAAGGCAGTAAACAAACAGCTGCATTTAAACTCGGACCTCGCGGCAACTAACAGGAAACATTGACCACATCGACGAGCTCTCACCTGGGTGTCGGCTGCGCCATTCCATACCACAGCTTGGGTTGTTGGAATTCCAAAGAATTCGTCACTCTGAAATGAAAGCAGCCAGGAAGGGACGCGTCCCCGTCCATCGTGTTCGTGGTCGTGATCACATTATTTCATTTGCGAAATCATACATGTATTTGCAGACATACTGATTTCATGCATCTTGAACCTGATTGTACTTCTAGGCGTACGCCTAGGACCATCCTTTTTTTAGCATAATTCCGTAACTCCGTAGTGTCGAGCGAAAAGCTCTACTCGACGTCCTCGTCCTGTTAGCCTATTTACTACCGATATTCATAGTTCATAGTGTGAGCGAGAACTGGTGAAAATTGCCGAAAGAAACTATCTTACAGAAGCCGTGCAGCGCTTTCACTATTGATCTGTGTATGGCGATTGTACTGGGATTCATTTACTTGTTTATGTAGCTTCTCCACCGCTTGAACATTTAGCAGCAGAATTTACTTGCAAAGATGACGCTTTCTGACGGCTGGAAACCTGCTCGACCTCGTCTAGCGAATCGAGAATCTTGCTCAACAAATCCGTCGCTGGAAGATGAGAAGCACGGGCCGCACCACCAGCAAGAGTGATCAGTTGCGCACCAGCCTCCTGTTTGGTCTTCTGTTGCTCAAAAGTCGCGTTTTTTGTGGGCGGGTTCCTCGCACCACCACCTGAGCCTCGGTCGTACTTCTTGCCATTGGTCGTGACCGAAGTGGTCGGTACGCCAGGTTTTATTGCACCGGCGCCTTGGCGACGCCCGCTGGTCAGCAAGTGCAGTTTTAGCTGATTTAGTGCTTGGTTCGCGGAGGCCGAATTCGCGAATATCCGATTGAACACCAGCTTTAGTGCGTGCTCGCGCTGCGTCCACGTCCAAGCAGAGCAGCTCTGGACGGCAGCTGCAGCTTGGTTCATTTCGGATGCGGCATTTGCATCTTCGGTGCAAGTTGTCTCCTTCTCACGACCGCGAAGAAAATGGCGATGATGCGACGTCGCTTCTTGTAGCTGCGTTTTATATCCTGGATCTGAAAGAAAGCGCTGCTCTTCATCTCCAATCGTCTTTTGCTCCCTTTTTTGTCCACGACCGCAGCCGTCATCTGAAGAACGACTCACACCCTCGCTGGTGGCAACGTTGTTTTCAGCACGGATACTTTTCTCAGCAGCCGTGCTTGAAAGGTTGTCATTCAATACCTCGTTCTCCTCCTCGCCGATAAGGCTTGTCACGAAAGTTCCACAGGCCGCGGACGCCGAGGCCCCGTCGCTGTCCTCTGGACCAGAAGATTCTGCTTGTGGTATCTGCTCTTGAGCTGCCCTATGGCTCCGCTGATTCTGCTGGAGCAAGGTGGTCGAGTCTTCGTCTAGATCTCTACTATGTGAAGAACTAGAACTCGCGGACCTTCGAAGATGTTGTACATCAACTTGGTTCACTGAACCGAAACCCGGCATCGCGGCGGCAGCACCTGCTCTAGGTGGACTGCCCGGTGTTGTCTCGACCTTTCTTGGAGTTTGCGCGCCCTCCTGTTGCCCTTCGCCTCTGAGAACTAGCTGTAGATTTGCAGTCGGCGCGGCTTCTTCTTTCTTGCATTGCGACTTCGAACTAGCTGGTGGCGAACTCGAGTTATTGTTTCCTGCTTGATAATCATTATGATTATTTACACCACTGCCAGTATTCGCTTTCGCGGGATTCTTCACGTCTACTTCATCTCCGATCCGTATTCTCGTCGCTGCATCGGCGCGCGACGCATCGTAACTCCCCATGGCTTTGTTGAGTCGCAACCGCGCTGGCACAGAGCAACGAGGCAGACCGGTGGGTGGTGGTGTCGGCGCGGTAAAGTTGACAGTTGTTGTACTAGCGAACAGGGCTGCGTTATTTTTGTGCCTACTTGCTCGGAAACCATCTTTCGCCCCCTCCTCTGTGCTGTTGTGTTTCAGCGTCGCTTCAGGTTTGCCCTCGGCGCGCTCCCGGTAACAGCTGTCAGCAGTGTGCGGACGCTTACGGCTGGGCGACGACGCTGGTCGTTGTCCTGCTGGTGCTCCACAACTCGGTTGCCTTGTAGTTGTAGGATGCTGCTGTAGAAGCTTTTGGCCTCCTTCTTGATGACTCGCTGGATCTTCATGTGGATCGAAATGATCCACCGGAAAATTCCCCCGAACTGAATGGAACGAGCGTCTCGACACGAGGCTGCGACTGGAAGAACTACTCGCCGGCCGCTGATGGTTCTCGCAGCGATCGTCGAACGGAGTGTCGCGCAAGCTCGGTAGTAGCTCTTGGTCCTCCTCCTGTTCACGACGGCCTCCCATGCTGGCTGCTGGCACCTCGTTACTCGATGTTGGTTCCGCGCTCGAACAAGCGCCCAAAGCGACGGCTTCCGTTATACGAGAGACAAACTCATCGTGGCCAAAGGTCGTGCTCAAGTAGTACCAATCTAGCAGCTCTTCCGCCTGCGCTCTTGGCGTTGTTGCCGAAGCTGACGAGCAGTGCTCGCTCTGTATGCTTCTTTTTTCTGTTTGAGCAGACTGTTCGATGCGCGCCATGGCCTTGGTCATTGCTCCAGCGATCTCTTGCGCAAGCCGGGACTTAGTGGAGCTATTCACGATAGCTCTGCCCTGCTTCGGTACTACATCAGCGGAGGCGCCGCTTTGTTCCCGAACAAACCTCGGGGTCCTCGTGGCGTCTTCACGACTGGAGCAACTCGAATGGCTGGAACCAATCTCCAGGGCGTGAAGCAGCCCCTCGGCGGCTGTATTTGTGGGAGACAGAACCGCCAGCGAGCTGCAGTACCCGTCATCTACTTCCGCACTATCCTCTCCCTCCCCCGCACCGTCAACTCGCGACTTCATGCAGTCAAGATCATACGTCCCGCTATCAGCTGCTTGTCCGTCTTCCAGTTCCAGCAAGGTTGGCGCCGGCGGCTTCTCCTCAGGAACATCATTTCTCCCGCTCCGTGCTCTTTCGACCATTTCATTTGGCATGATTTCTTCTATCGGAAAGCGCATCCCGCGCGTATCAATGCGTTGCCTCTTCTTGGTACGCGGAGGGAGCTCGAGCATCGCTCTCCACGACTGCTTTGAGGATGTACTCGTCCCTTTGTCTCCAAGATAGGGCTTGATGTAGTTTTTGTCCACGATGGCCTCGGCCATCTCTTTCTGTACTCTTTGTTTGTTATGATTTTGACCGCTACTGTGCACCACGTCGGCTGCATCGAGAAGCATGAGAAGGTCTTGGGGACGACGTCGATCTCCTGTACTAGCTCCATTCGCTCCCCGCGCAGTGGAAATGGTTGCTCCGGGTCGTGTCATCTTCGTTGCTGTCCCGCGCGGCTCCTTCAATGCCGGGTCTACTTCTGGGGCCGCATGTTGACAAGGTAAAATTGCAAGCCGCACCTCCTGCAGGGCTTCGACGAGGAATCTCTCCACAGCGGTTCGCTGCTGCAACACTTTCCGGCCCCACTTCCGTACGTTTTCCACATCCTGACCCTTTTGCTGCACGACCGCGCACAACCCCTGGTTTACCGTCTGTATTTCTGCCACGCGCGCGTCCGCCTTTGCCTGGGCCAGCTCGAAGGCGGTGCGCTCCTCCGAGACGCGCTTTTGCAGCGCCAGCAGGTCTTCGCGGAGCAAGCTCATTTTTCCCTGCTGTGCCCGCTTCCCCACAGTCAGCATCTTTGTCGTCTGCAGGAGCTGCTGGCGCAGCAACGACGCGTCCAGCCGAGCCTGAACGAAGACGAGTTATTTTTGTGCGCCGTGAAACGCGAACATGATTGTAGAGAACTGCGTTGGAAGATCAGATTCAGAATCACATCACAGGAGTTGTTCATCGTCGTGCTATTGTCACAAAAGATCTAGAAGTAGCACACTCCGTACCTGTTGCAGCGCCCTCTCCATTTTCTTCAGCTCGTCAGACATGTCACGACCTTCTCCACTGAGATTTCCGGTGGTCCCGCTCGTCCCTGCTCCTCGCCCAGCATCAACGTCGTTAGAAGCGATGGAATATTTTCTGCTGTTCGAAATCAGTTCCCTGACCGATGTAGTTTTGGAAGAACTTGGTGCTCCAGGAGTAGTTGAATCAGATTTATTCGTAGTTTCCGTGGTCCTCGTCATTGTCTCCCCGGCAGCAGCGGCCGTGGCGGTGGCGCCCGCCCCTGTGTCTTTACTAGAACCTCTCGACGAGACTGATCCTGCTGCAGACCCTCCTGAACACACAGTCAGCTTGTTCTTCCCGCCGGACGACCCGTGAGATGTTGAGGTCTTAGCTAAGGTGTTAGAAGAGGTCCGCTGCTGCTCGGGTAGTTGCCCGGTTGCAGCAGGAGCTTTTTCGTCTTGTTCGCATCTTTCTACCGCAACGCTCACACCACTCTCCTCGTGTTCACGTAACCGCTGTTTCATCGCGTGCAGCGCCTCCTTAAAACGATTCTGCCAATCGAGTTCTGTTTTCTCGAGCGCCCTCTCGGACTGCTTCAATCTGTCCTCCAGGTCGCGGCTCTTCTGCAATTTCAAAATTTTTCAACATGTTTGTTCTCGGCATTTTGCTTTTGTCTTTGTGATTGTGTGCTGCGATAAGAAGTAAACTCATTCACATACTTCTTTGCTCGGCAAACTGAAACTAGGTAAAAGTGTCCTAAACCTTATGACGTCGTCGCGCTACAGCCAAGTGCAACGTTGACAATTTTGCAGCCGATCGGCTGCAGCACGCGCAAGAGAGAGCAGGTCCTCAAAAAGCAGCAACTACGATACACATACCACTTCCAGGACGACGCACTGTTCCTCGCAGTGCGTGAGCCGTTCGACCCTCGCTTGCGCCAGCTGCAACTCCTGCGTTTGGTCTGCGAGCTGGTGCTGCTGCCGGGTGAAGTCCGCTTGTAAACGGGTCAAGTCGATACGAAGTTGTTGCATGGTACCCGTCTGGATCACCTCCTCCTCGTCGTAAAACTGAGAAGTCATGCGTGCGCGCGCCTCCGTCTCGCGCAAGTCTCCTTGGAGTTCCTCTACGGCAGCCGTGAGCTCGACAATCCGCGCGCTCTTCTCCGCATCTGGTGGTGGTTTTGGAGGATGAGGACAGTTTCATCAATTATACGGATACTTTACACAACATTGATCGAGAATAAGACAACGGTATGGAGGTACAGCTACGATGGTTCAGATTCTACTCAGAACGACCAGCGGCCGTAGAATCAATTCTTTCTGCATCATCTGCTGACAGCACGAGAGATCACGAAGGGGCAAGATAGACACGATCGAATTCGAACCCCAGTAAACGCTTATGCAAAATAAGTTTTACTTTTCTCTTCCAGAAGCTCTAATTTTTCAGCTTGCCTCTGGATCGTCTCCGCTGCGTGTATATGATGCTCGTGAAAGTGCACGCCATCGCCCCCGTCGGGCGATACCAACTTCCGACCCGACGCGGCGCCCCCACGGCCCTTTGGCGATCCACTCCGGTAGGTGCGTTTGGTTCGACTTTTGTGCTGCGGTGAGGTAGGAGACCTGGATCTTTTCGTCTTTAACGACCGCGAGTTACCGCGTCCACTACGCATGGTTTTCGTTGCCGATCCGGGCCCGCGCGACCGAGGCCTTGTACTTAAAGTTACCGGTGGCGCGTTCATGTTTTTCCCTCTGAGATTTCGGCTTGGCCGTTTGGTGTTGTTCCATGGACTAAAGGAAGAGATGTTAATGTTGTACTCGTATGTTGAAAAGTTGTATCATGCGCGAATGGTTTTATTGCTTTCGCTTTGCACTTGCAGCCCTTACGAGCAGCTTCCAGAAATGAATGAAAAGACGAAAAAAAAAAAAATCATGTTGAGATGCCGGAACAACTCAAAAGCAGTGCAAGCGGCCCGTGGTGCAGCAGGCTTGCGACGTGCAGATGGAGTTGCGCATTTTATTTTTTTTGAATCTTTGCAATTGCACGTTGCTGTTTTCGTGCGCGACGCTGTTTGCCGTCGGCGTCGGCGCATAGCCATCCTAAGTACGTGCTGTCACAGCAACAGAAGAACAACAATTGCAGGAGCAACTTTTGTTTCATACTGAAATATTTTCTCCTTGCGACCGCCTCCTGCGATGAATCTTTGCGGTTTATTCCTTTGATCCCAGCAGCCCACTGCCGACCGTAAGACAGACACTACACCACAGCGTCGCGAGCCGTTCCAACCACCGGGTCTGCTCCGTCGCACGACATTGCATCTACTTCGTCACCTGCCTCATGTCCCAAGATTCTCAATCGCCCAAGATGCGCCTTTGGCTTTCCTCCCTTTATTTTTTCAAACGGAAAGAACGCCGTCATCTTGATGCTTTGCCCCTGCTAGTCGCAGGCACTTATCGTACATAGTTTCCTCAGCGCCGTGGGCCACAGAAGCTGGCACCCTTAAATCTCTTGCGTACGTGAAGTTCGCTTTTTTGTCTTGGCGCAAAAGCGCGACGGCGTGGGATTCCTGAACGCCTGCGTAAGTGGCCTTGAAATCCTCGGACTCGATGTAGCTCCGCTGGATAGAACACCGCCGCCACCACTGCGTCCGCAACAAACGTACGGCCTGCGTTCCCGGGTCGCGGGCCAGTTTTCGGGCTTTTCTTTCCTCCGTCTCCCGGAAGGCAGACCCCGCTTTTCGCGCTGCCCGCTTTTCGGCTTCCGAGAAAGTACTCCATCGTGCCTGGAGCCACTCCATGCTGCCAAGTTGCGGAGGCCCCGCTGTATCGCCATCCTCGGTAAAATTCAGCCAAAAGTGCGGCGACTGCAAACTTTCGCCGCAGGGCCGCGCCGGGTCGTGCGCGTCCCCGAAGTTGCTGCTTTGAACCCCTCCATGTATCATCAAGCGACGCTTGGCCTTGTAGGCACAGAGCCCCCGCGGAAAGTACGAGATCTCCTGTTCGTCCTCCCACGACCAGACGCTGTTCGGGCTTGGGAGCAGTGCATTTGGGTCGGCCGGCTGCTTGATCCACGCGAGCCGCGCGTCCGTGAACTTGAAAAAGAGCACGTCCAAATTGCTGTTCCGATAATTTTCCTGGAGATAGTCGTGCACCGCGGAGAGAACGTCTTTCGAGAACCCGACGCCACTGCCCCCAAAGCCGAGGGTGAAAAAGCTGAACTTCGGTCGCGCGGTCAACAAAGTCGAAAGCGCGGCGAACGCGCCGGGACAGACGTGCGTGTCGTCCTCAAGCGTCATCAAGTGGGAGAAGGGATGGAAAGAAGTCGGCGTAGAACTTCTCGCAGTAACAGCCGTTTCTGTTCTACTTGGAGTGGCCGACGATGCCATGATCTCCTCCTCGTGTACGAACTTGAGCATGTCGACGAAGTGCAGCGTCTGCCGGCGCCGCGGTGGCGCTGCGTCGTGCGTGGGCAACAGCTTGGCCGGCGCGACATCCGTGGATTGCACAAAGCGCGCGGGCGGGATAAACCGAATACCAAGGAGACGACCCCGCAAAGTGTTGCTATTTTCTGGAGCGCGGCCGAGTGCTGCTGTACTCGTCAAAGAAAATCGAGCTTGTTCTTTCTCTACGTCTGCAAACCTGCATGATTCATTCGAGGTTGACGAGGCCGCCGTCGTTGCAAACTCGTGGAAGGCTTTTTCCTGTCGTGTGAAAAAGACATCAATGGCAACTTGGAAAACACTGGCCGGAATTAGACCAGCCAATTGTTTCAGTAAAGCACACAGAGTGCCGCGCGTGTTTGACACTGGGATGACGATGCGAAGCTGCAACAGTGGATCTTTGTCGGTTTCTGATCGAGGGGTACTAGCCGCACTCGTCATGGTCTCCCCTCCGGACTGATCTGGACTGCCTGCTTTCGCAGTGCGGGTCTTCGGCTGCTAGAAAGAGCAACCGCCGCCGCCTGCGCTCGCTCGGCGCCCCAATGGCAGCCAACAGGCGCGCCGCCTCTTGCGCCTTTGGAGGGGCGGAGGGTCGCAAGATTAGGCTTCTCCGACTGCGCTTTCCGCTTGCAGCAGCAGCAACATTAAGACCAAGCGCAGAAGCCAGGGGGAGCTGGCTTGGACGTTCGCAAGACACTACTTGCCCCTCCTCCCTCGGCGGTCCGCCTCACGCCAAAAGCTGGCGCGCATTTATATGGCGCAGGAGATGAAAGCAAGCCTCTGCTGTGCCTTGGCCGTGCTGTCGCCTACTCGGCCACCCTGGACGGAGCGGCGCTCGCCCTCATGGCTAAGCATGGAGAAAATGAACCGCATTAATAACGCGGCGCCCATCATTGATTTGTCTGCTTCCATGTAGCTAGCCTTGCCCTACTTGGCGCCGGGGCGCGTCTATAAATGGCCCAAGTCGTCAGCGCACAAGTGCGGCGGGCCACATGCAAAGCTGGAAACAGATTTGTAAAGAGCGCAAGGGTTTTCGTCTTTCCTTTTTTTGAGTAAGAGAACCGCGCGCCCTCCAAAGAAGCAGACACTTGTAGTGGCAAGAATGCATCCCCCATGTTGAACCAAATGAAGCTAAAAGCACTCCTCTGCCACCTTGCGACCCGCTTTTCCCGAAAATCAAGGCAGGACTTCTTCGATTTTCAAAATGTTTGAAATCAGTTTGAAGTTGTTTTTAATGCATTTTTAGGCCGGGCTCGTTTGCGTTAACAGTGGATCTTTGTCGGTTTCTGATCGAGGGGTACTAGCCGCACTCGTCATGGTCGTCCCTTCGGGCGCAATGGCAAGAATTTCGGTGGTGCTGCCCATTGATCGTGAAATTGGCTGTGACATAATTCTACCGTTTTCCACTTCTGCGGGGAGCAATTTCGAAAGGTGTGACGGCTCTGAGTGCACCGGTGATGCAAGAACCTCTCCGCTCGTCGCAGCAGCTTTATTTGCATCCACAGCCTCTACTTGGAGCGCGCGTTGGTTTCTCAACAAAACTGTGTCACCTTCGCGGTCCGCTCCTTCTCGCAAGGGAATTTCTCCCATTTCCCGAGCCCACCAGCTGGGCACGCGAAACAAATTGGGCGATTTTGCTCGCATTTCCTCATACTGTCTGGCGTATTGCCGCACGAGGTCGCGGTCCGGGAGCGTGCGAATGTCCAGGCCGTGGGCTTTCAGTGCTTCTTCCATGGCTGCTAACTGCGGGAGGAGGTTCGTCATCGTGCTTGCATAAGACGGTAGCTGCAACATCTTTGATGTAGTAGTAGAGATTCGTCGTCCATCAGCACTAGCACTAATATCCGCATTATGAAACTTTTCCTCTCCGCTACGCTCCTCGTCTATCGCCCCGAAGTCTTTTCGCAAGCGGCTGGATCGGGTCGTGTCCAGGTGCTGAATCCGTGGCTGGAGCAGTGTGAGCGACGAGCGCCCGATGAACCCTCGGATGCCGTGTTGAAGTAGATTTATGTCCCAGTCGCCCCGGCGGTTGCAATACGCTTGTAACGACTCTGGCTGCATGAACTGCCCCTGCCACAACCGTTTCGAGTAAATCACTCCCATGTTCCCGCTCTCCAGCACACCCAGCTTCAAGGATTCTTTCTCCGACCGCCCGCCCCGACAGTCGCGGTGGCAGCCAAGCTGCACGGTGAAACAGTCGGGAGGTATCGCGACGAAAAACGTGGCGGAGACAGCAGGTGGTGAAACTCACAGAATCTTTTACTCGGCACGCCGGTCGTCCACGCAACTCTTCTGAGTAACAGTAATCTCATTAAATATTTCAGCATGACCAATTTTAGCAGGTTTCTTTGTTTTTCTATCTTCGAACATCTGCATTCTTACGACACATTTTTCTTTCCCGGGGATAGGACAGTAGTTCAATTGGTTTTGAAACGTGAGAAGCTGCTGCGCGTCAAAGAGGATACTGGGCGCGACTAAGTGGTCCTCCTCCGCGTACAAGACGTGGTCGCAGGGCGTCTCTTCCAGCGAAAACAAGTTGTTCAACGCAGATAGCCAGTGGTGCGTTATGCGCTCACCCGAAAACTCCGGGTAAAACTTCTCCCTGGCCGCCCGGTGCACGGACCCGCGCAAGAAAACGTTGTGATCCGGCTCCTGGTTTCTGGCTTTTCTACCCTCGACCTGGTGCCTCTTCCACTCTCTCGCGACACTGTCCACGCCTCCAGTACTGTTGTTCACGCAGTCCAGAGAAAGAAACTTCCGGACCCTCGCGACACCGAACACTTTGCTCCAAGAGGCCAGCGACGCCGCCAGCTCTTCGGCGCGGTTGCACGCCAGAATGAGAACGCACAGCTCTCCGACCGGATCGACGACCGGGTGCGTGCGGGGAACGAAGGGCGGCGTATGTTCCTTGTCGGAAAAGGACGAAGATGAAGATGAGGACAACTCGGCTTTCCGTTCCAATCGGCGCCGGAGTAATGCTGGTCTCGAACGCCCATTGGGTCCTCCGTACGTCGACGCATTCGGAACAATGAGGGTCTGCAACGCCAGATACCCGACAGACAGGAGTATGCTGGCGAAGCGCGCGAGTAGAAGCATCGTCGTCCTCGTTGCAGCCAGGATGAATTACCACTCTTCACATTTTGAATCGCGCCGACGACCCACGTCTTCACTCCAGTGTGGACCAAACCCGGAGGTGTAGGAAACGGTTTCCATATCTAAGTACCCGGACACATCAATCGTGATTAATCGTATGATTTTTGATGATGAATGTGAACACAATTTCAGAAAATCACACAAATCGTTCACACAAGAAAAAGTTCCGTTCTTTTCGCGCATGTGTTGAAAACGTCAAAACAACCGTGGAGCTGGATGTCTCCAACCGTCAAGGAGTGCAAGAGTTATTTGGTTTTGCATTTCTTAAGCGAGCGCGCTCTGGTATGTTGCACCACTCTCCATAGGACAATGCTGCAATGCACCGCAGCGATTCTATCAGGCACGAGAGACTGACATACCTTCAATGTGGCTACAGTGGCACAGGAACGAAAAAGGTGCCTCCAAAATTTAACCAAAAGTATTGAAGAAGTCTCATATTAATCCATCATACACAAAAAAGTCGTATTCAAACATCCATCTCATACACCGTACTGGCATAAAAAGTTTCGGTGTATTTCATTATGGTCAAACTCTATGCGATGACATCCTTGTGTGCAGTTGCTGCCTAAGCTATCATCCATGCGTAGTATGTAATCGAAGATTATAGATTGATTATCTTTGTAAGTTTATCGTTTGTTTGTTTGTTTGTAGTTATGCGTCAAGGTGGGAACGCGTTTACTCACCTTTTTTGTACTTATTTACATGGGCTACAAGATATTTCTTTATGCACTCCCCCGTTCAAGCTGTTCCCGGCTTGGCTCCTAGTTACGACATACTAGCATGGCTCACAAACATAAAGCAAGTAATATTTCAGTTTCCTTTTATTTGGAACAAAAAAAATCCTCTTGAATTTGATATTCAGAAAAAAAGTCCAACCTGTGTCTACTTTCATAGTTGTATACATCATCGCGTTTTAACATTGGTCATTATTCTGGCCGACGGGAAAATATCGATACATACCTCCTGTAGCTGAGGCAACGACAGCATGGAGGCAGTAGAAGGACAAACTACTTTCCATTTCTATTTCTTCATCACTAATCTTCGTTTTCATCGATTTTGAAAACTTCTCGTCGATATCAAAGTCAAAGAGCTAAAACTATTGTCATTAATTATGGTTATCAGGTAGTACAGATTCCTCTTTATATTTTGCGCATCTTCATAGTCACCGTTCGGAACGAAAATGCAACGCATCTGAAAATTATACTTCAATTTTCGTTAATGCGATGCTGGTGAGCGTGGACTTGAATTCATCCGCGGAGAGGGTGTGCCATGACATGTGGTACGCAACCATGAGCATCCACTGCACGACCTCCTGGTGCTGCTCCGGCATTTTAATTTGCCTCGCTTCCTCGCCCTCCTTGCGTTCCGTCTCTTCAGCAGCGGACAACATACTCGCCGTTAGTGCCTTGTAACCCGCACCCAAGCTTGCGTTGTTTGCGAAGGTGGTACCTGTTTGGAGAGCAGGTGCACATTGTGAATGTCTATGTGTGCATGTGCCATGCCAATGATCAATCAGAATCATCTGTAAAACAAGAATACTTACACAGGCTGGTGCTGCAAGCAAGACGTACGAAATCGAAAAAAGTAAAAAATTAGAATACGGAAAGCGTCGACATATTGCTCTTGATAGCTGTCCGCTCGCTCTCCGTAGGCAGTTCCGTCGTGTCTTTTCCAGTAAATTAGAGCTTCCATGAAGGTAAGGAGTATCAATTTCTTTGATCCTGCGACCTGGTTCTTTTCCTTCAAATTCCTGTCTCCAAAGCGTGCCATCGCGACGGCATTCATGGCGGACGCTTTGATCCCGTTACTTCCGACCCCGTTGGGCGTCATAATCACCGTGGTGCCATTCACATTCTGCACGGTCACCTGGTTGGCCAGATCGGCGGGAAGAGCTCTCTTCACGGTCTCGAACTTGTTAGGAAGTCTCGAAGATGAAGTTATACCAATATCGCCTTTCATACTACAACTTTCGGATGCAGCACTTGAGCTGTCAGACGAAGACGAGCTTGAACTGGACGTCGCTGTACTATTGCATTTTCTTCGCTTTATTGCTTCTCCTTGGACAGCATTTTGATTTTTACCATCTCCGCCCAGCAGGTCCATAAAAACCAGAAATTGCCCATCCTCTTCAGCCTTTCCTGTTTGTCCTCCTGCCGCTGCACGTAGAGCCGGCGAGGAAGCGCTGCTGAATGGCGGCGCAGTAATCCACCCGCTTGGCTCTTCGGGCTCACAATCTGACGATGCAGCTCCCCCGTCCTTGTCCACAGCACTTCCAGATAAAGGACTCAGCTGCGCTGACAGCTCGTCGACGAAGGCATGCTCTTCTCTTGTCTCTGGAATCGTCGGGTCGGTTGTAGAACAAGTGGTCCTCTCCGGTGGAACCATAGCACTCAAGTACTGTTCGTGGACCCGGACCACCTCATCCGTTTCGACTAAGCGCATCACGTAGTAGTAGACCGCGTCTGGATTTTTGGACTGGTCCTGGTCCTTCCCTGCGTCCAATTTTTCTCCCGTGATTCTCTGCACAACCTCCGTGCGTAACAGCATCCCGGAAACGAGGTCGACATTTCTTCTGGTCACGGAACTTGTCGGCGCGGCCGGGGAGAGGAGAGAAGAAGTTGACGCGGCCTTAGAAGTACTTGACGGTCTTGATGCGGTCGTTGTTTTATTGCAAGCAGGAGATGTGGTAGAACTTGTGGTACTACTTTTCCCTGCTCTGGCAGCTGCTTCCGCCTTGATCTGCCGCATCATGTCATCTTTTACACTTTTTCCCGTTTCGAATTTCCAGTTTATGTCATCGAACAGTCGGCAGTTTTTCGGTAAATCTGCGAGGAGCCCCAGCAGCGCGATGCTTTTAGCATCAAAGTTTTCGCTATCCTTCTGGTCGTTCCGGATTTGATGTGCGGTCTCGACAAGCTGGCTTGGTTCGCAGTCTCCGTGCGGGCAGTGATTCTGGATCCTGTTATTTTCCCTATTCCGCGCAATCACAACCCCGAGCTTCTCAAAAAGGCCTTTCTTACCTGGTTGATTCTCGTCGGCTGAAACCTTTGCGCGTTCCGCCGGAATGTGATGCACATCCAGCTGCGGCAGAACCCGGATCTCCATTCCCGTCGCAATGTCAAACTTGTCCACGATCGCGCGTTTGCCAGTCAGGTCGTCATCCGCTTCAAAAATCGGCGGGCGAATCGTGATAATGGGCCGCTGTTGTTGTGTGGCGAGTTCCACCGCCGCAGCGGCTTCGGCGGACAGCGATGGTAGTGGTGCAGAAGCAGCACTAGAAGGACCACAAGTTTTATTCCTACTCTTTGACAAAGAAGTACCACCTCCGACTGCATTGAAGGCGGACATGACAGCTCCTGGCGTGGTCAGCGTGTCGCTGGCAGCAGGCTGCTCTACTTCCTCGTCTTCCATCACCGCAACGACACCTGGAGATAACAACTTCAGTTGCTCCTTGTCGTCAAACAACGAACCGATGATCGCGAGCATTTCGTCGTATTTTCGATCATACAGATCCGTTTTTGGCGTCGAGTCGTCAATGTATTCCATGAGCACGTCGTGGCCCGGCTCGTTCACCCCGGCCTGGGTCCACGTTTCCATCATCCAGGGGAAGGCGTGGCGCGTGAATTCCAGAAATCCCGTCTCGTGCAGCTGAAAGCGCGCGGCCCTTGCGACCAGCGCGATCGGCGCCAGGAACTGTTGTAACACGGGGAGAATTTTCTTCGCCAAAACACAGGCAGCTGCGTGGTCAGCGTCCGAATAAATCGTTTGGATCTTGGCTGTCGATTTGCGAATCTCCTCAAAGCGTGCGACGTGAAGCAGGAAGCTTCCGAGGGCCTGCACAAAGAAAATGGTCGCGGCCATGGAAATGCCGGTACTGGAGGACACAGATCTTGCGGACGAGGGTGAAGCAGTACTATCAGGCACACTATCATCAGTGGAAAACATTGCAATCAGCTCGTCCGCGAGGTCATCCGTGTCGCGGTGCTTCTTGCACTGTTTCTCCAACTCCTCTTGCGATATTTCAACATCTTTCTGCTGTTCACCTTCACCCCGACAATGCTTTTTTTCCCGTGTGCGCGCAAGCATATCGGTCGCGTAGAATTCGACGGGCGCCAGCATGGAAGGGTCGCGTTCCAACAAATTTGACAGCAAGGGCTCCGCTAGGACTCGATTCTCCCAGAAGACGTCCTTTTCGCCATCACGAATCTTCTCGCTTCTCAAAAACCGCAAAAAAGGCGTCCACACTCCTCCTTGTTGTTCCTGCTGGGTGGGGGTAGTGGTGTCAGTACGAGCAGCCTCAATGTTGTCCTCTTTCTGCTTTTTATTCTTTCCAGCGGTTTTGTTCTTCTTTTTCGAGCCACCAGTGGTATTTTCAGCCGCCGAAGGAGTTGTAGTGGTTCCAGCTGCACTTCTGCTCTCCACCTCCAAGGCGTTTTCGACGCCGTCATCTGAGGAAACAATTGCACTCGAGGCTTTCAGCATGACTTCCTCTAGAAGCCTTCTGGCAAGCGTCTTGGAGGGGGCCAGATACTGCGACAGAATTGTGCCGAGCAGTTCGACACCCTCCATGTCGTGCAATTCCGTCGAAAAAGTAGAGGAAACAAGCCTCTCCAAAAGCTCCCAGAAAGTATCCGCACGCTCCTGCAAGTCGACATGGTATTTCTTTACCGGCAGTATTCCAGCCGGCAGCCAGCGGGGGACCGTGGGTGTCAGCACGGGAAGCTGGATCCCGAACAAGGTGGACAAAGCGAACACGTGCAAACGCGCTGCGGAGGGCGTCTCCGGACGTCAGACTGCGGGCCACACGCGGGCCATGGCCGGGTCCTTGCGAACGAAGTTATCAAAGTTCATGTCCAGCTTCCGCTGCGTCGTCAGCAACATCTCCTCGACTCCGGGTGCGTGGGCAAGGCATTCTGCCCAGCCGTCACAGAGGTCCGTGGCGGGGCGCATCGAGTTTCCGCGGAATCGCATCGCCCCCTGCTCGGTCAGCTTCCGGACGTACCCGCGTCGCTGTTCTAGGTGGGACAGCACCCGCCGGGCGACAAAGGCTTCGTCGTACAGCAGTTTGGAAGTGGACCACCTCCGCGGCCCGAGCCACCGCGCGGCCTGCATCTGCTGCTCGGGACGAAGACCGGTTTCTGCTTGGTACATGCGCGACACTGTTTATGATGTTGTTTTTTGTATGTAGTGGCTTCGGACGAGAAGTTCAATCCATTGCAAGCATTTGAGCGAACAAATAAAACAAGTTCCAGCATAGTAGAGTACTCGTACCGAATACAAATTCAAGAAATTGGACGTCAAGATCGATGATGAAACTAACAATCGCACAAAAACAACACGAACTCCAGAAGTACCTGAGGCCGCCGTGTGCTTTTTGAACGCTTCGATCGAGAGGCCGCCCCAGGGGGTCGCCGCAGTGGCCGCTTTCGCCTCCGCTTCTTCCGCTTCCATGGTCACCTTCCACAGGACCGCGAGCTTCCGCAGTTCCGCGTTCGGGCGCTGCTCGCGGTTGTTGAGGATCGACTTCGGCGACAAGCTCGTAGTCCGCCGCATCACGGAAAGCGTCGCCCAGCAAGAATTTTTCTGGATGTCCGCCAGCATGCCCTGCCACGAAACGCCGTTCATATCCTGGTCGCTGGCAGCAAGTTGTTTAATCTCCGCATCCATGTCTGCGTCTTTTTTCTCACTCGTGGTCTCCTCTGATAAACAAATGTCTTTTCCGAACTCGTCAATCGGCAGGTTATTTCCATTATCCTTCGCAAAAATCGCCTTCGTCGACGCATCCAACACTTGCTGGAAAAACGACACCTGCAGCTGGTCGAGTAGTAAAACGTACTGGTTCAACGACTCCAGCTTGAGTCGGAGCAACTTCTGCATGCTGTGCCCGTTTTGCTTCATCACTTGCACCAGCCGTGTGCTGAAATCGGTGTCGTCCTCGTCTTCGAACAAAGGCCCTTTGCGTTCCTGGATGGAAGGTTTGTTTTTCTTCTTTTCAATCTGCTCGAGGTCCACGTCTTGGTTGTACCCTTCGAGCAACATCTGCCCGAGGTCTTCCACTTGGTACTGCAACATGTACATCTTGTAGATAAAGCTCGGTTTCTTCTTCTCGTCTACGGGCGGGACATTCGCACCCGCGAGCAGCAGTTTTTTCCGGACACTTTCCTTCTTCTCCGCCTCCAGCTTCTTTCTCTCGGAACGGAAGATGAATTTCAAATCCGATGCCAATGGGTACAAAAACTGCATCTCCTCAACTTTCGCAGTCATCGTCGACAGCATTTGCGCAGTGTCCTGTCCGGCGGACAAATTTTCCCCGATCTGTTTGCCGATCGTGGCGACGACTTGGTGAAGCACATCCAGCTCATAAGCGTCGGCAAATTCGCAGACGGCAAGCTGGATGCGATCATACAGGCTTTTCAGTTGCGCAATTTTCGCTCGGTTCTTGTCAAGAAAATCGGCTAGCATAGTCGAAAATGACGAGGTGAGCCCCGTCTTTTTCCCGTCAGTGTATCCCATTTTGTTCATGCCCGCAGTGCGAAAGAATTCCTCGCTGCGAATGCCGAACAAAGCGAGTAACTCCCCACGCTCAGCAGTGGTGCGCTCTCGATTTTTAGAAACAGCAGGTAAATGAGCAGCGAGCTGCTGTTCAGGTCCTTTTGCAGCCTTGTTGCTACCTTTGGTGCCCTTGGTGGTCGCGGCCTGCTCTTGCGGAAGAGCCTTTTTGAAATGCACCTTCAGTAATTCCGAGTCTTCCTGTTGCTTGTATTCTCCGATGGAATCGGGTACTAGGCCCGCAATCACTGTCGCGTCGGAAGGTAGGCGTCGCTCCAGTTCTTGCGTGGCAAAAATCGAATCTTTCTCATCTTCTTCCTCCTCAACCCGGGGAGCCAGGAACTTCGACTTCGACTTGCCCCCTGAAGTAGATTTGGATTTACTGTTCCGCTTTCCCTTTTTCTCCAAGAGTTTCACACTTGCAAGTCCGTCCGCCGGGACAAGGTGGTAGGACGATACATTGCTGTCGTCTTCTTTACCAGTGGTCTTGCTTCCATTTGCAACTTGTTCCCCAACTCGAATTACTTCCATTGGAATTTCGACACTTTCCAAGCCGATGGACGGCCGAAACCCGCCCTGGATGAAAAAGGAGTAGTCCTGCAACACCGAATTCCCCGTGTGAAAAAAGAGCGTCATTTCTTTCGCAACGTGGAAGAAAACTTTGTGGCCCGGCTGGTCGAGCGGGTGCTCTGGGAAGGCACTCTTCTCCATGTCCAACCACTTAGCGACCAACTGCCCGAGGCCCGTCGAGGACAAGCTTGTTTTCTTGCCAGAACTGCCGCCCGCAACCCCGTCGCGTTTCTCCGAAGGGGCCTTCAAGTGTTCGTCCGACCAGATGGAAGATTTATTTTTCTTCCCGGCTACAGCACTGTCCGCGAAGAGCAGGTTTTTCATTTTTCCCTTTGCTGTTTCCCCCACATAATCGCTGCCAAAATTTTCTTCTTGGTCGAACCCTGGCGCCCAACTGTTCGGCTGCGAAACCACGGAATCGCTGACCAGGCGTGTGAATTCGTGTTCCAGAAACCGCAACCGCCGTTCCGACCACTGCTTTACCACACTTGGGTCGGCACCGGCCAGGTGCTCGCTCAGGTCCGGGATCCAGAGACCATGCGGCAGGTCGCGGCGGAGGTCGACTTTTGCGACCGAACTGACCAAATGCGACCGCGTTTTGGGGTTCCACTCGAGGAAGTGCGGCAAAGCGGTTGCCGCAACCACCCGCTCCATGATCTCGTGTAACGCAAACAGCAAGCCTTTCCAATCCCGCAAATGCGCATCCACGGAGTCGGTGTCGTCCACGAAAACAGGCGCGCCGTCTTCCCCCGGTCGTGAAACCACGACGAAATCGTCCTCTACCTTCGGTGTCCTCAGTTCCTCGGCGTCCTCGGGATTATCATCTCCGTACCTCTGTAGCCAGGAAAGAACCTTCTCACTCTGTGCTTTGAATAACTCCTTCTGGTCCGGCGGCAGCCAGTCGATGTCCTGCGAGGTTTCCCGCAGCATCCTAATGGCCGCTTTCACGCAATCCGTGTCCGTGCGTGCGATCCACGCGGCCGCCCGCACCTCGGCGCGCTCGGGACTGAGGTTGCTGTCGTTCATGGTGTCCATGATCTCCACTAGGTGCATAAAGCCCTGCTGCAGCTCGGCAGTAAGGTCTCCGAAAGGCTTCCCTCCCTGTTCCTTCATTCGGTCGAAGAGATCATTGCCTTCATCTTTGTTTTCTCCGTCGCGGCCCATTTCGGCGTCGGCTGTAGTGGCTGCACCAGCTCCGTCTAGCAACTTGGCCGCGCTGGGGTGATCTTCCATCAGTGCGATTTCTCGGTCGTACTGCTTGACCAGATCCGGGTGACGCAGAACGAGTTGTCTCCAATCCGCCAGAATATGCTGCACCTCGTTCGTGGCGTTTGCCTCGGTGTTCTCCCCGTTGTTCTTGGTGTCCTCGAAAGTTGTAAAGTCCATTTTACTTTTTTCGAAAAGTTCCTTCATAAAGTCGGCCCCCGACATCCGCTGCTTCTGCCCCGTTTTTCGGTTCACACTCTCCGGATCGGACTGATCGAGGGTGAGGGTAATCGACCGGAGAGCCTGGGCTTCCAGTCGTTGCGCCACGTTTCCGCTCTCCCACGCTGCATTCAGGAACTCGCCGCGGATGGAGATATCTGCAATGTGTTGCCCGATGTCTTTTCCCGTTTTTTTGTCTTTTTGATTCAAGGTGGCGACCAGCTCTTTCAGCTTGCCCATGGTGAGTCTCGATCCGTACAGGTACATCTTCTGCAAAATCATGCCGTGCAGCTGGTGCGAGAGGTGTGGATTCCCTTTCATCTCAAACAGGAACAGACAGGCCGGCGCGTTGGGGTTTCCGGTGACGACCCCGATGTCCCCGTTTTCCTGGTCCACATGGGCCGGCACCTTGAAGTGCATGCGGTAATTCGTGCCCGCAGCAGCGAACTTCTCATGCTCTTTCGACAGGGTGACCGCGAAGCTCAAAGGATTGAAGTGCACGCCCATCGTCGTCAACCGGATAGCCTGTCGGCTCATCGGATGCAGCTGCGTTTTTTTATAATTCACAATTAACCTTGGCGATTGTGGCGAAGCAACAGAGCGCAATAACGAACAAATGAATACAGTCATATATTAACTTCTTTGGGTGTTGCTCATTTTCTCTAGGATGGAGAGGAAAGTTCGAAAAAGAGAGGGTGCGCAGTAGATGAACTCTGAACAGACTGAAATTGAAAAAAGAAATGAAAAAGAACGTGGCATTTTTTCTTATTTACATACCGGATGCGTCCGCAAGGACTTCTGGTTTCGGTAACTGGGTACATTCACAGTGATATCTGGCATCTGGAACTTTTCGCCGGCCCGCGTCTTCGCGTCTTTGGCGCTCGCCGGCGATTGCAAGTACTTCGCGAAGGCCTTGACGTCGTCGACGATGTCGTTCGACACGAAGAAACCGTTGCCGTGGTTGGCGATGCCGCTCGCGAGGAGCAGGGAGCGGAGGCCCACGGAAAAAATTTCGGTCCAGTTCCGGGTAAACAGCACCTCGTTCGAGAGCGTTTGCACGACCATCTTCCAGAGCACAAAGTCCGCGGTGTCGGAAGGAATGTTGGACAAAATCCGCTCGTTCACGATCTCGCGGATCTGGCGTAGGTCGCTGTCCTGGCCGCAGTACTTCTTCAGAAAATCCAGCCGGTCCTTCAGCTCCTCGCGGAATTTGGCCTCCTCCGCGTGTTGCGCCGTTTCTTCTTCGGACGGGTTGAACACAAGGCCCGGCAGCCCGAACGCGCCCCGGCGCCTTTGCACCTCCTTCATATTTCGGGCGGCATCCGAACGGGCACGGGTGTTGCGCATGCCCTGGTGGTGCCGCGTCAAAGTTTCGATCAACGCCGAGCACTCCTGTGAATTCGTGGTGTTCTCAACAGATGAACTGCTATCGCTGGCATTTATTTTCGTTTCTAGAATGGAATTGAGCAATTTCTCCTCCTGCTTTGCTGTCAATGCCGCAACTTCTGCTGGCTTCTTCGTTTGCTTTCCTGTTTGTTTCATCTCCTTCGGCTTTGCAGGCACGGCTGCGCCGGCTGGAGTGCTCGGTGCAGCGGGAGTACTAGGTTCTGGTTTTGTTTCCAGAACTTGTTCGGCAGTGTCGCCGTGGTTCGTGAGGTGAAGAGAGGCTTCTAGCTTGGCAGTGATTTCGGCAACAGCAGCGTCGTTCTTGTCCCCGCCTTGGTCCTGCTCCATATGTTGATTGTCATTGTCCTCCGTTTTGGGCAGCTGCAGCTCTCGGTCCTGTTCTTGCTGCCCGTCGGCCTCGGCGACTCCAGTACTAGAAGGCACCTCGTCCGCAACAGGAACTCTAGATTCTTCGCTCTCAAGCAGCGCGGCGGCCTGTTGCGCCGCTTGCTTTTTTCGCGCTTTTGCTTTGGCCTTTTTGGAATTTCCGGTCACAAACGACTGCTCCTTCGAAGTTGGCTCCTCACTTTGCTGCTCTAAAGGATCATCTTTCGGCGAATTTCGCTCTGGTTCCACGTTCATCTGCACGTCAGCATCCTGTGCCTCCTTCGCACCATCGTCGCTGGCAATAAAGTCCGCCGGCGTGGAGGATGGCGGCCCGGAGGGCAGCACGTCTCCCGACTCCTCGCTGTGAATATTAATGGGTTGTGCACCACCACCAGTGCCGTCGTTTTCGTGAGTGCTGGAGGAAGCCGCACCGTGGGAAGCCTGGCCCTCGTCGAAAGAGAGGTCTTCATGGTCCCACGTTGTCGACCGGTCGGAAGAAGGCGGGCTTTGCTCCTCGGCGGCCGCATCGTTCGTCAGTCCCACGAGCGACTCCATCGTGGAACCCGATCGCAAATGCGGTCGCGAGGTTGTCCTGGCGTGGTCTTTTTGTACTTCTACCCTGCTCGGCTCCGGTCCAATCTGCGCGGCTGGCGAGGAAGAGGCAGAAGTAGAGGTGGTTGCTTGGTGTTGCACTACAACGGCTGAGGTGCTAGCTGTCCGTGGAACAACAGGTTTAATATTTGCTGCAGTTTTATTTTTTGCCGGCGAAATAGTCATACCGGGCTGTTCCTTCATCATGTGCGCCAGCTTCGCACGGTCTGCCCACGTAAGATTGTCCGGGTCTCCTGTCTTGGCTGCGGGTGCGGTCCTACTGCTGGCAGCAACTTCTACAGGCGCGTGGTCCTGGACGAAGGTACTATCTTCACCTACAACTTCTCGATCTTCTTCTTGAACTTGATACGAAGCCGCGGGAAGATCGTTGGCTACAACTGGTTTTTCCAAACTCGTCGCCGGTCCCCTTTGGTCGTGTGGCGGGTCGCTATCAGCGTATTTTTCTGCAAGCTCAACAGTGCCCGAAGGCGGCATCTCGGCTCGTACGGCTGTTTCTCCAGCAGAAGTCTCTTCCTCGTCATCTTCTGCACGAGCTTCGAACACATTCGCGGCGGAAGCAGCATTTCTCGTCCACACACCTGGGGGAAGCCGCAGGCCGTGGTCCCCGCTGTCCGTAGCTACCGACGACCCTCGGTGAGGATTTATTTCGCCACTGATCTCATTCTCCAAAACTGGCTCCCGTAGCAGCTGCTCTCCTGCCAGCTGCTGTTGCTGCGCTTGGTGGATCGCTGCCAGCTGCTCGTGTAGATAACGACCCGTCAAGTCGCCCATCAAGGTCGCTTGGCTACTCATGTAGTAAGGTACCTGATTTGCTTGAACAAGCCCAACGGCAGAGGACCCAGTCTCGTTTAGCGGAGCATAAACTGGCCACTCCTCCGGTGTGGCATCGCCGTCCAGCCGGTTTTGCGGCTCTTCTTGTTGTGCAGGTTGCGTGTTGTATTGAGGTTGGAACATTGGCAGCGCGTCATGCGGAATGTTATTCCATTGCGGGAGAACTCGTTGCTCCTGGAAAGGCATCATTGGCTGCTCAGCCAGAGCTGGTTCTACTTGCGGCAAGATCCCGAACCCCCTCGCTTCCGGATGTAAGTGGTATGACCAAGGCCCTTCGCCGGGGTCCGGAGTCCCCGGTATAGATGACGCAGCTTGTGCTGGATCTACTACCCGCGCAAGACCGTAAAATCCATTGCCCACATAGTTCATGTACGCCTGCGGCTGGTCATGACCCGTTGGCGGTTCAACAACAGCACTCATCTCATGCTCCTCACCCGCCTCGCTGCTGCTGCTGCTGGATGGTGCAACACGCCGCCTCAAGGAGGCTGGCGCGCTGCGGGTCCGCGAGAGGATTCTCTGCCTAGTAGAGCTGGCGGCGGCCCAAGCGCCGCTGATAAAATTCCCATGTACTGCTGCCGCGAATGCGGCCTTTAAGGCTCTCTTTGTCAAGTAGAAAACCATGGTGTGTTCTTCTCCAGTCTGGTCCTGCGCTTTATTTGCTGTCACTGCAAAACCGCCCGACCTGGACCTGCTTCCGTAAATAATATTCTAGTTGTAGTTTTTCCTTCGCTTCGGTGTCTACAGAATCAAAAGGTAGACACTTTTAATTGTATTTGCATGTGTACTCTTCACGTTGTTTCAAAACAAAACATCTTTGCAGTTATGTATGTAATATGCTGCAACAAGGGCGAAGTTCTTGTTGCTGTTTGTTGATTTGCAAGCCCGTAGCTATGAAACGTAATCAAATTTTGGTTTCTCAAGCACATACAATGCGAAAAACCGTCAGCTACATGACCAAAAGTAAAGAGTCAGGCCTGAAATAAACTTCGTGAAAATGAAGGATAAACGACACGATAAGATACGTTGGTTACTCATTTTGAATATCGTTCAATGTGAAAATTCGTGTAACGATCGGGGACGATGCGTCGATCAAGATTGAAGATCACGAAAAGAAGTGCAAGTGCATGCGATGAAAGATTAGTGGAAGGATTCGTAAACAGGATCACAACGAGGAAGCCGCGCCCGCTACGATCGCACCCACATAGTAGTTTTTGGAGCCGGCTAAACTGGCTCGCAACGCAAACGCGAAGAAAGGCTAAGTTGTACTTTAGAAAAGATCACGTACGACCACCACCACCTGCAAGAACGATACTAAACTTCTAGATCGAGTTCTTTCTTAATTTCTTTCGTCCTCTTTTGCAGTGCCAGCTAGATCTTCGCGCCACTGTGCCGCTGGATACAGAGGATCTGGATGGTCCAAGATGACGATCGTTGTATGTAATTGCGCCTCCATAATCAGATCATCGCGCGAAAGGAACTACATCATCTATACAAATACAAACTCGACGCTCTACATTCTTTTTGATCTCCTTCATCGAGAACACCAACAAGACTTTTGGAGCAAACAGAAACTCGCTGGGCTCATCTCTGTGCGACTGCAAGGAAGATGCTTCGTACTACCTTTTGAGGCAGCTTTTAGAGCGCCGGGTCCACTGCACCGGCGCATGTCGTCGTACAAATATGTCGTCCTGTCTGTGTTATTGCGATAAGCGTGCGCATCCCTTTCGGAACGGGGCATGTTGACCGCACCTCTTTCACTCCCACGCGAGCTTCCCCCCATCGTCCTCTTCGTCCTCGTCACCTATGTCCTTTCTGCGCCTCTCACGCTCCCGCTCGCGGTCTCGGTCGCCACGGTCTCTATCGCGACCGCGGTCTCGATCACGCTCTCGGTCGCGATCTCGGTCCCTATCGCGATCTCGGTCCCGCTCGCGGTCTCTCCCGCGGTCGCGGCTGGTTTTCTGTCGCTTTTCTGGTGGCGGCTCAGGCTTTTCGTCGGCGGCCTCTTCCTCTTCACCATAGTATCTGTATAGTTTTTTTGTGTTCTGAGTAAAGAAAATTTTCTATTTCTGCAAATGGATGGAAGTACATAAATGTGCATGCGGCCATATTTGCTTTTGTCTTTCTAAGTAGTTTGAATACGTTTCAGTTTCTGTTACTTTCGCACAAGTAGAAGATCTGCCATTGGAGAAATTGTTCCGCCGTCTGTGGCTTCCCAGTGAATATCTTCTCAGAAAAGGGATGCGCATCTGATTCCGACGGGTTTGCTTTTCGACGCTTGTATCAGACACCGATCCATGTGACAATGCAGCCTAGAGAGGCTGCGGTGCTGGAATCGGGCCTTTCTTTAGCATCGGTATACTAGGATTCAACATTTTGATCTTTCTTGAAGTTCAAGACACACACAAAAATGCGAAAAAAAACACCATCTAAATAGATACGCTGCTCTGTCGCTGTCATTCATGCACTTATCGTGCATCCACCAAGCCGCAGCCCCGTATTCCTCAAATTCCTGCTTGGTCGTTTTGCAGGGATCCCTCTCGTTGCGAAAACACTTCCAGCAGATTTTTTTCCCGCACCCGCGGTTATCCTGTTTCTTCTTGACCGCTCGTCCGCACACGATCCCGCCGTGAAACTGCACGGCTTTGCCGCAGTAGTCGCAGTTTTCCCCCACCTCCATCCAGCCGAACCGGGCGAACTGCAGCTTCTCCCAGTCCTTCTTCTTCCGTTCCCTCTCCGCCGCCGCTTCTCTCTCCTGCCGCTTCAGGCGGTCCTTTTCCCGCCGTTGCTCCAACTGCGAAGAACCGGCTTGCGCTTTAATATTGTTGTTCTTTTTCTGTCCGGTCGTCGCGGCTATTCTCGCTTTTAAACTGTTCGGGTTGAAGTCGTCCGAAGAGAAACCGCTGTCGTCGTCCTCGAGCTTCGAGGCAGTGTACTCGCCCGTGGTGGAGATTAAAACGGACTCGACATTCGCCGCGGCGGTTTTCAACACTTTCTGCGTGAAGCTGTCGAGCACCACCCGATCCGGTAAACAAACCACGTCGCAGATCGGGCAGACCCACCGGCGCTTCGGCGGGGCGAGCTTGCTAGTTTCGATGAAGGTCGCCAGGTCCCAGGACTGCAGGTGCGTGCAGTTCTTCTATCAAATGTAAAAATGTCTGACTCTGGAAGACTCATGCTGTTTTTGCATGACGCAGAAGGTCTGAAATGGAAGCTCTAGCATCACAGGTTTCGAGAAGCTTCCGCAATGCCGAATCCGCATGACAAATCCCCCGTTTTGGTGACAGAAACAAGCGGGCAACTTTTGCTAACTATGCATGACAGATTTTTCTGTGTTCTGAGATGCGCATCACAAGTTCGAATTCTTCCAGACCCAGACATTTTTGCATTCCATATCTTCCCCCGGGCGGCGATTTTGATCCGCTCCATGCTCATGGGGCAGGTCAGCGACATTTCCGGCGGGTCCAGCAGCTGGATCTCGTCCTCGTCGCTGTTGTCTTCCGGCAGGTGCTCTTCCACCCATGTGATCACACGCACCTTGTCCTCGGCGGAAGGCACCACGTTGCGCTCTGTAGTACAGTGGCGTTCTTGGATCGAGAATTCAAAACTTTATACTTCTTCTCACGAGCAGGAAAAGGAATCTTCAATAGGAAGAGCAGAGTACAGACATGAGAGAACCAAAAGATTCGAGGCAAACAACAACATGACAAATCCAAAATGATGTGAAAAAAAATTTTCTAAAAATACGAGTGATCTTCGCGAAAATCGTCTCGGGCAGGATGGGCGGACTCATCTCGAGCAACCCCAGCCTGCAGTCGTCTTCCTTGGCGCGTAAGTTAAAGACCACCCTGACTTTCAACGAAAACGGTTGCCCGTACATCACGTACGTCCGGGCTGCCTCGTTCAGGAACTGCGTCAAGTTTAGCGGCACATTGTCATCTTTTGTCAGCGTGTCCTCCCCGTGGCAAGCGTCGATTTTCAAAACCCGCTGCTCGCCAACACTGGGCGGCGCGGACACGTACACGGAAACCCCCGACTCGCGCCATCTGTGCGACAGTTCGTCCTTGTAGTGGTTCGGGTTGTCGGCGAGATTTCTCAGCTCGATCGGCCTTTCCGCCTGTCCCAGAGGCCCAAGCTGCAGGTAGTTTTGGACCCGATTCCCGGCCCCGGGTACCGCCATTGCCGTGCGCACGATGTCCTCCTTGCGGTAGGAATGTGGGTACACCGGGACTTCGAAATTCGCCTGCTTCACCGACCGGTTGCACATGTGCACGCCCAGAATTTTCGCCGCCGGCTTGAATGGGTCGCCCGAATAGAAGCGACAGTCCTGGCAAAAGCGGGAAAAGCGGGAGATCTCGGGATACCGACCTGTGGTCTGATGGGGGCACTTGGGGTTCAGACAGCTCGTGTTTGGATCCTTGGGCGGTGGCGGGGGCGGCACCGGTCCACCACCGTTATGCGAAGAACTACTACCGTGCTGATGTAGTCCATTATGCTGCCCACCACGCGTCGACCGGGACCCGGTGCTGTGGTGCGCGGACGACGACGTCCCGGGCGGCGGAGGTGGTGGCGGCGGCGCGGGTGGTTCTGGTGGAGCTGCTGCTATTCTTGCACCACCCGCACCTCGGTCGAAGCCGCTCTCCCTTTGCCGGTGATGGCTTTTCGGACCTCCAGCCGTCGTTGTCGAGATCGCTCGAATCTGAATCCCTATCCCATCGTCAGGCGGTGCGTGAGTGGCAGCTGTACTTCTACCACGGGATTCGAATCCCGCGGGCGGGAGTCGAATCTGAATGCCGTCGAGGTCGTCGAAACTGTGGAATTTGTTCGCCGAGTGGCCGCTCTGCGGTGGTGGTGGCGCACTCCCTTTGGCATACAGATTTCCGGGCGGGCGCTTGTTGCTCGACGGTTTGGTGTCATGCTTGTCCAGCAGAGACTGGAGCAGCTCGTCGTCGCTGTCCATGATAGAATGCTTTCTTATGTATGACTATCGGCGCTTGGTGAGACTCCTGCGACGTGAACGTGAACCTAATCGTAGAGTTACTCAACGAAAAAAAAATAACTTTAACTTTCTCGTAATACTGGACATCAGGATCAGAGAGGTATGGGACTGGGTATAACTGAAGGGGCGTCAGCTAGAGGTACACTAGGTACGTACGATCTTTATGTCGCTTGAGCCGCTGCAGAGGACACAGAAAAGGGAAAGCAAAACATGATTTTGAAAATTTCGATTGTGGGTGGTCGGAAGTCAAAGTTTGAAGTCCTCTTGATCCTCCCCTTGTAGTTGTACTGACCTTTGTCTTTGTGCATTACACATGTAAGATCACGATCTTCTTGGTTTCTTTTTCTTCGTTATGCAGGCGAAATCGGTGAATGAACTGCTTCAGCTGATCGAAACAAACATCATTCGAAAAAAAAAAAATCTCTATTGATAACAGAACAAAAACTATACTGCGAGTAGACACTACTTACTCTGTAGTACCGCCGTAGAAAAAAGAGGATAAGAAAGCTCGTAGCATTGCATCATGAGTGACCCATGGAAAGTGTAAACAGATCTGAGCGCATTTGGTCTCGCTGGACTCGGCGGTCGTGCTCTGCTACTTGTGCCGCGTACAGCTCAAAGTAGGAACTTATCCTCGGTGCCAGTTTTTCAACCTCGCCAAGCTCCTCCGCAGTCAGAGAAAACTGTTTTATTTTCTAGAGACGATTTATTTGAACTATTATACCTGATTTTGGAATTGCGTTTTGAAGAGGAAAAGTTGTTTTCCTTTAAGCCGATTTCTAGCCATCGAAAAAAAGAAACAAAACAGCATCGACGTCGATCTCGTGGTACAACTCGCTATAGTACCAGTTTGCTCGCGAGCGACGGCTTCAACGTTACCGCGACTTGCGGCTCCAGCAGACCGCTCTCCTCGCTCTTGCCGTGGAAAACGAAAGCCTGCTTGCCGTCGGTTCCCAGAGGGATCACACCTGTGTGCTTCGGCGGTGGCCAATAGAAATCTCTCTTGCTCAGCCGACGCCTGGCTGCAAAACGAACCGCGCCCATAGTGGTTGGCGGAGGACTCCGATTGATCTTCTAAAAATTATGCATGTTTTGAGTTTAGCTTGACGAAACCGTGCGCACTGTTCTTGACCACATTTATCTTCTTCTTGACATTTCAAAGTGCCACCCGCACCATATTAGATTGTCCCCGACGAGGACCTGTTTCGCAAAGGAAACGTTTCTATTCGGACCTGGGATCGAAGATCAAAAAATGCTGCGATAAGAACAGTCTGCGCAGAACACATCTTAGGCTCCCGCAAAAGCGCGGCACCGCGTAAAAACAGGAAGCGGGGCCTGCTTCGAGCGGCAGGGTCGCTGAGCTGTTTTTGCTTTACTTGATTTGGGCTACAAAACAACAGGTAACAAGCAAAAGTTCGTCTGTTCCGGGTTCTTCCAGAGGTGCCAGTCAAGATGGAAGCTGTGCAACAAGGTTGCGATGCTATCTGCGTCTACTTACTCGGCACCGCCTGTCGTGGTCGCAGTCGCCTCGTTGGCGAATGCATCGCAGACTCTTTTTGTAGTTACGTTTCCTTAATGTAAAGACGCCAGACGAAGGGAAGACCTTCCCTTCGCAGCGGTGAAACTACGAGATGCAACGCCGATATCCATTGCATACTTTTTACATACAGAATAAGGGTCGTGTTCCTGTGACTATCTAAATGTGGGGGCGAACCAGATGTGAAAGTTGACGGAGGCGGGCCGTCAAAGTCAATTTCGAATGTACATGATTTATTTCGGGTATAGTCCTCTAAGAACTGTGTTTGATAAAATCAAAACGTAAACACTGTTACTGTACTCAAAAAAGAACAACGCATTAGTACAAAAACTATTTGTATTTCTAGACTGCCTAGCCAAACCTCTCCCTAGTACGAAATAAGGAGCGCGCGCTTGACAGCGACAACTTCTATGTGTAGAATTTTTACTCGGGGATACAGGAGACAGTAGCTTTCTCTTAAACTAACAAAGTTTAATCCCTGATGCTGGTCCATAGTATGGAAGTTGTACAACCCTGGCACAAGCATCCACCGAAAGATTCTTGTACGAGAAGGCTTGAAAAAAAATCCAACCCACACAACTTTTTCTTGGAAGCTGTGACAGTGACTGTGTTGAGGGTTCGTCTTTGCTACAAGTATTCATAAAAACAACGCGCGAAAAGAACAAAGCCTTCGCGGTCGTTTTTTTCTCCTATTACGTACACCGTCCAATTTTATTCGTTTCGTCCACCTCACTGCAACCCGAGAAAAGCGCCGAGCACATTCAGGGGGTTGTAAAGTTCCGCGGTTGTGCCACTCTGCTCGAGAAAGGAACTACTGGAGGAAGACTTCCCCTTCGTGGCGACGAAGTAAATACCGACAGACGCGCCGATGATGAGGACGACTACCAGAATGGACATGCTGATGCAGTAGCAGGTGAAGATTGTGTCCTCCTCCTCTCCCTCGTGGTCGCTGTCGTCCGCGTGCCGCTTCAGCTCCACGTCCCGGGTCTGCGGCCCACGCTTTATCACGCTCAACAACGTCTCCGAGTAGTGGCTCATGAGCCCCAGAATTACCTTTTTAGTCGATTGCATGGAGTAAAGAAGATTGACGTTAATATTGACCTGAAGTTCATCTGTGCGATCCACTTCCAAGCATATGATCAAGTCTTGAAGCTGAATGATCTGTCAATCCAAATCGACTACATCACAAGTGAATGAACGCACAACTTGTCAGCATAGAAATTCGAATTATCCAGTATCTACCCTTGTGCTCTTCTCCACTGCGCGCGTGTCGGTGAGTTTATCCTCCTCTAGTAGCGCGTGGCAAACGCGGCAGGTTCCGCCGCCGGTGCCGCCTCCTGCGCCGCGCGGGGACAACTGTCCATCGCCGCCCTTGCTGGCGTCGCTGTAGTTTTTGTCAATCAAAAAAATTGTTTTCATTTTCAACAAAAACCAAAGTACATGAGTAGCTCGACATCAAAAAGAAACTACAACATTTCAAGCGCAAAAAAAATCTCTTGGGAAGAAAAAAATCAGGTTTACTCGAAGTCGCTATCCGCCATGGCCTTCACTGCCGCTCCGACATGCAATTTTTCGTACTAGCTGCGTATTCGACAAAAATGTTGAGAATGTTTACTGTAAAAAAAACACAGATCGTAGCTATAAAGGAATGTTTGCGATAGATAAAATCAATGGGATAGAAACTGAATCTTGCGTGGGGACACAAGAAATCGGTTTCCTGGTCAGAAATTGACAATGGGGGGACAAATTTTGAAGGACGTGAGTACTAAAAGGCGGAGTAATTTTAGCACGGAGAGCGAACGACTTGTAGGGTGACGTACGAGACCAGACGACGACCACAGAACGATCAGAATGTTACCACCGAACGACCTTCTGCCATGAAAAATGTTGCATGAGCAAACACGACTACGACCCGGACGATTTTTAGAATCACAAAAGTAGCACGATGCGGACGACGTGCTTCAACCGAAGAAAAATCGCTCTCATGTCGTTCGTTTCGAATACGAATGCGCTGCAGCGTTATGGACGACGAAACTGCTAAAACATGTGGACGTTGAAACCGAACGACCTTTGAGTTCTTTCACATAAAGTGCACGAGACCGACGATTTTTTAGCCTGTGTGGATGCGCCGCACTTGTTATCCCGGTGTTTGATAAACCGATGGCTTAAGCAACGAGAAAACCCAGCTTCTGGAAGGAAATGCGCGATATCTTTCCTGTGTGCGAGCACCGCCACCTTTCAGCGACCAGTAGAATTTTTTTTTAACTTGCCAAGAAAAGCCCCCTAATGTCATTCGGGAGTAATTGTTGGTTGTCGTTCGGCTCTTGCCTCGTGAGCTTGTCTTGAGCTTGATGAAGCGTCCAAAAAAAGTACCCTAGATGTAGCCGGTGTGAGTACGTAGGCGCCAGAATGGTAGCAAGCTCAATTTTGGTAACGAGACTGGCGGCAGAGCTGATGCTGATGACATTGTAGATATACCTTTACCGGTAGCGTAAGGATGTGGCGCAGTCCATAGTGTAGAATTTTTCGATCACCTCTTTAATTGTAGTGCCGAAGGTGGATGGCAACAGTGAGATTCATCTTCGCTGTATTCATCCTCCAAGGCTGGCAGCTTTACTACGAATGTCTTCTCCTGTATTCATAGTATCTTTGTTAAATCCCATTACATCACGCTACGGAAAGATAGGGGCTCGTTGTAGAGTAGTCTGCGTCGTAGAATCTGGGCAAGTAGTAGGGCTTCCAAAATAAAACAATAAGCACGCAGTAGGTCTTCATAAATTTCGAAATTGAGAACGTAGCAAAAAAGGCTTCTGTAAATGTCTGCGTAGCTGAAAAAAAGGTAAAGATAAAGGTCAGTGTCAGCAAAGTCGGTTGCAATGGTTGAAAAATGAAACACATACGCGGACCACACAAAATTCAAATATCAAGCTCTCTTTCTCACTGTCCGAGTGCGAGCTCTGTTTTCTCGCTTCGAGTTGGACACGAGGTGAGGAAGGAGGAAAAATGGCAACTTTTTTGACCACATGAGGTGCAAATGCACAGAGGTTGAGCCTAGAAAAAAGAAGAAACTACAGAGGTGCTTTTTCGAGATTTGATTCATTCACCGCAATACACCGAGAGAAGCTCTTCTACCACCTGTGTAGTAGCTTCATCGTGCCCCGAGTACAATCTCGGGAACACCAAGCTTCATTCCCATTGGGTTATTGCTGTTTGTGTTTCATCACGTCATCTTCTTTCATTCGATCAACCCTTCCTCTGCAGCACCATTGCCCAGGCAAATCCGCCGATCGCCAGACCGACGAGAACGACGATCGTGACAATCATGCAAATAAACATTGGGGTGCACGTTTGCTCCTCCTCCTCTTCCTCGTCACTCCCAAAATTCTTCATTCTTCGGTCGCCTTCGTCATGCTGGGGACCTCGCTTGATCACCCCCAGCAGGGTCTCACTGTAGTGGGACAGTAAACCCAAGATCACCTGTAGTTATTGTTCAAACCGATATATACTTGCTTTATCAAACTCGTTTCCTTTTTGATGGATCTAGCACACCATTGTAAACTTATCCGCACCAAAAAACAAACGAAGATCTTCAAAACATACAGCAATTCTTCAGAAAAATTGATATTTCTACCCTTGTGGACTTCTCGATGGTGGCCCGGTCCTCATTTTTGTCGATGAGGGCGGAGCAGATGGTACAGTGTCCGCCTTGCCCCGCCGCCGGGTTGTCTCGGCCGCGAGGGGTGCTACCGCCGCCTGCACCCGTGGTGGCCCGGTCGTCTTCTCCGCGATCACGACGGCCCATCGGGGAAAAAGTTTAAAACGGGGAAGAAAAAGAGTGTCAATCAGTATCGCAAAGTGGTCGAAAAAGAAACATCAAAATTCAAAAATGGGGTCTCAATATGTGCTGTTGGGGTGTTAGTTTTGTTAGCATGGTTGGAGGTTTGTTTACGAGCTAATTTTTTTTTCTGCGACGGTACCAGGAGCACAGAACGACACCGAGGACATTAGAGTTATTCGATGTGACGAAACCAAAAAGAGTTAAACGAAGCTCCTTTCCAGGAAGCACCGAATTGCTTCTGTAACGACGCTGCAACTACACAACCGAAGTTTTCTTTTTCGCGGTACTTAAAACGATAACCAGACCGAAAGATTGCGTTCTGCGCCGCAGCTTTGTGTCGCTCAAAAAACCGACAGTGCAATGAAGCATGAACGACAGGCAAGACCGATGATTTTTTTTTTTGCGTTTCTATACAGCATAACTACCGATAATCTTCAGTATGCGTCGAAGCGGACTATGTGTCGTGCGTCAAAAACGTGTACGAGAAAACCGAACGATTTCTTTTTTAGCCGGTGGACTAGCTGGAAAGATTAAGTAATTGCAAACAGTTACTTAGCAAAACACGTCAGGGCGTAAAGTCGACGGCTGAAAAACTTCGTCCGAACCTTTGGCTTTGCAGTTGCCCCCGTGAGAGGGTCTGATCTTGATACTGAATTCGAATTCAGTCCCAGAAACATTTGTTTCTAGTACTGTGGTTTTACAATAGCTTACTGCTTGCAGAGTCACTTCTAAGAGTAGCATGTCGCATCGCTTTTGCTACAGGTTGCCACGCAGCCAGTATTTTACGAGTCCTCCGAGTTCTCTGACGACCATGTATTTCCGAAGCAAGGCTTCTCGATCTGGATAAAGCACGTACCAGACTGAGTTCGATCGTTGCAGAACGAAATTTCTATTGGCTACGTGCATCATTCGGTTTCTGAGAGTCTCTTCGAAGTTCGATTTCGTCCCAACCTCTGTCTTGTTCCCCGTCTTCAGAATCGGTGCAGATGATATTTTTGGGTTACCCTGTGCGAAGACGATCTCAGCACAAATTTCGCTGAGTGCCTGGTCAGCATCAGCGACGTCGATTTCGACACGTGCACTTCTTCCGTCACGGTTCTTATTGAACACATTTTCGAACACGAGCCGACTACGCAATTGATGGTACGCGGAAGTGACAAGGAGTAGGCGCTTTTCTCTCGCTTGTTCTCCTGGTTTCTGCTTGTTTTCTGCGTCAAGTAGTAGTTTTTTCGTAAAAACCGCATTGGTCAGCGTTGAAACAGACTCGGACTCGAGGACGACGAGGTTTGAGACGGCACTCAGAAGCTGCGACGACACTGATGCCGTCCCCTTCTCGTCGTCGTTTTTTTTGCTGGTGTTCGCAACAGGTTCAACATTGGATCGTGTTGCAGTAGTTCCTCCATCGATTAGCGGCGCAATCAATTCCAACGTATTTTGCATCACTTCCGCCTCCGAAGCGTACCCCTTGTACGCAGGCCCCCCGGAAAAGACGAGCCTCTCCGTTTTTGTCTTCGCCGCCTGCTGCGCACCGGCTAGAGTGCGCTCCACCAGCTCTGGGGTTGGAAGGACGGCGTCGAGATTCTCGTCGTACTCCAGGCTCGTGCCGAGAACCACGACGGCGTCGTAAGAAGCCGCGCGAAGTGTTGAGCCGTGGTCCTCGCTTTTAATTGTTATTCTCCCTGTAGTTCTGTCATGATCTGCGAGCAACAGGTCGGTCAAAAGCCTGTCCCAAGGTAGCACCACAGTGGCGTAAGCGAGAACGAAAGCAGTAAGCACGGACGTCCACGGGACGAAAGGCATGTTTTTGGCACTCATTTTCTCGTCCCTCGAAACCGCTAGATAATCTATCAAGTGTCTCTGCCCTGAAATTCAAATTACACAACAGCCGTATTGGTTCCCCAAGGGGAAGGCACCATGATGCTGCTCTTTTTGATTCTGGGATCCTAAAAAAATCAAAAACCTTTCTTCGAACAACACAAAAGAATCCTGCATCGCCACAGCAGAACTTTATGCTGATATTCTTTTTTATCTGATCTCCCCTTGCTTAGTAGCAAAGGTTCTTTCTCCTACTGTCATTGCTTCTTCGAAGGTACCAGGTGGGGCAGCTTTATGCAACGAGCTACATTGAACTGCTCATAGTTACCACAGTAGGAGCGACGACTGAGCACTTATTCACTTCTTGGGTACAAACAAAGAACGGAAACAAATTTATACATTTTACATAAAAACGGCATTATTGATTTTTTGACGCTATTCTCTTTTGGTACAACAGGATAAGTTGATGCTTGTATAACACGAAATAGATAGCATCTAATCGGTTCAAAAAACGTCTCAGTCTCAAATCTCGGGCTGAACGAAGACAGGTAGGGGTTCATCTGTCGGCAGCTCCCGAACCATGATGAAAGCCGTGGCCTTGCTTTGATGAAATCCGGCTTTCATATCGGGTGCACCGTTCACGGATAGTTTATTGATATTCGCTGTCTTCCCGCGCGCTGCCACTCCGAACGCCTGTTTTTTATTCTCGAGGCGCATGATGTTGTTCAAATATCGAGAATGTTGCGCATGTTGATGCTTTGCAAAGTGACGACCATACTTAGGAGCGAACTCAAAAAGCTGTTTTTGACACAAAACACACAAACTACCGCCGTCCGAGAACAACAGATTTAAGTAAGAGTTGTGCCATTTGTTTCTTTGATCAGTACTTGAAAAAATTGAAAATCCAAAATTGCAATAAAGGGATAGTACGTCCAGCAGGATCCAGGTGATGCCGATGACGAGAATGACCGTGACCATCACGCCCGCCACAGTGTGGTAGCTCCAAAGGCTTCGTTGCAAGGGTGGTTTCCACCCCTCCTGACCGTCGTCGGAATCTACGTACTCGAGGAACTGTTCCCGCTGCTCATCCATGTAATCATCCACCCCGGTGTCCATCTCGATCTCGACTGATTTTTAGTTCGGATTGCATCTTCTTGATCTTATTCATTTTACAGTGAGTTTGTAGGCAACAAGCCGGATCTTGTGCATGAACATCTTGCAAACTAACAGGTCACCAACATATTGCTGTTCTACTAGAATTAGAAATAGTACCTCCCTCCATTTCCGCCTTGAGATTGGTGACATCTCCCACGCCGAAGTACATGTGCGAGTAGTATCTCAGGATGCCGATCATGATCTCGTTGGTCCTCTGCATCAGGTGTCGTTCCTCAGCGTTGCGCGCTTTCATGGGCTCCCCGCATACGGCACAGTCGTGCGAAGTCGACTCTGTAGGGGCAGTTTCGAGCCAGTTTCCGCCCGGCGGGGCGGAGCTCGAAGACGCCGCCTGAGTCATCTCCATCTTTTCTTCTTCCTTGTTCTAGCTTTTTATTGTAGTCATGTTTGCCGCTCGAGAAAAATTGACGGTCCCCCGGCGGGACCGCCGAAAATGTGGAAACCAACCAATAAGAAAAAAAGCGCTGGGGAATTCGGTTGATAAAATCATCTTTCGGGGCATATACGTCAACACGTAAACAATGCAGAAGCACACACGACGATGTTGAAAACGATGACGTCGCGACCAGCGATGTTATTGTCAAGACATGTTCTTCATCCCACGAAGAGCGTCAACGACATCAGATCTCAATACGACTTGATGCACTTATTTTCAAGAAACATTTTTGAACTGGAACCGATAAATGTGCAATATCATAACACGATTGACGACAACGACCCGACACCCATTTTCATCACGTATCGCAACGAGGTCAAAAGAAAGACACGGAGCACAGGGTTGAATAGCATACACTGAAGTATTCCTCCTTTTGAGATCCACATTAAAGTTGAAGAACATCCCTGAATCCTGTAAACGCAAAATGGGTTGCTGCGTGCAAAGACTCGAAAAAAATTTTTGTGTGGACAACATCTTTTGCATGACGTGTTCGCAAAACCCGCCGCTGCTCAGAGTTGCAATCCAAAACATGTTGGTTTGTTACTTATGCTTCCGCTATGTGTATGTATGCAGTGGACGTTTAATTTCATAGCACCGTAGCAGAAAAAAGGGCTGCTATTGAGAAGAAAAGTATACTAATTTTGCAAAATAAGTCGAACTAAACGTCTAGGGGTACTGAACGAAAAGATCACTTCTCACGAAGCAGCGGTAAAGGTCTACTACTACTGTGATCCCAGTATTCAATAGAAAAAAGAAAGCAAAGAGTGGGGAAATAAAGATCGAGAATTGTATGCATTATTTCGGTGCGCCTTGAGCCGCAGTGAGTGATGTCCCAGTAACAGGCTATAATTGCAAATTAGTGAAGTGAATACGTACTCTTGGAGTAACAAAATCATGGTCTTCAGCGGTTCGCCCTCCCCTCCGGATTGTGAAAGAACACCTGTTTGGTATTGGTAGATTATGTTTGCGCAAGGATTCATCGTGGAAGCGTGGTCATCAATGAATGCGGTGGGCCAAAGATATGTTTTCCCATTTAAGCCTCGATCAGCACTACTTCTTGACACAAGAGATGAAAACAAGAAACCCTGGCCCTGGCGCTGGCCGCAGTGCAATCACAAAACAAAAAACACAAGTACCCTTCTTCGCAGGTGATTAGTGCAGGAGCCGTGAAGTAGACACGAAGTTACTGCTGCTCCGCTGCAGAATACGGAACTTCTCACCAATTCGTTTACATCCTGCACGTGGTTATCTGGCAGCCTGCGTGGACCTGTCCGGAATGACGCCTGAAAAATCTAAGATGGCCCACAAGCCACCGACGAACAGGACGGAAATTACGAAGATTACGGCTACGTTACGGAATCGGTAACCCTCCTGCGCCAGCGGGGCCTTCCAACCCTCCTTGCCGTCGTCGGAATCTACGTAATCCATAAACTCTTGTCTCTCGGCGTCGTCAAGGGATGAGGTATTCGATCGCATCTCGACGGCAACTGTGTGTTTTTTTGGGAGAGGGCAAGTCGAATGAAAAATTGTATTCGAAACAATTAATGCTGTTTTAGTGCTGCTTATCCGCCTAAGTAGAGAGGAGAAATAAACGTAGCTTAATGCAGCTCAACATACCTGCGCTCAAGTCCGTGACATCTTTTGTCCCGTAGTAGAGCATGGAGTAGTGTCGCAGCACCCCGATCAGAATCTGGTTTGCCCTCGTCATAAGCCCTGCTTCCTCCGCGTTGACGGCCTTCATCGGCTCGCCGCAAACAGCACATGGCTCTTTGTGGTTGTCCGGGATCCGCCGCCGCTCCCGACTCTCGTTCCTACCCGACATCGCGCTGTCTTGTTTGGCTCAGGTAGCAGCTCTTATGTACATCATACGTAACTGGGGAATGGATAAAGACGATCAAAAAAGTAGTTCAAATGTCGGAATAATCAATGAGGTCCTGCAAGGTGCGAAATTGGTATTAATCGGTGTTGTTGCAATTTACGGAATTGTAATCAGTGCAGAAAGAACGAAAATTTGTACGAACGTAACGAAAGGCGGAGGAGCAAGTAGAACTTACGCACGCTGGAAAACCGAACCTTTTGCACGACAAAACCGAACGAGCAACGCATCTGTGCTTTTTGTGTACGAAGACCGAGAGTGAGGCGTTTCAGAGTAATCGGAGCACGACGACCGACTGACTTCTTGTTGTCCGCAGGACCGAGTACGAAACCATTTTTTGCACGACCGACACTTCATCTAGAGCTGGAGATCGACGTCGACCGAATAATCCTTATGTGGAAGCAGCTAAAGCTCAACAGGAACAGCCTTTCTACGAGAAAACTGGACCAGCCTTAGCACACAACTACCGCAGTAGTTCCTGGGCATGTAGTTGCTGGTAGGCATATGGTATTTCACAATCTATCTTCTTCGCGCTATTTTTATTCTTCCGTAAGGCAGTTGCATTCAAGCCGTATCTATGCATACGATAGCAAGTGGTATCTGTTTTTCGTTGCAGGTTTGAAGCTCATGGAGCTTACATTACTTTCGAGTTAAGATTCCAAATTAATTGTTTTTTCGACTGATATGGATCCGGCAAGTTCAGGTGCACCAGCGGAATCCGAATCGCCTTGTGGTATATTTGTCAAACAGGAGAGTCACGATGAATTCGTATAATCTATCTACTGTACTGTAGTGCGATTTCTCAGCTCGCAAGAACAGGTTTTGTTTCGCGCTGTGGCAAAAACTACAGCGAAAGTCTGCTTCCGTCCTAGCAAAGCTTCCTAAACACCCTCCCGATCAAAGGCCTTGGGCAGTATTGCCCGTTTCGGTTTTCCCGCATCCCCAGCACCCGTCTTAGGATCGTCCGCCGGTTGGGTGAGCAGCCCACTCCAGCTGTGGCCGCCCATCTTTCCCAACTCCTCGGTGTCGTTGTTGGCCTTATTTTCCGAGCGCGATCGGGTCAACTCGGACGCCGTGGGGTAGGGCAGAATCCCGGACGCCCCGGCTGCGCTGGCGTCCATGAACCGGGCAGTGTTCACACCGAAATTCGGAATGCTATTCAGAATCCCGGCGGCGCCGACGCCCTCGGCCTGCTGCAGAGCAAGGTTCGTGTTCACAACTGAAATTTTGCGTTGCAGCCCGTCCAGACCGGTTTTCAACGTGGAATTTTCCCGCTCCTCGTTTTTCAAAGCTTCTTTCTCGAGCTGCGTCTCCTTCTCCAGCTCCCGCCGCTGACGTTCCAGCTGCTGCAGATGCAGGTCCGCCTGGTGAAATTGCTTCTCAAGCATCGCATTCGCGTCGGAGACGCTCTCCAGGTGGGAAACCTGCTCGCGAAGCGCATTTTCCAGGTACTGCATCTCTTCCGCGAAGTAGGTCTGTGAGAATTATTTTGAAGATGATCATCATCATGATGTCGAAGTGGAAAAAAAAAATGCAGGGCGTCGTGTATTTTATGACCATGGTCTATCCCACAGAAACAGAATCACTTCGCACAGGAAAAAAAAAATTTTCCCTGCTGAAGAAGAAGAACAAACTCTAGTACCTTGCTCCCACTACTTGTCGCCGAGAACGTTGCCACCGTTGCCGCCCGTCGTTCCTCGGTCAACGTTTTCAGTCTCTGAAGCAGGTAGTCCCTTTGCTTTTCCCTTTCCGTAACCTGCTCGACCCGGCGCTCCTGCTCACGCTGCGCCCCCCGCACCTCCCGCTCCATCTCTTCGAACTTGTCATTTAGCGTTTTCAGGGCTTCCTCCAGACTGTCGACCTCTTGCTGCGTGCGCCTTGCCAACCGTTTGTCCGCCTCGGCAATGTCTTCGAGGTAGGTTGCGGAGATTGTATTCGGCTTGGGTTCTTCTATTGTCACGTCGGTTCCGAACCGTGGCAGATGCGGCTGCACCGAGGTACTGCTGGCCGCAGGACCGGTGCCCGGGATGACGGCCGCTGCCGGTGGCGCGGTACTCCCGGAGCTCGGATCCGCCGACACGCCAAGCGCAGCGGCGAGCAGTCTCGACGGCGCTAGTGGCGGCGCGATTGCCGCTGTTTGGTATTGAAAAGAACTACTGCTCCATGCGCTGGGCGCTGACGGAGCCGAACCTACCGCGCTTGCTCCAACAACGGGCGCGGTGGACGACACTGCTTTTGTGTTGTTCGCGGCATGGTGGTCCCCTCCGCCGTTCCCGTTGGATATGAAGTTGGCAGTGGTTGTACCTGGTGCGGGCGGCGGTTTCGCCATGGCGGCGCTGTTTACGGCTTGCAGGTAGGAGATCTCCGGGCTGCGCGCAATTAGCGACTCGAGCTGTGGCGTCGCGGTGGGTGAGGACGCAGCGGTCATCTGCGCGGCCGCCTCGGACATTTGGTTTACCGCGATGGAGCTCGGTGTGATGTCAGCTTCCGCGCCCGCGGTGGTGTCACTCAGCAGCGCCTCCACGTGCCCCGGGAGCACGTTGTCGAGCGTTGGCAGGTTCGCTATCTCGTCTGCGCGGAAGTCCCCCTTCTTGCACCGCGTTATCAGGTGCATCGCGACCAAAAACTCGCCGAAATTCAGCCTGATAGGGGCGTTTTTAATTTTTTTTTGTATGATCTATCTTCAAAAACCTTTCGGAAAAATCGAAAATCCGACGCACAATGGATCTATCATGCCGGCCTGACGGCTACCTGATTTCCAAAAAGTAAAGCGGAAAATATTTGGAATGTACTTTCCATCATTGTCTCGGTCTGCGAGTTGCCAGGTGATAGCGAGAAATTCGTTTGGCAACTTCGAGCGCTGCATGAGCTGCTTTGCTTCCTCGCCCTCGACGAGGCCGTCGCCGTTGCTGTCGGTTTTCAGAAAAATTGCGGCGTATTTCTTCCTTTCCTTCCTGCTTAGAGGTTCACAGACAAACGCCCCTGGCTGCGAGGCGACTGCCGCCGCCGGCGCCGCGGCGGCGTCCGCAACCGTGGTGCCACCGGCTAGCACAAAGTTGGGATCAAACAGGGGCAGAGACGGGGGCTCGACAAACTGCAGGCCGGGGGAAGGCTGGAGTTTCCAAATCAGATTTGTTTTTCACGTGCTCATTGTCATAATACTTGTAGTTTCGAAAAACTGCATGGATAAGCAAAAAAAAGCGTATCGAAAAGCCATGACTTACCATGGCATTATCCGCCGCCTGCGCGTGCGCGATGAGGCGCAGAAGGATGAAGAATTGGACGCGATTCAAATTGCCTGTGCTCTCCTCGTCGGCGATGGCCCACAGTTCGTGCAAGATCGTTCGCGGCAGACCGGAGGATTCCAGGAACTCGGACACCTTCTTCGTCCCTTGTATCTCGCCGTCTTCCGGCTCCAGGGTTTCGAAGATTTTTTGGTACAGAATCTGCTCCGTGACGTTGAACGACATGGATTGCTGGGCCTTCGCCAGGTAGTCCATCTTCTCCTGCTGTCGTGCCGTAGACTCGATCACCTTCAGAGGATCCACGGCCGTGCCGAGCACCTGCAGTTCCTGCTCCGCTCCCCCGATCACGGACGGCGTATTGCCGCCCTCTGTGGAGTAATTTTATTTTTATCGTTTTTGGCGGTTCATCATTTTCATGCATTATTGATCTCATTGCGGTCGCATCGAACAACTGTGAGTCGTTGTCTCCTTTGTACCTGATGGCTCCGATAACTGGCGTCTCTGGGACATTGTGTCAAAACTTGGCAGTGTCATCGGTTCCTGGATGATTTGACGTATTTTTTCCTTTGTAGCTTCTAACATAAAGCAACTTGCTAGGATAAGTATTCAACATTCGGGCGACGGGGAAAAACTTTGTCCGCTAACCAAAGACAGACAAACAAGCGCAAAAACAATACCGTATGAATCAGCTCCGGATGCACAAGCCCAGTGTTTTGTGCGTGCGCGACGAGACGCAACGCGATGTAAAACTCTTCCACGTTCAGTTTTCCTGTTTCATTCACGTCTGCCAACTGCCATATTTGGTGCAGCATCGTCTTCGGCAGACCACTTTTTGCCAGAAACGCTGCGGCCTCCGGGCCCTGAAAATTGTATTTTCAACTGTCCAGACGAGTTTTCGTCACATTTGAATCAATCGGAAGCGGTACTATCGGGTGGTCAGTAGGGTCAAAGACGAGATGTATGAATTTAGTATGTTGCAACCAAGAGCACGTCGTTCTCCTGTTGTCTAGTACCTGAATCTCCCCGGTAACCGGGTCGGCGCCGTCTGCCATAGTGTGCAGATTTTGGTAGAACGCCAATTCCGTTGCGGCGAAGCTAACTTGCCTTGACGACTGTAGAAACTGTTGGTTTTCGTACAAAGAGGGGTTCAGCATCTGGGCGCGCGCGTCTTGACCTAGTATGGACGAGGATCCTGTGGCAGGCTGCTGCGAAGGGAGAAATAAACCACCCCCGGCAGGCAGTTGCTGTGCGCTTGTGGGAAGTTGCCCCGCACTTGGCGGCAAGGTCGGTCTACCCGTCGTCGGATCCACCGTAGTAGCCACACCCAGTGGGAGCGCCGGCAGCGCTGTGGTCACCTGACCCGTCGCTGGGTCAACGAAAACGGGCTGCAGGGGCTGACCACCCGCGGAAATCCTTTGTGGTCCCGCCTGCTGCATCGGAGGCGGCACAGCATACATCGCAGCGCCGGCAGCTCCGCCGGCAACCGGTGCCTGTGCAAAATAACCTGGCTGCATTCTCTGTTTGTGTCTCTGTCTGTTTCGCTGCGAAGGTTATCTTTTTTACATCAAAACATACGCCCGCAGCATTGAGCTTTGCAGTATTGACAACAAGCTCCTTCGTCTCCGACTTGTTGCTGGTGATATCTGAATATTTCTATTTGTCCACTCAAGGAAGTTCGCGCTTCTATAACTGATATTGACTCCAGATCACATGGGATCGAAGGCGAATAAGCTTATTTCCGACCACGATCCTAAACGTCGACGTCCGGGAGCGACGCGAAAACGAACGAGAGCACGCAGATTCGAAACGCGGCAGTAGAACCTGCTCTGCACGAACACGACGTCGAAGCTGTTTTGCTAAATGTCGTCAAATAAACGCTCCTCGCACAATGCCTTGTTCAGGCCAGATCGTCTTCATCGCGTCTCAAATGTGACTACACGCTCAAAGTCTCAAATCCAAACCAAACGCACCGCACGGCGTCGTTCCAAAAGTAGAACACCAGGCGCTTTATCGACTGTAGTTGGAGGAGAGCTACTAGGCGCGAAAGGCACGGCAACCCAGCATTGTCTCACGTCCGCAAAAGACGTCACTACCTTACGACCCGCAGGACTTCCTCCGGCTACGCAGCAGCGGGCGTGGAACTTAGTCTAGTGGTACTATACAGGGCGCGCAAGTTAATATTTTCGGTTCAATAAAACGGGGATTGAATTCATATTTGACATTGTCATCTCGATCATTCTCTCATAATTTACAACAACAAAGCTCATAATGACCTCCCCTGCCCCATGGTAGCTTCTCACTGAAAAGGCTATCTGCAGTGAGGCGGCATTTTCTTGTGCTCGGGTGTAAGACATCATATCTGCAGCGGGTTTCGGTGCTGCAAACATGTTGTGACATAGCTAGCATTTTCGTGATTTTCCGTTTCGTTTAGCAAATCGTACAGTTCTGCGGCAAATCACACGGAAAGATTAACCATTGCTCATTCTATCTACCTATGGGTTCTTGGCGTTTACCCGCAACAAAACTCTGACTCATCTGCTGGGGCTCCTCTGTTATAATCGCTATATTTGCTCTGCTGAATATCGTTTTTGCTCCGGCGTTTGATATCTAAACTTCTCACTGGCAAGAACCGAGCGCTACCTCGGCCGACTATTGCGAATTCTAGGCTATAATCAAAACTCTGTTCGTTGAAATCTGTTAGTTGAAATGGAAACATAAGCATAAAATTGGAAACATAAGCATATTATCGCATGAAATCTACTACTAAGTCGCTCCTGTAGACAGGTCAGGTCTTTGTTTTCCTGTTTCTCGGGTTCAGCTTCTGCTCTCATGATCTGTATTTCGATCACCTCACTGTAGAGGAGAAACGGGATCGAGAGAAGCGCCGCCTCGTTTTCCTGAGAAAAGAAATATCAACACCCACTTCTTCTACAAAAACAAGCACGACCACTTCTACAGCCCACCCATGCTCCTCTGGATCTCGCCCTTGAATTCTTCGACAGCCGTGTTCTGAAATTTCGTCGGCTGCACCACGGAGGGCGACGCGAACTTGATGTGCAGGGGCGGTGGCACGTCGAAGATGGCGCCCTCGGACGCCTTGATCGCCGAGTGCGTCGAGAGCAAGTCGGTCGCGCCGGGGAGCTTCATGTCGGCCTGCTGGTCTGCCGAGGCCGCGGCCGGATCCGCCTTCTCCGGTGGGTCCACCAGGTTTGACGGGTTTGCGCGAACCCGCTCTCTCGTTTGAAAATTGTACCTGCGTTATAATTTGGTGATGGCTGAAACTGATCGCAACATATGACCCATCACAGCTGCAGCAACCGTGGTATTCAAGATATAGACACGGATCTCGATTTGCAAATGCAATACAGGAGGTGGACTTCGTTGAACAAAAACAAGCAACTGCACTTCCAACTACTGAAAACGCATTGTATACCAGTATGGCGCTTTTGCCTCGTCGTAGAAGATAAACCATGGGCTGAGTGGTAACGCCATATCCCTGTCTTTCTGCACGATCATCATCACGCGGTCAAGATTGTTCGCAAACAACTTCTTTGAGTACGCCGCTTTTCGCAAGCCGTAGAGGGAATGGTTCTGTCGGGCACCCTTGCTGTGCATCTTCGTGTTGCACGACAAGCACAGCATGTCTTCGCACTCCATGCAGATGTACCTATTTATTCCGTCGTAGTTGTGTTTCGTCCGTGGGAAAACAACGAAAGAAACTGACCACCAACACCATCACGCCAAGAATGAAAACGGAAATGATGTACGTATGCTCGCTTGATGAGCAAGAGCATTTGAATATCAGCAAAAATTTGAAAACAAGTACTGTGCTTCTTTTTCGTCGCACTCGTAGCAGAAAGTTGTGTAGGGTATTCTGACGCAGTGCTTTCCGCGCTTTCCGTACCGGTGTGTATTTTTGAAGCAGTCGTAGCAGAACAGGTCTACGCAGTCCTGACACCTGACTAATGCTGCCCGCTGTTCGCACTCGCTGCAAACGCACTGCTCGATGAAAACTGCTGGATGGTCCATTCGGTGCCCGGTACTATGCGTGGCGACCATACAGTTATTGCAGAAGACGTCGTGGCACGCGGCGCACGCTACCTGTTTTCCATTGAAGCCGGAAAAGCCGTGTCAAGAAAACTATCTCTGACAAAGAAGATGCAGATGCTTCTTGTGGGTCGTCACTATTCGCCTCTATTTTTCCGAATCAACTGAATCATGATCACCCTCCTTATATTGTGAATTTAGAAAATGTAAACGCGTCGATAAAGCAGAAAAAAGCGTGTTCAATACGTCGGCCAGTGCTGTTTCGCATTCGATGCAGTAGAGTAGACCCGAGGGCGATATTTTTCTGAGAAACTTGACCCGATCTAACTCGAGGTGCACGATTAGCGTTTGGACGTTTATGACGTTTTCCACCGTAATGAACCGTGCGCCTTCGTGCTTCATGCGAAAGTAGGAATCTTCGATTGCGTTTTTCACGCGCCGGATCAGGTACGGCTCATCCTGCACGTCTATTCCCAAGCACTGAATTACGTCCTCCATCAAATTCGGATTTGTTACCTGCGTGTTTTCATTTTTTAGTTTTTATTTTATACCAGTGCTACCGGTCGCTGCATGACATGAGAGTTCGATTTCGTCGCATTATCCGCACGGAGTTAGTAGAGTCAAAAAAAAGTTTCTTGGTTGTACCCCTCGCACGTCCCTTTCTCCCATTATTGCCTCGTACACGGCCTGCTGTATTCTGTAAAACCTGTCCGTTTTCTTCCCGCCCAGGTGGGTTTTGTGCAGTATTAATCGTTCGCCGAGTTGTCGATGCATCTCGACGACGGGATGAAAGGAGCGGGACTCTTCGGTGGCCGTGTGGAGGTATGCGAGGTCGTTCATTCCCTTCAGTTGGCACGTCCATCCCTCGTCTTTCAACCCGAGCAGGCAATCGCGAACCACCCATCGTAACTCGTTGTCCTGTTATTTGATATTGATAGATACAGTGGAATTTCATTTTCGATTTCGTTAACTTCGGGCGAGGAGCTAACAAAAACAAACTATTTCACTTTGCATAGAGAAATCCTGTGGCGGTACGCTTTCACCATACGGAAACATCAAAATGTCCATACCTTGATTAGGTCGATTCCAAGCTTCTGGGACATAGCATGCACCACCTTTTCTTCGAACTGGGCTTGATCTTTGAACTGCAGCTTTGCCTGGTAGGACGAGTGGGGCCGGACCGGCAGCGGCAGAAGCTGCGGCAAGTCCGGATCGGAGTGCGTGCGTGGCTTGAACTCCAACATCTTGGGCAGAGTTCTTTGAGGTAAGCGGTAAATATACTGGAAAGGGTATCTTCTAACACTGTTTCCTCAAACGCGTCGAGCTCGCGCTTCTTGACCCCACTCGCAGCAGTCTGAAGGGGACGGAGCGTTGCTGTTGGCGATTCGCGCTCTCGCACTACTGTCCCTGCTGTGTCTCGGATCTGAACTGAGGACAAGCAGAACGGTCGTTCAACCGGTCCCAAGCCACCGTGCTGACGACGGCAACCACTGCCACGCGGACATACTTTGTTACCGGGACACAATGAATTACGTATACTTCTTGGCCCACGACACGTAATGCCGGCTCTCCTTACTGATCTCAAAGTGGACCTACTGTGCAATACGAAAAAAATCCCGTGCTAGGACTAGGAGAGACCATATTTCATTCATGATTTTCTGTTGATGTTGGGAACTTGATTTCCTGCGACGAAGCTGAAAGATTTTTATACGACTAATACGACAGCGACTTTCAAATTCCCCTTCTCCGATGAATTACGATTGATAAGGTCCGCCCAGACCCAATGAATTACGAGCGTGTTTTACGAAATTACCACACTGAGCCGTCATCTACAATCGCTCCTCACCGCTCTAACTCACTCAAGAATCACTCTGTGCTCCCCACGGGTCGTTGCGAAATCTCTCTGTCACAACAATTTCGCTCCAGCAATTATCTCTTCTAAGCTCTAGCTCTCTTTGCATTTCGAATTCCAATGATTTTCAAGATTCACGAACCACGAACGTTGATACGACCCAACATGAGGAGGAGGAGGATCCTTCACACCTGTTTTTAGCTATACATAGTGCTATCAAGTGGAACATGATGTCGCAGACCACCCGGAGGAAACGAGCAGGGAGGCACCGCTCTCAGGAGAAACACCTACTCGGCCAGCATTCACTCCTGTTCCTTGTACCAGACGCGCCATGATGCAACTACCACTCTTCGAGTTGCGGGCACTGAGGTACACTGTTGCAGCTTCTTCTCTTCGAGCCGCGGCCGGGTGCGCTCCGTCTGCTCACAAGCTTACCCTCTGTGGTGCGGCTGTCTACTCTGGGACGGTCCGGGGCTTGGGCGAGTTTAGGGTCATATCGGGCACCATATATGCTAGGTGCTTGTCCCTTAACTCTGTAGACTTTGCGCTGCCTCCGCCCTGGAGCAGCTTGCGGCAGAGCTCACCTCCCGTTTTTGTCTCGATCAGGCTCTTCAAGGTGGTAACATATTTGCCATGCTACCACCCTCTCTCGGGTGGTTCTGGCCGGATCTTCGTCTGGTTCTACAAAGTCCGCGTCTACGAATGCAAGACGCGAACTTTAGCTGCGCCTTCAAAAATCTGAGATTCTTCCACTGAGCGGCTGCACTGGTTCGCGGGGAATTCTAATATGTATGGATTTGCACCTTGAATCGAGAAAAGATGGGGATACATCAGGAGTCTCTATCTGAGAAAATCAATATCAGGATCTATCGACATCTCAGCAGCTTGGGGTCCAGATAAATATCTTTCCTCATCTCGTTTGCCTTTCGCTTCGGTTGGTTTTCTTGACCTAGACGCGGGCGTGACCTGTTGTGATCGTTCTTGCGCCCAAGGTGCCCGCAGATGGGGATGTATGGCCAAGGGCCCGGCCGCGCGTGCGGGATGAAGATGAGAAGATGTCACCAGTACAGAACACTCCCCGCGCCCTCTCTCTCTAGTTGTTCTAGTTGCTATCGTATCTTCCTTCTGTCTCGGTGTTGCTGTTCCGCCTGCCACAAGGTGTATTTTCAGGCACTTTATCATGTTAGCTTTTTCCGTGTCGGCAACTTCGCTCCTGAGGGAGTGACGTTTTTTTATTTGTAGTGAGGATGAGACCGCTAGACTAAAATATTTTTATTTTCGCATCGCTGCACTTGCTCCTTTTCCACCTACTTCTCCTCCAGCTCGGCCGCCGTCCGTCGGTTTTCGCATGTTAGTGTTGAGCTGGTGCTTGCGTGCGCTGCGCCTCGGGAAAGGTTCCGGTCCGCCCGCCCTAACACCCCTCGCCCTTGGATGCTTTGCCCGCTCGCATTCGCCCTTCACCTCCACACTAGACTTCCAGCGCGGTAGCACAGCCTTCTGGATTTCGGTGGTTTTCGGTGCAGGTTTCGGCGTTGTGCTCTCTCTGTGCAAGGACTCCTTTTCTTGTCACGGTCTGTAGCCAGTTTGAGGCCTTTCATCACCTCAACACCCGTTTTCCATCCTACCATCGGTTTTTCTACACTTCTCGCACCCAAGGCGCGAGCTTCTCGATGAGCGCAGCGCTCACCGCTGAGCGGAGTTTTTCCGGTTCGTATGGTGTTGCTTCTTGTTTTTCGGTCACCGGGTGGCACTGTATGGCGGATCGCACACCACTTGGTAGTACGCCCGGGTAGATGTCTCCTACCTCTTTGTAGAAATTGAGAAATTGCGGCACACTGCTGGGCTTTTTTATCAGATATAGTCGATAGCTTAGCTGTTTGATTCTCGGCTGACTGAGGTACTTGGTGCGAACAACGAACGTTGAACACGAACAACGAACGTTTCAAGATTCACGAACAACGAACGTTGATACGACCCAACATGAGGCAGTTGCAGTGCTGCATACTATAGGTGGATTCGGCTGTTCTGATGCCTGGGTCCCAAATAGTCCTTGTGCGCGGGGGCGGCGTCACAAAGGGGTCGTACTGTGCCTCGTTAACTGCGGGGACGGCAGTCTTCTCGGGCCATCGTCGATCAGGTGTTTTTGGAGAGGTGTCCGACCCTGCGACAACAGAGTCACGACGACCAAAGGAACACAGAGCGTTGAACGCATGAGACACCAACTGCCTGGTGTGCGACGGACCTGCTGCCGAGGCCCTTTCATCACATGCAGCAGTTGCATGCTGGTTCAGATCGTTCGTTTTACAGATGGAAGGATTGTCGTTCGAAGAATGGTTTTCGTTTTGCGGGCTCTCAACAAAATCTGACTGGACTGCTACCGACAATTCCGACAGTCGGCGAGACAAGCACGACGATTCTTTGTCATCAGGTTGCTCTTGTACAAAGTCCTCGTTTTCAAAATTGTTCTTCACATCAAGATTCTCATCAAACTCCTCATCTCCGGCTGCAACACCAACAAAAAGCCGACGTGGTGCCGCAACCTGCTTATCAGCACGGCTGCTGTAGGTTTGTCGGCTCAGCAGCTCCAGCGCCGGCCATCTTGCGTCTCTTGTCATCGCCGGAATGACCTGTGATGATGAGATGTGGAAATTTATGTTGTTGAGGCAGTGCTGTGATGAAGAAGATGAAGATGACGAAGAAGATGAACACGAAGATGAAGACTGTTCGCACGAAGGAGCAATAGCGATACCCTCTTCCTCATCCTCATTGCGCTTCGCCGGCTGGGCCGATGCAGCGGAGTTCTGCTTGACATGCAACAGGATCTCCGCAAGGGTCGCTTGCTGGGTAACAACCTCCTTTTTCACCGCCTCCACGTCTCTCTTCGTGTCACGCGCCACCTGCGCGGACTCCTGTAACCCGGCTTCGAGCGTGCCCAGGCGCTGGTTGGTGGAGGTTTCGACCTGCTGCACTTTGGCCGCTGCCTGCGCCGAGGTCACCTTTGCGGCTTCAGCGGTCGCCACCGCGTCGTTGGATTTTTTATTGGACAACTTTAACTGCCCCTCGAGCCACTGAACCTTCTTCGCTAGCGCGTCCAGAGTCGGGCAGCGGGGATCCACAGCCAGGATTTGCACCATGCGCGCCTCAAGCTTGCCCTCCTCCCGGCCCGGTGCAACAGTGAATTCGGCCACACAGCCCACACCCCAGTCGCCCTCAACGACGGACCGCTTGTGCACAAACAGGTCATTCTTGGATTTGAACTCCTTGGACAACTCCGACAGTTCCGCAATAAAATCCGGCGACACACTGACAAAGTTGGTGAAGCGACCCCCTGTTTTGTGCCCGAGGAAGTTCTCCAGGCTGAGTTGCTTATGCGGGCGAATGAATCCGTAACCCTTGCTGTCCCCGACCCGGATCACGTTGCCATCCTTGTCCTTAACCTTGTGGTAGATCTCCCGCACAATCGTTCCGACCATTCGCATCCCCACCTGCGGCGCAATACCGGCCGACAATTGCTTCGCGGGCGTTTGTTCCATGTCCTCGTCCTCGGTGTTATCACCGTCGCTCTTATCGTTAATCGGTGGAATCTGTTGCTGTCCCGGAAAAAAGGCGGACGACGGAACTTCGAGTTGGGGTGCCATGGTTCAGGGCCGGGACGGATCCAAAACGCCAGGCAACGATTAAGCGTTAGTCCGCACGCGCAGAAGACGGTAGAAGCAAGACGGACGGACACGAGGACTTATCTTGAGTAACGAAGACTTAATCTACAAGTACAACAAAAGCCAGCACTATTGCTAGCGTTAACAGGACAGATTTTTTTCGTTCCAATGATTTTCAAGATTCACGAACAACGAACGTTGATACGACCCAACATGAGGCAGTTGCAGTGCTGCATACTATCAAGTTAAGCCATGGCCAGGGTAAAAATGAGCCGAATGGAGCAACGCAAAACCGAGAACCGAGAACCGAGAGCCGAGAATTGAAAACCGAGAACCGAGAATTGAAAACCGAGAACCGAGAACTGAAAACCCGAAACCGAGAATTGAAAACCAAGAACCGAGAACCGAGAATTGAAAACCGAGAACCGAGAATTGAAAACCGAGAACTGAAAACCCGAAGCCGAGAATGGGTCGCCGTAGAGTGCGCGTTTCTCATTCAGGAGGAAAATCACACCGCAAAAAAAAGATAGCCCCGCAGGGCCGAAAAATTTTTTTTGGTGTGTTGTGAAAGAAAAACACCAAAAACACCGGCGCCATTCAACGGCAAAAATGCAAGCGATTTTCTGTTGGAAATCACTTGCGCGACTGCCTTTCCGAGCGCAGACTGGTTCTGAGAAAAGTAGGAGTGACGGCGATCGAACAGGCCGAAGCGGTGAGGAAACAAAAAAAACCGAGGGCATTCAAGTGCGAAAACAAAGGCCAAGAAACACCGGCGCCATTCAAGTGCGAAAACGTCAGCGCCACGGCCCGCGGCGGCCGTGGTTCTGCCGATGGTGAAACCAGCCGCAGCAGGCAACGCGCCTGCTTGATAGTAGGCAAGGCCCACACCCAGCGCTGAAGACAATAGAACGGAAACACCCCCAAGATTCAAGTGCGAAAACAAAGGCCAAGAAACACCGGCGCCATTCAAGTGCGAAAATGCCGATGCGCAGACGCTTGCGCCGGCTGTGGTTGCGTAAGTGGTAGGGTCCCCCGGCCGCACCGACCAGAGAACACGGGGCGTGGGGAGCAAAGGAACACCGCGCGACAGCGTCGCCCTGTGGGCGCGCGCAGAGATAATTCCGCGCGAGGCACGTGGAAAAAGCCTCCGACGAGAAAACAAAAAGCACCCCCAACGATTCAAGAGGGAAAACACCAGCAAAGAAACGCCGGCGCCACTCAAGTGCGAAAACGCCGGCGGGTAGGTCGATGGGGAAGGCAGCGCGGCCCCCCCCCAGCGCGCGGGGAAGAGCATCAAAGAGAAAGCGTTCGCGCCCCCGGTCGCACTAGTCTCGCCTCGGTCTCGGTTCACAATTCTCTTTCTTGGTGCAAAGTTCCGGGCCTCGGCCCACAATTCTCTTTCTCGGTNCTACTCAGTTTTGCTCCGCATTGAATACAGATTTTTTTAGAATCCGAAGACAGCATGACAAGCTTGTATCTTTCCAGATCCAGACCCAGACATATTGGCACTGCATAAATTCGAGGAACAGGTCCACCGAGTCGCAACACCATTTCGACTTCCAACCCCAGACCAGGCGGCGGCTGGTGCGGCAGCGGCGCGTTTCACGAACAACGAACGTTGATACGACCCAACATGAGGCAGTTGCAGTGCTGCATACTATAGGTGGATTGCTTTTGGTGGGATAGTCAGGCAACAAATACGTAAGTACAAATAGTGCGCTTCATTCAGCACTTGGTTTTATACATACAGGATAACGGTTTTGACTTTAGATACATGAATTCACATCCAGTTGAAATAACGCCAACACTTAGAAGCAGACTCAAGTGCCCACACAGTACCACCTGTGGGGCTCTACTTCGCCCGCGTCTCTTTCGCTTTTTTCGGAAACATTCTTGGAGATTCACGCTTGTCGACCGCGGTAGGTGCGAACAAGTGAAGCGAGTTACGGTGTAATGTCGATGATCGAATAAAAGAACAAGTTCGTCAGAAGTACCGGGTAGATCACAACCGCAGCCTCCGATCGTCAGAAGTACCGGGTAGATCACGACCGCGGCCTCCGTTTGTAATCAATGGAAAAGTGAAATTTCGTATATTGCTTGCTCACTCGTGGTCGTGGGACGACTGAGATGAGACGAGCATTTCATTTTTACAAGTAGTCTATTGTATTCATATTGTACAGCGAAAACAAGTACTTACATGATCTTCAGTCGGTGACTTCACCTCTTTCCCTTCTTGCCCGTGCCTTTCTGCGGCGCGCCCATGCTCATGCCGCCGATCCCACTTGCCATTTGCGACCCGAGAAAGTCCGACAAGTCGCCGCCGGTCTGGCTCGCGGAATCCTCGTCGTGCCAATCCTGTGCGATGTTGGCCCTGCCGGTGAAGACCTGACTCTCGGGCACATCCATATCGTGGTCAAGCGCAGTCATCCAGCCACCGTTTCCAGCATCGCCCCAATCCTCGTCGGAGTCAGTTGTATCGGCGGGACGACCTCAAAGAAGTTCAAGTTGTGATTTGATATATCAAGTTAAGCTTTGGCCAGGGCGTAAAAAACCGAGAATCGCAAACCGAGAATCGGAAACCGAGAATCGGAAACCGAGAACCGAGAATCGGAAACCGAGAATCGGAAACCGAGAACCGAGAATCGGAAACCGAGAATCGGAAACCGAGAACCGAGAATCGCAAACCGAGAACCGAGAATTGGAAACCGAGAACCGAGAACCTGAAACGGAGAATCGGAAACCGAGAATCGGAAACCGGAAACCGAGAATCGGAAACCGAGAGCCGAGAATTGGAAACCGAGAACCGAGAACCTGAAACAACCGAGAATCGGAAACCGAGAACCGAGAATCGGAAACCGAGAATCGGAAACCGAGAATCGGAAACCGAGAACCGAGAATCGGAAACCGAGAACCGAGAATCGGAAACCGAGAACCGGGGGTCTCGGTTGCTCTTTTTCCGGTTTGTCTTTTTCCGGCTTCTCTTTTCTCGGTTTCTCTTTTCTCGGTTTCTCTTTTCCCGGTTTCTCTTTTCCCGGTTTCT